ACTTGATTAAATCAAATATTTTGGTGAATAACATGAAGTACAGAAAGTTGCTTTTTTAATTGAAGAAATATTTTTTTAAATTATAATTCATAGAAAAAATATTTATACATGAGCTACTGCAGGTTTTGCAGTTACTATTACAGTCTACACAAGTTGTAGGATTGCTTAAATAAGTAGTAGTAGGACAAGTTAAGACACATGAAAAGTTATACAAAAAATATGAGGCTTGACAAGAAGTGCATCCAGATGCATTACAAGCTAGACAATTAGAAGAGCACTATTGATTAGTTGAAATAATGTATAAAATTAATAAAAAACATATTGAAAAATGTTTGAATTTACAAAATCAACAAGAACAAAAATATTGCTAAGACCAAAAGACTCTGTCTTTACATCAGAAACCAAATTATTGTAAAAAACTAAGTTTAAAGAATTAGAGCTATGAGTTATATTCACAGTCTATTATGTTTTTAGATCATTATAGCTACCATAACCACAAATATTATTATTTCCATCACTAGCAGCAAGCTTTACCTGCTACTTTATCTACCCATCTACTTAAACATAAAAATATTCATTATTCCATTAGTCAATTTTCCAAAGAGTATAATCTATCCTAACAGACCAATGAGGAGCTCTAAATAATTTTTAAAATAAATAAAAAATTTTTTTTAGAAATATATAACAAACACACTCTTTGTCTATCTGTATATAAAAGTAGATTAATAACAGTAATTTGACAAAACAAAAATTTAATTAATTAAGTATTTTGATAAATAAAAATAAATTGAGAATTTTTATGAAATAAATTATTTTTACAGTCCACTCCAAACTCTGCTAATGCTTGCACCTTATCCAGAGAGCCAAAATCCTCCTAATAAATGATTTTAACCGCAGTTAGTAGTTAATGCGCCACTTGAGCCAAAGGTTGTCTTAAACCCTTTAAAGTTGCTAACAGTTAGACCTAAACCTGTTATTTCACTCTAGCCAAAGTAGTTAGTAAATAAACCATTAAGCAAATATTATCCATCTTTAGTTTTTAATATTTGATTAGTAACAAAATAGTAAATAATTTAAATGATTATCATTTTTGAGATTAAATAAAATATTTAGATTAAAAAGTATATAAAGTGGAAGAAATTCTATTTGAAGTATTTAATTAAAAAAAAGTAACAAAAGAAATAATTGCTTATTTTACTTATTAATGCTGTAGAAAAATCAACACAAGTATTAGAAACTGGAGAAGAAGTTTATGGACAAGAAGATACACATTAACCTTAGTAAAGATAATAACTTGATTTGCATGATGTGCAAAGCTATGTAGATGAATTATATGTTTAGCAGTTTATGGAGTAATCAGTAACACATTTATTAGAGGTATTACTTTTTATAAAACCAGTAGGACAATTAGCAACACAAGAATATTAGTATTAAAAATATCCACTTGAGCAAGTACAAGTGCTGCCACTTTTAATAGAATTAGTAGGACAAGTTAGACATTGACTCTAAGTTAAATAAAAAAGTTAAAATATTTTATATAGTTGCATTGATAGTTTTTAACAAATCTTTGAATGAAAAAACAACTATTAATCAACACAAAAAAATATTTATGCAATTTACTTTAGTAGGACCATTACAGGTAGCGCAACTATAATCGCATGTATCTAAATAGAGATAGTAATTTTTAAAGCCAAATCCTCTATTTAAAAAACTCCAATATGCGTTTGGTAGAAGCTAAACAGTTACTGAATTTGAGTTATGAGTAATATTTTTTTAATATAAAATAAGCTCGTCATAGTGGCTTACAAACCATAAAATATTATAGCATATGACATCACCATCATCATAATTTTTAGTATAGGTATCTTGCAAATTTCCATCAATAAATATTTAAATTTGTTATCCACTGCTTTGATCTACTCCACCATAAAGTAAAAGATCAAATCTTAAAGAAAGGCTCCAGTGTGGAGGCAGTAGGTTATATGTTATTTACTATGGATTTACTTAAAAAACTCCATTAAAATTTTAATTTCCTACCCAATCCACATATTATGAACTTGATGTGCAAGTACTTATAGTATTTTATGACCATCCATTCGTACTTTAGTTTGGATCAACAAAATCTTATGAGACTAGGTATTCGACTTTTTATAATAAAGGGTTGAGTTTAAGGTTCTTTAAACTAAATAAATCTACCTTATCTTGTGAATATAACAAGTGCAGAAAAATAAATGAGAGAGAGTAAATACATGGTTAGATTGATTATTTTTATAATTAGAGTTACCAAATTTCTTTTTTGATAGTTTAAAAAATTGGATATCTAAGAAATCTGAAAAAAAATAAAAAATTATAATGAGTTATTTAGATCGATTACAGGTTTTTGATAAAAAATAGTAAAGGAATAAATAATTCAACTAATAATTTGTGTTATTTGCAATTTCAAAAAAGGAATTAAACAATACTTTCTTTTTTTCAATTAGGTATAATTACATTTTGATGATATTTAATTATAATGCAGCGGGGAAAATAATACTTACTTGATTTAAATATATGACAAATATAAACAATTTATACGCAAATAAGCTCAATTTGCGTCATAGTTTGAAACTCTGAATAACTAAATTCCACAAATATTCACAAATAATAAAACAAGAAAGATAGAAAAATAAATAAATATCAACCCATACATAAATTGAACGTCATATTTGTTAAATTATTAATCTTTTAAAAATCCAATAAAATAATAAAAACAGAGGTTTTTTGGCAAAAAAGAAGAAAACTTACACATTTAAATATTAAATGTTTTTTCTTTAATTGATGGTGAATGTAGAATGAAATTTGTGATACTATCTATCATTTGTGATACTTTAAAAAATTTTTAGCACCTTATCATACTATGAAGATCTCTTTTCAATAGCTCAATACTACTATTTTTTCAGATTAATGTATCTAATATTATACGAAATTTAAGAATTACATCCAGTTATTTCATTTATTTAGTTTTTTATTTTGATAACTATTTTATTTGCTTTCAATATTAATAATAAAACTGAATTATATTGTTGGTAGTATTTAAACTGAAGCAATTTTAGAAATCCTTTGTTTTAATTGAGAAATCGTTTGCCAGAAAATTTTTCAGATGAAAATGAAGAATAATTTCTAAAATTTTGTAAATATCAATTATTTTACCTGAAAATAAGATAATAGGTTTGTGTAAGTTGTTGTTTTCAATTTTTCTTGAAATATTAATTTTTACAATCTTTGCTCTAAGTAAAAGCCTTTTATTTATATAATTTGATATTTACTGGGTGTTTATTTCGATACTCTTTAATTAATACTATTTTCTATCCACAAATTTGCACTTTAAATTAATAAATTTGAAGGTAATTGTTGTGAGATAATAAAAAGAAAAAAATTAATCAAATTAGTACTACAACTTAAGTATAATATAAAATATTAACCTGAATTAAATGTAATCAAATAACAAATTTATAAATTTGTTAGTTTTTTAGTCTAGTTGTTTATAATAGTTGTAAAAAAATAATAACCTTTTATACAACAAAAAAATCTTTAAAAACACAATTTGTATAACAAAAATTAGAATATGCTAATTATAATTTTTTTATTAATTAATATAAACATTTTTTTAAATTTAAGAAATTTACTTGTTTAAAAAAAGAAAGAATATCATTTAAACAATCATTTTTGTTTCATGATTTGTTATAAAATAACGAAGAAATTTAAATACAATTACTCTCTTTACTTCTAAGCAAATATTTTCATTAACTTTATCGTTCATTCCTATGATGAAATTAATTATTATATAAAAAGTAAAAATAAAATAAGAATCAATATGAATCATATCTATTTATTCTTTAAGTATTTACTGAATATGATTATTGTTCTGTCTGTAATATAATTATTTACACTAAATTTTAATTATCAAAAACTTAAAGAAAAATAATTTAGAATTAAAAAAAATGGAATAGAATTTTCAAAATAAATAAATAATTAAAAACTCATAGTAAATAAGAAACTTTAGAATTTTTTATTATCTATAAAGCAAAATAATACAATTAAAAAGGAATAAATAAGCAGAAAAATAAATTTTTCTTAGATTATAAAAAATTGATAAAAACTTTTAAGTTAATTGTTTTAAGAAGATTTTTTTATTTTGAAGAAATAATATTTATAATAAATCGATCACTAAATAATAATAAATAAAGAAGGAAATAATAATTAAAAACATATGTGATAATTATTAATTATATTTAAAACATTAAAAAAGCTTAGAGTTTCAAGCAATTAATAGAATTTCAAATTTTTAACAAACAACCAACTATTTATTCATTTATTGTTTTTTTTTCTACTATACTTTTAAATGTTTATATGCTTAAAGAGTTCTTTAAGAGAGAGCTTTTTAGCTTAATTACAGAAATATTTTATCATGCAAAGAAACACATGTTAAGAGATTAGGGGAAATTCTCTTCTCCTTCATAATGGGAGTTTCGAGGCATATTTATTAGGACATTCTTATAAAATTTGTTTTAAATAGTGACATTTTCAAGCACTGTTGATGTTAGGACTCTTTCGTTGTTGTATGAAAGAAAACGTAAATTCGATTCAAATTTTAGATTAGAATCAGATTTTTCCAAATCAATGCTTGTTGTGGAGCTTTTCAGATTTACAAGATTTATAAGCATAGAATATTCATAATCTCCTGAGATGTTGAAGAAGTAATTGTCAAACACATTTATATTGTATGCTAGATCAGGTGTGAATTTTATTTCTCCTGTTTTGATTATTTCTTATTTTTTTAAGGTGACAATTGAGATATTTTTGTTTTTTTTAACTTGTTTTTAAGACTATTATGAGTATTCTTTGAAGCTTTTCATATCATCAAATATTAACTGTTGTAGATTATCATATGAGTCTTGGTGATTTTAAATATTCTGCTTTTGGATCTCATCTAAACTTTAGAACGAGCTAGTCTTTGTTGTGTTCTAAGAAAATTACTCATCTTCAAATATTTTAAAAAAAGCAATCTTTTTTGGGAAAATCATCACCAAAAACTCATACTCTGAGATTTTTTTGACTCTAGTAAAGAGCTAATTTCCTGCTATTCTTTTTTAGATAACTAAAGGATTGTCTACTCTGGTTATATCAAACATATTTATTGTTCCTTTGGAAATGCTCAATATGTATTTATCATAAAGTATGGTCTCCAGCCCATAAACCTAAGATGAATGGTATCCCTTCAGCCTTTGAAAAATTTTTCCAGTAATGATATTCCAAACAACTATTTTTTTTCCAACTCCAGCTACTAAAAATTTTCCATTTTAGAATGTAATCAACCTACAAATTTACTTTCTATTTGAAAAAGTCCTTTTGCGTTTTAAATTAACATCTATCTATGAATAAAATAAATCTTAATTACTTGATTGTGTTTTGCTATTTTTATTACCAAACTAGTTTATTTGATTTTCTATTAACATTTATTCTTCATTAAAATACTGATTATTAACACCTCGAAGATTTCTACTAACTTAACTAGAAAATTGATTGTTTATTTAAACAATATTCTAATTTATAGATTCAATAGATTTAAAATTTCTATTTTCAGGTAAGGTTATCTAAAGCTAAAATTCAATTATATTTCCATCATATCCAGAGATAAAGAAATAATCAGATCTTCTTGGGTCTTTCACTAAAACAACTAGCCCAAATTAAGAAATCTTTTGAGTAATTATGATTTTTGTTTTCTAAATATCAAATACATGGATAATTCCTTCTTGCGTGCCAAATACCAAAAACAAATTATACATGTGTATTAAGTTTGTTGTAATATTTAAATTTAAAGGAAACTGATATTTGAAAATTAATTTGTTTTCAAAGTTTTCCTCAAACATTATGTTTTTAATGTATTTTAAATCAACATTAATGTCAAATCTATTAATTTATTCAACTATTTCCTAAATCTTAATGCAATAATTGCTACTAAACTCTGATTTCTACTTTTTGTTCAAAGCTTAATTTCTTTCTAACTTCTACTTGATGTTTAAAAGCATTGCTTTCATTTCGTCTACATTATATATGTCTTTCGATTAAAGATTATGCATTTTCTGATCAAAGTTCAATTGAATTTTTTATTTCTTATTCTATTTCTAGCTTAAGCAAGCATTACACAAATATAAAAACTTACCAGTTTAGCTTAGGTCTATATACTCGAAAACCTATTAATGCTCTATACATATTTATGACAACTAAATGCTACTTTGCATAATTTCAACTAATTGATTTTGAATTATTGAATACTTATCTATCTATTTTTTTTATCTTTCAAACAAACAATAGACTCCTATCTAATTTAATAAAAAATTTCTTTTAATTAATTTACTAACAATTTAAAATAGTTGATTGTATATGTAATTATTTATTTATTCATCAATTTCTACTTAAAATAAATCATAAAGCTTCACTTATACGCATACATGTCGAGTTAAATTTAACTTAATAATATAAAAAACTACAACATCAAATATTTAATCCAATTTGAAATTGCTTCTTTTTTAATTTGAAAGCATTAAAAAGATTATTTGTAAAGTTCAAAAATATTTTTAAAAGCTTTTTTTGAATGAATATTTTTTCAAAAATATCTTGATTTGCTATTTTTTGGTTATTAATTTATAGTATATTCTTAATTTGAGAAATAGACAAAATAAATTTTACTATCCTCTTTTTTGTATTTGATTATAAAATCATAATATTGATTATCTTACAATTTATTGAAATATATTTTTGTATCATATCATAAATATAAAAATTTTTATTTAAAAAATTTTGAAATAATTTTTAGTTTTTGGGAAATTTGTGAATATTTAATGAATTAAAAGGTTTATAATAGCCGAAGATGGATAAAACAAAATGAATTTTTATTCAAATTATATCAAAAATACTTTAAATTAAATAATTAGGATAAGATTTATAGTAAACATTTTTATTTTATGTTTCATGTAATGGTTGCAAATTTTATGAAAAATGATAATAAAACTTAAAAAAAAAACCTGGAAGAAAATGTAGTAGGTTTGTAAGAATAAATACAATTTAACAGTTTATTTGCATAGCCCTAAACTTGAATTTAACTGCTTCTGTAAAGAGCATTATTTATTTATAAAATTTATAAAAGTAGTTAATAAATGTATTGTCTTTAAATAGCCATCAAAAATATTTATAAGTAAATATTTGGTAAAATTTATCAAAAAACAATTTTAATAAAAAAATAAAATGTGATGACAAATATTAATTTCCTATTATTAATAAACTTTTAGTTAAAAATCACAATTATATCATGAATAAATATTTAATTCAAAGTACCAATGACCAATGTAATTATCTTATCATTGTGAATCAGATAAAATATCATAAATATTTAAATGAGTAATCTTTGAAAAAGAAAATAATATGACAGGTAATATTTTATTTTTCTAAACTTAAATATATATAATTTTATACAATAAGAAAATATAGTAACATGAAAAAAAATTAAGTTTGCTTAAATTATTTTCATTCTTTAATTTCTACATATTATCGTTAACAAATAATTATTTTTCTATTAGTTTTTTCACTTTCTTTGCTTTGTAGGAATATTTTTATATTTCTGTTTTCTATCTGTTATTTAATGTTGTTTTTTGATTAAATAATTAATACCTTTTTTTAAAAAGATATTTACTTTTTTAAAAAACTTCATTCATTTTAAGTTTAGTGGATTAACTTTTATTTAATTAATAGTCATGAAATATTTTATTTATTTTAATTGTTATAAATTAATATTTAATAAATAAATAAAAAATAGAATACTTTGATAGCCATATGAGATATTTCATTTTTTTTAAGATTGTTATTCTAACTAATCATTTCTGTGTTACTCTATCATGTATATTGTTTGCTCATGAATTGGTTGTTCTAAAATTTCATCAACTTTTTTGACTTCAATATTATTTTTACTTACTTAAACTGATTTATCTAATTTTAGATTATTTTTAGCTGATTTTACTTGATTGGTTTAATTTTTTATTTTTTTTTATGTTACTTATTAGTATTCTTTCATTCTTTTGTCAATTTTTTTGTAACTAAATATAAATGCTATGAAAATAAATAAGGCAATCAGTATGGATGCGCAAATAAAACCAATAATAAGTAGTTAATTTAATGAAAATGACTAGTTATTTAAATTATAATATTAATTATTTTACTCTTTTTATTAGTCGTTTACCTCTTAAGTAGTTTAATTTACATATATTTTAGAATCTATAATGTTTTATAAATAAGCACATTTTCCAACTTAAGAAATCCAGTCTAATCCATCTTAGCAAATGTTTGATGATTTGCAATCAGAATAAGTATCAGCTATAACTCCATTACCACAGAGCTTCATACATTTTTAAAATTTAAATGAATATATTTCATTTATTTCACAATCATTTTCTTATTAACAATTTTTAATATCAGTAACTATACTACAATCTGAGCATTAATAAGATATTCCAGTAGTAGTATATATAGCAGATTTATTGCATAAACGTCTATAATTACATTATTATTATTTTATTTATAACATGCCATTTAGACATTATGGAAGACATTTTTGGAAAGTCTAACTCCATCCATAGCCTTATTTGCAACTGTATTATTTATCCAAACATATATTTTTAAAGCATTTATTACACTTCAAACCTTATTGTTAGATGTAGCATTATCTCTATGTAAATAACTAATTCAAATAATATCCTTGCTAATTTAAATATTAGCAATTTTTATTTTAGAGTGTAGAACTATCACAAGTATAAGGAGATCCACTTATGCCTGTCTCTGATCCTAATTAAACTTTGATATATTAAAATAATTATTTTTAAAGTGTTAATAAAAACTTTAATAGAAAAAAATTATTTTATTTAATTAATTATTAAAAAAATTAAATTTACCTTAATATTAATAATATATTTAAAAAGAAATAGAAGTAGTATCACCAGATTTATAAAATTAATAGTAACATATCCCATTTACTAAAATATAATTATTCTAACACTGTAAACATTTATTTGGACCTTTTAACTATAAACAAAAATATTCATAATAAACAGGATAACATTATTAAGTATTGATTTCTCGTGAAGATCCCAAACCACATTATGAGCAATAACGGTCTTAACTTTAACCTACGCATGGATAGTATTCTAAAGAATAGTCATTTTTTATGCATTAAGCACCTGTATTATCATAACCATTATATTAAAATAGAATATAATTTTATATACATTAGTAACAATAAGTTGGATTTTAATAGGAATAAATCAAACAATTTTTTATCATAGGTATAGGATAGCATTTACCTTATTGCATAATATATTATTATTAACATAATAAACAGTTTTCTTAAGTATCATAAATTATACAATATGGCGTTTAACCTTTGATACATTCATTTTATAACAGAAAATATTAATCATTGCAAACTATACACTTATTTTCTGCTATTACTCTACAATTAGGTATGCCTAAGTCTTCTGATTATCCACAGAAGCTTTAATATGTTTAAAATAATTATGTTCCCTGAGGTTATTGTGTTTAAACATAATATACACCTTTTCTTTCACATTTAAAGCATAAGTTAGACATGTATTAGGTACATCCTTATATTTAATTAAGAATATTCATGCATCCAAATTAATTTTAGGGGGTTAAGGGGGAAATTAATTAATTAAAATAATAAGAATAAGATTAATCTTAAGCAAAGTCAATAGCAAACGATAAAAGCAAAAGATAAATAGGATCATTATACTCAATATTGATTGGAATTGAAGTTTAGATAATTTAAAGCTTTATAAAATTAGTTATTGAATTTTTTAACATACTAAAAGTCTTATAATCTAGTTAATATCCTATATTACATAACGGTAATTATATATATATATTTCCTACTGCGTCTGTGCTCGTAGACGAAGAACCTGCTGTATTTTGAGATGGTGATTATGTACATAATCCTTAAGAATTAAAATACCCACTTTGGCATTACATACAAAATTAAAACAATCCAGCATATCCAAAAGTTAAACAATTTTAGAAATAAGTACATGCAGATCCTGTAGAATCTATCGCTTCACCATCTGAGCAAGTGCATGTAATACCATTATTTTTGAGACATTAAAAGTTTATGGGAATGCAGCCAATAGAATCCTTAAAAGCAAAATTTTGCATACATTAAATATCTGTATCGTAAATTGCATCATTGGTAATCTTATTTGGGTTGATTAAGTTAAAGAGGCCATAGTATGTATTATATTTCTTTGATTTATAGAATAGCTCATAATTTTGGATGCACGTTTAACCATTGGTAATTTTGCAAAATCTATCTGGAAAGTGGAATATTAAGTCCTATGAAATATCTAGAGTATAAGGAAATCTAGGAGATATACATATCTTGTTAACTGTATCGATCTTAGAGCATCTCGGATCATACTGTAATGGATTTTCTGTGACAAATAACTCATTATGATCTATTTAAATAGTTGTATAAGCTTCATCACACTCTCTGTTTCTATCTAGTCTTTTACAATAAGAATATAAAGGCATAGGTAAAATTGAAGCCTCAATGCATGATTTAAAATCATAATCTACAATATATCCAAACTTGCATTCTTAGCAGATCATCTAAAGCTGAGTATTCTATGGATTTTAATACACAATAAAGGGAAATGAGCAGTTATCAATCATATTTTTTGACTAAACTTAAGTAAGTAAAAATAGCAATCCTATAGGAAGCAAAAATTCAATTTTTTTCATGTTTCCTTTGATTAAAATTTTCTTAAATTTAATTATTATCTCAATTTAGTTTGTGGTAACTAAATCATGATTTAATTAACAAAAAATTAAAAAGAGAAATAAAATCAATGGTAAATTTCATAAACTTGTAAATTAATTCTGATCAAAATAAAATAAATTGTAAGTTAAGATAAACAAATCAATTGATATTTTATTAATCTAGCTAGAACTACCGTTTTCTTTAAAACACCAATTTAAAAACTATGACGTAAGCAATAAATAAATAAATATTTATATATTTAAGGATAAAATCAAAATGATAGAATGCAATGGTAACTCAATAGTAGACTGTATGATTAACATATCATCCATTTTTAATATAGTCTTTATTTTACAAAAATTTATTAAATTTTTGGGATTTTTATATCTGTAAGATATCTAATAATGCGGGGTCAAATTATATGCAATTACTTCTATTATTTAAGGAAAATTTGAAAATCGTTTATATATATATTTTTTCTATCCCTTTCTTGAGTCTCAATTAAGTAAATTAGTGTATCAAGAGGAGATTTTCAATTTTTAAAAATTTCTACGGAATCATTGAGTAAAAATAAGAAAATATAAATTGATTCGATAATTAAGTATTTAAGTTGATGAAATGTACTAATAATAAATATTTAACACTATTTTGTAATCTACAGTATTTACTTTAAAGAATTAGATAAAAATATTTAGAGAAAATTTTCCTAGAAAAAAACTAATTAATCCTTCCTTACCATCTTTTCTTTAGAAATGCTTAAGTATCTATACATGTTTTCAATATATATTAATTTATTTTAAAAATATAGTTAAAAAAGAAGAAAAAAACAGAAAACTAAGACTTTTATTTTCAATGAACAAAAATATTTCACTCTATTAAAATAATTAAAAAATGGTTTGATTTTCCTTCTCAATAAATTGATTTATAGCTAGCTCTTCATATTATTGGAATTTTTGATTAGAGAATTTAAAAATATCGAAACTTTATTGTAGTAATCTTGTTTCATTAAAAACCAAAATATTTTTATATCATAAGCAGAGTTGTTAACTCTTTAGAAAAGCAAATGCTCAACTCAGATGGCTTTTTAATTCTTAATTTTAAATATTTTGCGAGTTATAAATTAAAAATTTCAAAAAAATTATTTTAATAGGTGGAATAATCTAAAAATAAGTAAATAATTATGAAAAAAAGTGAATAAAATTAGCTTAAAATCATAAAAATTAAATGAGATATCATTATCTGTACCTAAACAGTTCGTGATATTTTAATTACACGATTAGCTATATATGTATCAAGTAATTATATTTTTTTAAATCAAACTAAATATTTGATGAGGCTGAAAATATTAAACATTTTAATAAAAGATTTTTTATCAAAAATGAGAAAATAAAAAGCAAAGACTTATTAAATGGATTTTTTAAATTTAAATAAAGGATTGATTATCTTATATATCAGAAAGGGATTTTTTAATTTATTTTAGTTGTGCACGCGTTTCAAATCAAAAAAAATATAAATTTGGCAGAAAACAATAAAATTAGCAACTACGATTTTAAGAGTAATTATTCTTTTAAATTGCAGTAAATATTTGGATTTTAAGAATGATTAATCCATGAAAAATTTAATTCTTTGTAACTTTCTAAAATATTTTGTTAAAAAAGTAATAAAAAATTCGAAAATAAAAAAGCTCGAATATCGATTAATCATACTATTATCAATCTATTACATATTTTATATATTTAATTTATAGACAGATTTTAAAAAGTGATGATTTTAAAATATAAATTTTCATTTATATATGTTTTTTTTGATTGTTTGTTTGGTCAAAAAAATGAAAATGTGAGTGTATCCACAAAATATAACATAACAAATATATAAACAAACAAATAATATATTTTGTAAGATTTTTATTATTTTTTAAGCTTTGCCAAACAAAACATTTGATTTAGTTACAAGTTAATTAATTAATCTCTAATTCTCCTTATAATAAATAATTTAAATTAAATTGAAATATTATACTAAAACATCAATCTAAAAAATGAGCTAGGTAGACAGCGAGTTCTTGGTTTTATTTTTAAATCAATTAGTTAATAACGAAGTTTTTGCAGAAAAGGGTTTCATTAAAAAGCTCTAGTTAGTTGCAGAAAGCATTTAGAATGATTAGGCTTAAAAGAATGTTGATATTGCTATCTCTTCTTTAAAGTAATTTATACAAAAAAATATGGAGGAGTTCAAGGAAAATGAAGAGCTCAAGATTTTATCACCCATGAAATAGCTCAAAGTCAAACGTTTGTATGTAGACGGATGCTTTGATCTCATGCATTCAGGTCATTTCAATGCCATAAGATAGGTAATCTCAATTTTCATATCAAAATAAATTAGATTTATTGCTTAAATAATTTTCCCTCTCTATTTACTCAACTAAACTAGTTTTTTTTCAAAAGGCTAAATAATACTGCGAAACTCTTGTTGTTGGTGTCATTGCCCAAGAAGAAATCACCAAGAGAAAAGGTCCTCCCGTTCTCAGTTATGAAGAAAGAGTTGGAATCGGTAATATTTTTATCTTTATTTCATTACATGGATTTAATGAATTAGGATGATATAAAAAACTTCAAAACGTGGAAAAATAGAAAGATATTTTTTTATTAAAACGAGCTTCAATCTATTACTTTCTTACTTAAATGGTTCTAGAGATAAATTTTAGTTGATATTTAATTTAAAATGAAATAATAATTCAAGTTTACCTTTTTTATATTAACTACTTTGTCAAAAATAATCAGCTAAGGCTTGTAAATGGGCTGACGAAATCTGCGAACATGCTCCTTATGATCCAACTATTGAGCTTATTGATCGTCTCAACTGTAGTCATGTCGCCCACGGAGACGATATGATCGTTGGACCTGATGGCTGTGATGCTTATTCCCCTTTTAAGATCTCAAACAGAATGATGTAAAATATATTTATTATTACTCTTCAAAAATAGCTAGCTGAAAAATGATTTTCAAAACAGAGCTAACAATGAAAAAGATTAAAAAATATTAATAATTTGATTAAAATTTAACAAAAATAGAACTTTCAAGAGAACTGAAGGTATTTCTACCACTGATATCGTAGGTAGACTTCTATTGATGACCAAGAATTAATAGAGTATTGAAATAGTAATAAATTAGATAATTATTAATAATGCAATTAGGGAGATATGAATCAATCAATTTATTTATTTATTTTTCAATAGAGTTCAACACAATAAAACTTATTTTTATCTAATAAAATTTCAATTGATTAATTCATCAATTTTTTATTTTGTATAAATGTAGAAAAAAATTCGTAAATTAAGTGGAGAACAAGGAATTACAGCAAGCAAAATTGAATCTTTGGAAAACACAACTAACATTAAAGAAGTTGATGAATCTACTGCTGTCAAACTAAAACTTTTGAACACCACAAAGAGAATTAGATAATTCAGTTAAGGAAACAGAGAACCAAAAGAAGGAGATAAAATTGTTTATATTGATGGCTCTTTTGATATGCTTCATATTGGCCACATTGAAACTTTAAAGAAAGCCAAAGAACTCGGAGACTACCTTATTGTTGGTTTACATGATGATGAAGTAAAAATATTTTTTTTTTAATTTAAAAGGATCTAAAAGAAATAAATAAATCAATCAAATTAATCTGAATTTAATGATATTTTAAAATAAAAATAGACTGTTTAGGAAAAGAAAGGAAGCAATTATCCTGTTTTGACCCTTTAAGAAAGAGTTCTTAATGTTTTGGCTATGAAGGTAAATTGATAAATAAATTATTAAGAAATATAAACAGTTTTTTGATAATTTTTAAATAGTATGTTGATGAAGTTATTATTGGTGCTCCCTGGTAGCCAACAGAATAATTAATAAAGCAATTTAACATCAGTATAGTTGTTGAAGGAACAATGACTAAGCTAAAAGAAAACAAGCCAGAAGTTATTGAACAAGATCCTTATTTAGTTCCCAAAAAATTAGGTATTTTCAAGCAAATCGAATCCTCAAACGACATGACCACTGATAAAATAGTTGAAAGAATCATTGAAAACAGATTGAGGTAAAAAAAGCATAATTAAATAAAATAAAATTTTATTAGGCATTTAAAAATTTTATTTGTTTGTTTTAAAAATAGATTCCTTGAAATTTACAATGTCAAAAACAAAAAGTAAGACTTGTACTATGAATAAGAAAGAAAAGTTAAAGAAGTCTGATCTATCTATAATTAAAAGATTGACTTAACTTTCACAATATTTATATATTATATTATTGTTAAACCTTTTTGTGTTGATTCTAGCTAGTAATCCTTTAGAGCATAAAGGATTTTTGTGTGCTAAAATTTTGTTTTCATTTATAAAAAAATCATCAATAAATAATTCAAGTTAAATTTTAATTTAATTTTAAAGATAAAAAATATATTTTTAAAACACATTCATTTGAAATAGCTAAAATATTTATTTTATTTCTATTTTTATATTTAAATAATTGATATAATAGCTTAATTTATTTTAACAAGTTTTAATTCACGTAAACAATAAAACATATTTTTTATTATTAAAATGATAAATTACTTTTTTAAATAGAAATTATTTCTGAATAAAATTTGAATTGAAATAATTTTTTTATAATAAAATTAACAAAATATCTCTTCTTATTGTTCTTCTTACTTTATAATTAATTACTCTAAATATATTTATGATTGATTAGGATACATATTAAAATGATTTGTTAGGTAGGTATTTTAAATTTAATCTACATATTATATATAAATGGTGCAATTTAATATTTAAATCAACATTTTTCATTAAGAAAATGATTTTTACTCATAAAGCTGGTGTGATTTCTTTAAATAGCTAAATTGAATTACTATGCTCTTGTAAAATAGAAGATTCAATCATTTCTTCTATATCTTAAATTGTTAATCTTTTAGTTGCTAAAGCAATTTAAATTCCTCTTGATATTTCAAATGCTCCATTACCAAATATTTCTATGTTCGAAGCAACATATTCGCTATCATTTGATACTAGTATTAAATCTTTCTCAAAAGGTAAAAGATAAATTGTAGGTGTTAAAGTAATTTTATAAATAATATTATTAATATCTTTAAAGCACATTTATATATCAGTCTAAGGGTTAAAGTCCTTGTATAAACTTATTTTGATAATTTCTTAATCTTAATATCTAAGCATCCCGAAAGCATATTGCTGCTTAAACCACCATTTTTAATTTTCATTTGCAAATTAGCTCTTTTAAGTAGAGTTTAATTATGGAAAAAGCATATCTTTAAATAAGCTATCAAAATTAGTTATCTAAGAGTTGATCATTTTATTTTAATGCTAATCAATGTCTTTATATTCTTAATTCAAATATATTTCTTGCTAATTACTTTCAATCATAATATTAATTTAAATTATCCTACTTTCTTTAGTGTTCTTTTGTAATGATCTTTTATTGTAAAAATTAGTATTCAAATTATTAAAAATGTTACTATAAAAAGTTAATTAATTATTTATATTTGCTATTATCAAAAAAAGAAAGAATATCGTCAGAAATCAATTAAATTGACTTAGAATTAGTAAATACTATGAATTATTAAGCCTAAGTATTGTTTTAATATTTATTAATGATATTTTGTAAGTAGATACTATGAAATACATTTAAATACCTTTTTATATACATCTTTGATTTTATTTATAGATAAAAATGTAGCTAAAATGAATCATTAGTTATTTTATGGTAAGCAAAACATATCTTATTCAGAATAATTTATTATTTTTTTATTAGAAGGAATCAATTTAAGTAAATGAAATAAAGTTAGCATCAATAAAAATTTATATCATATACTTAAATAAATTGATGTACTATAAATTCTTAGTATCTCTAAAATTTAGTCCTAAAATTCAATGAAATTTATAAAATATTTAAGGTTCGTGATATTCAAATTAAGGAACAGCTATAATAAGACCTTTGTATATGAGGAAATACGGTTATATTATTTAATTTAATAATTAAGGGAATTTTGACTTAAAAATCAGTTCATTTTGGGCTAAATAAATCTAAAATATTAAATTTACTAAAATTTATAAAGAATTATAGCTTACTATAATAATATTTATCAAAGTTAATCTTAATAGTCTTATCTTAAAAAATTGATTTATCAGCAATTAAAATTTTTGATTTAAGAAAAATTAAATTCTTTAACATTGTAAATTGAAAGAAAAAAGTTACGATTAAATTAATAGTAGAATGTAATTTTAAAGGTTATTGATTCATTATATAATTAAGTTTTATAATAATATTTTAGTGATTACATAGTAGAAGTTTTAGATTTTATGGTTGCAATTATTTATTTTGGTTTTCTTTTAAAAGATTTTTTCAATAAAAAATTGTTTTAGTAAATAGTAAGTGTATTAAAAAATATAGTTATTTAATTAATTTACAGTATTTAGTTTAAATTTTTAATAATTTTTAATGTTTTTATAAAATACTTTAAAATGGATATCTTATTTTCATTTTAAAATACTTCAAAAAAAATTCATAACTTGCTAAAAACTAATCTCTGAAACATAGTTTAATATTAAATGCAAATTAATTTTGCTTAATTTAATTTTAGAAATATTTTTATAGTTCTTATTTGAAGTAACAACTAACGATAATTATATAAATGAATAAATTTAAAACTATAAAAACTATTTTAATTTAAAAAAAATATTGCAAAATATGAATGAAATTATTTTTTTAAAGTTTACTTTGATTTGTATGTCAATTTTAAATCTAATAATTTTTTTATTTCTTTAATTATGTGTTTAACCAGTAAATTTATTGGAACAAAAGTAGTGTTTTTTAAAAATAAAAATTGATTTATTTTCTTTAGTCTTTAAGGAGCTGTTAAATACTCCTTATATCTCCACAAATTTTTATTATTATTCACAATATTAAAGATTTTTAAGAGATATCTATCTAGTTTCAAAACAAATTAATTAATTAACTAATAAAGCAGCAAGAATAAATAATCAAGATAAATATATAAATATTTACATACACATATAAAAGCAAGCAAACACGTACATATTTAATGTAAAATAAAATGAACATTTAAGATGTGTAAGAAGCAGGACAAACAATTTATTATCCATAATCAGCCAATAATAGATATATTTATGATACTAGAAATCCTCTAATTCACTTTCGTCCTCACTCTGCATCTGTTTTAAATACACATCGCTTTAAACAAGGTAAATTAAACTCCTTCATAATTTTTAAATATAATGAGAATAGTAGCAAGATAATAAAAATCTGATCTGTAACAGATAAAAACATTATTTGTAAAAAGCATCATTAAAATTAACATAAATATAAAAAAGATTATTACATGCATAAAGCTAGAATAAGAAAATAGTCTTTCAACAGCTGTAAAAATGATAAATTTGACATATAAATGAGTGAAACTAAGGCTAAGTCTTTGAAACCTATAATTGTAGAGAGTAAAATGAAGATTAAGTTGAATGAAAATAGCAACAGCAATAAAAAAAGTTAAAAAATAAATCTTTTTAAGAAAATGCCCAACAACACATATCAAAATGCCAACGATTTCTTTTTATATTTGAAAGCGTCATCAAGGAAAAGTAATCAAAGTTGCTTCATTGAAAGGGGTATTAATGATAACGATCTCTATAATGTAAGTCCTCTTAAAGAAAAAGTTTTGAATGTAAGCAAAAGGTCTAGCTTTTCAAAGAGCATCTTAAAGCCACTTAACATTTAGGACATCCAACTAGATAACTAATGCAAATAAAATTATTTCAGTTAGCCCAAAGTAAAATAACACAAAGACAATAAAGACACTCCTTTATATGGATCGCCAATAAAAAGCCCTAAAAAAAATAATTTCTATGATTATATGAATGAAAATAGCCCTCCTAACACAGGAAAAACCTAAACCTCGCCAATCAAAAGAGGTATTTATTTATTCATCTTTAAAATAAAACTCATTAAAACTCTTTTTTATATAAATGCGTTTGTAGAAAAGTAAGATTAAAATTTGTTTGACATTTTTCAGAAGCAAACATTCTTCGAAAAGCTAAGACTTAAATTTGGTACTTCATAAATTTTAGCAATGAGATACTCCCCTGATGATAAATATTTAGCTTTCTCTCAATCGAATGGTAAAGTGACAATATTTAGCGACGTAAAAGGTAAAAAATTGATAAAATTCAAGAAAATCACTAAACAAAAAATAAATCATTTTTGAAAATTAATACTACGCTTGTAAATTTTAATTAAATTTAATATTGATTTATTAATTAATTCCTTATTTTTTGTAAAGAAAATTAAATTATGTTAAATTAATTTATCGTTAATTACTCACCTCAAATTTACAAGCTAAATCTTATCCTAATTAATTAGAAAAATTCAATGATATTTTCTATTTGCTTAAATTTATTTATTTATTAATTAATTAATAAGTTTATTTTTTCTTTATATTTTTTTAATAATTTTTAAAGCTTGATTTTAAATTTATTTAATTTTAATAAAAAAGGAGTGCCTTTGCAAACAATAAGACAAGAATATCCTTGTAATAGTGTTAGATGGAATCCTGCTGAATAAAGACATTGCTTGCTTGAAGGATATGCTAATGGAGCTGTAGTTTATCGTTAAATAAAACCAAATTTAACTAATAGAGTCATCTAAGTGTTTGAGCAAGGAGAAAAAATAGAAGAATAAAATTAAGTTAGTAATAATAGTATAAATTGTTTGGAGTTTCTTCCATCAGGATTGAGCTTTTTAAGTGGAAGTAGTGATTCTTAAATTAGACAATACGATATAGTCACAGGAAAAAAAAGAAATACAATTAAATACCATAAAAATCGAGTGTTTGCTATAAAAAGCATAGATAACAATTGCTTCCTTAGTGCTGGATGGGATCATACTGTTTTCTTATATGATCTGAGAGCCTCTAAAGTTCAAAAATATATATATGGTCCTATGGTATTTGGAGATTCTCTTGATTTTAATAATTACCAAGTTCTGTGTGGGTCTTGGAGAGAATATAAATAACTTGAAATTTTCGATCTAAGAAATGACTAGTCATAAGAAATCAAATGGGAAAATATATCTAAAAACGAAATACCTAATTTTGTATACTGCTGTCAGTTCTCAAAAGTAAACCAAAAACATATTGTAGCAGGATCTACAGGAAAGTATGAATTAAGAGTGTTTGATAGAGAAGATAACTACATCTGTATTGACGCTATTGATAGATCCCTAACAAAGGGTGTTTTCTCACTAGATTTTAGAAATAATTCTAATCATATATCTTTTGGCACATCAGATGCTTCATATGGACTTGTGGAAATCATTTGAAATGCCAATAAAATGTATAAATAAATAATAAAATAAAAATATTCCTTTAATTACTTTGTAAATACTATCAAATTAACTAGCTAACTAACTAAATATATTCAAAAAATTTAAATTTACTTTGAAATCATTAAAAAAGCCTTGAAAAATTAAAAAATTAATATGTATTTTTACTTTCATAAATCTTCTTCTTTTTTGTAGAAATAAATTCTGCATTAAACTTCCTATAAAAAAACTCATGATTATTTATAATTTATATTAACTGTAAGTTTTTTATGATTAAATATCAAAAATTAATTTATTAAAATATTTTTATATCAAGTTTTTTAAATAGAAACTCAAAACAAACAGATAAATTACTATTTTATGTTAAGGTAATAAATAATTAAAATTAATATATTGTAAATCCTGAAATTAAAATATTAAATTTTTTATAATTTAAACCTAATTTTGTTCATACTATTTGAGAAGAAAAAATAAATTTTTATTACATAATGCTGCCATAAATAATGAGTACATACAGAATATTATAAAAAAGATTTGATGGCAATTAGTTTATTGTTAAATTGATATATTTAATCAAAACAATATTAAGTAAGTAATGAGTTAAAAAATAAAGATAAGTAAGGTGAATAGTAATGTATTTCAATTTATATTCATGAAATTATTTATAGTAATGTTCATTTTGTTAGATAAGGTTTTCAGACAATAAATAAAATATTAAATTTATTATATTTAATTAAAAGATGAAAATAACACTATGTAGATTAATGAATGAATAAATAAATAAATATAAATAGAGTCAGTTGTAATCAGCTTCGGAGTTGTATTCATCAAACTGATGCATATTTGAATAGGAATTAAATTTAGATTCACTATTTTGTGTTTATTGTGTTTGAAATTGTTGTGATTGCTGATTTTCAAATTTTGTTCTCTCATTATTTTAAGATTTTAATTTAGCTGTTGAAATGGAATTAGAATAATAAGTGCCTTCTTATTTAAAAGCATTTTATATGTTTTTGTCATATTTAATGTGCTGGTAATATAAATCTCTTAAGCTGTAATCTCTATTACATTAGCTTGAGTATTTGGTAGATCTATTCAGATTAGATTTTTTGAATTCTTCCTTTTATTTTTTTAATTCATTTTAAAAGCTACTTTGAGTAAAATTGAATTATCGATTTAAAGAAAATGTGCTCTTCGGTGTATAAGTCGACTGCTGTCTCAGCATATTTAGCTAAGTATTTAATCTATTTTAGCCTTTGTTTTCTAATTAAGAAGAGAAACCATTTTAATTATTAATCTGCACTCCTTGACTACCACTGCTCTTTTGAGTTAAGTAAAATCCTTGGGATGAACATTTTTTATCCTCTGAAATATTTGAAGGATGATAAAAGTTTGAAGAAAAAGTAAGATTCTTTTTAATGAATTTAGGGACCAACTCATTGCTTTAAGGAAGTATGTGATCATATTCGTTTATCCTACTTCTCAAATGCTCATATTTATTGTATTATACATTAGGATTGTCATTCCATTTTCCTAATTGAGGATATAGTGTTAAAAGTAGTGTTAAATATTGCCAAATAAAATATTTTGTTGAATAATTTCAAAAATTTTTAATCAAATATTGCATTTTTTCATACTGCCACTTATTTATTCTGCAATTTTATGAAGATAAATAATTACTTTCTTCTTTTACCTTTTGACGATTAAATATTTGCTGCATGTCTTAGGACTTAACAAATCTTTAGTACTTATGCAGGAGCTTTTAATACTTGATTTATTCCAAATCATTTAACGGTTCCTAATAAAAAATATTTTAGCATAAAAGAGTTTGCTTTTAGAGAATTATTTACAAGTTTATTATTCATTACTAGCTAGCTATGAGAATTGTCAATTTCTACTTATTAAATTATTTATTTGAATAAAATAATGAACTTTTATCAAGTAAATAAATTAATTAATTATTATCTTTTCTTAACAAATTATCACTGTCCAATATAACCAAATTGTTTTTTTTGATTGATTGAATGAATGAATGATTGCTTGCTTGATTCTTTGTAATTTAAAATGACTGAATAAAAAATAATTCTAGTATTAATTAAATTTTAATCATTTATTACTAAATACAAATAAATAAATAACCAAATAATTAATTAACAAATTTCTTAATAGCTTTTAAATGAAATATTTTTTATAAAATCTCATTTATTTTTATCTTATTCTTCTTGTTCTCTCGCTTTTTTAAGGAAATCTTTATCATTTATATTTATTTGCAAAAGAGTAGAGATGTTTTTCTTGTTTGCTTTGTTCTTTTCATTAAAAAATATACTATAAATTACATTTTTATAAAATATTAAGTTAGTTACCTCTTCTCTCTGCTTGGCTCTCATTTCTTCATACTTTTTGTTTATAGTTTATACTAAGCTTTCTCCCAATCCTTACAATGTCGATTTCATAGTCTCCATCCAAGTTGAATTTTCTATACCCTAGAATACCTATTCAAGCTAATTCCTTGAAAACAGTCCTAAAATAATAGGTTCATCGTACTTTTATGCATCTTTTAAAGCTTACGGATCTACTGGGTCATTTGATGCCTTTACAAAAATAGTATAAAAAATATATCAAGATTTAAATTAAAAATTATACCATAGGAATATTTGGTGTTTCTTTAATTTTTTTATCAGCTGAAAGCATAACTTAATTATTTTAAATAGGCGGACAAGTATTTCTAAGATATTCAATTAATATTTCATAGATAACACTCTTTATTACTTTTAAATTGCTTTGAAAAATAAAAAATATTGTCAATTTATTTAATTTATCTTATACTAAAAAAATAATTAAAATATTTTAATCAAATCATATTTTTTAATTTTCTCAATAATTTTTTATTAGAATTTAATTCAAATAAAAACTCATCAAATAAACAAACACAAAAGAGTTTTTATTTATTTATTGTATTCCCTCTTTACCTCTAGATAGATAATATTGCTATGAAAAATTTAAAAAAACCTATTCAACTTAAAGGTTATTTAAAAGTGAGATATTTATTTAAATAGAAATATCTTAAGACTTAGTTTTAAATGAATTAGATATAAACTGTGAAATTAATTATTAATTGAAAATATTTCTCATCAAAAGTTATTAAAGCAACAATAAAAATAATTAAGCAGACTGAAATGGTTAATGAAAAGCTTACATTTTGAGATCATTAGAATCTTTCAATTTATCAAAATGCTTCTAAGAAGTATTTAATGTTACAAGTATAAGAACTTTTATAATTATAAAGACTAGTAAAAGCATTTATTGTTATCTTGCATTCATATCACTATTGATTAAGATTGAAATATAAAATCAATTTAATTCAATTAATTAATTAAAAATTACTTTAGAGCACCAAAATATGTAAACTTTAAACGATTGATTTCGAATTTATAAAGTTATTGCTAAGGAGGGAAATTAAAGTTATTTATGTAAGTACCAAATATCTAAACTGCAATATTTCCTATATCTTCTTCTTTACAATTATCTGCCAAACCATCTAGTAGAGCTTTAACTCTTAACTGTAAAAATAATCTTAATACAATAAATAATTAAGAGAAATGCTTTTACTTTTAGATTATCTACACGCTTTCTCATTTCTTTTTCTGAAAGTTTCTTTGATATATCACAAGATGCTTTAACATCTAATATCTTTTTTAAATAAATTTTATCCTCAAAAATAATCTAAAATTTATGTTTTTTACTAAGTTTAAACCACGGCTGCTAACTTATTCTACCCAGTTTGTAACACTCTATTTTATTTATTTTAATTGTTGTTGTGTTTAAAAGTATCATAAAAAAAATATTAAAAAAATAAAATGATTGTTACCTCTTTTAATCTTTACATATCTTCGTTGATCTTTTTGTAAGCTGCTTTTTTTTTCTCTTCGATTTACATTCTGATCGTTTTGAAATACAATATTGGGAAAAATGCTCTTTTTGAAACAATTTTGACTTTCTTTATGATATTTTTTCTATTAAAATAATTTTTAATAAAATTATTCGATCAAATTTTTGTTTAAATAAAATTTACATTCTTTCTTCTTTCTTTTTTTTAAGTTCTTCTTCTTCCCTCTTCTTTTTTTCTTCTTCTGTTTCTACTTTTGGAGGAGGAGGCAAATCTTATTATTCTTAGTCTTCATCATCTTCATAATCGTAGTCTTCATCACTGTCCCAGTCATCGTCTTCACTATAGTAATCATCTTCGTCTTCATCTATGTCATCGTCATCATAATCATCTTCATCATCTCCAGCGATTGATCTACGACTTCTCTTTTTTGATTTCTTGCTTTTTTTCTTCTTTTTAGATTTCTTGCTGCTTTATTTTTCTACTTTACCCTGTTTGAGAAGCTCATTTTCAATTGCTAATTTCCTCATCAACATTGAAGTTTTAATCTGTTCCACTTTTTAAATAAATAAAAAAATAAAACAATTTTTTCTTTCTGAGTTGATATTAAAGGCTATTTTACATCTAGATTATTTATTGACTTATTAATCATTATTTTTATTTACAAAGGATAGCATTATTTGCAACGGTAGCGTAAATTAGTTCATCATGGGATTTCCCATAGATAAATTTTACATATTTTAAAGCTAATAATTTGGATCAAATATATTTCTAACATCATAAGGGTTGCTTTGATAAGTATGATTATTCTTACTTGGGTACATATTATTGTATTCCTCTTGTAACAAAAGTTGTTTTTACTTTTCTTCAAATTAATCTAATTTTTTTTTCAATCTTTTTACATCATTTTTCTCTTGTTTTTTTGTCTCTTTATCTATATTAGTTGATATATTTTCCATAAGCTAACCTTATTTAATCAACAAATTCACAAGAGGGTCATCATTTGGAGGTTAGTTATCTAAGGCACTTAAGCTATATGCAGTGCTTTTCATTGGAGTTTGTGTTTACCTATTTGGTATATCATAAGCTGAAGGTTTCTGCTAAATTTACTAAACTTAAGGACTTCGAGGTAATTGCTACTAATATGGATTTCCCATGTTAAGAATTTGTGAAGAGTTGCGTTAAAATACACTCTACGGCTACTGCTGCTATTAAAACTATTAAGGAGGTTGTTGATAAGCAGGATAAGGCTGTGTTGGAGCAGAAATAGGAGCATTTTAATTTTAATATGATTAAGGAATATTATAATTATTATATTATTGAGGTTAGAAGTTATTTGGATTCCCTTTACCATCCCAGAATAGCTCACCAAAACCTCCAAAGACTTATTTTCTAAACTTTTATTCAGGATTTATCAAAGGCTAGCTCATATTCCTTCTTTGCATTCCACCACCACCTTAATAAATATTATTGCCTGAAATTTAATCCATTAAATTAGTTTTTGCATATCTGCCATATTAATTATATAAATTTTCTCCATAATACAATCTTGTATTTGCCAAAGAGTCATCAAATGCATTGAGCATCATCAAATTTTCTAAATCTCTGTCTTTGTTTAAACTAATTAAAGAATTGATTTAATTCGTAATTAATTAAAGAAAGAGATTACTTCTTGCCATTTGTATTAGCTTACCCACCTCCATCCTTTAATTTTTTGACCTCACTCATGAGCTAGTTAAGCTTATTTTCTTGCATTTCTATAAGCATTTAATTGTGATTGACAGCTTGCTAATTATTAATTATTTAATAATACAACTATTTTTCTTCTTTAAAATATAAAGAACTTACTTAATTATAAGAATTAATATTGGACATCTGATCGTTTATTTACAAAAGATTTTGTTCAAAATAATTTCTATCAGCAGGTTAATACTGTGACTCTTGTATCGAATAAATAAAAAAAATTTAGACATTGAATTAACTTTATGAGAAAGTGTGAGAATTTAGATCTAATTAAGCGATCTAGTTAAAAATTATTTACGTGGCATCATATATTACTACTACATTTGTTATTATTAGTACATTTAAGTTGGCATCTATGTTGCAGTTTGAGTGTTTTAAGAATATCCAGGCGGGTCAACTAGAGGGTTGTATGAGTAAACTTAATTTGTAACTCTTCTTTCCTAAATATGTAAAAAAATAAAAAGTAAAATCGCTATTAATGTTTCATTTGATTGCATTAATATCATTAGTCACAAGCTACAATATATTGTATCGCTAACAAAAAGATAATTGATTTATTAATTCATTAATTACAACTGGATTGCCAACTTATCTCGATTATGAAGTTTATTATCTTGAATTGCTCATGCTTATGATATAATTATTAGTAATGATTATAATGTTTTATAAGTGGCTTAGTCAAAACAATTGGCTTTTGCTAAAAGAATGCTAAGTTTTAAGCAGTAAATAATATTGATTCTAGCTAGTAATTCAATCAATATTATTAATATTGTAAATAAGTAAATATTTTTTAAAGAAACCAAATGATATAAATACGTATAAATAAATATATAAATATCAATTTAATTAATTCATAATAGGATTTTTCAAGTAGCAAAATCAAATTTTTTAGATTTATAACTTGTAAACATTATTAAAAACATCCTATTAATTCATTCCAAAAAAATCTATTCTACTGGCTGGATCGATCGATCGATCAATCGATGGATGGATGGATGGATGAAAGCTTATTTGCTAATATATAAATTTTTTTATCAATCAAAAAATTAGAAATATTTTTGGGAAAAGAAAATAAAATAATTTTGAGTTTATTTTAATTAAGTCTTTCTTTAATTTTAATATTTTAAAAATAATTTTTGAATTAAATAAAAACAAATTAAATTTATTTAGCAAGATTTTTATGTGATTAAATAATCTAAATTTATATTAAATTGTCACAAGTAATTTAAAAAATGTTGAAATATCTAATTATCAAGCTTAAAATTAACATTTACATTAATATATCTATTATAAATTTAAATGTATGAAAACATTTCTTTTTATTTTATTGGCATTTATTAGCTCATGTTTTTATTTAAAGAAAACAAGATTATTTTATAAATTAATTATTAAAATTATATTAATACTATTAAATTTAATTTCAAAATAACCATAAAAAAGCTTGAAAATATCTTTTTAGTTTATGTTTTTCATATTTATTATTTTATCAAAATGAGCTTTTATTGAGTAAATATTATGTAATCTGCTCTCTCAAAAATAAACACTTTTAAGAAGTATTCAACAAAAAGACTTTAAATAATTCTTAATTTGCTTAATTCAACTTTGTAATGACTTTATACATTTAAGATTAGGAAATCAATTTTTTTTAAACACTTTTTAGTTAGAATTATTTTAAAATGTAAATAAAACAAAACAAAAACATAAATTTTGAATTTTAAAAATATTTTCATAAAAATAAAAAATAGGATATTTGATGATGTAGTTTTAATTAAATGTATACAATTACGTAGATTGGTTGGTAGGTAGTTTATATAAATAATTATTTTTTTATACAAAATTGATAAATGAGAGAGTGAGAGTTTTTAATTTTTTATTTTAATAATTTTTTTTATTTATAAAATCTATTCTTTTTACTTTTGTTATTATTTTTTCATATTTAGATAGAGAGCAAATTCTTAATTTTAATCATTTAAGAATGAAATTTGGATTTTCCTAAAAAATAGATTCATCAGCCAGGCTATTTTCTTAGTAGCTTCTTTCAAGTCTAATAATTAATTAATTAAAATATGATTAGACTAACAAATTAAAAAAATTATTATTTGAGATTTCAGATGATTATTTTTTTATTCACTGATAAAATTATCTTATTAATTAATTGTAACTTTTAAAACCATTTTAAGACTTTGAAATTCAAAAAAATAAAACTTTAAACTAAGATTATAATTTTTTTATTACCCTCTTTCATAAGTAAAACCATTAAATTCATTTTTCTTAGAAAACTTTAGGGCACTTCCTACCATGTCACCTGGAGTGTCTTTACTGTCCATTTTCAAGAAATTCTTTTTAATATTAAACATTAAATAAGAATAGTAATTTTTTTTTAATAAAATGATAAAATTGTTTTTTATATTAATTACATTATCAATATTTCTCAAATCATATTTATCAGAAACTTTGGGAATGTAAGGAGGCTAAACTTCTAGTCTTAAGAATTTATCCCAGTCCACATTATTAAAGAATGGATGATTTCTAATTTCTTAAGTACCTTCAGGTCCATTTCCTAATCTTTTTGTTTTCTGTTTTTTCAAAGTTAAAATCATTGATATCAATCAATCAATTATAATTTAAGAATTAATAAAATTTACATCTCTTGTAAGTAATCCTCTTAATAAAGATTAGCACTCTTTTGAATATTTATCCTTAATCACTACATCTTAATTTACTAACTTATCCATCATCCTCTCTTTGTTTTTCTCATAAAATGGAGGAGCACCATGAAGCATTTCATATAAAACAGCTCCCTTTGAAATGTTTAAATATTTAAACTTTAAACAATAAATCTAACAAAAAATTTACAAAACTCCACCAATCACTTGCAACATCATGCCCCTATTTTGATATAATTTCAGGAGCCATATATTCTGCAGTTCCACAAAATGAATAAGTAATTTCATCCCCTATGATATAAAATCAATTTAATTAATGCTAATTGCTATAAATTATAAAAATAAACTCATTTAATTTTACAAAATATATTCATTTCTTTATTTATTTCTTAAAATCCACCAATAAATAGTATTTAGCTCAATCTTCATTTTTATTTATTTATTTAATTTAATTTATCAAAAAGTTATTCGAATCTCTTATCAAATATCTCAATTTCTGCTTAAAAATACTTAAAATCAATAACCATTTTTTTTATTTCCTCATTTTTTATAATTAAAAATATTTTAACTTATTTAATAAAAAATATTTCTTATTTGTTGAAATATTTTTTAGAGCTATTTCATGTTTGGATATTTATATTATATTTCTTGATTCATTTATTCATTTATTTATTTATTTTTAAATTATTATTAATTTTCATAAAGGATAAATAAAAAAATAAATCAATCTGTTGAGATATACAAGAGATATTTTATTTTAAAATGAAAATATTTTGATTATTTGCATTGAAATGTATTTTGATCATGCTTAAAGTGTTTTAATTTTAACTAAATATATTACTGCTTTTTAACTTTTTTGAAAGGCCAAAATCTGTTAGTTTTATATGACCAGTTGCTGAAACCAAGATGTTTTCTGGTTTCAAATCTCTGTAAACAATCCCTTATTCGTGCAATTTTTCTAAGGCTAAAAATATCTCAGCAGCATAGAATTTTATTTTGTTTTCAGGGAAGAATGGCTGTTTGACCATGTGTCCAAAAATATCACCTAATAAATAAATAGAATTTAGATAAAAAATGAAATAAAATAGTAAAGATAAATTGATTATGTGATTGATATATTATGTGAAAGATAAATCTTATTTTGAATACTAAAATATATTTTTAAACTGCTAATTAAGGCTAAATATAATACTTGCATTCTCTTGTTAATTTATACTTGAATTTAAATTAATAAAAATTTTTTGAGATGAAATGATGTATTTGAATTATTTATCTAATTCAATTTTGAAATCTCGTATAAATGAAAATTATGCGAGCTTTATAAATTAGAATTAAATATTAAATTCGATTTCTATATTAGTTATTATATTTAGTTCGTATGTATATTACTTATGAATTAAAGATAAGATTAATAATTCGTTTTTTTAAGATTTTTATTAAAAATTACCTCCTTGACAGAATTCCATAACGATATAGAGCTTGGTTTGACTTTAAAATGCATAGGCAAGTTGAACGACAAAGGGAGAGTCGACATTTTCTAAAATATATCTTTCAGCCTTTGTTTAGATTAATTAAGTTTTGTTTTTAATTTAATCCTTTCTAAGTATTTTCATTGCATATAAATCTTCTGTTATAGTTAGCATAAAAAAGGATTAATTGGACAATATTAAATATTAATTAGGAATCAATATAAAAACCAAGAAAATATTAACTAATCAATTAATATCACTAATTCAAATACTCATAAAAACACCAAAAAACAGTAAAAGACAGCACAAATTTCTAATTTTACCTGTTTATTTCTTTTTAACCAAGTACACTTTGCCAAAGGACCCAGTTCCTATGCACTATTTTTAGAATTACAATTAATATTTGTGTAAATTTGGAAAACAAAAGTCTTAAAAAAAATTAATTTTGTATCAAATAAACAAACAAACAAGCAAAAATAATTTTCTTTTTTACCTTAATAAACTCAAAATGTTCCAAATTTATTTTCTCTTAGGGCATTTTAGAATTTCTAATATTGATTTCTTGCACTTCATTCTGATTAATTTGTTTTTCTTCTTTGGCACAGAGTGTTCCCATTTTTTTCAGAATTTAAATTCAATTAAGACGAATGGATTTAATATGGTTTTTATTCTACTTTTAATACTTTGAGCTAAATATTTATATTAAGATTAATTTGGCTATTCACGACCAGAAGGGTTTGCTAATTCCTAAAATAATAATTTATTTTATTTATTTATTTATTGTTTTTATTCTATCTTGTTAAATTGCTTTCCAACTGTGTTTGCTTGTCTTCCTTTTTCAATATTTTTGTTAATTCTTTTGTTCGTTCGTTCTTAATACTTAATACGAATGCTTTGATTTTTTTTGCTTATAACTTTTTGTTAAGCTAATCAATTCTTTTATCAAAAATATACTCTTTTCTTTTTTTTCAACAAGTATTTTTTATATATTTTAAACATATTACCTTATAAAGAACTTATTATTCAAGAAGGGTCCCTAAGCATATAAATACACATACATCACTCTTATTCAAATCCTTCTAAATATCTATTTTTAAACTCACAAAATAAAACATAAAGGATTTGCATTACACTATTTATATTTTTTTTTAGATGATTTTTATTTAGCATCCCTTAACATGCTTCATTTAATTTAATTATAACAAAAATACTAGTTAAAAACAAAAGTATCTTTTAATTCATTCATTAACACTAACTATTCGAATAGTACTTTTTATTTTATTCAATCAAATTTACTCCTCTTCATAAGCTGTGAACATTTATATCAACATTAAATTGAGTTTTTCATTAGTTTGTATTACTTAACTTCTAATGAAAAGTAATTTTAATTATTTTTTTTCAGACTAACTACCTTTAAATTCACAATAAAAACTGATAAATATCTATTATAAAATTAAGATAGCTTGCAACTGAGTAATTTTTTTTGTATATTCAATATATTTTATCAGTGAAAATTTATTAAAAATGTTTCAATTGATATTCTTTTATTAAAACAATCAGTTCTAACTTTATTTTGCTATCAATTTCATTTTGAGAAAGCAACACATAAAGCTTATATAAAGAAGTTTACTTTTTTATTATTAATTTTACACAATTATTTTCATTTATTTTTTAATTAAATTTGATTAAGATATTGTGTTTACATAAAATTAATAATTTAAAAAAATTGTTTGATTGCTGAATTCCTATCAATCTATCTATATATCTATACTACGCAACTTTAATATATAATTTTATTAATAATAATTAATATCGAATAGCATGCATCTATGTATGCATGCTGATGAATAAATATGAATAGTATATTTAAAAACCGATTTCAGAGAGAAAAAAAATAGCAAAACATCAAAATATGACTAAAAAATGTATCTAATAATCTAGATAATTGTGATGATATCTTAGACAAAACTCTTCTCATATAAGAAACTATCAAAATTTAATTTTATACTTAGATTCCTTCTTTTTTTATGAAATCTCCGTATACTAATTAAATCAATAAGTAATTAATTAATTCTTAATTAGAGTCTAATAAATAAATAAATAATTCTTTCTATTAACGACAAAAGACAAAATAAACAAATTAATTTCTTATTTTTTTGAAAATCCTAAAAATTAATTTTTCATCCATATTTGATAAGAATATTTCTTTTATTAAACAAAAATAAAACTCTTTTAAACTAAAATTTTATTTAATTTTAGACTAAAATTTATAAAGATTTTTATATTTTTAATATAAAAATAATTATTTAGTAAAATTTTTTCAAATTTAAAACACTTTCTACAACAGTAAGTTTTATTTATTTAAAATTATTATTATTATTTCAAGATTATTTAATATATTTTAAGTAGACTTGCTTTTTAGTAAATTCTTCTTAATAAAAATAAAATTTTAATTAAATTAAAGATAAAATCTTTCTTTTCAACAAAAAAATCTTTTAAATATAAAAAATAGTTATGATCCTTTTATTAAAACTTTATCAGATAAATATTTATTTTGAAATAAATATGTTAATTAGCTTTTAGAATTTAATATCCTCTGTTATATCTGACTTTCTTGGGTATTAACCAGCAAATCCTTTTTTAAAATTAAAATGAATGATTTTTTTATTTCAAAAAAGCAAAATATTGATTTGATATATAAATGAATTGTTTTGTTGTTTTTTTAATTTGTGTTCGAATAAATATTGATTTGTACTTTTAGTTCAATATCATTTATTTTTATTTTTTTCAAATTTTAACTCTAATTGAGTGTATTCATTTTAACAGTTAAATATGCTACGTTATATTTGGTTTTATTGGGTATTAGCAAACCCTTTTATAAAATTAAAATATTTGGTCTTTCATTTTAAAAAAATGCAATATGCTGCTGATATAATATTTAAATTAGTTGTCTTGTTGTATTTTATTTTGTTAGAATTAAAATTGACTTTTAGTTTTATGTTATTTACTTTTACTTTTTTAAATTTCATTATTATTTATTTTAATGTTTTATTATTGTTGATTGATTGATTTATTTATTTTACTTTTTAATTTTATATTTGTAATTTATTTTATGTAAGTTTAATAATATTTAATTTATTTGATTGATTGATTTTTTATATTTTATTTTGATAACATATAATATGAGGATTGATTGATTGATGATGGATAAAAGAGGAGATGATATTTATTAAAAATGATGATTGATTGATTGATTTAAAAATAAGAACTAACTAGAATTGAAATAAGAGACCTAATAATAGGTTGAAATCGTTTAGGATTTATTTTGAAAATAATTTTAATTTGTTTCTTATAATAAATATTTATTTTAGTAGTTAAGGAGTAGTCCTGGGTATTAAAAACTTAAACTGCAGAAATAAAAATTTATCATTAAGATTTAACAAAGCATTTAAGAGTGGTAAGAAAAAATAGTGTTTTTGAAAAAGAATTATCTTAATTAATAAGATAATTAAAACATTCTTATAAAATATATTTTTAATGAGAATTCTTCGAGTAGTCCAGTGGAATTAAAAACTTTAATTTCATCAAAAATATGTTTCATTAAGACTTTTAATTCTACTGTTTAATTATCTAAAGTTTCTCTAATATGTGTTCCTTTTATAACAAATTTGATTTTTGCAGACTAATTAATTAATTATTATTTCTAAAAGTTCCTTGAATTAGTTAATTAATTAATTTTGTTTCTTTGTGGTTGGTTGGTTTTTCTTATTTTCATTGTTTTTTTAATTAACTTTCATAAGTATTAATAATTTATTAGTAAATTTTATTTCTTTAATTAATTGATTGATTTTTATAACTTGATTTATTCGTTGATTAGCTATTAAAAGTAAAAATGATTTTTTTTTCTATTCTATTATTAATTGATTGAAGTAAATTTCTTTCTAACTTAGCTATTATTTGATTATGTATTAAGAATTAAAATGAATTTAATATTTTTCTAAGGTCAATATCTCTTATCTAATCTTATAATTCAAATTTTTTGATTCTATTAATTAATACCTTCCTTCAGTGATCTAAAAGTAATCTAATTTATAAATATAAAATTAATTAATTAATTATTTAAATCTTTTTATACAAATAATTAATCTACTAATTAATATGTGCTAAAGTAATACATAAAAATAAAAATTCTACCTTTGCTCCTCAATTTATTTTCGTATCGCCTATAGCATAAGTATATTTTCCAATTCCATTTTTAGAGATCAATAATAGGTTCAAATGCATCTACTATTTTTGTTACAATTTAAAAATTATTTCCAACTAATTTGAAAAATCAATAATTATATTATAAATTTAGAAATCAAATTAACTTGCTTAAAACTATGAAATTCATTAAAACAATTCGAAATTAACTAGCTGTATTTTCTTACATCAGTTGCCATAAAAATGATGATAAAAAAAATTAGATTTGTTTAGTTGTTAGAAATGTAAATTTAAAATTGATATGAGTTTTTGTGGAATTAAAATTTAATTTTAAAAACAAATTCTAAATAAATAAAATCTTTCATCTTTTCAACAAGCTCTCCACTCATTTCTCAAATTTATAATGAAATAAATATTTGATAATACCGATTAAATTATTCATGCTTAGCATATCCAAAAAAGAAATCATTTAATTAATTATCAAATTTTTATAAAGATAAATTGTATGTAAATCTAAGCGGGAAACTTACTTATCCAAATAAATAAATCAATTAATGAAAAGTAAAAATTTAAAATTAAAAGTAAAAATTTATTCAAAATATTCATCAAGAAATCTTTTTTTAATTTTTTGAATCACTTCCTAGCTTTATTTTTCTATTAAAGCTCAAGAAAAAATTTTCAAATTATTAAAGATAAATAATCGAATCTTTTTTTCATTAAAACATTCCATTAAAATCTTCAATCTTAATGTAATTTTTCTAATTTAACTATTAAAATTATAATTCATTGTTTTTCTTTTAATTTTTATAAAAAATAAACAATTCTATTTTCTCTTTTTCCTTAAATAAAATTAAAGGATATCTCATACTTAGTCTTGGGTTTATTTTTAAAATAGAATTGTTAGTAATAAATTTTGTTTTAAAAAAATCTAAATAAAATTCATTTAAAACAAATTTCTTAATAATTAGCTAAATATCTAACTAACTAGCTTTATTTCCTCGAGTTTATTTTGTAATAAATAAATAATTAAATACCTTCTATCTTTGATGTTTCTTTAAGTGGGATTAATTAATTAATTCATTCATTTTTGGCTTTTAATTTTCCTTTTAATTATTTTAATTTATTCAATTAAAAAATTTGGCATGCTTGGTCTCTGTTTCTAATTTGTTTATGTTGTTTGTCTTTTGAAAGATATTTATTTGTTTTTATCATTGGTTTTTTCCTGGGGAGGTTTTTGTAAGATTTTTGTTTTTTTTTGTAAGATTTGGTTTTTCTATTGCTTTAATTAATATTTTATGTGTTTGTTTGTTTGTTTATTTGTTCGTATTGAGAGATTTTATTAATCTTTTTCTTAATTTTTATTATCTTTTTTTCTTTTTATTTATTTTAATTAATTTTTTTCTTTTTCTTTTTTATTTTCTTGAAACAGATTTGCGAGATTTTCCTGCTTGAACCCTAGTGAGATTGATTAGTCATAAAAGAATAACATGCCTTGATTTAAAAAAATACTTTTTATATAGGATGATTTTTTTTTGAATAGTGATATATATGAATAAAATGTGTTTAAAATGATATTATGAAGTAGTAAAGTTTATCAATCTTTTAAATCTTGCGGAGGTTGAGCAAAGAGTGGGCATAGAATAGTTTCGATTCTTGTGGATGTGTAATGCGGGAAAGCCACAAGAATTTTTAAAAACTCGCTATTCTTCTCTTTGATCATCTTAAAAACTGAAGGATTTAATAGGAAAGGTTTTAAAAACTTAGATTGATGGAACTTCACCAGTTCAGATGGTATCATTTTAAACCAACGACCCTTTTCTCATACGAGGATATCAAGAAGATATGTATTCGAGAAGGCAAATAAGAAAGAAACCTGAAATGCTCCCATAAATAATGCCTAAACTACTTTAAAGAGAGTTTAAAAAGTGTTGTAGGCATCGTACATTTATGAAATATTCCAAAATTTGCTAACCATTATCCCTCGAATCCATTGAATCACAATCGCACAAGAAGTAGTCATTTTTATTGTCTTTTTCAATTTTGAATTCTTTAACATTATTTAATTATTATATTTCAATTGATATTTTCTTTTTAATTAATTTCCTTTTTCTCCCCAAAATTCAAATCAAAAAAAAGCAAAATAAATAATTCAAATCAAAATTTATAGAAATCAATTACAAAAATCAAATCAATTTCATTTAATTCCCCACAAAAAAAAAAGCAAAATTAAATTAATTATTAAGAATAAATTTTTATTTTGTTATTCAATAATAAGCACATTCGATTTATATATAAACAGATTATTCCTTCGATCATTTTTTTAGTTTTGAAGCGTATTCAATTGAAATTAAAATTAATAATTAGAATTTAAAATTAATTTTTTCATAAAATAATAAAAATATTTTTATCAAAATGCATTTTTAAATTAAAAAATAATTGATCTTGTAAAAAAAATCAAAGACTTGATAAGCTTTTGAATGAATTTTTATTTTTATAAAGTGGTAGAATTAATTACATAACTACAAATTTTATATTAAAAATTTTATCTATAATTTTTGCCTTTACTTTGAAATCTTAAAATGCTTTATTTTATAAAGAGAATAATTGTAAGTAAAACATTATTCTTTGTAATAGATTTATATAAGTTTTTTGATAAATATTTATAATTGGTTTACAACTAAAAAATCAAAGAGTTTAAATTTAAATTTTTAAATAAATAATCTAAAAATAAGTTATGATGGATAAGCAAGCAATCTAATTAAAATATAATTTTATTTATATTTAAGCAAATAATTTTATTTAAACATAAATAGTTAGTTTATATTTGAAAAAAATAGAATTTTAATTTTTATTTAAAAAAATTCTTTCAAACTGAAATATTATTCAAAAAAAGATTATTTTGCTTATCGCTATCATATTACAAAAGCAATTTTAATTAAAATAAATTCTAAATAATTCAAGCAAAAATATTTAATAAATAATTTAGCTTAAAATTTGTATGAATATCTTGTAAATTAATGCAGTATTATTAATTTTCTTTTGATATTGTTTCTTAGAAGATATGTTAAGTTTAAATTGAAAAAATTTTGTTGTTGTATTTATTAGCTTGTTATGAAATAAATAAAGCAAGTGTTTGTCTATTCAGAAATTAAAACCGAAATTTAATCTGAATATGAAGAAATATTTTGATGAATATTATATAAAAATTAGAAATATTTTTTACTTTTAAGAGTTATTATATGACATAATTTTAAAATTATATTAATTAATTAATATTAAAACAGCTGATTTCAGTTTTAGCTTGAGTTTAAATTTTAAATTTATTGCTATTAATTTTGTCCCTATTAAACTTATAAAAAATTTTATTATTTAGGTTAATCTGAAAGTTCAGGGTTTTTGGGATCTTAATCTTACTGCTAAGATGGTTTTTGAGACATTTCTGATTAATCAATTTATTATATTTATCTTTAAGAAGGATTTAAATTTATAAATGAAGAAGAATTATTTATAGGAGCCAAAACTTCTATCATTGAAGGAATTTATTAAAACTCTTCTATCATATTGTAAAGCTAGTACTTTCTTATAAAAGAATATGTTATTTATAAGCTTTGTTCTTGTATGAGGAATGGTTCCTATTTTTTAAAATAAATAATTCTATATTAAATAAAAGATAAAATTGAAAGTAATTTAATTTAATGAGAGAGACAGAAACATTAATTAATTAATAAATCAATCTATCAATAAATGAATTATTACCAGATCAGGAAACAGCTTTTACTGCTAATTATTAAGTATTATGTTTATTTAATTATTAATCTGAGATTTTTTGTCTTCAATTGAAGTTAAAAGCTTTAATTCGTTGCAAAACTTTAAAATATTGCTCATGTTTTGCAAGAACTAGAAAAGCTAAATGACTACTTCACTATTTTAGACATCCAAGTCCAAGTAATCTTAAATTTCCAAAATTTTGACAATGTTATTCTATCTAGAGGCAAGAACTTCCTCTATTTCTAGCATTAACGAATCTGTTTGTATTATTTTGTAATGCTGATTAAGTAGACTATTCTAAATATCTATCCAATATTTTACTATTTCCCAAAACCTTTCTGTTTTTGACAGAAACCTATAAATTCATTTTTTATATTTTGATTTGTATTTTTTAATTTTAATTTTATCAATCAAAGTTATAAAATTTTTATAATTTAAACATAAATTCTTACAGTTGTGCATAAAAAAAGTCTACTAAATTTAATAAATCAGATTCGAAATTCAAAAAAACTAAATAAAATGAAATTTATTGAAAATAATCAATTACACTTTATGTGCCTAGTAAAATGAGAAATCTGCGTGATATTTAGGATCGATGTCTAAGTGCTGGTAAGTGACTAGTATACTTTTCTTAATTAGATCTAACTAGTCATAATCATTTTAAAGTTCTTCTTTTAGTCTTTGCATGATAAAATTAACATCTTACAAATCTCTGTGGATTTGCAAGTACGTTAAATTCTTATTTATGAAAGTGTTTGTTTTAATTTTAAAGATTTCGATTTCTCTCTCAAGCTACTGCTTGTATTTAAATTGAATGCTGTCCATGTTTGCTTGAATTTCTGTAATTTTCTTTTCAAGTTCCCCATACGAATATATTGTCTGAGTGATCTTTTATAAATTAATGAAATAGTTTGACTTTGTTAAAAACAAAAAAAGACTTACTAATTATTTCAACTAGCCAGAGAGCATAATTTTTTTATTAACACAAACTTGGCTCAAATCTTAAATTCTTCTCATAAAACTTTTGTCTACGTCTCTTTACTTTTCAATGATTTAATAGGAAATAAGGAATTAGTAAAACTAATCCAAATTCTCAGGGTAATTGTAAAGTAGCTTATTATTTTGCTTTAGTTTCTCAAAGAAGAAGCATGCCATTTGGTCTATTTTTTCTTCGATTGCAGCAAAAGAATTCTTATAAAAAATATTCATCTGATTTTTGACCTACTCAATTAATTCTGTGTGGTCTAAACTATAAAATCCTATGTCCATGTGATTATCCATTTCATACAAATCCTTTTTATCCTGCAAGAAAACATTAAATAAATCTGAAAATTCCTAAGCCTCATATCTACCCAGTTAACTGTGTTATTAAAAAGAGATCAATAAAATAGTTTATGAATTATAATTGATATAAAGGAAGTGTTTATTACTCATTCTAAATAGGTTGATAATTCTTATAAAGCTCTCTAAGAGTTTGGATGACTCCACATTTGTTTTCAATTTATCTGTAATTTAAATCTAGCTAATTTGTTTAAATGCAATTAATTAAAATATTTATTTAATTCCGTTTAAAAATTATTTACCATTTGCTGAAGTTCGCTAAAGTTTTGCTTGTATTCAACACTGCTTTTGATGTTTTATTGAAGTTCTGCCTTCATTTCAACGGGGTCTTAGCTTTAGTTCTCAAAAAAGTCAATTATCATGTATTCCTTTAGCTCAGGTCGCATGTAAAAATATTCATGAAGATTAGCAGTAATTTCACAACTTTTATATACTATAGATTCGAATATTTAATTTTATAATTCTCTGGAAGGATACAGCTTCTCACACCCATTATCTTCCTTCTCAAGAAATCCATTAATCTTTACTTTTCCTCCTACTTCTCTCCCCTAATATCAAATTAAAAAAATAATCACAATCAAAAGATAAAATTTATTTGTTTGTTTGTTTGTTTGTTTGTTTTACGTGTATCATATTATCAATCATTTTAACAATAGATCCCAGTCCTTAGCACATCAACCAAGATTTAGAGTCTGTATGTAAAAAATCTACAAATCTAATAAAATGTGTTAGCTATTTATATTGGAAAGTCAAAACAGCTTGTTAAGTAAAAGATGCCTCTTCTAATATAATTTCAAATTAATAAATTTAAATAAAACGAATAAGTAAGACATTTATTGCTAGCAAGTAAATTTTAAAATAAAATTATTATTTAATATCTATAAAAAATATAAACAATAAAAAATTATTCAGCATTATTTAAACTTTGATAATTCACTTTAATGAAACTAAATTTATTGGGAAAGCTGACAAAAATATTATGAATTTGAATAAGAATAAATAATTTCTTTGATGGTTTTTATAAATAAATCATCATTATTTTTTTATAGATTATTAAATTTATTGAATAAAATTTTAATTTAAAATAATTATTTCTACATTCAAAAAACATTAAGAAATTCTTCTAAAAAAAATTGTATTTAATTAATATCAACTCATAAAATTAATAATTAAAAAGATAAAAAATATCATAAAAATGATCAATTTTCATTTCACAAAATAAATCAATCTTTGTTATTTTATAATATTTACTTAAAATGAAAAATTGATATTTGATAAAAATTAAGAAAATAGTCTTCTCATGGTTGGTAAATATGGGTAAATTAAAATGAAAAATACATATGATATTTTTATTATAAAATTAATATCACAATTAATGTGAGAAAGCAGTTTGTTTTTTGTTTGCTTGCTTGCTTCTGTTTGATAAGAGTAAATTAAATTTTTAATGAATACATAATGTTGAAATATGATGAACTTGAGTGAAAACCTAGAGAGAATTCTTGCAGGAGTTAGATATAATTTCAGATATTTTACTAGTTAACTCAGTTAATCTTTCTATAAAAGTAGTTTGCAGGTAGTTCATTTAGAATTTGTGATACTTTTTAATATCTATACTTGAAAAAGATTGAACGTAATTTGTACTAAAAATTGCTAATTGGGAAACCTCTAAGCAAATACCTCTTATTTTGAGGATAGATTTTCTAAACATAGGATTCAGTATGAACAGTTTACTTTCAATAGTTTGTCTACATTTTTGCATCACTTGTTTTCTCATCAGTTTCTTCCATCTCTAGAATATCTTGAATTCTGAGAACTATTTAAAAAACTGTATTTTCTTCAAATTGTAGTAAGATTTCTTCTCATTCTAGAATCTCTCTATATTCAAAAACTATTAATCTCCCTTATTGTAAATTATTACTCCCTAAAGTAAAGAAAAAAAGAAATAAATATATATTTTAAAAGATCATATGAATTAATTTTTGAATTTCCAATTCATTTTTAGTTTTTTCTAATAAAATTTAATAAAACTTTTGTATTTTTTTATTTTTTTATAAAAGTATATTTGATGCTTGTTTTGGAATTAAAATGGGATGAAAATTTGTTTAGAATTATTAAATTTATATTTTGAATATTTAATGAAGAATTGGTTGTTTATTACTTGGTAAGAGACAGTATAATACTGCATAGGATTTTTTTTCTCAAAAGACGTTAAGATTAAATCGTAGGGAGTTTCGCCTTTATTAAAATAAAAATATTCTTCCTTGAGTTGTGGCCTTATATTGAAGTGGATGTTTGTAAAGAGCTAAAAGATTTCACTTTCTGTTATATTGTACTCGGTTGATTTTATCTTTTGGTATAATTGAATCTATTTTCTCCTTTTTATAATTAACTCATTTTATGTGTTGGAATTTTGCTCATTTTTTATCAATTATTCTATGAATTCAGAATCCTCTTTGTAGATATCTTATTGTTTTTATTTTAATTAATTCCCTGCATTTTCTTATGTATTGATGCTTTATTAAAATCTCTACTTTAAAGGAGAAGGTGATTTAGATTTTCTAAATGAGGTAGTAGAAGTTTTCAAAAGAAAAGATTCATCTTTAGATAAATTATTTTAAGCTCTTCTCAACTCAGGCAAATCGGAATTATCGACTTGCAAGTGATCTTTAAAGAGCTTTATTGAGCTCTGGTGGTGAAGTTTAGGTGAAAGGTTTATTGGGATTTTAGGAAGAATTTGGAATCCTTTTTCAGCCTTCAAAAAAACCTTTTTGACAGACTCTTCTTATTGTAGTGCAATTTAGTTAGTTTAATTTATTCTAACGCATTTAGCAACTAACTTCTGTTAGAAGAGATTATTTTTATTCAAAGGTGACAGTGACCTTGTTTTCTTATAATAATTGTTATAATTGAGAAATCTAATTGTAATTAAGTCAATGTTATAGATTATTATTCATTCATAAATTGCAATAATCTTGATGAAAAATATACAATTAATCATAAAAAATATCTTAAAAATGAAAAAGGATTGAATTATTATTTTAACCAATACATTGAATTGATCTTTGCCTTGTTAATTTGGATGTAAATTTGGAATTAAAATGTTTTTCACTATCAAATTTTTTGTTTAATCTTTTAATTGCATTTGTTAATATTTACAAAAAAGCAATATGCTATTTAAATCTAATTTGTTTATTAAAGCAACAAAAAAAATATGTTTGTGATATTTCTTTCCACTTGAATAAACGATATTCAAATGCTAATATAAAAAAACAATAATAAAAATCCAATAAATTAATTAATTTAAATCTATTAAAATAGAAATTTAAAATCATTTATTCAATTATTATTTCATTATTTTTATTATTTTATAATAAATATATCTGCTAATAAAATTAATTCCAAGCAGAACAAATAAATAAATTGATGGTTGTACTTTTGATTCTAAAATTTGTTTAGTTATTGTTATGAATACATAATAGAAAATTAAAATTAACTAATATCACAAATAAATCCTGCATTACTATCTAATTATAATAAAATAATTAGTATTTATTTTAGAAATGCAAGAGCAAAATCATATCGTAAATTTCTTTCAAGCTTTAATTAAATATAATTCCTTTCAATATTAATTTATTCAGTCAGCTTTTTCTTTTTGGTCTGAAGGTACAAGGTCTTCTTTTTTGAAACCGTGTTGCTAAGAAACAAACAAATAAATAAATAAATAAAGCGATGAATATAAATAAAAAACAAAATAAATAAATTTAATTACTGTTCTTTTGTGGTCAACCTTATAAATTTATCTCTGATAGATATAGATTATGAAAATAATATCTAATATTATTTAGTAAAAATTAGAATTAGTACAAAATAATAAGTAAATAAATAAACAAGTTAATACCATCTCTGAAACAAGAAAGTCTCTTGAGCAAAGGCATACTGATGACAAAGGCGAACAAGTCATCTACAATAGTGTTCAAAAACTTATAAATCATAGTTCTCCATGGTAAATGCTCAACGCTCTTAAGCTTGTAGTTAATATATAGCTAAGGAGTCATATTAATAAAACCTTTATATTTTTTAAATTAATTAAATTAAAATTAAACAAAATATTAAAATTTTTTATGTTAATAATTATTTACCAAAGACATAAATGAATCCGACTAAAGTTCTAATTACGAATGAGTACCAACCCTTGTGCTCAAGGTAGATAAGAGAGTAAACAGTGTATCCAGCTAATAAGGGAACCAAAGCATAATACAAATACTTAGTTGCTTGCTTGTCATACTCTTCAGTTGTGCGAATCTTTTTATTAAAATTTATCATTTATTTTTGCTAAAAATTTTTAACTTTTTTTATACATAACTTTGTTGGGTTTAATCAATTTCGAAGAATGGGAATTTGTTGTCTTTTCTTCTTTAACACTTTGCAGTTTTGTAGATCTTCCAAACTGTTACCAACAACTCTATGCCCGAAGAGGCTATGATAAGCCAACTAGTTTCTTCACTATCAAGTAAATAAAGGAATACAACAACCTCAAATACGAATCCAGTGTATAAACTTCTCAAGCTTAAACCTTGATAGTTTTCTAAATTCCTCCAATAAGAAATATCTAAAAAAAAATATTATTTAATCCAAATGCTTAAAAGCAAAAAGCAAAGTATAAATAAAAATAAGTAAATAATGCCTTTAAGCAAAACATCAATGAATGAATGAAGTCAATGTAAATGTTTTTACCATTTTTAACAGCTAGCAATTCAAAAACAGAATGTAGGATTGAAACAATAAATGTAATTGCTAAATAATAAGGGTTATTGTCTCCTAAAATTTCTTTGAATTGTTCTAAAGAATTTGCATCGTGTAATCCATAACTTGCTTAATCATTAAATGTTTATTCCATCTGGCTTATCATAAGAAGCTTTGCATGCCAGTAAGGATAGAAGACAATAGTAGTGTTGTAAACTGATGGCAAATCATTTTAATCAATAACCTCCTAGGTTGCTGTTGTTGCAGGTTAATTCTTGTTTTCTTCAGCAAGTTCTTCTTCGATTTAACCTTGATATACTAAATCTTTACGTCTAACCCAGAATTAAGACACATCCAAAATAGGAAGGTACAATCTTTTTTAGTGATCTATCTTGAGGAGATCTTTGCATTTAATTATATATTGTTGAACACTTATCAAAGCAATTAAAATATAATTTTACTTCTCAATTAAGGAGGTATTTGCTAAGGATGATACGAATTGGTGTCATGTGAAAGCTATATGTAAAATCTTTACCTAAAGTGAGGAGCTTTCTCTCCTAAGTTATTTTAAAATAATCTTTAAAAATCATAAAAAATAGTTTCTAAATTAATTGATTGATCTATTGATTGATTTATTACTCTTCTTGCTTTCTTTCTTAGTTTTAGGTTGAGGAACGTCTTCATTTGCAGATGAAATCAAATTCTATAGCTGCTCTTTAGTGATCTTTTCTTAAATAACAACTAATTCGCCTTATGCGTTCAATTAAGCTCCAGTATCCTAGTTTCTTATGCTTATACTCACTTCTGGATAAGGCTCGCTGAAAATTTACTCTTAAGTGAGAGAAAATGTTTTGTTAATAAAATTTTTTTCATCATAATTGTATTGCAAATTCTAAGTCTCCCAACTGTGCAAGACTTCGTTGTCTTTGATAATTTTTATCTTTAAATCCTGCAAAATTTAAAAAATTAAATGAGCTATTTATTTGATTGAATTTTTTATTTCATTTCATTCATTTTTCAAAAACAAAAAAAATATGGTCTAAACTTAAAATGAATGATTTAAATAAGGCGATTAATAATTAAAAATATTACAAAATTTTAATCATTTTCAAACGCATTGTGGTAGTAATTAGGATTGCTTCTATCTATATTATTACCCTTAATCATATTGAAAACAAAATTTCCAGCAATAAAAAGCAAGATCATATGAAACATTGAGAAGTTCCATCCTCCCTATTATTGCTACTGCTATTCTTCTTGCTAGGCAGGTACATTTTATTACTATTAATTCTATTAATTTTAAGAAGATTGTTGTTGATCTTATTAACTTCGCCTACTTGTGCTAATATTCATTTTTATTCAAAAAGTTGTTTATTAAGATATCTTTATGATAAAAATCAATTAAATCTAAATAAACAAACACCAAAATGTTTTCTTGTGTTCTATTTTTTATTTAAAAAGCTTTTACCCCTCAATAATAATTAGGAGAAGTTAATAGTAGAATCCGTATGGAGATCATCCATAATTAAAATTAAAAAAAAACTAGCAACAGCTAAAGTTATTTCTTTGATTTATATTTTGAAATTACATTTCTAAATTCAGCAAATAATATTTATTTAAATCAATAAGCACCTAAATAAATAAATAAACAATCAAATAAGCATTCATTTTTCTTTTCAAATCTTATCTCAAAAATATTTAGGATAAAAAAATAATTCAAAAATATTTGATTATAAGATAACATAAAACAAATATCTAAATAATTTGTTTAGATCTATCTTTTGAAATATTATCAAACATGCCAAAAATAAATAAAAAAAATATTCTTGAATTTAAAATTTTAATCAATAATCAATAAAAATGCTAATTTATCCAATAACTATTAAAACCCTTTAATTTTACTCTATAAAAATTTTATTTAATCTGAATACAAAATATTTTTATGTCATTTAAATATTTTCTTTAAAAATAGTAAACTTAAAAAGTTAAAAATAAATAAATTAAAATCTAACATAATAATTAGCAATAAAATAGTTAGTAAAAAACAAAAATAATCAAATCCTTAAAATAACTTTCTAATTAAATTTAAAGAACGACAAACTAACTTGAATAAAAAATCATAATTAAATTTTTTTAAAAAGATTTTCAATTAAAAAAATAAGAAATATTATATGTAATAATATCAATTAAATTTGTAAAAATAACTAGATAGAAAGCATAAAGTTTATTTAATTTAAATAAGATAAAAGTAAATTTTATTTATTATTTGATTTTATTAATAAAATATATTTTGTAATAAATTTACACAAAAATTACAATTAAAATAAAATACTGAGAATGGTATTTAATTTGTTATAAAGAGCATGATATATAAAAATAATACTAATTAAATAGTAATATGACTAATTGACTTGCTAACCAACTGAATGAATATAAGCATATCTTATATTATTTTTACTAATTTTATATTATCAGGTAATATAAACGTGCTAAGCTGAGAAATTAATTAAGAAAAATATTATACTTTTTTTATTCTTTAGAATAAGAAATTTAATTTGATTAAAAATCATAATACTAGATTGATGATAAAGTTAAGTGTGTAAATTATAGTCATTATATAAAAAAAAGATCAAAGTCATTATAAATATTTAATTATTAATTACTAATTTATACTAGTAATAAAGAATATTGTTTTATTTGAGAAGTGGAAAAGGGATAGTATGCATATTAAAGTTGAGTTATTTAATAAATGAAGAGATTACAGCTAAATAATGTCATTTATAGGAAAATAGCGTCACTTTTAACTGTTATATGCTAAGTAAACAAAGTTGAATTTTTCTAGAAGGTTGAAAAAATCAGATTAAATTAAAATGCAATACTAAATCAAAATATTACAAAGAAATATTGTAATATTATTAAGTTAGTAGAAAACTAGATTTAATTAAATAGATCAAAAAAGGCAAGTCAGCATAAGCATTTCAGATTAATTTTTTTGCAATAAGATTTATAATACGTAATATTTTTAACTTAATGTTTTATTCAATTTTACATAGATTTAAGTCCCCTCACTATTAATTGTTAATAAATCACTTCCTCTTTTAGCAAAGTAAAGTTACCTGTTTGTTTCTAGTTTTTAAACCAATCACGCAAGCTGCACGTGCTAGGTAAACTTCTGTTTTCTAAATAGAGAGCATATTAGTTTATCTTTGAAAATTATTCATCTGAATTTCAATTTTTTTGAAAAAATTTGACTAAATATAAATTCTATTCAGAAATTATAAAAAAATCTTTATTTTTAAATCGAAATTAAAATAATTTAACAAAAAAAGCAAATTTTTAGTATGAAATTAAATAAAAAATTTATCAGGAATATTCTTTTATTATTGATTTTAAATATTAATTTTTGAAAATAAACTAAGTTATGAGTAGTTAATGCTGTAAATCGTAGATTCAATTTTAATTATCAGAAAATAATATGGTTTATTCTCTAAATCTCTTAAATTATATATTAAATATAATCATTAAGCTGCTCACATTTTATTAATCTTAGATATCAATTTAAATTAATAAAAACCTGTTTATGTTTGCTTGATTACTTACTTACTTAGTTATTAATATTTTATTAATATTATTGTTATCAAGTAAACAATCTATGGTTGGTTGATTCAATAAATATATTTTGAATGCATAATTCATACACTCAATATCTTACACAAATTTTAATTTAATTAACTTAAAATAAAAAAGATATTTTCTACTTTTTTTTCAAATCTACAAACACTAAAAAACAAAAAAATAAATATAATGTTAAGCTTTTTTAGCAATGATTGATTTATTATAATTAATTGAAAAGGATTAAATACTAATCATTACTAATTTTTCTTAGTTTTAACTTCCAAAATAGATTAATTATAGTAAAATATATTTTAAATGGATGATATTGCTTGTATTATTTTAAGGTATAATTCTAATTTTCTGCTAAATCTGATAATTTGAATTGAACATTATTTATTACAGGCTTATAAAACCATTAAGCAAATCAAACTTTTTATATTTTCTATTTGTTTTTAGGAATGATTAAAAATAAATAAAAGACATCAAAGAATTTTGGAATAAGCTGAGAAACCTTCTATTGTAAATTAATTTAATATCTTAGTCGTCATAATTGATTAAATATTATTAAATAATTATTAATAAGGATTCTTGTTGGTGTAATATAATTAGAAATTTCACATATCCAAAGTTTTCATAATAATATTAATTCAAACAAACTCCATAAAATTAAAATCCTCCAAAAGGAAAATAAACAACAAACAAAAAACCATCTCAAAAAATCCATTTAAAAATGAAGTTAGATAATACTATTGTTGCCTTAGTTACTGGTGGTACTAGTGGACTCGGTGAAGCTACAGTCTATGCTCTTCTTGAAAAGGGAGTTAGAGTTTTTATTGCTGACAGAAACGAAGAAAAGGGTCTCTAAATCCAAACCAAGTACGGCTAGGACAGATGCAGATTCCAAAAGTGTGATGTTTCTGATGAAGCTTAAGTCAAGGCTTTGGTCGATGCTTGCGTTGCCACTTTCGGTGCCATTCATATCCTCCTCAACTCAGCTGGTGTTATCTCTGCTGGTCTTATTGTCGGTGGAAAGGTAATTATTTCACTACTTTTCATTTCATTCAATAATTAAACAACATCTTCAGCCAAATATTAAAATTATTGAAATTTGATAATTACTTAACTCCCAATAAGACAAAAATAAGATGCCAAATTCATCCTCTTTAAAGTTTCATAACTAAGAATGAAAAATGAGAACAAAAATATTATCAACATTCACATTTTTCAATAATTAGCATGCAAATTTAGCTTGATATTTTCTTGCAATCTTATTTTATTAATTAATAAATTTAAAAAATAGAACTAAGACCAAACCATCAAGACTGAAGAAATGAATAGAGTATTAGGTGTCAATGTTGTTGGAACTTTCAACGTTACTAAGTATGTTGCATTATAAATGGTTAAGCAATAACCCTTAAACGAATTCAAAGAAAGAGGTGTTATTGTTAACGTTGCCTCCGTTGCTGGTATTGAAGGTCAAAGAGGTCAAACTGTCTACGCTGCCTCTAAGGGTGCCATCATCGGTAAGCAATTTATATAAATAAATATAACTTAAGCGAGTGCTATTGTTGAGATTGCAATTAATATATAAATAAATAAATAAATAGCATAGTATGATAGAATCAAATAAAATCAAAGATAGTTTTGAAATTTATAAAAGACAATCAATCAATAATTGTGATATGATTGATAAAAATATTGTTTTTTATTTATTGGATTAATTGAAATCAAGAAGTATTTATTTTTAATCATCTTAAAGAGAGTGACGTATTATATAAAGCGATTAAATCATACACAATACCCGAAAGCAAACAAAATCAACAAATTAATAATTGTTAATTTAACAACAGCTCTTATTATCAGAAACCTACCTACCTACTTTAAATTGCATTTGCAATAGCAGCATTGTTTTCTTTTATTAATAATAATTGTTTAATATTAAAAAGGTATGACCCTCCCTCTTGCTAGAGATCTTGGTAAGTTCGGTGTCAGAGTTTGCACTATTGCTCCTGGTATTTTCTAAACTCCTATGGGTGCAGGTATGTCTGACAAAATTATTGAAGCTCTCTCTAAAGCTTCTGCTTTGGGAAGAGTTGGAAATCCTACTGAATTCGCTGATGCTATCCTTGGTTTGGCCACTAACTCTTTTGTTACTGGTTCCATTTTCAGACTTGATGGTGGTATCAGATTACCTCATATGTGATTTTAATAAACAAATAAATAAACAAATATATAAATTAATAAAATATAATATGATTATATTATATTCTTTAGTTCTTTCGTTTTTACTCTGATGTTAAATATTATTATAATTTTAAAAAGCAAATATCCTTGCTAAATTCATCTTTGTATTAAGTTTCATACAATTCTTACTTGAAATATTTTTGATTGTTAAAAAAAATTGAATGAATTATTTTTATTGAATTAAACACCTTAGTTACTTATTACATATTTTTTTAATTATTGAAATATTTTTTGATTATTTAAATATTATTTATATACTTCAAGAAACACATACAAAAATATTTACATAATACAGTATACATACATACAAATATATATACAAAAAATATTTTATAGCTTGTTATTGATATGATAAATTCAAAGGATATTTTATATTTAAAAATTTTGTTATCGTTTTTATGACTTTAAATTTTTCTTCAAATTAACTTTGTTTTAAATAAAAACTCATTTAATTAAAATCTTAATTTTTAATCAAATTATTAAAATTTTTACAAAATTATGATAAGAGGTCTTAATTTTAACTAGGTTTTATTTGAAAAAAATTATATTAATTTAAAAAATTAAAATTGAATTTGTCTTAGGGGTCAACAAGGCTGTTTATCTTCTGATATTTTGCTTGTTTATTTAAAATACATTTATGATAATAAATAAATAAATTTATTATTAGATTCGTTTTCATATTTGTTTAGGTTGGTATGTATAAAATGTAATTATAATTTAAAAGAAATAATGAAATGCGATCATGCAGAAAAACAAATAGTTTAGGTCTTGGAAGCTTTTCATATATGGTATGTATGTATGAATTGATTAAATGATGTATTATATTTTCAGGTATTTCCAAACAATTAAAAAAATATGTTTATGATATTACAAATAATATTATTTAAATTTATATTTTATATCAATGATAATTTATTTTTAGAATTTATTCAAATGATCAATAAGGATATTTTTCAAAAGCCTTTGTAAGCTATTCTAAGTAAGGTGGAACTGATTCAAGTAATATCTTGTTATTAGTTTGTACATCGAATCTAGCGATATTTTAACAAAGAATAAATGTGACTTTTGATTGATTATTATTTGTCTTTTCTACAACTGTTGAGTTTAACATATAATTAGTGAGAGTTCTGTCTTTATCTATTACGATAGAAGGATGATCCACTGATGCACTAGTGAAATATGCTAGGTTCTAACTGATTTACTTTATCTCTCCAAAAATCATATCTGTTTTAGCCTTAGTTTAACAGTGGTGAATCTCATAATTTACATTTCTATCTATGATAACCCATTGCTCAAGATCTGGAGTTATTTACTTAAAGTAAGAAAGATCTTAAAGAGCTCTCACAATTTTTTCAAAAGGGGAATTAGATTCTACAACTACTTTAACTGTAATTATTTCACTTGGGGAAGACTCCTAATTTTATTTTTTATTTTAAATTAAAATATTAAATTAACCAATTTTTTTACCAAAAATAGAGTCATCATTTGATCAGTCTTTCTATATTCTTTGAATTAATGATCGACATCTTTGTAATAAAAATCTGTTTGATCTTATTTTTTCTTAAGAAATTCGTAGGTAGTATTTTAGTCCATTTTTAAACAATTAATATTTATTTATTTGTTTTTGATTTAAAATATTTATTAATTTTTGAGTTGAAGGTATATGTGAGTATTTAAATTGATCGATTCTATTAAATTCTTTGAATTAATTTTCTATTAAAAATGATTAATATATTTTTTAGCCTGAAATTTAATTTTTTAGCTTGTAATTAAAGTTTTCAAAGTTGATAAATTCTGAATTAAATAAAATATAAATTACCATCAAATATTGAAAATAAAATTAATGATTTAGCATGAAATTTTTATTTTTATTTAGTAACTAATCTATTTTCTCTATAAATTCTGAAATAAACTAAAATATTAAATAAATTGACAAAAATTATTTATTTTATTCAATATTTAAAAGAAATAGGAATATCTTATAAAAAAGCTCATTTATTCAGCAATAGAGCTTAAAAAAAAAAAAAGAAAAAAATATTATAATAAATAAATAAATAAATAAGTGCTGAATAAATATATTCTAAGTGAGGAAAATCTGCAATAAATTTCAGAAAATATTTATAAATTATTTTACTAGTATGCATTATTTTTTTTAATTAATGAAAATTCATTTTTTAAAAAGCATTTTAACATGAAATTATATTTTTTGGATTGTAATTAAAACTTCGAGAGTTAATTAATTCTGAAGCAAATAAAAATATCTTTAATTTAAATAGACAAATAAGTAGGAATAGTCAATTTGTATTTTATTAAAAATAGAAAAATAAAAACTTAACTAAAATATTAGGCTTATTAAAAAAATAATATGAAATTTAATTTTTATTTTGTTTGAAAATCTTATATATGTTTTTTAATATGTGAAATAAATATCTTATTTAACTAACTTTGAATCAAATTATCTAATAAAGTTTCATCAAAATTACTTCTAAATAGACTTAATTGATTTAATTTTTTATTTATTTTAAATAGTCTTCTTTAATATTGGGCCAAAATAAATTATTTATTTGAGATATTAATTGATAAAAATATTCTATTAATATTTTAAATCAAAATATTATTTTAAATGATATAAATATTTCAGAATTATTTAAAAATCAAAAAATAAATTAATAGTTCAAATTCAATTTTTAAAAACTATTTTAATTTTATAAATGATTTAAATATCAAAAAAATTAGTTTGTTTTTAAAAATTTCAAGTAATTAAGTTACAGCAATTAAATACATTTTTCATTGTTACTTATTTACTGGGCTACTTATGTATGATCAATGAGTAAATTAATTTATTAATAACTAATTTTAATGGCTTTAAAGTTTTTTTGTTTTTAGCCCAAGCATTTAATTAATATTTTGAAAATAATAAAAATTAATAATAATCATAAGTAAAATTTGATAGAGAATTCCAAATAATCAGAATTAGAATCAATCAATCAATCAAAGCTTATTATTAAAATACTTAATTAAAAACTTATTATTTTTGTATTTTTTTTTACTAAAAGGGCTAACGAAAACTGCTAAATATTTTTTACACCTTGTAGAAAAGCTTTTATTTAATATAGTGAAAATGAAAGGCGGTTTCATCAAACCTTCTAGCATGGGCAAGTAGCCTAAAAAAACAGTTATTTTGAAAGACAACGACTTGAAAAGTTTTGATAAAGAATATAAAAAAGATGATGTTTTAAATAAAGAATACATGAAAATGCAATAGTTTATGCTTGTGAGTGGATAGCCTTAACTAAATATAATGGAATCGAAAATAAAAGATCTTGATGAGAAGATGAATGGGAATAGAAATTAAATGTCTCTAGATGATGAGTTAGAATTGAGAAAGATTATGATGAAGCAAACTAAATTTGAAAAGATGATGAGCAACTATTATGAAAATTACTTAAGTTATTCTATACCTAAAGATCCTGAGTAAAGTGTACATAAGAGACTTTAAAATGTTTCAAACAACAATTAAATTGAGATTTAAAATATCATTAACCTTCATAATAAATTGTAGCAATCAACATTATAAGACCCATTAATAAATTAAAAAGAGTTTAAATTCCCTCAAACAACACGGGTTTTTGAAGAGAAAAAAAAATTGGATGAAGATTTATTGCTAATGAATTAGAGTCAATAAATTTTAGATGGTATCAAATCGCCTGAAAGCAAGAATTAAACGAGAACTTAAAGAGTCAATAGCTAAGGAATATAGATTTAAGATGATGGTTACGAGGATGAAGATGATGATGATTCAAGTTAAAATTCTAATGAGGTTAACTCTAAAAATGATCTGGATAATTTGACTGAAAAAAGTTTAAAAAGTTCAAAGAGCCGTAGAAGTGTCAGAAGCAACTTCGATAGGACATCTAGGTATTCTACAACCTCAAGAATTTCAAAAGGAAAAGGCTAATTTACAAACGAATGGGAATATAACAGTTTAAACGAATATGACATAGAAGATATTCCAAAGCTTATAGAAGAAGTAATTTATTTGCATATTAATTTCTTTACTATAAACATTCTTTCAAATTAGGAAAAAGTTGAATTTTATGTTATGCCTCAAGAGGTTACATAAGTAAAAGCCCAGCAAGAATAGAAAGAGCAAGATAATACCTAAAAATAAACAGATTAAGATGGAAAAAGCAATAAAGACAAAGATAAATAAAAGGAGAAAGAAAAAGATAAACAAAATGAGAAGAGTTAAAAGGAAGAAAATAAAATCTGGAAAAAAAGCAAAAAGAAAATATTGTTTATCTAGCAAGAATTATCTAATGATGAGTTTTTAAAGTTAAATATTCATGAAATGTTGTCATATGTCTAATAAGTAGATTAGTAATTTATTTCTTTAATCATTAATTAATTCAACAATTTATAGTAATAGTATATATTGAATATATTAAATTGATATTTCATAACAAAAACAGCATTTAAAAATTTAGCTTTGCTTATGGCTAAGCTGGAACTATTCATCCTGAAAATCAAATTTAATACCACAGAGATCTAACAACGTAAGCAAGGGATATGTTAACGATTGATCCTGAAGTCAGAGGAAATTATTTTGAATAAGATAGAGCAGGTCTGTTAGAAATAGAGGATATTTACATAGACATGAATAAAATAACTTTCGAAGATGTAACGAACATCATTAGTGATAGAGTATCTGATTATTTCATTAAAAACTGCATAGATCCTAAATATTTAGCTGAAAATTATGAAAAATTTTCTTATATTCCTGAAAAAAATAATAACGTTTTAGATAAGTAAAATTATTTCTTTTTTACATTTAACTATTTTTTAATTAAAATCAGTTTTAAATTTAATTAAAAAATATTATAATTGTATTTTCTTACATACCAATAATGCATGCAATCAATGAATGATAAATAGATAGGAGGAGAAGGCTAAAATTTTATATTCTGGATTAATTTTTTTCTTCCTAAATTTTCAATAAATTTTTATTTTACTAATCCTCTAAAAATTTTTTAAAACCCTTTCCTATCTATCTTATTGAAATATTTAAAAGCATAAATAAATAAATTATTTTATAGATTTAGTCAATAAATTTTTTGTAATGAAGAAAATAAAATATAAATTACTTTTTGTATAGAATTTATCTTAACAATTTAATTAATTTTTATTAGGATGCAGTATACTTAGTCGCTTTAGGACATAAAGAAATCTTAGTACTTAGAAATGAAAAGCTATTATTAAAAGATGAAAACATGGGACAATAAAGATATGCAAATAAGTTATAAAGATATTATCAAAGAAACTAAGACTGTCACTGATTGGGTTCTGGAGGATTTATTTCATATAAGAAAGGCCACAATGAATTCTTATGACCTTGATTTTGATCCAAAAGTGAACTAGATTTTCTAAACTTAGTTTTATCACAAGTTTGAATAGAAATTGCTCATTTTGCTGCAAATTATTCTTTACAGATAAAATATACCTTCGTTCAAAGTTCCTAAAGATTTATTTGGTAAACCTACAATGACTGAAGAGTAATAAAAAGCTGAGAGAATTAAAATAGAAAAGTAAAGGGCTGAATAAGAGAAAAAATTTTTCAAATTATTTACTCCAGAGGAGAAGCTCGTTTAGGATTTAAAGGATCTTCTTAAAAATGTAGGAAAAATTTCAAATGAGTTTGTGGATGGCAGATCAAAAGTGGAGTTATTAAGAATATTCTTGGTAGATTACAACGAAATTGTTAAATTTAAAACTGAGCAACTCAACAGAGTTAAGAAAATAGAAGAATAGATTACTTAAATTAACTCTGAATTCTCTTAGATTGAAGGTAAAACTTTGTATGAGAGATTATTTGAAGCTAAAATAGGGCACCTAAAGGACTAGGAAAATGAAGAAGTAACTGATGCTTAAATTCTAGACTAGCTGAGCTAAAAAAGGGAGCAACTATTGAAAGAGAGAGAGGCTATTTTACTTAACTCAGCTTAATTATTTTCCGTTAAATAGGAGAGTGAAGAAACTTAAAATAATCTAAACAATTAATCGTAATCAGACTAAAAAAGTAAATCTCCTTCACCTACACCGAGGGATAATTAATAGGTATTAAATAAAAATGGTGATAACGTGCTTGTTTCAAGAGCAAGAAATTTAAAAAATGTAGCCAGAGCCTTCAATTTGCCTGTGAATTAAGCAGATAAAAAATTAGAAAAAAACTTTGATTTAGAGTAAAGTTAGGAGTAAAATTAAGATCTTTTGATTCCTCTTTATAAAGCAGATTCATAGTATTAGGCTGTCGCATCATCATAAACACCTTAAAAAGGATCTATGAGTAATAAAAGAAATACCTCAACTACACCTAATCGTAATTTAAAAAATAGCTAATTTACTCCTATATCTACTACCAAAAGTAGGAATATGGAAGATTCTCGAAGTGAGTAATTTAGTAGAAATTAAAATAACAAATATTCTCAAAAGAGTTTATTCAGTCAATATAATCCTCAGAAAGAAACTTATGATAGAACAGACTCTAGATTGAGCAACAGATAAATATTAAATGACACATCAATGCAAGATGATGAATATAGAGATTAATTAGGAATGTAATATAGAAGAACTCCTGAAAATTTCCATAGATAAACTAAACACAGTAATACATATGCTGAGTAAGAAAGCAATGATTATAACTAAGTAAAACAGATAAAATTATTCAAAAATGCAAGAACCAAGGAGTATGAGTAGTCAAATTTAGTTCTGAACAAGTCTCGTACAATTTCATAAAATGGTTTATTTTTTGACGGTAATTCCAATGAAACAAGTAAAAGTCCTTTTACATCAACCTCTAAGTTGTTAAAATAATCTTATTCTTAACAGTTTAGTGACTAAGACTTTACTTAAACTAAACTTGAAAGGTAAAAGAGAATTTAATAAAATAATTCTTCCAATAGATCAGTCAGTCCTTTTGCAATTAATTAAACATAATATCCTGGTTCCAAAATTCCAAATACTATTGATTCATTTTTAAACGAAGACACCAGTTTAAAAATTATTCAAAAAAACTTGAATACAATTCTAAAGGAAAATTTAGTTTTAAATTAGAACTAAAACCATAAAAGACATGAGCATTCAAGCAATTCTAAAATGTCAAACTAAAAAACTTTGAAATCAAGCCGCTCATAATTACTTTTCTAAGATTAATCAAATTATCAACCAAATAGTTCTTCTAAGAGTCCCATAAGGGAGGTATAAAGTAGCCTTGAAATGATTACAAACAAAAACTGGAAATAAGTATTCAAGACTGCTTCTTGTCGTAAAAATAAAAACACCTCTAAAGATAAAAAATATTGATATTACTAAAATAAATAAATAAATAATGATTGCATCATAAAATTGATTGGAAAAAAAAACATAATTAAAAAAATAAATACAATAAAATAATTAAATAAATAAATAAATAAATAAACAAATAGATGAAAAATAATTTACTTAAAAATTAACTTATAAATTTAACAAATTTTTCTCTAAATTAAAAAAAAATAATTTAATGTTAAAAGAATATAAAATATTATTAATGAAATAAGTTTGTTTAGCATTTCTTAAGTATAAATTTTTAATGGTAAAATGCTGGTTGAGTTTAATGACGAAAAAAATTGAAAGAAAAAATAAGTAAACAAATAAAAAAATTTAATAAATAAAATGTAAAAATGATTTCAAAAAAATGTATGTAACTAATTTATCAAATTTATATTAAAAAAGCTTTTCTTAAATAATTTATTTAAAATTTTTTTTTATTTATATTTTAAACTTCAATTAAAATTTATTTGTATTTAACTAATAAAGATAAATAAATAAATTTATTTACTTAATTGGCTCAAATTCATTTTAAAAATTCCATTTGCTTAAAAACATTGAAGCTTAAACCTTAATTTTTTCTTTAAAAACAAACACATAAATTAAATAAAAATATTACTGATAGTGTGATAAATAATATAATAAATAATGAAGGAAAAATTTAATTAATTAATTAATTATATATACACTTCAGCATAATATATAAATGAAGACAAAAATTAATATAATGAAGGAAGAATTTATTTTATTTATTTTTTATTTACTTATTTAATTATTTTATTTATTTATTTATTATTTGACATTTTATTTACATTTAAGATTTTAATTAATCTTGAGAGTTTTAATTAATTTATTAGTAGTATTATTGAGGGAATTTAAGTAATCTACTTATATAGACGATTAAGATAGAGTTTTGAATTATTTTGTTTAAATTATTTTAATTGTTTGTTTGCTTATTTAGACTTCGTTTTTTTTTGCATTTAATTTATTATATAATTTATTGTACCCTTGTTTTATTTATTTATTATTAATTCAATTATTATTTTATAATATTTTCTTCAAATTACTCATTTGAATCAATTAAGATTTAATGATTGTTTGTTTGTTTGTTCAAATATATTATTTTAATTATTAGTTAGTTAAAAGATAAATAATCAGTTTCCTTTTTTAATCTCAACGCTATTAATCATCCTCATCCCCAGAAAATATTTCTAAAGATAAGTTTAAGTGAGGTTCAGACATTCCTTTCTTTAAGTTAGTCTCAATTTTATCTCTAAATTACTTCAATGCAGATTACACTGTGCGGAATTTCTTTCTCACAATTTCTTTTAATAAAATGAAGATTAAATAAATAAATAATATAATTTCATTTTAATTTAATTTATGAAATATTGATTCAATATGAAGTCAATGAAATATTTCTTGATTGACAGATTGCTTGTTTGTTATAGGAAATAATGATTACATTTTAAAAGAGGAGTTAGGTCATATAATGCTCTGTCTTCTGATTCTCCATACCAAGACTAAATGTAGATTCCGTTTTCAGGCTAAAGCTTGAAGTTTTCAGGTAAGTTATCTATAATTATTATTTTATTCAAATCTCTTCCTATTCTCGATAAGTCCTGTTTGAACAATATTAAAAATTAATTATTTTGTTTGAAGTAGGTTTTGAAATATTTTACTTTAATATAAGAGTTTTGATAGGTTACAGTGTGCTAACGATATAACTTATATGAAATTGATTTCTTAGAATCAATGATATCAAGAATAAAATCTGCATAATCCTGAAGAGCTGCTGTGAATATAATTATTTCATAATATTCTGACATTTCTTCCAAGAAAGTTTCTGCATAAGGTCTTACTAAAAATTAGCCACCATCATCAAGCTATTTTATAAATTAATAATTTATATATTTGTAAATAAACGAATTAATGTACTTCTTGGTAGTGAACTAAGGTTTCATCAAGATCTATAACAAGAGTGTATGGTTTTTAAGGAGAATCTTTCAAATAAGGAGGTTGAACAGTTCCAATTATAGAGCTTTCTTGATAAGAAGAGCTATTATTCTCTTCTTAATCAGGTTTGCTTTTACTATTAGGATTTTTATAGCTCAAATCTTCTAGATCATCTTCTTCAATTTGTTAATTTTATGGCTTTTAATTGTTATCAGATTGTTATGAAGCTTCTTGTCTCTTTTATTATTGCTACTATTTCTCATCCTGGTTTTAAGATTAATTTTACTATTTTTGACTATTATCATTAAGCTCTGATTTTTCTTGCTTTGATTTTTAACTTTCTGCCTACTTTTGACTCTATTTAGCTTAATTTTGCTATTAAGAACTTGAATTGAGGTTTTGATTAGAAGACTTATTGTCAGATTCACTTTGATGATTTTAGAATTCCAATTCCAATTACTTTTAAATACTTTTTCTTTCTTATACTATTTAGAGTCTTGAAACTTCATCCTTCATGAATTGAACCTAAATTATTAAAATTATAAATATTTGTTATGAAATAAATTTTTGTTAGAATTAAAGTTAAAAAATTTTCTTAAAAATTAATTTAATTTATTAAGCTTTTAATATGTAAAAATTTTAAATTTATCTTAAGATTTTTTTATAAATTTCATTAAATAACTTTAATATTTTTTTGAGATGATTTTTTTAAAATTTTGTTATTTCTTTTAATAATAATAATAATAATAATAATAACATTTTTTATCTAATTGAATTTAGTTTAAAATCTAAAAATTTTAAATTCATTTACTAACTAATTTTTTTTATAAATTTGTTAAATAACTTTTATTAAATGTTTTTTAAATGATAATATTTTACATTTTTTGTTTTTTATTGATAATAATGCTTGTTTTTTATCATTAATTTAGTTTAGTAAGTTTTTAAAATATAAAAATTATTTTCAATTCATCTTTGTATATTTTTTTATGAATTTTGTATATTTTTTTAATAAATGGTTTTTTTTAGGAAAATATTTTTTACATTTTCGTTTGAGAGCTTAGAGCTGAAATCTAAGATTTGTTAAATCTACAAATTTGGGATATTTTCTTGTATTTGATAGAGATCTTCATAAAGAGTATGTGAATTTCTATTTTCTTCTTAAAGTTCAATTTATCCCTCAATTCTATTTGATGAAAAAAATATGATGAAATGAAATGAAATTAATAAATTTAATTTTTACACTATTTGGATTAATGGTTGCAAAATATCGTTGAACTTTTTCAGAATTGATATTTTATCTTAATTTTTAATCAAGAAACCCATTTTTCTCTTTTTGGTGCGTTCTTTGATCACATTGCTAATGCCTGATAAATCTAATTATTCGAGTTACTTTTCTCCTTGGTCTTTCAAGTATTGAACTGCTTATTCAAATAGAATTAGGATTAAAATAAAGCTCGAGTGAACATATTGGAATGAATTCAAAATATTTTGAAGGTTCTCATTCATACTTACTGTTCCTCTTACGGACTCCCTAAGCTACTTAATAACTACTATGTGTTCATAAATAATTATTTGAATAAGAACTATCTGCATGTTGATTGATCTTTGAATTTCTTTCATCTGTATCTTGCTGATGGGTAAACTCTTTTCATTGTTATTTTATAAAAATTAATTATTTAAAAATTAAAATATGAAATGAAATACTTGTAACGAAGCAATATCTTGCATTAACTGGTAATATTTAATTAGATATTTAGCTTAATAGTCGAATTCTCTGTTTTGAAGCAACTCGAAAAGACATTCTTCAACTTACAAAGAAATTGATAGAATCTATTTAAGTTTTTCTACTTCTATTTTTGGAACTTCTTGTTAAGCAACCACCTACTATAAATTAGGTTATTACTTATTTAGAATGTTATTTTAAGATTTAGATGATGATGTCGATGATATGCTTTCATCATTAAGATTAAGCTACTTAGTACCATCTGTGCACCCTAAAATGATTTCACCTTAATTTGCATTATTGTTTACATTTTATTAAATATTCTAATTTTAAAATTGTTATATTTAAAGATTATTTAGTTGTCCTAAATTTTGCTTTGATAAGCCTTATTGTTGAATGTTATTTTATTACATCATAAGATTATTTTAGAGCAATTATTATTATAATTACTGCTTTTGTTAGTTAGCAATTTACAACAGTTGACTAGCACTTGTTTAGAGAGCCGCTGAGCCTTAATTCATAGAATTAGATTAAGATTTAAGTTAATTTGCATAAATTTACTACTGTGATAACAATTTTTACTAAGCTAACTTAGCAATATCATTTGGATTATTGAAATATTGTTATTATTACATATACTACAAATGTTGTTGCTATTATTATTAAAATTACTATTGCTATTATAATTAATATATCTATTATTAATTTTGTAGCAAAGCAGAAGTAAGTGGATTATTACTATTTTTTTATAAAAATTATTATTGTTATTATTGATATTATTGTAATTGTTACAAAAATTATTGCTATTAATCTACGCCTTACTTTTGCTATTATTCTTCACTCTCAATTTGATATTATTGTTAACCAAATTGAACGTTAGGTGATTAATTGTAATTCTAGAACTCGTCAAAGTCAATAGGTTCTGTGCTATTGGTGTTGTTTTAGTTTTAGAATGCATTTTAGTTGTTACTGAAAGGTTATGGAATCTATTACTGCTAATTTGATATTTAATTTAGATCTGCAGAAGAATATTCTTATTCGTTTAACTAGGGTTATTAAAGTTAAGTGTTCATTATTTCTTATTAGTAGCCAACTAATTTGTTAGAGCTGAGATTATTGCTATTGCCTTCATTGCTTTCATAGTCTTCTACAACTTGATAATCTACTAAAGGAATACCCTAGGACTATTACTGCAAAGCATTAATTGGAGCTGATATTTAATAATTAGAAATTTAATCAGGCAGCTGATTTTACTATTATTATTGCTACTATTATAACCAGATCTATTATATTTCATTTTCAATTTAATTAGCAGATTCCAACAACATGTTTGCTTATTGCTGTTATTGTTTTAAAATTTAATTTGGAGTCATAGGGAGCACTGATTATTAGTTACTCAAGCCAGATTATCCAATTTTACTTTAAAGAATCTATTCCATAATTTATTTTTATAATCCGCCTCTATTCTAATTGCTACTAGAATTGTTTTTCTTAGTTTGCTCCTTCATGATGTCTGAGACTTTGTAATGCTATCCTTGGTTTGCAGTTGTTGCCATCGGAACACTTTTGTTAACTTTACGTGGTGTTTCATTTTCTTAAAATTGAGCAAGATCAAGTTACTGTTAAAGTTATAATTATTGCATCTAAGCTGAATTTGGCAATCCCTAAGAATGATATTACTTTTGTGAAATTTATTGTTAATTATTTTGTTAATTCATAAGATATTGGCTGCAATTCTCTCCAAGCTTTTCTTGAAGTAGTTTCATCATCAGCTTCTCATGTTCTTATTTGTTCTAAATATTGTTAACAAGTTATCTGTTGCTCGACTGATTGTCTCTTGATAAATTATTCTAAGAATTCACTCCTGTATTATTATTGTTATTATTAATCAGATACTAGTTTAAATTCTCTTAGCTCAATTCATTTTAACTCTCATTGTAGCTGTTCATGCTGCTGCTGTTGGTGTAAATGTGGTGATTATTTATATTATTGTTGGTGTTATCAGTTAAATTTGTCACTTAGTTGCTGCTGGTGTTTTTGCTATGAGGCAATTGGTTAGAGCTAGAAACACCTTTAGCTTAATTTAGATATCCGTTATTCGAATCTAAATTTAAGTACTGTCCACTTTGATCGAGCTTATTTATAATTGCATTTAAGCTTTCATCTCCAGTTAATAAACGAACTGTTTGGTCATCCAAATCGTCTTGATTTTACTTAGAAGTTCTGATCATCATATTGTTTTGATTGTTTGCATTATTTATATTTGGGGATGAAACTCTCTATTGCTAATTAAACATTTTGAAAAAGTTATTATTGGTGTTGTTGTTTGAATTAGGAGCAGAGAGTTTACTTAATAAATTAGTATTACTGTTTACATTGGGTCTTTTTTGAACAGTTTGCTGTAGTTATTACTATATTTTTTAATTAGGAGTTGAGCTGTAGGGATTAAAATTTTGTTGAGCGTTTTTTAAGTTCAGTTATTCTTCTAAATTTAGTGCTTTTAAATTTAATTATTCATTAATCTAATTGAAAGCTTCTTATGGGATGTATTAAGGAGTGAATCTACGATCTAAATTAATGTTCCCTTATTATTTTGCTTAGATATTTTGTTTTGTTTGGCTACTTTAGTTGAAAAACTACTGCTGTTGTTACTGAAGCTAACTTTATAGAATGGGAACCGATTGTCTTTGTTATTCCAATTAAGGACCAAGACCAGTAGCGTTGGAAGTAGCTACCTTTTATAGGATGCTGTTCATTTATTATTGTATCGGTGATATTGCATGCTGCTTAGCACTGCTATTATTATTGTGAGCATTGAGATTATTCGATAACTATGTTCTGTTAAATAAATCTTAAATCTAATTGGAATTATTTCCAGCATTAGAATTATGATTGCCCATAACACCTCCATTAGGTGTAACTGATCTCTTAGAATTTGTATTATTCAAAACATTATTTAAATTCTGAGTACTGAGAATTGAATTTATGCTGTTAACACCTGGGTTATTTTATTAAGATGAAAGGTTATACTAATTGTCTTATTGCTGAAAGTTCTTATTAATGTTTTGTTTTCCATAGTTCAAGGAAGAAGGTAGATTATTGTTTGCATTTAGAATTTAATTGTTGTTATTGTTGTTGCTGTTTTTAATATTTGAAGTGAGAAGTGTTTGGTTTGTTTGAGCCAGAGAAGATTGTTTAAATAGATTTTGACTTGCAGCTGATTAAGAAGATGTTTATGCATTATTATATGCTCCACCTGCATTTTATGTAAAATTAGCATTTGGATTTTTAGACAATTGTTTAAGTTTGTTGAGTATTTCCTAATTAGTTGCATTAATATTATTGCCATTCTTTTTTTCTTTTTTTTAAAATTTATTTTAAACGAATTTTTGATTAATCTCTAGATATTTTTGAAAAATACTTTTTATATCATCACCCTGTTTATCGTTGGTAACACGGGTTCTTTCCAGTGAGCTTTCCAAGCTTCGATCGATCTGTTAAGAAATAATTTTAAAAATTTTGCTTTGATTAAATTGGCTAAATTAAATAAAATCCTTCATTAAAAAATAAAAATTAAACATTATCCAATAAGATGCAAATATTTTTATCAGTAAAATTTATAAACCATTTATTTAAAAATTAAAAAGCAGTTCTGTCATAAATTTCATGCATTTTTTGCTTGAAAATTAGATATTTTCGATGTCAAAATTAATTTTTTTATTTTAAGTATTTTGTGTTTTGAAGAGAGCTAAAAATAAGTGAGTCAGTGAATCAATAAATTGAGTAAATACTGATAATAACTTTAGTTTGAGTAAATTTTACTTATAAAAATTTTAGTTTGAGTAAATATTGATAATAAAAATATTATTTAGAGTAAATATTAAATTAATTTTTTTCGATTTAAGTATTTTATGTTTGAAGCAAACTTAAAAAATATTTGATTGAATTAAAAAATAAATATTTTAGATTTAGTTTATAAAATTTAATTTCATAAAATGCAAATCAATTTATCAATTAATGATGTTAATTTTTTATGAGTGTATTTTTTTATTGAAATTGACTAATCTTATTTGAGAAAGCATTGGTGAACTGATTAAAATACTTTCGCATGAAATTATTAGTGATTTGAATTGGTGACATTCACTATAAATTGACGATTATTTTAATTTTATGAATCATCATATTTGAATTTATTTCTTTAAATTTTTACATTCATACTTTTTAGTTCGAATAACAATTTAAATCAAATCAAATCAAATTGAATTGATTGTGCTGCTTAATTAATAGCCTTATTTCTTTATTAATTAATTTGTATATTTACTAACAGTTTCTCAATTTGATTGAAAGCTTTAACTTACTTATAAAATAATTAAACAAACACATCTTAGCTTTTTAAGAAGGATTTTATTCAAATTATGGCAGTTTATATCTAATTCTAATTACGTTGATGTTTTCACTAGATTTATTTGGTGTTATATTGGTCGTACTGCGAGAATATATGTTAAAATTTTGATGACTAATTGGGTTGTTACTTTAATAATTGTATGATTAATTCGTTGCTTATGGGATGTCTTCTTGAAATACTGTCCTGTAACCGGTTTATTTCATATTTTACCCAACAAAATAGCCATTGTTGGCACTCTGGTTTGTCCCATTTGCATACGTTTAATTTAATTAATTTGGCATAATGTTTTAATAATTATCGCTTCTTGGTGAAAGAAAATTGCTTAAACCAATTTTGCCCTATTCTTGTATTCCTGCTCGCTCTAAATAGTTTAAAAAATAACAAAGAATTATTAATTTATCATAAAATAATTTTGTTGGATTTAGTTAACAACAAATTCCGCTCAATTTAACTTTATATTTAAATGAAAAACTAGAGCTTGCTTTATATTTTGTTATATATGCTGTTAAATTTGCAAATTAAAAAAACCTCTACTTGGAGTGACTGAGTTGTATGTAAGAGAAGCATTCCCCTTAGGATTTGAGTAAGGAGCTGTTCTTTCAGTTAAGCACGGCTTTGCAGGGTTATATCCTAAATAGTGCTTATTTTCTGATGGATTGATAAATTTTTTCTGCGTACTTTAGAGGTAACTACTCATCAAATTTTACAAAGTTAGTATTGCTTTAATGAAATATGATCAGCTATTGCTTTTTCTAATAAATAATAAACACCTATCTTTAACTTTTAAAATCCCTCAATACAAATTCGACCTTATTTTATTTTTTCTAATAAAGATAAATGACAGCTTTAACTCCCTATTTTATGTAAATTCCAATTGTATTTCTTAGCCTAATTAGGTATCCTGGGTTCTAAATATTTCCCTTTTTAACTTTACTCTCTTTTTTTTTGCTTTTTAATTAAATGCTTGCTTGCTAGTTTGTTTCTTTATTTTTGCTTCTGTATTGTATGCGTTTGTTCTTATTATTTTGATTTATTTATTTATTTAATAATTTTTACTATATTTTGTGTATTTCTTAATCAATTTTCCTTTCTTATTTTTTTTATGCCCTCTTTTTAATGAACTGCTTAATTGCTTTATTATCTGTTTTGAAATGTTACTTAATATATATACTATTTTGAATGTTATTCTATGAAATCATTATTTGATAAAAATCAAATATAGTAGTAGCAGAAATAATATTCATTAACACTGTTTGGCTCATTAATCACAAGCTTATCATTTTCATTCTTAGTTATTTTTTCATTCATTTGTTTTTCTTATTTGAGCGAGCACACTATTTATTAATTGATAAATTATTTCTAACCAAATTAATTTCTGTGAAAATACACGATACCCAATCAACTGAAACTAATAAAAATAATCACGCAATTAAATCAAAATAGACTTGAAGAAACCACAAGTTATAATTTAGTTTTACCCTGAAACATCTTGTTTTAAAATGTTTTTCTAGAAATATTTAAAAGTCTCCAAATAATAAAAGCAAAGAAACTAATAATTACAATATAATTTCTATGGTTTTCTTTAATTTCTTTTTACTATCTAGTTAAACTGTTAATTACATTATTGAAATCAATCTATCACTTTAATTATTTACTCTTTTTACAAAAAAAATTATTGACTCTACTGATTCAAAACTATTTAGAATTACTTCTATTTGTCTCTTTCACGAAATATAAGCAATCAAATGGATGGTTATTAAGAAATAGATTTTTATTAAAATACTTTAGACTGAACGAATAAAAAAATGTGATATAAATTAAGTCTAAGAAGTTTAGAACTATTTTTCTTGAAAAAATAACATTAAAAAAGAGCTTTAAAATCAAATTTATAAGTAAAAACTATCCATTTCTGATTTGCTAACAAATTATCAGCAATTTTAAATAAAATTTTGCAGTAAATATTTTATTAATTTAATCATTGACAAGCTGCTATTTAGATTAATAAACAATTTATTTCTTTAAAAATTAACATTCAAATTTAAAAAAATAGATTTAAAAAATTATTAAAATAATAATTTATTTATCAAAATATTAAATTAAAAACAAATTAATTTATTTTGAGGAATTTTAGTCAATTTAGATATAGTTAAAAATCATTTATAATTTAGAAAATTATTTCATTGATTTTGTATCATTTTTTAACAATTGAAAAGTTGAAAATATTCTTAATTTTTTAAATTATCTGTCAAATTAAATTGTATTAATTTATTCTTTAAATAAATTTTGATATTTAATTAAATAAAATGAGCATCTTTTATCGAAAACATTAAAATAAAATATGCAAAATGCATTTAAAAGTAAAATCATAAACCAAATATTAATTTTTTAAGTTTAAATTTATTTTAATTTCATTAAAAAAGAATTTATCAAATTAAATTCACAATTTTTAAAATATAAAATTTAAATGAAGAAAAGTTTTTTAATTTTAACAAAATAAACCTTAACAAACACGAATAAGAAATATTCTTTAAAAATTTTTATATAAAAATCAAACAAAGGTAGAGATTTAAATAAACGAATAAAACTAGCTGAATTTAAAATATTGAAAAATTAAATATTTCTTTATTAAATTAATTTTTAAAGTTCTATCTGTCTCTCTACTATTTCTTTAATTCCTTAATTTATTGATAAAATGTATATTTTGAGATTAAAATAAAAATAAAAATAATAAAAATAAAAATTCTAAACATTTATTTAGCTTTAACTTTCTAGTTAAATATTTTGTATTTATGTTAATTTATTAAATTTAATATGAAGCCGTTAATATCATTTAAACAATTTCTTCTATTTATTTTTAAATATTATTAGTTTGTTTTCTTCTTACTATCAATTATAATATGTATTAAGAATTGTTTATTTATTGCATGTAATATTTTCAGCAAGAATAGCTTTATTTAATATATTTATTTCCTTATTTATTTAATAAATTATCAATCATCTCTTCCTAAATTTATATGATGTCTATCTTTTTCTCCTGAATTCAGATTTTAATTATATCTTAGTCCTTTTTAAACAAAATAATATTATTAGTGAGTCAAATTATCCTAGGATCTCCTTTCCTTTTTTCTTGTTTGTTTTGATGATTCTGTTATCTTTTTTCATATTTGTGTGTCTATTCTTTAATAATATTGATTTATACTGTTGTCATTCTTATAATTTATCTACTTATTTTTTAATAAATTTAATTTAACAATTTAATAAATAAAAATAATTTTTTTTGTTAAGTTTGAATTATTTAATAGATACACTAATTTATCTCAATTAAAAACTTAATTTTTTAACAAAATAAATGATTTAATTATCCTATACAATACATAAATATGTTGATTGATTATAATATTTAAGTTATTAAATAATTTAAATGTAATTAATGATCAGCATGGAGTAATTTAGAAATATTATAAAGAATGATGAAGAAGTATTTATATTCATGTTAACTAAGCTAGATATGATGGTAAATTACTTTTATTTTTTAATTTATGATTAAATATTATTCAATAGATTATTTATTTTATCTAAAATATTACTTAAAAAGAGATGAATTTAGTCATTTTTTAAAATTTAATGTTTAAGAATTTACATCAAATATAACAATTGAAAACAGACTTATTTAAATTTATTTTTGATATCATTTAATATTCTTAAAATCTTAAAACATTAATTAATATTTATCAAATTTGTCAAAATTTAATAATTTCAATCAACAAACAATTAAAAATCTGTTAATTTTTTATTATTTTAGAGGTTTTTTAATTACTTGAATTATAAAAATTGATTGAAAATATTTTATTACTTTTAAAAAATTCAAAAATAAAATGTTTTTTTTGATGAATAAAGAAAGGAAAAAAAAAATTGTTTGTTTCATTTTAATTAATAAATATATTTATAAATTTATGGATTTTTGAAAATTTGTTTATTTTTTTCTTTTTCTTACTTGATTCTTTGGTGTTTAAAATATAACTTTTGATCTGATAAAAAATATAAATTGATATTCATTCGTTAATAATTTATAGTTGAAAAAAAAGTTAGGAAAAAAAACATAAGGAAATGTCTAAGAAATCTGGTAAATAAGAATGCAAATTTAAAAAAAAACAATAATTAGATGGATAAAATGTGAGACTAAGGTCTAATCTATTTGTTTTTAATTTTATAGGTAAGGGAAAGGGTAAAAATGACGGAGATGAGCTAGGAGCAGAAAAGGAATAAGTTTTGCGTACTAAAGTTGAATCACTGATTTAGAGATTAGGTATGTAGATTAGCAATATTATTTTATTAGACTATAAACGCTTTAACAGATTGAAATATTCTTTTATTTATTCTTAAAAGGTCATGAATAAGAAAGAGCAGATAGAGCTAAAGCTGCAGAAAACGAATTAAGAGCAAGATTATTTGATTTGGATAAAGATTTTAAAAATGAAAAAGATAGACTTTTTTCAATTACGTAAATATTACAAACAAAACATTTATTAAAATAATTTATTATTCTTTTCTATCATGATTGCTTTTTAGCTGATTATTTTTAGCAGATAACATATTGGGTTTAATTTTTAAGGACAAAAAGATTTATTTTTTTTGTTTTAATTTAATATAGTTCAGATATGACAAGACAATATAAATAAATGCAAGATGAACTTTTAAATCAAGTCAATGACTTAAACAAAACAGTTATTGAAAAAGATGAAGAAATAAGTAAAAAATAAATGAATTAAATGCTATTGATTTAAAATCATTTTTTATTAAAAATAATTTGCATTTACTAAATTTGCAACAACAAAAAAAAAATAAATTTTAACAACAAATTTATTTGAGATAACTTTGTAAGTTGAAATAAATATTTTAAACAAACAGAGAAAAAAGATTAACAAATTTAAGATATGACTAAAGATTATGAATACAAACTCAAGAAAAAAGATGATGAAATATAAGATTTGAAGAGAAAGATAGAGGAAATGTCTGCAGAATTCGCTAAGATGCTTAAGGTAATAAATATCTAAAAATTATTACAAATTAATTAGCTCATAAAAGCAAATAAGAATAAGTGAATGAATAAATGATCAATAAATTTAAAAAATAATTTAAAGCAAACAATAAAAAATATTTTTAAAAAATTTTTATACTATTTAAAAATAATTTCAAATAGTTTTTAAGGCTAAAAAATAAAAAAATAATTATAAATTTATTTACTTATTGTTAATCTTTTTAAAAAATAAAATAACAGGATACTCTTGACAAAATGCAAGAAAGAATTGAAATGGTTCAATGGGACTCTGATACTGATCCTCAAATGATGAAAAGGTTAAAAGATATGACTGGGCTTTCAAACAACTGAGAAAAATGAATGAAAATAAAACATTTTAACATTTAATTTGAAACATGGCATGCATACAAACAGATAACTAAATAAATAAAGAAATAATAAACAAATAATACATAAATAAATATCATAATTAACACAAACAAAAGAATTTATCATTCAAAAAATAAATTAAAAAAAAAATAACTGGGACTTTCTTCTTTTTGTTAGAAAATTCGTCACACAATTAAAATTTGATTAAAAAAAAATAAGTTGAAAAATAAATAGTGACTGACCTACCCACTGATATATGAATGAATAAATCATACATAAATAAAGTAGAGTAATTAAATTTATTAAGAATAGATTTAAATAAATTGTGTGTTTGTTATATGTTTTTAAATTAAATTCTTCTATAAAATTATTAAAATCCTCATATTAAATAAATTAAATTCATTTTATATAGCGATATTCTCAAATTGTTTTGTTATTTATTTTTATTGGATTTTTTGCAAAAATTTGATCATGAAAATTTAGATTTAATTGAATTAATTAATGATACAAAATTTAATTTGCTTAGAAAATATTGATTTATGAAAAAAATAATCAAAAATAAATTAAATTTCGATTAATTTTGTTAGAAGCTCAAATTTAAAGGAAATTAATAAATTAATTCATTCATAAATAGATTGATAATTAGATAAAAAAAATAGGGGTATGTATGTTTAGTAAAGAGAAGATTGATTTTTTTAATTAATTTTACTTGAATAATTTATATATATATATATAGGCTCAGATATGAATAGAAATTATTTAGATTCTATTCGGAGATAATGAAATTAAATTAATTCCAAATTACATTTCTTGATGAATAAGCAATTTTAATAAATGTAAAGACTCTACTCATTATTTTAATAGATAAAATCGCTATTATTTTATTGCTTTATCTTACTCTTAAAACACATTTTTAAATATTTTCAGATAATTGCAATTATAGACAAAATTTATCCAAATTTGCTTTGTTGTATGTATTAACGTTATTTTTAACTTTTTAATTTTTTTTTCTTATAATTTTAAAATAACGCAAATAACATCTATTTATCTATTTGTTAGTTTTATTTTTTTAAGTTTCGAGGTATCTTAGATTAGTTTATTTATACAAAAACATGCAAGCAAAATGTCAACTTAGCAAATAGATAAAATATTTTTCATATAACACTTAAGACACGTTTATTAAGCTTACCGCGCTAAGTATTCATAAATACTGAAAAGAATTCATTTAAACGTAATTCAAAATAATGATTATGATGCTGATAATGATAATAATGATAATTGAATGATCACAGCTCTTGCTATCTAACTAAGACAAATCCAAAAATATATTTTGTAAGTAAATATCAGAACTATTTAAGATAGAGTTTAAAAAGTAAAATGCAAATTTAAGACCTTTGCGGAAATGGACTTGGTATTAAAAATGAATTATTTAGATAGAAAAATAATGGATTGTGAGGAGTGAATGCGATACTTACTTCGTTGAAAATAGGTTTTTATATGCCAAAATTTCTGAACAATAATTATTAGATGTTTATATTAAGGCAGAGAAGATTTTATTACTTTTGAAAAATTAGGTGCGAGAATTAAAGAGATTTAATAATTATTTAGTGAATTAATGTGATTTAAAACTACAAACAAATATATATAATTGAATGAATAAATATATCTTTAGATCTATTTATTAATCAATCAATCTACTGATTGAACCTTAAAAACAAATTCTGATTAAGAAATAATTAAAATTAGTTATTTGTTTGTCAATTAATGAATAAAAGAAAGAAAGAAAGAAAGAAAGAAATAATGCTTTGTCTTTATTTGTTTTTTACAAGTGATTTATTTATTCTATTGATTTTTATATATAAAATTAAGGCCTTTATTTTTTTACTATTTTTTGTTTGCCCTAATTTTGTTTTGATTTATTTTGTTCACTTGTTTTTGATTTGATTAATTTTTTTTTAATTAATTAATTAATTGATTGATATATTTAACTAACCTTATTACTTATACAATTTAATATTTAATATTTGAATGTATATAAGTAATATCAATGCATTTCACATGAAAATTAATTGCTAAGTATTTATTTGTTTTCCTTTAGTTTATTTATTTATTTGTTTATTTAATTGTTTTCAGCTAATTCACTGCTTCTTTCTTTCTTTCTTAGTTTGTTTGTTTGTTTATTTGTTTATTTATTATTTGATAGATAGATAGATTGAAATGTTATTATGATTTCTATAATATTGAAATTACTTTTATTTATTAAATAGTAGTTTGCGAGGTTTATTGCTTTTGCTCATTGTTGTCACCGCAGTTGGCTCTCTTGTGAAGCTCCTCCAACCGAGCAATCAATATATCAATCAATTAAACAAACATATAAAATTTTTAGGTGTTTGTGTGTTTTCCACCTTTTTATTTTACTTTTTCATTAACTATTTTCTCTTTTATCCATTTTAAACTTATACCATCTTATTTATTTCATTAATGATGTTTCACAATTTTATTTTGCTTTTTATCTTATTTCTTCTTCATCTTCATTTATCTCTCTGTATGTATGCATGTCTCTATGTTTGAGTGTATGTTAATCTATCTTTCTATCCATTTTTCAAACGAACTAATATAAAAATCTTAAAGCTCTCTGATCTGACTCATCATTTTTTTGTTTTTTCTTAAAATCACGTTCTACTGCTTTTTGTTTCATCTTTGTGCTCCAATTTTTTAAAAAATATCCCATTGTTTCTCTTTTTTTAAAAATTAATTTTTGTTTAGCTCATTTTTCCTCACATTTTTTATTTTTTATTTTTTAATTTTTTTCCTCCATCTCCTTGTATTTTTTTTTCTCGCTTTAATTTTTCATAAATTTGGTTTTCTTCATTTTTTCCTCTGCTTCATATTTTCAGCAGACTTTTTTATAAAAATAGTTTTTGATTTTTTTCTTTTACCATCTTGTGAATGAATATTGAGCGAATGCTTGATCATTCATTTTCTTGATTCTAGTATATTTTTTAATTTGAGGAAAAAGCTTATTTCATTTATGATTATTTGTTAATTTAAAATTTTTCTTCCTTTCATATTTTAAATATTTTTTTCTTCTCAGCCTCTTTCCATCCATTGTCTAAATTCACTTAAAAAATACTTCTATCTTTATAAACTTTTAATTTATTTTCAATTAATCCATATTTAGTTTTATTTAAATTCCATTGACAGATTACAATAAAATTCTTTGTTTTTTAAAATTAGAGTAGTCATTCCACCCACAAACAATCATCCATTTTTTAAATTTTCAGCAGTTATTAAAGATTTTTTGACATTCTGCATTGAGTTCATTTATCTGAAAAGCCAAGATAGATAGTATTTTATTTATATTAAAAGAGTTCATTAATTCTTGTAATTTATACTTTCAGATTAATGAAAGAAATAGATAAAAACGCTTAAAAATATGGCTAATACTCAACATCAAATTCTGTAGATTAAATAGACAACTGAGCAGAAAAATAGAAGTAAAATAATATCCCCTTTTTCAATATTGCTGAGGGTTAAAAACTTATTATTTTCAGCCTAAATAGGATCGAAATGAATGAAATCTATTCCTTTATTTGATAGCATTAATTGAATATAAATATATAGCATCTTACTCTAATCAATAAAGTTCTTAATTTTTTTCAAGATTTTGTATTTCCCTACGGGTTATTATGAAACGCACATCCACCCTAAAAGCTAGCTTACCTGAGCATAAAAACTAAACAAAAAAACATGTAAAAGAGTAAAAAATTTTCTTTTTGCATAAAAAAATACCCTCCTAATTTCTTCCTTACCATTTTCTCTTAGAAGTGTCGAATTAAAACAATTTAGACTTTTCTTCTCTTTTGTTGCTTTCGATCTCTTAAATAAAAATCTTTTGTATCTATGTTAGGGTCTAACTAAAATGGAGCATTTTTGTAATAGTAGCAGTAGAATTTTTTATAAAATAAAATGATAAAATCACAATGAAGGAGAAAGCTCTCAAAATGAAATTTGAGGCCATTTTGAAAAAAAAATTATAACATTTATAGAAATTCTATTATAAAAGCAGACAAACATAAAATTTAGTATTTGCGTCTCTAAATTTAAATAGATTTGATTTGAAAATGTGATTAATTTTGAAAAGATATCAGCAGCAAGCAGAACAATTAAATAAATGCATGTTTGAACCAATAAGTCAAAAATTACAGCAGTACAGTTTTTTAGAATTAAAAAGATTAAATCAGAAATTTTAAATTCGCAATTAGTCAGTATGAGCAAATCTCTTATAAAAATGGATATCATCTTGGTTAATAAACACAACAGAGAGAAAATTGGAAATGATTATTTGAAATAAAGATGAGATTAAGCTCAAATATTTTGAAAAGTATTTCAATAAGATAAAGGAAAAAAAGGTCGGACTAACTTAAAAATAAATAAATATATGAAAGAGGTAAGTAAGTAATTTAATCAATTAAAATATTCAAAATTTTAAAAATTGATAAACTGAAGAAAGTATGAAAGTAGGGAGGGGTGCTTAATTATTTATTAATTATGAGGAAAAAAAGATTTATTTTTGTTTAGGGAAAATGATTTAGAAGGAATAGACTATTAAAAATAAACAAGCTGTATTAATGATTTTAATCACTTTCAAATCATCAGTTTAGGTTAACTAAAAAATAAGAGAGTATGTTTGCATATATGTATGTCTAGAAGAAATTAACAATTGCTTCTTCTCTCTATGTTTTTTATTTATTGTTTTTTTTAGTGTGTATATTTGTAAATATGTTGTAGTCTGCCTATCTATTCAAAATGAAATATGAGCGAAATAATATTTTTTAATTTTTATGCAATGGTTGTTCGTGATATTCTTAAAAATTTACTTTTTTTATTCAAAGTTAAATTTAAATGAATGGACATATAAATTTATGAAGTCTTTTTCTATCTATCAATTAAACAATCTATTTATTACAAATGCATGTCTTTTGACAAATTAACCCACAATAAAATGGGGTTTAACTAGGTTAACTAATTTGCTACTATCAAATTATTAAGAAAAATGAGAGCGGAAGTCTGAATTTTAAATTCAATTTTTCTATCTTTTACTATTTAAAATACCCATCTTATATAGATGATAGGGACATAAATAGGTAGGTAGGCTTATATAACAATGTAGTTTCAGCAATGAAAAGGGGGCTATCAAGAAAAAAATCTAAAAGATTTTGCTAATAGGAATTATTATAACTTTAACCAATTTAATGAAGAAATGGATTGAGGTTTAAACATTAAGAATACAATGAATGTCGATATATTTATTTTTGTATTGTGAGTGATAAAAAAAGAATTCTTGACTTATGAATAAACAAATTAACCTGTAGGTCTAGTCTAATCTAGTCTGGTATGGTCTTGTTTATTTGATATGGTGGGGGTGGGGAGAAACAAATATCAAAAAAAATAAAGAAAGTGGAAGTTAGTTAGTTAGTTATTTATTTAGGTGTTTTGTTTTTTAGCTGATATATTTTTTTAGTTTGTTATCGAGTAATGAGGAGTACAATCTAACTAGCAAACTAACTTAGTAAATAAAGAAATTAATTAATTAGTATTCAGTAAATAAGGATGAGGGAGATGCGAGGGAGGTTGGGGTTGAGAAATTGGTAGTTGGATGGATGAATGATGGATGAGGTAGGTAAATGAGAATGGTGGTTAATAAAAATATACATACAGCTTGATTACTATGGAAAGAAACAAGAATATTAATTATCGACAGCACTTTAAGTATATATTTTTGATTAACTTACGTAATTGGAATAGAAATGGTGATTCCTTTGCTATAAACACTCTTTTTTTAGAAAATAAGAATATAATATTTTTCAAAACAAAACAAAATTAAATTAAAAAAAAATTTAATCAAAAAAAAAAACCTCAAAGTTTTTTGAAAAAAGCAATTAAAAAAATAATTTTCACACAAAACAGTAACAAAAATGGCTAGAACTAAATAAACTGCTAGAAAGTCAACTGGTGTTAAGGCTCCTAGAAAACAACTCGCTACCAAGGCTGCCAGAAAGTCTGCCCCCGTCTCTGGTGGTGTCAAGAAGCCCCATAAATTCAGACCTGGTACCGTCGCCTTGAGAGAAATCAGAAAGTATTAAAAGACTACTGACTTACTTATTAGAAAGCTCCCCTTCTAAAGACTTGTCAGAGATATTGCTATGGAAATGAAGAGTGATATCAGATTCCAATCCCAAGCTATCCTTGCCCTCCAAGAAGCCGCTGAAGCCTACCTCGTCGGTTTATTCGAAGATACCAACCTCTGCGCTATCCACGCTAGAAGAGTTACTATTATGACCAAGGATCTCCACCTTGCTAGAAGAATTAGAGGAGAAAGATTCTGAGAGCTCTCTCTAATAATTAACTTAATATATAATACACACATATAATATAATGTTTTCTTATTATGGGAATGCAGCTTGCATCTTGATGCTTTTTACTCTCTTTGATTATAAATAAACTTCATTGATTCATACGGATACATAAAATCATACTCTATATCAAGTACTTTATTCACTCATTCATTGATGAGTGAGTGAATGAATGAAAAAACATGGGTGGTTGATTAACTTATTAATTAATTTAATATAAAGACTGCATATATGCCAATCAACATGCATACATGCATGAAATGTAATTAATTGGTCCTGACAAATAAATTATGTATAAATAAATAAATAAAACTATTAAAACGCATTGAGCCAAAAACAGCTTGCATACTGCATCTTCCAATTACTTGTTTCATACACTCTTATATAAATTTAAATTAGTGGTATCAAATCACATAAAATATATATAAATATATATTATGTATAATCTTAATTTTATTGCTAATCATCTCTTTCAATTGAAAAAGCTTATCCAAAAAATTCAATCAAACATATTTAATTCCTTCATTCATTCATTAACATATATTTAATCCTTCTCATCTAATTTTTACATTCTATTTTATCATTATTACTTCTTATTAATTTAAATAAATTCCCCCTTTTTAATTTAAATGTAATATAAATAGAAAGACAACCAGACAGACAGATACACAAGCAAACAAATAATTTTCAATTTTAATATCAATAATTTAATTTCTTCTCTTTGATATTAAGCAACATAATCTCATTGTTTTTTCTTTCTTATTTATCTCTCTTTCTCAAAATCCATCATACACATACTCATTCATGAGCATATTAACTAACTAGCTAGTTAGCTAATTAACTAATTAACTAAAAATAGGAATATCCAATTTTTGAATTTACTATTAAAAATAGCCTTTTATTAGATTTTTTGCTTTTAGTAATTACTCTTCCCTTTCGTGTTATTGCTCACAATCAATCAAACAAAGCGATAAAAATATATTTTTAGCTACTTAGATAAGCAATAAATTTATTAATTCTTTTTTAACACTTAATATAATTAGCTCTCCTGCATCTCAATCTCAACCTAAATCACTTATCTCTATGAATTAATCTTATATCATAAAATTACTTAAATTTAAGCATCATGAATTACCTTTCTTGAACAATTTCAAAAACCTTAGTTACACAAAATGATTACGAATTCTGAAAATTTACAAAATGAATATTTCAGTTTTTTTCAAGCAAAAAAAAATAAAAAAAAATACAATTACAAATTAATATTGTGACTCAATTATCTAAAAACGAATTAAACTAGCCTTTGCATGAAAATAGATAATTCATATTCTGAAATTATCCCTTATTTCTAGGATGGTGAACTATTTATTTTATATAGATGAAATCTAATTATTACTATTTTAAATTACAAATTTCCCCGCCTATCCTAATTTTTAAAAACATAATTTTATTGAAAGAGTAAATTGCTATCTATATATATATATTTCTTTATCTATTTTAAACATGCAAAAATGATAAATGAAGCTTTCTAAATAGCAAAAGTTCCCTTAAGCTTGTTCAAATACTTTACACATTCAATTATTTTCATTGATTAAAAATAAATTTATTTAAAATTGCTGCAAAGCTCATGTTTCTTATCATCATTTCATCAAGTATCAATCTAACTCCAAAAAGAAAGAAAGAAAAAATAGATGATATTATTATCAGTAAAATGCATTCTAGTTGTTTGTCTCATTAATCATTTCTTTTTATCTGGCTATTAGATAAAACAAATGACAAATAAATACTTCTTTAGAGTGATGCTTGTTTACTCATAGTTAAATTAATTAATTGTCTGATTTTTATTAGCCATTTAATATCCTTATCCTTTAATTTAAAAATCTTCAGAATTAGAAATAGTTAAGGCATTTTATTATCCATTAGTTTTAAGTGCTTTGTATATTTGTAATAGATTATTATTTCCCTTTTAATAAGATAGATTTTGGAAAATTGATGACATATATTATGTTTAGAAATAAATTACCTGCTAATATTTTAATAAGAAATATATCTTTACTCATATACTTATTATATCATAAAAAGAATACTTTATTTATTTAAAATAAATTTAAAATTCAACTTCCTCTCTGTTCTAAAATAGCTTCCTTAAGCTCTGCATTTGATTTCTTTCTGAAATTAAAACTTTGTATTAATTTTATTAAATTCAAAGAAGAAGTACATATATATTATCTACTTATATCTTCTACTTTCTAAACCCCCTCGAATGGTTTATTTATTTGTTCGTTAGTTATAAAATACTTCTCATTTTCCAATAAATCTTTAAAAAAAATATAAAGACAGTTTTTCATTCCTTTAAAATAGAATTGAATTGAATTGAATTCAAATTAAATTCAAATTCAATTAACAAAAGGTATTTAGGAGAAGTCTGCAAATTAGTTATTTTTCTTTTTTTGCTTTCTTGGAAAAGTTTATTCAGACATCCATAAATAAAAAAGAATGATTGCGTTGTCATCATTATATGAAATACGATGAAACCTCCATTAATTTAACTCTATGTCTGATAGATATTTACAAAAAAAGCCAAATATTTGCAGTTTAATAATTAGTTTTTTTAGAAAAATTTAAAAGACTATTAAATAATTCATATAAATAAATTTACTCGTATTTTAGTTTATTTAATATTAAACAAGCAAGCAGTGGATATTATTGCTTTTATTTTGAATAGCTTTCTTTATTAATTTATATTTATTCGTTTTACTTAGCAAGATTATCTATGCCTTTATTAAGAAGATTATCTATGCTTTTATTAAGAAGATTATCTATGCTTTTATTAAGAAATACATCATTATTAATTTAAAATTAATAACCTAGCAATTTAAGTACCGCTTATCTGTCTGTGAAAATTGAAATAAAAAAGCAATAAAAGAAGTTTAAATCAATGCTAACTGGATAAAAATTTCAAATTGTATGCAAAAATTAGGAAAATGAATTGCTAAGATGAATATTAAATAATGGAATAATTATTGTAAAAGGTTTGCTTTATGAAAAAAAAAACTAATTGAATAATGCTAACTTTATTTTACTCTTGTACTGGAAATCAAATAAGAAAGAAAGATTGGTGATTTGAAAATACATGAAAATATAATGAAGTAAATAATTTAAATTATTAAACACTAACGATAGTAAGTAAAAAATTTTTTTATTTATATATTTTTTAATAAGAATTATGCAAGCAACCAAAGAAGGAAGTAAGATAAAAAGAAAAGAAGGAATGTAGGAAGCAACTTCCAAAGTTAATCTCAATAAGTAAAATGAAAAAAGTATTATTTTCTGATCAAAGATAAATACCAATTGAAATTTGTTTTTATTTTCAAAAAAATTCATAGATTGATTGATTTGTTTGTTTGCTCATTTGACTTTTAGAACAAACAAACAAACCTCTACAAAAACCTATTCTACAGAAATTAGCAAATAAACAAGCAGCCAATAAATTTATTATTCAATCAATCAATATTTTTCTAGTTTTCATTTTCTTTTTTGCTTTTCGTCTTATTTTCTAATTTTTGTCAATTTTCCTCTTTGTTTCATTTTTAAAAATAAAAAGAAATTTCACAAAAACATTTATCTAAATATGCAAAAAATTATATGCATGGGCACATAAATTCGTAGATTCATTCATTCATACATACTTTATTTATTTATTGATTGATTGATTGATTGATAAATACCCTCTTATAATGTGTTTAATAAGAATAAATATTTTTATGAAAATTAATCCTCTTTTCATTTTTAAAAAAGTTTATATTCTCTCACTTCCTGATCTTAGACTAGACTTAATTTTCTTTTATAAAGGCTCCATAGATGCTGAATGTTTGATGCCTCTACAAAAATTATATGCTTTAATAAATAATTTATTTATTCATTGTCAATTTTCTCACTTTTCTTTTCCTTTACCTTTGATAACAATATGTATGAAGCATTATAATAAGTAGTCATTTTTCGAAGATAAATTTTGTGTATGAGATCATTTTTCCTGTCCCTTTCTTCTATACGATTAAGTCAAGTAAATCGCCGTCACCTATTTGATTAGTCTACAGACTAATTAATTTATTCATTTTTATGTTTTGCATAAATTAATTATAAAACCATTATTACAATCATAATTAACTCTCTATATTACTTTGCTTGCTTTTTTATTAAATCTTAAAAAAATAAACTAAAAAACCATTTTCTATTAGAACAATTTCTTCTTTCGTCATTTATTAGAACAACCCTAGTGATTCTTCAATTTATACGCCATTTTTAAAGCTCGATGGTATTCTTTTTCATTATTTTATTTTGTAAACTCCTTTCAGTAAATTGTGAATCCCTTGAATAAAAATTGATAGAAAATACTAAAATGGCGTATTTGGAATGTAATTGAAGAATGAAAAAAGGGGGAAATGATAGTGATTGTAAAATAAAGGAAGAGGTCTCCCATTTATCATTATAAAGCTTATTAAATTTATATTAAATTATTTTTGTCTTAAACCAACATTCTGATAAATACATGATAATTAAAATCACTTGCAAAACAAATTTATAAGAAATAGCGCAAATTAAATATAAAAGTAAGCAAATAAAAAAGTAAAAACAAAACAAAGGCAAAAAATAAACAAACAAACAAACAAATTAAATAATTAATTATTAAATTAATTCATCAATAAACAATCAGTCAAGAATTTTTGCAAATCTAAATTACCTTATTTATTTATTTTAGTATATTAATTTTACATATTGATAACTCAAACTTACTTTCCTGTTTTCATTCATTCATTATTTATTTATTTATTTATTATTTCCTTCATTAAATTAATATAAATAAACAAGCATCTTTAAATACGAATAAACACCATTGATTAGATCAAGATCTCTTTGAATAATAATTTTAATATTTTAATTAAAAATATTTTAAATTATTTGTTTGTTTAACTTATCCCTATTTCTTTTAAAAATTAATAAATATCCTTTGCAGCTTACTCTTTCATTAAATATCTACTATTCATAATAAACTTAATGCAAATAAAAATAAAGGTTTAATTTTATATCAATTAATCAGAGTATGTTAAAATTCTTTTTTTTTCATATTCATCTCTTAGTCAAGCTAGCTAAAAACACTTAATTTTACAAAAAATGGTGAAGAAATCTATTAAGAATAGAAAACAATAAAAACATTTGATAATTATATCTCATTAACTTATGATTTATATTAGCATCTATTGAAAAGGTTATTTTAGCTTCAAATGATCATTCTTCACTGATATCAGAGTTGATTTCGCAAAGAGAAATAATTATGTATGCACAGTATAAATCGAATTTTTAAATTTTGGGAGAAGCATTAATTAGTTAGACATAAATAATTTTAAATATTTTTATTTAGTTAGTTTTAGATGATATAAAAATATATTATTATATGCATTTATTTATACTTGTATGAGTGTATCTTTCAAATAATTGTTAATTATAACAATTTTAATATTTGTTAGATAATTCTTTTCTAACTAATTGAAATTAATAATTTAATGTTTTAAGAGTTATTGTGCTTGAACTATCTATTATTATTTATAATTAAAAACATTACTTAATTATTTATAAAAATATGTTTATATTTATCTATGATATATGACATTTGTTTATTTATTTATTGTTTTTTGAAAATGGCTTTGTAGTTTAGGAATCATACTAGTTATTTATTAAATAACTAACTTGTCTTGTTATGTTTCTTTTGTTTGAAATTGCTTGGTGCTCTTCCTTTGTTGAACAAAATATTATTCATATAATTAATTATTAATAAAAAATCTATTTATTCAACAACAACAATAGAAAATTCAAAATTTAAATAATGCCTAGGATAAAAACTTTGGCTAGAGGAAAAAAATTATTACTAGAAGCCTAATTTAAAAAAATACAGATGCAACGAAAAAAAAAAATGAATACAATCCTGATTTCAAACCAGGTAAATAAGCTTAAGGAGATTAAGATAATTGAAATAAATCCAGTGCAATGTCATTTTTTTAAATTACTTTTAACTTAAAAGACTATGTATGAGAAGAGTTCTTTCTTATCAACAACTTTAGCAGGAAATATTTTATAGGATTAACTATACTAATATTCAAGCAACAAATTTTGGAGATTATCACAAAAAGCTATTTAGAAATGGGGATTTATTTAATTTTCTAAGCAAGTTAACTACTTTGAAAAATATTTTGAGGATATTTGTAATAAAAATTAGAATTTTATTCTCAAATTTACATTCATTAATTCATATATATTTATATACACACATGCAAACAAACATCTACATATTTAACTATATTTTTATATGAGTAAATGTATAAATAATTAATATTTAATCTTGAATTTATATTGATTTTTTCATATTAATTTATAAAAGGAAATCCGAAAATATTTTAAATTCATTTTTATTTGTTTTTACTTCTCATTAAAAAATATTTTTCAATTTAGCAAATATTTTCTAACTTAGCCTTTGAAATTTATATAACAAAATACCAAACAAACAAAAAAAGAATATTTTGATTAAATACAAAAAAGCTATTGATTTTATGATACTACTTGTATTCAAAGATTTGTTAGATATATTCGGCTATAGAGCTCCTAAATACAAATAGATAGATAGACACTAAAGAAAATGGACATTTAATCAATATCTAACAATTTATTTTAAAAAATTGATTGAATAACTACATATCGAATGAAGAGTTAATAATGTTATGGTTTCTGGTTTGGATGGTTTTCATATTATAGATGTCACCATATTTATTAAAGAAAAGTTATAATTGATTCTAACAATATTGAAAGAGATTCAGGAAAGATGAAATTGGAGGAAAATGCAATAAATAGAAAATATTGTTACTATTTACATGATCAGTGACTTTACAGATAGTAAAAATGAAGATCGGATATAAGAAATTTTATATTCTTACTTTTCTGAAAATTAATTGGTTTGGTGATTGTAGAAATTATATTCTACTAGAAAGTATGTATATAATTTATGATTTCTTGATGTTACTGCTACATGTCGTAAAAAGTACAAACAAATTAACAAATAATGACAGTTCAATAAGAAACAATGTCAATCTTTGCTAGCAAAAGCATCTACATGATGCCACAATATTTGTGAGAATAGTGAGACGATTATCATAGGTCTTTGTACTTACATTCATTTAAATGACCAATAAGAAAATTGAATGCAGTTTACACTAGCTTTTTTATATTTAAGATAGATACTTAGAAATATATACAAATCAAATCAAATTTTACTGTTTGACAAATTAATTAACAAATTTATTGATATTGTATTTCTGGAAGATTTAAAAAATCATAGAGATATATTCTATTTGCTTAAATGATTGATAGATAAACTTTATTTTTTAACAACTTAAAAAATAGTTTTAAATATTTGATTATTTTGTTTAAAATATTTTCTTACTTTTCAAAGCTTAATTTATTTATTTTTGTTCATCTTTATCTAATTAAGAAGAGAATTGCCATTATTAAATTTATCTTTATTCATTAATATTAACAGGCTTTCATTCATTAAATGATTAATTTTCATCATTAAAAAAAAAAGTTTTATATTTTTTACAATCCTTAATGATGAAATTTTTAAAAACTAGATAGAAAATATTATTAAATGTTTATTAAAACATTTTTTTCATGTAAAATAGAAAGATGCAAAAATAAAATTTTTATTTGGTCTATTTTGATCTTGTCATTTGAAATTTTGAAAAAACCTAAATATGAAAAAAGAAAGATTATGTAAAAAAGGCTTTAAACGATCTCAGATAATTATTTTTATAATATGTTTTGTGAGTTACACAGTTTAGACGATTTTTTTGTGACGTATTAAGTGAAAAGTGATATATTTTAGAATAAGATGAATGGATGGATAGAGGATATCTCATGAAATAGAAATTTTCTTGAACCTGAAAATAAAAAATAAAAATATTACTTAATTTAAATATAAATGGGGTAGGTTAAAATTTAAAATAATAATTTGAGATTTAAATTATGATTTATGAATCAATCAAACTTAAGTAATATGTCTCAGTAAACAACTAACTCTTCAATCACCATAATATATATATACAACTCATGTTTTAGTTTTTTAATAACTAAATACAAAAATAAAAGTTATTTAATTCAATATATTGATTGAATCTACAAACTTTTGTTTATTAATTTAAAACTTTCTTGATATTTATTAATCGTAGCTAACTTTTCACTTAATATTTAAAATAACAAGCAAGCTCATTTAGAAAAAAAAAAATTGAATGATATTGATAAATGATCCATCTCATTATTTTTCTTTATAAAACAAATTATTAAAATATTTTTAATCAAAAAAAAATAAAATATTATTATTTTTTAATTATAAAAAGTAAAAATAATGCTTTTAATGAAACAACTTACATTTATTTATAATGATTTGTTAATAATTGATTATTATTTAATGTATAACCTATTAAACTAGAGTTTAAAATAATGAAAAAATGATCTTCTAATTGAAATTACAAAATAATAATAATATGAAATTCTAACAATAAAAAATTTTCTTATTTGAGTTTATAAATTCTTAATGGATGTGGCAAATTAAATAAATAAATAACTTATTTTTGGCTTATTTCTGCTAAATATATATATTTATTTTTTATTCAATTCAAAATTATTTTAAAAAAGTTCTTCAAATATCTAAATAAAAATTTATTCTATTCATAAAGAATTGTTTTAAATAAAATAATTAATAAAGAGAGTATGTATGAGTGTTAAATGTGTGTAATGACTACAAAATAAAAAATATTGTGCATATAAATTAAATAAATTAACAAAATTTCATTAAATTTTCATTTATTTTTATAAAAAGATTTATTTTCATATTTCTATCAATTAAACATTCTATTAATTACAAATGCATTTCTAAAGAAAAATTAACAGTCAATAAAATGGGTTTTTATTAGGTTAACTATTTTACTACTTACTATCAAATTATTAAGAAAAATGAGAGTGGAAGTCTGAGTTTTAAATTTAATTTTTCTACCTTTTACTATTTAAAATACCTATCTTATATAGATGGTAGGGACATAAATAGGTAGGTAGGCTTTTATAACAAGGGAGTTTCAGCAAAGAAAACGAGGCTATTAAGAAAAAAATCTAAAAGATTTTGCTTATAGGAATTATTATAACTTTAACCAATTTTATGATGAGATTTAAACATTAAGAATACAATGAATATTGGTATATTTATTTTGCATTTTGAGTGATAAAAAAATAATTCTTGACTTATGAATAAACAAATTAATGTAGGTCTAGTCTAGTCTAATCCGGTCTTGTTTGATATGATAGGGGTGGGGAGAAATGAATTTCAAAAAAATAAAGAAAATGGAAGTTAGTTAGTTAGTTATTTATTTAGGTGTTTTGTTTATTTAGCTGATATATTTTTTTAGTTTGTTATCGAGTAATGAGGAGTACAATCTAAATAGCAAACTAACTTAGTAAATAAAGAAATTAATTAATTGGTATTCAGTATGAGGGAGGAGCGAGGGATGTTGGAGTTGAGAAATTGGTAATTGGATGAATTATGGATGAGGTAGGTATGTGAGAATGATGATTAATAAAAATATACACATAGTTTGATTACTATGGAAAGAAACAATAATATTAACTATCGACAGCACTTTAAGCATATATTATTGATTAACTTACATAATTGGAATAGAAATGGTGATTCCTTTATTATAAACACTCTTTTTTTTTGAAAATAAGTTTATAATATTTTCAAAACAAAATAAAATTAAATTAAAAAAATTTTCATCAAAACAAAAAAATAATTTACACAAAACAGAAAAGAAAATGGCTAGAACTAAATAAACTGCTAGAAAGTCAACTAGTATTAAGGCTCCTAGAAAACAATTGGCTGCCAAGGCTGCCAGAAAGTCTGCCCCCATCTCTGGTGGTATCAAAAAGCCCCATAAATTCAGACCTGGTACCGTTGCCTTGAGAGAAATCAGAAAGTATTAAAAGACTACTGACTTACTTATTAGAAAGCTCCCCTTCTAAAGACTTGTCAGAGATATTGCTATGGAAATGAAGAGCGATATCAGATTCCAATCACAAGCTATCCTTGCCCTCCAAGAAGCTGCTGAAGCCTACCTAGTAGGTTTATTCGAAGATACCAACCTCTGCGCTATCCACGCTAGAAGAGTTACTATTATGACCAAGGATCTCCACCTTGCTAGAAGAATTAGAGGAGAAAGATTCTGAGAGCTCTCTCTAATAATTAACTTAATATATAATACACACATATAATATAATGTTTTCTTATTATGGGAATCATTTAGTTTGTTTTACATAATAACTAAATTATTTATTTAATATGAGGTTTTTAAAATAAATATTTATAAAATAAAATTTTTTTGAAAAAAACATTAGTTAATTATTTATAAAAAAACTTTTTGTATTTATTTTTGATGCAAGTTATTTACTGTATTCCCTTTTACCTAGGCCCTCGGTTATTCGGTAAAATCAAGCAAGGGAGGTATAAAGAAAAAATTTTTGGGTGAATTTTGATCTACCTTTGTTATTAGGTCTATTTTTTTGCGAGGGAATATGGTATTTATTTATTTCTAGGTTTTTTCAAGAATAGCTTGATGATTTAAGAATTATACTAATTAATTATTAAATCATTAACTTGAAATGTTTCTATTCTTTGAAATTGCTTTGTGCTCTTTCTTTAGCTAAAAAATATTCCTTAATTATTAATAAAAAAAATATATAATCAATAACAACAACATAAAATTTAAAACTTAAATAATGTCTAGGTTAAGAACAGTGGCTAATTACAAATGGAGAGGAATAATGGCATAAAGAAATCGAAAAATTGAATTTATAAAAAAACAGCGAGATAAATAAATTGAATAAAATTCTGGTTTCAGACTAGGTACGTAAGCTCAAGGAGATTGGGAGAGTTGAAAAATGTATGCAGAGTCATTTTTTAAAATGTTACTTTTATCTTTAAAGATTATGTATGAGAAGAATTCTTTCTTATTTCCAACTTTAACAGGAAATATTTTAGAGGATTGACATACAATACATACTAATTAGTAATCAAACAAAGAGTTTTGAAGTTTATCAAAAAATCTATTTAGAAATAGGGATTTATTTAATATTCTAAGCAAATTAATTATGTTGTTAAAATATGTTTGTTGAGGGTATCTATCTGTCATAAAAATTAGAACTTTACCATTATATTTACATTAATTCATTCATATATATTTATATACATTCATTCATTCATACATATATCTTTATATCTAACTATATTTTATATGAGTAAATAAATAAAAAAAATTAACATTTAATCTTGAATTTTTTCATATAATTTTATAAAAGGACATCTATCTGAAAATATTTTAAATACATTTTTATTTTTTTTATCGTTTTCATTAAAAATTATTTTCCAAAAAGGCAATTATTATTTTAATTTTGCCTGCCTTTGAAATTTATTACGCCAAACAAACAAACAAAATAAGAATATTTTGACTATATACAAAAATTCTATTGATTTTTATGATACTATTTGTATTAAAAGATTTGTTAAATATATACAGCTATAGAGCTTCTACATACAAATAGAATACTCAAAGGAAAATGGACATTTAATCAATATCTTACAATTTATTTGCAAAAACTGATTGAATAATTACATATCTAATAAAGAGTTAATTATGGTTTCTGGTTTGGTTTGGATGATTTTCACATTATTTATTTCACCATATCCATCAAAGAAAAATTATAATTGATTCTTACAATATTGAAAGAGATTCAGAAAAGATGAAATAAGAAGAATATGTAATAAATAGAAAATATTATATGTTACTTCAGATCAATGACTTCACAGATAGCAAAAATGAAAATCGGATAAAAGAAATTTTATTTTCTTACTTTTCTGAAAATTAAATGGCTTGCTTTTTGTAGAAATTATATTCTACTAGAAAGTATGTATATAATCTATGCTTTCTTGATGTTACTGCTGTATGTCGTAAAAAATACAAACAAATTAACAAATAATGACAGTTCAAAAAAAAGCAAGGTCAATATTTGCTAACAAAAGCATCTACATGATGCCACGATATTTGTGAGAATAGTGAGACGATTATCATAAGTCTTTGTACATACATTCATTTAAATGATCAATAAGAAAATTGAATTAAGTTTACACTAGTATTTTTATAATTAAGGCAGATAAATAGATAGATACTAAGAAACATATGCAAATCAAATAAATTTTGTTGTTTGACAAATTAATTAACAAATTAATTGATATTATCTTTCTAGATGAATTAAAAAAATGTGAGATATATAGATATATATCTATCCATATATCTATTTGCTTAAATGATTGATAGATAAAATTAATTTTATAAGCAATTTAAAAAATAGTTTGTTTGTTTGTTTTAAAACTTGGATTATTTATTTTGTTTAAAATATTTTCTTATTTTTCCATTCTTTTTAGCACATACATATTTAATAATTTTTGTTCTTCGTTATCTAATTAAGAAGAGAATTACCATAATTAAATTTACTTTTATGCATTTTCATTGATATTTGTCTCTATAACTAACTAAATCTTCAATCACCATAATATATATAATATTTAACTCATGTTTTTGTATTTTAAAAGCAAAGTACACAAATAAAAGTTATTAAATCCAATATATTGATTGAATCTAGACACTTTTGCTTATTAATTTAACACTTTATTGATATTATAGCTAGCTTTTCACATAATATTTAAGATAGTAAGCAAGCTCATTCAGAAAAAAATATAAATTTAATGATATATTTTCATCAATGTATGAAAAAAAAAAAAATTCCTTTATTTGAGTTGATAAATGAATGTTTAATTAATGTGAAAAATTAAATAAATAGCTTAATCTCTGCTAAAAATATATTTTTTATTCTATTGCAAATTATTTTAAAAAAGTGTTTAAAATATCTAGATAGACAGACATTAATTCTATTCATAAAGAAATATTTTAAATAAAAGAAAATGAATTTTTTATTTTAAATTAAATATAATCAAAAAGAGAGTGTGTGTATGTGAGTGAGTGAGTGTTCAAGTGTGTGCACTAACTGCAAAATAAAAATCTTTTATTAGATTTATAAATTTTTTTATTCTGACGCAAGTGCATTTTTAATATGAACTGATATTTTAGTTAATTTTTAAAAGTTTATTAAATATTCTTTTGAAAATATTTTTATTTAAATTTATAACAATTTAAATTTTTAAAGTGAATTTTTTAAAAATTAAATAAATAACTTGAAGTTATCTTAATGATTTTTTTGATATTTTCTTTAAAAAAACACTATTAATTAATACAGTTTATTTTCAGTTTAATTTTATTATCTAAATCATGGTTGTGTTGCTGAAGGATATTTTGTTAAAATGAATTTAATATTTAATTTAATTGTTGAATGATAAGTTTTTGCAGGCTTACTAAGCTTACTGAGATATTTAATTAATAAAAATATGATAGGATATAATTAATTTATTAATTGACATCGATATGTTTCTATAAATAAAAACTTATTCATTAATTAGAAAGTAAAATAATTAAGTGTTTTTTTAGTGGTAATTTTTGATAAATTTCATTAAAAATAAGCTAAAAAAATAAAATTAGTTTGTTTGTTTGTTTGTTTGAAATCCTACTTATGCAGATAAACAAAACAAATACTTTGAAGTAGGGTATTTCCATCCATCCATCCATTTTTATTTAATTAATTATTGAAATAGTGTTGAAAATTTAAATGAATTATTTTTTAATTAAATATTGATTTAATAAAAAAAAATTTAGTAAATAAATAAATAAAGATATTTTTATGTTTGTTTATAGAGAAATATAAACTTTAATTTAATTTACTAAATGCTAAAAAAATATTATAGGAAAACTAACTAACTAACTAAATAACTATATTTAATTAATGGTTTATTAGAAGAAAGAATTAATTTCTATAAATAAATGTAGAGTTCATTCCATATTTTAAATGGGAAATATATATTATTCAATGAGCAGTATAAGTTAAATTATTACAATCTCTTTCAGTAAATGTAACATCAAATCCTTGTTAATATTTCATTATTAATTCAGTTTAGTTCTTTTTCAAACAGCTAGTAACAGCATAAATTCTCTCACCTTCTTCATTATCAAATAAAAAAGAAAAGGCCTTAGGATAACTGCAAATATTTTAGACAATAAAAGACTATTCAAATTCAGGTTATTCGTCATTTGAGACTAATTTCAAGCATTGAGCTTTTGTAATATCATCGTATTCAATGATTCTAGTTGTGAATAAAGTAGTAATTACTAACAATGCGCCGATTGTTACAAATGACATTAAACTCTTAGCAACCATTATCTATCTATCAATCTTCTCAAATATTTATTTTTAATTAATGTTTATTAATTAATTTTAAGTTTATGAAATTCAAGAAACCTTTCAAACCCTTTTTCAATAAATTTTATTTTGATTTATTTTTTGAAAGCACTCATTTGGTATTACAGATTAAAAAAAGGTTTTAATTCGATATTATTTACTATAATTTCAATTAATTTTCAAATTGCTTGTTTAATTGATCAAAATATTTGTCTAAAATTTATTATTATAAGAAAATTAATTTATTGTTTTATCAAATAATAAAAAATGAGATTTTTAAAATTGAGCTATTGAAAAGTAAAATGTATTTTACAAGAAATGTTTCTATCTATCTATCTTACTTCATCATCGTTATTCAATAATGAATGAATTAAAAAACCAAAATATAAAAAATATAAAAATAAGAATTAAAACTAAGAAAAGAAATCAAATATAAGTAAGTAGCTAAGTATTTTTAATTAAGTGTTGATTTAATATTCATTTATTTACTTTTCATTGATGTAATTAGGGTTAAAAAAGGAATAATTAATTTTAGACTCATGATTGCTTACAAATTTTGCAATTGAATTTTTCCAATAAATTTATTAGCAACAAAATAAAGAAATCTAATCAAATAAATGAGAAAAGCAATTAAAAAAATTCTTTATTTTTAAACTAGAAGCAATTATTTATTTATACTTATTTTTTATCGAAAATTTTACTTTTTTACGATATTAAATTTCTCCTAAGCTTTTTTCAATTTTTTCTCAATTTATGATAAATATTTACCATCTTTTATGTTAATAAAAATAAAATCTATTTTATATTTTAATTTTAATTTTACAAAAAAATTTTTAATATATCTATAAAAAATAGTTTTTTTATGTTAAAATTAATTTTACATTTATTAGTATTTATTTTTAATTAAATATTGGTCTTAATTCAAATAAATAAAGTTAGAATTAAATGCCTTTGTCATTTTTTTATTCTTTGATTTCCAGTTTATCAAAGAAATAACTTTTGTTGGAAATAAGGAATGTAATGTTGACCTTAGCAAATTAGTGTTAATTTTAATTGAATATGTTTAATAGGTTATAATCTAAAAAAATAAAATAAGAATAAAATTAATTTATTTATTTATCATTTTTTAATTTAAGTTTTATATTTATCAAATTATTTTATTTAAAATATCAAACTAATTTTAATATATTTTTAGATAATACAAAAGAAATCAAAACAAAGAAATTGACCCTACTGCTTAATATAAAATAAATAAATAAATAAATAAATATATAAATAAATAAATAAATAAATAAATAAATAAATAAGAATAAAATCTAATTAATTTAGATTTATTTTTAAATTTAAAAAAATATTTTTTATTTATTTGATTTTGAAAAGTAAGAAATTATGAGTGAGTGAATGCTTTTTTGTTAAATTTTTTAGAAATTTGAAGAATTAAAAAATCAATGATATATTAAATAAAATATAAAAATAATTAATTAACTCAAATCAACTTAAGAATTCATAATATATTTTATCAAATTTTTGTAATTTATTTTTGAGAATTTTTTTTGGGGGTTTAAATTAATTAATAAATTACCATTTTTTTTCACAAAGATTTTAGAATTTGTTTGTTTGTTTGTTATAGAAAGTTTTTTTTGATCAGATGGATATAGAAAAGTAAATAAATAAATACATAGATTTTGATTTATTTGTCTCTTTGAATAATTATTTAGTTTATTTATTGATTTTTTATCAGAAAATATTTATTTGTTATTTTACTGAAATATAAAAAGATAAATTGCTTTACAAATAAATAAATAATCAAAGAATATTTTGTTTTTATAAATTTTAGAATGTTGGAACTTTAAAAGCTTCAAAAAACTTAGCAGGATGTAAAAGTTATAGACTTAAATTTTAGCTAGAACAACTTAAATGAGTAATAGCTAAGCCTTTACAAATAATTGATGAGGTCAAGAAGAAATGTATAAAGCATCAATCTTGATTTGACAAAAAGTTCAGCAAGCAAGGAGCATCTAAATAGTTTATTTAAAAGGATTTCTAAAATGCCTTGCCTTGAGCATCTCTCAATTACGTTAGGATAATCAAAAGCGTTTTAAATGAAGGAAATGTTTGAATTTCTATCAAAATTAAAAATACTAGTTTCGCTCAAATTTAGTTGCAATTTTTCAAACAAAAAAGATGCTTTTGATTTCAGCGAGTTTCTCTCAAAAATGTAGAATTTAAAATCATTAAAGCTAGATATTGTACTGCAATATTTTAATGATTTTGAAAAAATTAAGCAAGAAATAACTAAGATGGATAGGCTAGAAGAGCTCACGTTGAAGGTAAATTAAAATAGTTTAGTGTGTGGCACTTAGTACTTTTAAAACTGTATTAATGAAAAGAATTGCTTAGAATTTCTTTCATTAAACTTATCACTGGTTTAATATGATTAATCTAAAATTTAAGAAGTAGTCAAGGAAATATAAAAAGCGAAGGGCTTGAAAGTTTTAAAATTGACACTAAAATTAAATGAATACTAACTGAATTATCTCCCATTTTATTAACTTTTGTTTCAAATATGGTCTTAATTAAAAGAAATAACTCACTTTTATCTATATTGCGATTTCTTGAGGACAGAGGAGTGTAAGTTTTTACTCAGCGAATTAAGCAAGCTTGATAGTTTAAAACTTGTTTACTTAAGTGGATTAAACATTTAATTAGTATCATAAATGTCTTCTTTTTTTTAAAGTTTAGATAATAAGTTTTATTTGCAATTAGATCTAGCCAAATTTAGAAGAATTATTACTATTAAAAGTGAACATTATGGACTATTTTCCTAATCCTTGCTATAAGTTAAAAACCTATAAGCAATATATTTACACTTAACTTAGGAATACAATTAAAAAATTGAAAATTTGCCATAAGTTTTCGATAGTTTAAAACAATCAAAAAGTCTGAAAAGCATAGTAATTGATTTTTCAACTTTGATAAAAACTTATAAGAACTGTATAACAACAAATTTGTTGAAGTTAAAGAATTTATATCATATTAATTTACTAAAAAATTAAGATTTGCTAAATTAAAATAAGAAAAAAATCTATAGAAAACTTCCAAGATTAGTCATGGTTTTAGCTAATTGAGATTCTATGTATCTAATTACCTTTCTCCAATATTAAAACAGTCTTTAACAATAAAATACTATTCAAAAAATAGAAAAAAACCAAGTAAAGTTGAAGAAAAAACAATAAAAAACTAATGAGTATTATTCTGAAAATCTTTTTGGATGTTTATTTCTGAAAAATCTTTACTGATATTTGTATTTTAATTAAAATTCAAAATATTTTGATAAATGAAACCTGTTAGTTTAAACAAAAAAATAAATAAAAAACAAAAAGCTATACAAAATTTAAATTAAATGAAAGCTTTTACATAAAATGTTTTATGGAAAGTAAAAAATATAACAAATTTATTTATTTTTTAATTTATTTAAAAATTAATTAATTAATTTAAATGATTTTATAATTTTGTGTTTTTGCTCTAAGTAATTAAAAATAAAATAAATTAAATGAATAATTTGATTAATCTTTCTTTTATTTACATACTTAAAATAAATTAATTTTATAAAATCTATTTAATTCTTTAATTTTTCGGCATACAAAAACCCTAACTAAATAGCAAATAGTAAGAAATTAATTTATTTTTGAAAGATCATAAATGCTTTAAATTATCCCATAAAAATAAGATTTATTTTTTGTTCAAATTTTCAAAATAAAAATATTTGTTTTTTACTTTAAGTTAATATTAAAAATTAATTTTAGTTAATAGGTTTTTAGGTATAAATAGGAAATTAATAAATAACTAACTGCTAATATAATTTTATATATTTTTAAATACATACTAACATTTTAGCTAAATAAATACCTATCAATAAAAATAGATAAGTTATTATTTTTGAATAGATAAAAAGGTAAGTAGGTAGGTAGGTCTGCTTTTTCAACAAGCTTTAGAATAAGCATCTAACATATTATCGCCAGATTCGTAGTTTAGCTTAAATGATTAGTTAGCACTCAAACAAGGAGTTTCAATATCAATTGTCTCTTTGTTTTTCTTTTGAATTCCAAAGAAGAACTTCATTTTGTTTACGCATTCATTTGAAGCGTAGTAGAAATCATCTTAATGAGATTAAGGAAGTTATATTTCTAAGCAAGTAGGAAGAACATTAATTTTTTCTAAGGATTATTAAGATTTGCTAAAGGTCAAAACAGTTGCAACTCCTAAGAGAGCAGCAAGAGAAATAATTAAAACTAATTTGTTCATCAAAAATTTTGTTGAATAATTTTATTTATTTATTTATTTTCTTTTTTTTTATTATGAATTTTTTTTCAGATATAATTTGTAATTTCAATTTTATCTGTAATTAGAAGTTGATTAAATAATCATTTGATATTTTTTAGTTTTAATTTACATCGATTGGAGATTGGAGATGAATTTGATCAAGATTTCTTATTTCAAATTGAATCACTAAAGTAATTACCTTCGTCATTTTAGTTTGGGATATTAGATCATTTTGGTAATATATTACTAATCATTTCTGCTTGGAAAGGCAAAATTAAATTCGTTAATAAAAGAAATTCAGGGAAACCCTAAATGTTTATTCTATACACTAACTTGTGAATCATTATTATTGAGAAATAATATTTTATTTTTTATACAAAAATAAATAGTCTTCTTCTTTCTCTGTGTTCAAATAAATCTAACCTTTAAAATAATCTTAATAATAAATCAATTAATTTGCTTTATTATTTATAAAATCTTGGTTGTAATTAGTATAACCCAATAAAGAGTGTGTAAATAAGTAATTGAGTGAATGATGTAGAGTTGGATATTGTATTTATTAATTTTTTATGGAAAAATATTTATTTTTTAGAATAAATCTAAATGTTTTATTTCACTCTTAATAAATCTACTTAATACAATTTAAATTTGCTAAAGAATATTTCTCTTAAAATAATTTATTTGCTTGTTAATCATTGGTTTTTGAAGAGCAATCAATATTTGCTAATAATACAAATTAATTCAGATAAACCCTCTATGTTTACTTTACACTCTAAAAAATTGATTAGTCATTCGTACTAAATTAATTTATCTTAAAAAAATCCTGCCTACTTGATTTTTTTTGAATAAATAAATCTAATCTTTAAAATAATCAAAATAATCAATAAATTAATAAATAAATATTTAAATTAATTAATTAATTATGAGATAGATTTTATTTATAAAAATTTCGTTGTAAATTTGTAATGAGCAAACCCAATAATTAATTAGTGATTGGCGTAAAGTTAGTTGTTGGTTGTATTTACTTAAAAATTTTTTGATGAAAATAATAATTTTGTAGATTTAAACTAAATTAAATGTTTTTTTTCCTTATATAAAAACAAGATTGATTGGCCAGCTATGTATGTAATTAGAATAATTTTCAATTAACATCATTCAGAAATTTCATTATTTTTTATTTAAAAAACATTTTTTTAATTCATATTTAAATTATTAGTGATTTTAGTTAAAATAATTTATTTCTTTCTTTGCTTGTGGTTCATGAATTTGTTAAAATTTTTATTTTAATTAAAATTAATATTTAGTTTTTTTTGTAAATTTGGAAATAAAACTTAAAATAAATAAATAAAATTCTCTAATACATTTATTTATTAAAGAGAGAGAAAGATAATAAATAAATAAATATTTTTTGAAATAAAAATCCTTACGACTAAATATAAATATTAAAATGCAGCTAGCTATCTAGCCAGCTAGCTAGTTAGCTCTACATATAACTAATACAAATCTTAATTAAGAAGAGAAGAAATTAGTTTGAACAAGAATATGATTTCAAACACAGTTATAGGTTTCTTTCATATTTGAGACTTGTAATACATCTGTGACATGGGGCATTAAAGTAGATTAATTTGGTTTTAAACAACCAGTTGACTAACTAACAGTTTTACCATTAATTGTAACATCGTAGTCAAAAACGACGTTGTAAGCGCAAGTGTTTGAGGCTAAAAATTCCTTTTTAGTGCGTCCATATAAGAAAGTAAAGCAAGAGAAATCTTCAAGAGGGGTATTTCTTTGAGAGTTGAAAGTGTAGATAGTGGCCACTCCCAATACAGAAATTAAAGATATTAATAATACTGCAGTTAAAGTTTTCATTTTAATCAATTTTTTAATTAATTTTTTACAAAAAATACTTTATAAATATAGACTAATAATTATTTATTTCTTTATTAGAGAGAGAAATGCTTAATTAATAAAAGAATTGTTTAATAAGGCATCAAATAAAGTAAATCCTATTCTATCAACTATTTTAAAATCAATAATTAAATCAAAATGATTTCAATAGTATTTCAAGCCTTCAAAGACAAAAACAAGCAAACATTTAAATGTAAATAAATATTAAACCAATAAGAATAACATAAAATGTTTATCAATAGAAGCTCAATCAAAAAAGTAAAGAAAAATTAGTAACTAACTAAATAATAAACTAAGTAATTTTTTTCTTTAATCTTACTTAATATACAAAATTAAGTGATAAGAAATCAATAGAAATTTTCTAATCTTTTAGTTTCTGTTTGTCTGTCTGTATTAAAATTAACTCTTTTCATTTTTTTGAAATCAAAATCTTTTTCAAAAAGATAAAATATTGCTTGTTTATTCATACTTACTTACTTACTCATTTATTTATTTACTTATTATTAAAATGTATTAATCGTAACTATAAAATTCAAATTAAGTAAATATTTACTAAAACAGAAATTATTTTAAATCTTTAATTCAAAAAATTAATTAAAAAACAAATATCTATCTTTTATAAAAGATTATTTTTAACTAACACCCTTTTTATTTATAATTAATAGATAAACAAACAAACCAACCAATCCTTTAGTTTTAAATAAGAATTACCAACAAACAAATAAATAAAAAATTGTTAAAAATTAATTATTAATGAAAAATGAAAATTTAAATTTATTTTTTGTATTAATTTTACTATTTTCTTTCAAGATTTGCAAGCATTTTTTATTTATAAATTTATTTTCATCAAATAAATATTAAAAAATAAAATTTAAAATGCTAAAAAATATATTTTTGATAAAAAATTGACCATTCATTAATTAATTATATTTGCCAATTTAATAAATTGCATTATCATTCATTAATACACAGATCAACATTTACTAGATTTGAAACCGAATATTTAGAAAAGACTGGTGATGTTAGGAATAGTAATAGTCTCACCAGGTTACATACACTTAGTAGTTTATTCTGAGATAACGTCATCAATATTGATTTAGAATTTGAAAGAGACCTTTTAATCCCAGCATTAGTTGACAGCAAAGAATTCTTGCTAAGTGGTTTCGTCAACATCCTAACCTAATTTTAAGGCTAAACAATCGTCTAAGTTAACCTTTTTTTCTAAGGGAGCTCTATGATTTAATGTGAATAAAGTAGCAACTCCTAAGAGAGAAACTAAAGAAATTAACAAGAGAGGAGTAATTCTCATTTTTTTGTATTTTTTAATTTTTAAAAGTATCTTTTTTATTTACTTTTTTAATAATTATATCAAATAATACAAAAATTTATTTAAAATTTGAGTTTAATTTATTTTATTCTAACTTTAAAGTATTTAAAAAAAATTTCTTTTTTAGAAGGGCTTAATAAATTAAGAATTCAAGCTCAAATTACCTTTTGTATGCTAGCTATTTTTTGCAAGAAATCTTTTTTTCTAAAAAAATATAAAATGTAAATTTTTTAATGAAAAAAATTTTTTTTCTTATTATTTTTCTTGATGTAAAATTTTAAGCTATTTTGAAAATAGTAGACAGATAGAACTAACCAGATAAATTAATAAATAAATAAAAAAATAAATAAAGATAAAAAGAAAGCTTTTGATTGAATTAAACATGTATTAAATGTAAATAAAAAAGAAGAACAAATTAAAAATTTAGTTTTTAATAAAATTTTAGTTTTGTACAAGAAATAAATTGATGAATCTAAATAAAACAAAAATGATGATTAAATATCTGTCTATTTGTACTTATCTATCAAAATTATACTTAATAATATATAATGATTATTTTATGAATTTAGAAGCTAAGTACTCCTTAGACTGATTGCCATTTATTTACTCAGGTAGCTAAAATTAGGAAGAGAAAAAAAAAATTCAGTAATGACACTTATTTTAAATATTTTTCAACTAATTAAGTTTTTCATAAAAGAATTATAAGCATTTCCATCATAAGAAATATTTTGATAATAAAAAAAATTCACAATATGATAAAATTATAATTTAAAAATGGTTGTTATGGCATAATATTATATTTAGTTAAATATCTCTTTGGATAAAGTCACTTATACTGAAGATACTAATCATAAGAGGAAGAGATCCATTGAATCAAAAATTCCTCCATCCATTAATTCATTTTAGTTTTTGTTCAATAATTTTAATTTTTTGAGAAAAGAATTTAAGTTTTTATCATATGAATAGAAATATTTTGATAAAAAAAATGATAGATAATCTAATTTTTAATACACAAGTATCATTCTTATCTATTAAATATAAATATAAATAAAATAATTAAAAAAATGAATAATAAAAATAACATTTAATAGAAATAATTACATTAGGTGATTGATATAATTTAATATGTTTAAGTTGTATGATTTTGGTTTTTTTCACAAATTTATTTTATGTAAGTTGTAAAAATGTTCAAAAATACAGAAATACTTTTTCGAGAGATCATAAAATAAAAATACTTTTTTAGAATATAAAAAAATAAAAGAAGCGATTTACAGATAAAATAATAATGAGGTTTCAATAACCTATTGTTGCTAGTTTCTTTAGGTTTCTTGCTAAAGCTACATAGATTTCTTAATCTACAATACTGGGATTCTAAATGAAATAGAAATTAAAACCAATTAAATTTTAGTTATTAATTTTTTTGAGGACTTGCAAACATTGGCTTCTCGCTTATATCACTCTTTAAATTTTTAACACAGAAATCTTAAGAAACTAATTATATACTAATTTATTAGTATTTTATACTGTTTCTTCAAAGAATTAAAGGCTTGGGTTGTCTACTATGCAGAATACTTCTTAGAATTAATTGGTTTTATTTTAGAAATATTTGGTTAAATACTTAAAACTTTCAAAGTCATCTTAATGTTTTAAATGAACTACTACCTGCTTCATTTATTCACATAAACTAAGTTCGGGATCTTCTTCACAAAGTAAAGGACCTTCCAACTAAAAGAAATAATTATTCTAGTACTAGAATCCTATATCTAAAGAAAGTTCCCAAGAATTTACAAATTGGCTTAATAAAAACCTTCTTTTTTACTACTCGAAATCAAATTTAACATTTTTACTAATTTACTACAATCTTTATTAAGCTTTTATGATGGTTGATATGCCAATTTAATCGTCTAGTGCCAAAGATATGTCTAATTATTGCAGTTTCTCTAGCTTATAAAGGTTTTCTAGAATTTAATTTAGAGCTTTTTCACTTAAATAAACCTTTTAACTTTTTATTGTCAACTCTTCAACAACAGTTAAACTTAAAATAATATCGTTAAGCAGTTTTTCATTATATTCAGGATTAGGTTTACCTGCAAAAGTAATATCCAACTTCTTTAATTTATTTAGGAATTAGTATTATTTATCAGAATTCAATTCAATTTCTTATTCAAAGCAGACAGAAGGACATTCGATTCTTAGTGAAGTGAGATTCATTAAATTTTTTAAATAATTAAAACGGAAACAGTTTTAATTACTATTCCAAGAATTTTCAAATTTAACTTAAGGAAAATAAACAATTTCTAACTGAGGCAGAGCTTGTAAATTGTTTAAATTATTTCTAAATTCATTCCAAAAATGACTTTCATCACTGTTGTAATAAAATTTTCTCAAATATTTAATTGAAGTTATCGAGAAGTTGTCATTTTCAGAAATTCTTTTTAAAATAGCTTGAAATAAGCTATTAACACTTTCTTTGATTACTTCTGCTTCTTCAGAGATTGAAATTACAGTGTAATACTAGCTACCTTTTTGTTTAATCCATAAAGAATCTGGCTATTTGATGGATTTGGGAAATTTGCTATAAGCCTGAATCATTTTAAACTAGTTTAATTGTCCTAAAAATTCAAAGTTAAGACTTGTTTTAGGTATTTACAATTGACAATATTATATTGCATCAAATAAATCAACTATTTGGTTGTTTTACAAAAAATTTGAATCTATTTTCACTTTCAGATTTTAAATAGCATTTTGCTTTTAAAACAAAGCTTTTAAAATGCTAAAATTTAATTAAATTCCTTAAGAAGGTTAATTTTCTTCATTCTCAAAATCCGATTTAGTTCTTTCATTTTTATCTTCTTCTTCTTATTTGTTTTCTATCTAATCGAAGATTAATTCTAAAGTAAATATCTTATAAGTATAATTAATTAAAGGGGAGATATACTTCTCAATAAGACACCCTTAGTAATCTTTAGAGTAAGCAGGATTTATTAAAAGTTTAATGTGAGTAGATTAGGACAATTACAGTAAAGAAGTTAAAAAAATTTACTCATTTTATTTATGAAATATTTCAAGAGACAAAGAATTATTATAAATTGATGATATTTCCTTGTTTTCTTTAATTGTATCTTAAAGAGAGAAATTTCCTTCTTTTAATTTTTTGATTTAAAAGCGGTGCATTCCAGAATAGCCTTAAGTATTTACACAAGCTTTTTTTAATGATTTCATAATAGCAAGCTTTTCGTAAAGAACTATATAATTCTAAAGGGAACCATTTTTAGTAGTGAGTTTGAAGTTCTAAAGTTTTTCTTGTTTTTACAACACAGCTAGCATGTTAAAATGATTTTCTTCCAAGAGGTTGCTTAATTCATAGGCTTAATTATGCATTAATTCTAGTCCTGTTAAACAAGAGTACTTTGTTAAGAAGTTCTTTAAAATTTTTAAATTATTTAACTCTCCTGCTTTAATTGAAAAGAATACTTTTGTTTCTTAAGTTAGTTACAGTATTTACTCTAGTCCATTAATTTACTCTAATCCATTAATCTAATCATATTCTTTTTTAGTGAAATTTAACTTAAATGTAAAGCTGTCTAGATTAGAAGAATGATTAGTCTAGTCTAAAATCCTCTAAACCAAAGATTACTCCATGCCTCTATTAGGGGCATTAACAGTTATGTGCTTGATATGTCTAGCCTGAGCTATCTAGAATATAGTTTCATCAATACTATTTTTAAATTTAGGTTTCCAACAGTTTATTTCAAATTTAAATCTTAATAGAGACAAATCTTCTAAGCTTTTCAAATAAAATTCATTTTATTTATCTACTGATCCACTCGAATACAAAGTTAATTCTTCAAGTTTCGGAAGCTTTTTGAGGAAATTAATAAAGTTATTTAATTGGTCTTAAAAGACTTATAATGGTTTTTCATATACTATTTTTATTTTTTTTAACTCTTTAAGTTTAGAAATCTTAGATCCCATAGCCATATAACCTTCGTTTCTCACATTACTAAATTTCTTAAATGTCATTTTTAATTTTCTAGCGTTGGAAAACTTCTCAATCAACTTAGACAATTTATTCATATCTTTATACCCAAAGCTATCATTTTATATTTGAATATTCAAATTTATTATTTCTCCTTTAAACACGTCTATAATCTGATGTATTTAAGAAATATTCTAGTTCTAAAAGTTGCTGCTTATAATGAGTATCAATTCGCTATAATTTTTCTGGTATTACTCAAATTTTTAGCATTTTTGTTGAACTTTTAGTTACATTTTTTCAACTAAATAAAATTCATATAAAAAAGCTTTATTTTTATTCTATTCAATAAGTTCTTTCAGAATTTCTAGATTGTATTCGATTTCTTATTTAGTCCAACTAAAAAATTCAAAAAAAACCTCCTTGTTTGATTCAATTTTTCCTTAATAGGTTTTTAGATCCTCTTTTTTTATGTTTTTGTTTTGGATTTCCATTTTCCTTTAATCAAAAAAATATCTTTTTATGAATTTTAATTATTTAATTGTTAATTATTTATCAATCAAATTTTTTAAAATATTGAAATTTTAATTTTGTAGATAAAATAATAATTGAAAATCAATTCTCAAATTGAAGAGAATTATCTATCAATCGTTTACACTTAATCCTTTCTTTGCTATGACAATTTGATTTTATCCTTATCCCTATTAAATAATTGTAATAGACATATTAAATCAAAAAATTAAATTATTTCTTCCTTCATTAATTGTAGGAGGTAACATAAATTATTAAATACATTGATATTAAATATTATAAAAGAAAATTCTTTAAAATATTTAGCTGATTATATATGCATAATAGCTATCTACATAAATAAATACTTTATTTTTCAATTGAAACTAAAAAATAAATTTTTATTTAAGAAACTAAATATTTGAATTTCTTATTGAGGTTTAAAAAATTCTCTAAATATTTTTAAAAAATATTTGCAACTTTTTTAATAGATTGTTTTTTTACATTTCTATAAGTTCTAAACAGTAAAAAGAAATCTCAGTGTATCAAGATATACTAATACAAAAAGGTTTTATAGTATTTATTTGGCCAAAATAATTCTTTTTTTAAAATTTAATAACTTATCTAACTAACTATCATTCTCTACTCTAAGTATGATATTTTTTTATTTATCCTTTTAATTTATCTTATTTATTGCCTTTTATCAAGTAAAATTAAAAGTCATTTTTCTCAAAAATTTTCACAAAAAACTTTTCATGAGAATCTTTATTTTTTATTTTTACTAATTGCTTTTTGTGTAAATAAAACTTATTCATTTAAAAATTTATAACCAGGAAATGTAAAAAGTAATTTTACAATCAATAATGATTTTTTTGGTTTATATTTGAACAAGCTTTGCTAATTTATTAACTAATTGAATGAATGACTGACTGACTGAAAAATTAACTGAACAACATACTGAATAAATGATAGATAAATAACTAGATTACTTTTCTTTATTATAAATTTCCATATTTTATATTGTTTGTAAGTAAACAAGAAAATACGGTTTTGTTAATTGAATAAAAACTGAAATGATTTAAACAAACTTTCATTAATTATTAATTTATTTTGATAATTTTTACCACTGTATTAGATAAACAAAATTAAAATAATAATTTTAGGAAATTATGAAATGCAAATATTTTTTTGTTTGAAGTAATTAGTTTTATCTACATGATATAAATATAAAAAATAGAGATCGCTTTCTTTTAGTTATGAATTATTTAAATAGAGGTATGCTTAGTACCAAAATAATTTTATATAGCTAGCTATTTTATAATGAATGAATAAATGGTTGATGTTTGTTTCTCATTATACGATTTGGCTGTTAAATTCTTCGTTAATTTTCTTGTCTTTGAGGAAAGCATGAACAAAATCTTTATAGTTAACTAATTCTACGTTCTTATTTACATTATCTACGAGTTGGATTTCTTCTTAGGGTTCTTTAATTTCTCTAACCATTTATAATTCAACTTTTGGATAGGTGCTCCAAGTTAAGGGAGTCCATTTACCTTTATTTATATTTATACAATTATTTAAAATATTTTTAACAATATATAAAGCCTTTGCAATCCTGATTTATCTATATCATGTATATTATATATCTATCTTTGTATTTATGCATGTATGCTTGCTTGCCTGTATGCAAGTATGTTATAGTAAGTTAAATAGAGTTTAAAATTAGCTTTAATTCAAGAAAAGCTAATTAATTAATTAAATTAAAAATGCAATTTAGCATGCATACTAGATTATAATATTATTAATTTATTCAGTGCAAAGATTTTATTCTAAATATTAGTTACCCTAAATAGAAGGTCTGGCAGTGTAAACCTTCTTACCAGCAAAAGGGAGAGCCTTTCTGCCAACTATTAAATAAAAATATTTGAGCAAAGTAGAAAATGCAATAAATAAAATAATAGATATAATTCTAAGAATATTCTTTTCAATGATTTATTTTGGGCAAATGAAATTACATGATTATCTTGCTCTATTGAATTCATCTAAAATATCATCTCTTTCATAATTCTTTAATGAAATATCCTTGACAAATCCATTTATATATTAAGCGCTCAAGAAGGGATGCTTATTTCTTCTCATGATAAATTCAAATTAGATCTATGGGTTCTTAACCATAAATTCTTTAACTGTATCGCTATTCATGAAGTCTCTAACACCCTTGCTGCTACCTTAAAGAAAAAATATAAAATAGATTAATCTTTTTTGATTCTCAAAATCTCCAATTAATTTTTACCTCCGAAATCGCAAAACTAAAGTTGAATTTTTCTCAACTAGAAAACACCTCTTGAACACATTTATATATATGCTAATTGATTGATTAATTAATTATTTAACTTATTATTTTCTTTTAATTTAGTTATCTAAATATAAAGAAATCTAATTAACAAAATAATGAATCTACCTTTACTTCTTTTTTGTTTGTTTGTTTGTATGTATGTATCTATATATCTTTGAATATATATGCTCCCATACATATTATGTATGCACTGATATTCATTTTTTTGGATTGCTTGATTACCTCTGATAAATTTTTAATTTAATAGAATCATTTGAATTAAAAAGATCTCTTTTAATAAAAACATACATTTTTAATTATCAGCTAATTATAACAAACTTTTTTAAAATATTTCCAACAAATCAGATTTATTTAAATTAAAAAATAAGCATCAAAAAAAACAATAAAAAATTATTCTAATTAATTGTAAGTACTTAGCTTGCTTGTTTACCTTTTATCAAAAAGTAGAGTAAAAAATCAGTACAATTAAGCTTTCGTTTGACTATTCAGATAAAAATATTGAATTTTATCATTTATTAAATAATCCATATTGATCTTTTATTGGCCATAAAGAAATTATATTAATGCTCTATTGGTGATGAAAGAAACAATATTCATTTTTAAATGCAAAAAAAGAAGTTTTATTCATATTCTTTATTGATGATGAAGGGATTTTCATTCAAATTTTACTTATGATGAAAGGAATTGTATTAATGTTCTATTATTAATGAAAAGAGTTATTTTCATTTTATATATGCATAAAAAACATTTATTCTTATTTTATATATGATAAAGGCAATTATATTAATATTTGCTCTATTAATGATGAAAGCTATTATATTCATATTTGTTCTATTAATTATCAAAGGTTTTATTTTATTCATTTTTTATTTTCAAATAGTAAATTTTATTCATTTTTATTGATAAATTCATATTTTATTTATGATGAAGGGATTTTATTACTACCCTAAAGGTAGATGTTTAAAGGAATTATTTTCACATTTTATTTATTTATTTATACAGATGATAATAGGAATTATTTTCATATTTTATTGGTTAATTCATGATTGAGAGAGGTGTCTTTAATTCAATTTAGAATAGTGAATGTGTGTTAGTTAAACTGATTGGATTACTTCTTTATTTTTCTATGAAGATTCACAAAAAACTTAAATGAAAATCCTAAATAAATACTTAAACTATGATTTATTTAAATGAAAATTGAAGTTATTTTTTAAAGCTTAGAGAAAAAAATACTGGTTATATGTAAAATAGTATAAAAATTTTATTTTAAATATTCAATTTTGATCAAAGCTTAGGTTGTTGTTTTTCAGGGTAATCACACTTTATGATTACTTTACCAGTGTTATCACCACCTATGAGACGTCTAAGCCCACGAGGAGCAGAGTCAAGACCGTAGAGAACATCTTCTGTGTGTTTGAGTTAATTCTTGGAAATAAGATTACCGAGGTATGCAATAGCTTCTTTGTATCTCTTAGCATAATCCATAACTATAAATCCTTGCATTAAACCTTTCTTAATAATGAGTCTTTGGTAATTCTTGATTGCATAGGGTTTAGTTGAATTGTAACCAGATATGGCACCACACATAACAATTCTGCAGTGGTCTCTGACAAGTAACAAGCATAAATCCAAGATTTCACCACCAACATTATCAAAATAGACATCAATACCTTTAGGGCAGTATTCCTTCAATTTCTTAAAGATGTCATCCTCTTTGTAATTGATGCACTCGTCAGCTCCTAAGCTCTTTACAAATTCACACTTATCCTTTGATCCAGCCATACCTTTGAATTTATTTTAAAATGATTTAATCAAACTTTGTCTCTTTTAAACATAATTGAAATCATAAATAATATTTTTATTCTTCTCCAATAATATGCTTTAAATTATCTGATTAAATTGATCTCTTTTTATATGAGTAAGTAAGTAAATAAGTTAATAGATAAGAATCAGCTACAAAAATATAAAGTTTTATTCTATCAATAAAAAGTAAATGATGAAAGAGTTAATTAATTACCTATGACTCTTGCACCAACTGATTTAGCTAATTGAACTGCAATTTAACCAACTGCACCTGCAGCAGCACTTACAACTACAGTTTCTCCTTTTTGGGGTTTGCCAATATCAAACATGCCAAAATATGCAGTAAGACCATTTGTCCCTTTTTTATAAATAAATTGATTAAAAATAGTTAACTTATTTATTTTATTATTTAATACCTAAAACTCCTAAAAAGTGTTCAGGGTTAGGATATTCCTTGGGAACTTTCATTAATCCTTTACGATCTAGAATTAAGTATTTTTACCATTTCATCAAACCTAAAACCAAGTCTCCTTTGTTGAGATCAGGGCTTCTTGAAAAGACGACTTCACCGATGCAGCTAGCAGGCATAACATCACCAGGATTAACAGGGTCCATGTAAGTTTTAGCACCACTAATCCAAACTCTCATACTTGCATCGATTGAAATGAATTTAACTCTTACAAGAATTTGATCAACTTTAACTTCGCTCTCAGTTGGAGGCTTGCCATAAGTGATTTAAAAGCAGTCCTTCTCAGGATATTCTTTTCCTGGGCGTGATTCAAGGACAATTTTAACGTTGTATTCCTCTTCCATTTTAATGAAAATGCGCTATTTTAATGCTTTGCTTTTTTTAGTTGTTAAATAACTTTTACAAATATTTTAAATATTAATTTATTTAATTGATTGATTGATTGATATATTTAGGATTGGATTTTTTTGAAGAAATCTTATCTGATATCAATAAATATAATAATAAATAAATGACGTATTTTTTAAGTTAATTGAATTCTAGATTTTAGTAAAAGGTTCTATTTTTTGTAAACTTAATAAAGCAGAATCTTAAAAAATACTAATAATTTAATATAATTTCTTTCAATTTGAAGCTGGTTATTTTCAACATTTACTATTATTATAAATTTTAATAAAGTCTTACTAAATTCTTTATTAAATTTGCAAAAATTTAATTTATTTTTAAATGATTTAACTAATAAATATTAATTAAGTCAGCCAGTCAGTCCTACTATTGACATTTTAACAGAAAATTGGTATTAAATAATTACTAAAACCAGTCAATTTTTTTATATTTTTTCAAAAAGCATTTAAAAAAGACTTTATTTGTTTTATTTATTTAGCAAGAAAAGTTTATTTGGATTTGTTGAATCAAATCCAATAGAAAATAAAATATAATCCTGCCAAGAATTTTTTAACTTTAAAATGACTTTTCAGAAAGAAAAAAAAAATTATTAATCAAATTGTCTATGATCAATCAATCATATTTATTAGATTGATTTATTTAAAATAATAAAAACTAATTACTTAGAAATTAATTAAAATAAAATAATATTCTTTTGGCTGTGATTTATTTTAGATAAATGTATGTGGATTGATTATTAATTTTCTATATCTATTATCTATGATAAATATGGATTATTAATATTCAATATCTATTATTTTGTTAAATTTTTTTATTGTTATCATCTATATTTATTTATTTGTATCAACTATAAAATTAGCCAAAAGAAAATATAAGATTGAATAATAAATAGACCTGCTTGATAAATATCTATCTATCTATTGATAGATTTTTTTTTGATTAATAATATTATAAAAATCATTTAGGTAAATTTATTATGAAATATAATGATATTTATAGATGAAATGTAAATTATTTAAAATTTATATTATTTTTTAGTAGTTGCCTTTATTATTTATCCTTTCTTATAATTTCAATCTATTCAATTGATCTATTATTTATTATTATAGCAGCAATAACTACTGACTAACTATTTATTATCAGCACAGCCTATTAATCACAAATCCTAATTATTTTTATACTGATTTATTTTACTTTAATACATTTCAAATTTAATTTATTCACCTTAAAAAAGTTTATTTACTTTGAAGGAAATTAATTAAACATGCCAAATGTATATTAAAATTAAAATACATATGAAATATAAATATAGTTAGATACTATCTTTTGTTTTGAGTTGTTTTATGAGAAAAATAAATTAATAAATAAATAAATTATAAGTATGTATGTGTATGCGTGTGTGTTTATATGTTTGCTTGTCAAAAGTATTTTCTATTTAAAAAAATAAATAGTTGATATGTGTAATATAAGCTAAACAATACTATAAGGAAAATAGATGCGATATCTAAATTATTTTCAGTCGTTAATGTGACAATGCTACCAAACAAGCAAGCTATAGTAACTAGGTAGAGAAAGAAATAGCCAGAAGATTTGGCTAGCTGCTTGAAATAATATTATAGTTCTTTGAATTTGAGAAGGTTTTTGAGGAAGGGCGTGTCAAAGATGATATTGAAAATAATATTAAATCCGACTATTGTTGTGAAAATTCCGTTTGGAATTGCTTGAAAAATGTTGAGAGACGAGAGAATTCTATGAGTGTAATAAGGAGGAACTTTAAAAACCATTGCAAGTATTGATAGTAAATGTCCTAAGCAAAGAAGCAGAAGCACATTAAATAAGCCTATGAATTTTAAAAGATTCAACCAAGAGAGACTTTCTTTGTTTTAATTGAAATTATTAATCTAATTGTAAATCTTAGAGTGAACATTTAACGATAAATTTACTCCCTATCCACCTAATATGCTTCTTCTTACAATACTAGTTCTTTTATGATAATTCTATGAAACCCTGTTGACTGCATTGTGATTAGCATCTTCTTTATAATTATGGACTACTATGCTTTCATTATTCCTTGTGTGAATTGGATTGCTACCTTACTACTGATTATCAAACTCTAGATTTTCATGAATGTGTTTATCAATTTTACTTTCTTGTCCGAATCTTTCATGTCTTATATCTTAAGGATGTTTTTCACTAAATTCGTCTTCCTTTTCATGAAATGTGAGAATAGCACTGCTTTTACGAAGAACTGTAAATATTTTTATCAAGGTTACAACATTCAAAAACCCGAAAACACAAATAGCTGCATAAATAGCAATCCTTAGAATAAATTGACTATTAAAGTGTGAGCTGAATTCGCTTATTACAAAAATATGGACAAAAGCACCAACTATCTAAAGTAAGTAAGCAAAAAAATAAATGTAGCTTTTTGCTTTTTCCCAATTTGAGTTTTTTAAAGATTTTTTGAATTTCAAATCATATTTTAAATCAAAAATCCAAAAACAATATTCGACTTCTTTTTTCATTTAATTAATCTAACTTATATTTTCTTATTCAACTTCTACTTTTTTGTAATTTAATTATTCTTTTTATCATTTTCAATCTCTACAGTAAAAAGGCTTTTTATTTGCTAAATTAATTCAAAAGTCTTTCTAAAACTGTTTTTAATATTACAAATCTATTATCTACAAGTAAATAGATAAACAACAAACAAAATTCAATAATTTTTCCTCTTAAATATTCATCAAGATGAAAGTTACTATAAAATAATCTATTTAAACTAAAGGTTAATATAATAAATTCATTTTTGATTTCAATTAAACAAATCTTTGAACAAATATATCCGAAAAAACCTTAAAAATGCTTGATAATTTTCAACATAATTTGATAAAATATATTAATTATTTATTATTTTATATTCTCATTGCTTACTACTTTTAATTGTATATATTTATTTTCATTTACCTACCTACCTAACTAGCTACTTATTTATTTATTTATTTATTTATTTATTTATTAACTTTATAATTACTTTTTATTATTGATTGATTAACAAATAATTATTTTTTTAAAGCATTAAAACATTTATATTTAATATTATTTAACCAAAAATAAATTATTTTTTAATTACAAAATAAATGGATAAATTGTAAAAATTATTATTAATTAGCAATTTCAATTAATTCCATTCATTAATATTACATTAAAAATTGAAATCAAACTCATAAAAATTAGTGATTAATCAGAAATTTTATTCAAGCACATATTTAAATGAACTAAAGTTAATGCTTTGTTGCAATAAGTATAATTTAGACAACTTTTAAATATCTGTTGATAAATATTTGTAGATAGATAGATTGTTGTTATTAAAAATTATTAACACATTTTTTAAATAAATTTATTAATTTATTGATAAATTGGTTTAAATCTCTTTAAATTCGATCAATAATTTAGCTAAAATGATAATTAAATGATGAAAACTGAATTTTATTTTATATTTTATTGCTTGTAAATTTTGTGAAGATAAAATTAAAAAAAATGATCCTAGATAATACTATGGTATTTGCTTAAATACTTTGTGAAATCCGAGATAGTATAGTGGTTAGTATTCCTGCCTGTCACGCAGGAGACCCGGGTTCAATTCCCGGTCTCGGAGCTTTTTTTTTATTTAGAACAGTAAATGCTTGAAAGTTAATTAAGATTGAGAAAATAAATGACAAAAAATTTTTTATAAAAAAAGCGAGAAAATATTATAAAAACTCATGAAAATCTTGCCAAAATATTAGATATAGCTGAAGTATTGTTTTATATTTGGTGATTTACATTTCTAAATTATTGTAAGCTATTAATTTTGAAATACGAAATATTACATACCATCTATCATAAAGTTATGAGGTAGTCCAAGGAGTATTTTTAGAAACGAATCTAAGTTACAAAAATCTGATCAGCTAGCAAATTTTCCTAATCTAAATGAATAGGAAGTAAGAAAAATAAATAAATAGAATAGTGAAAAATTATTTATAGTCAATTAATCTTTCAATAAAAGTCCTATATATCAATCAATAGATAATAAAATAAAGAAATACCAATACAAAATTTTGAAAGTTTTAAATACTTAATATGAAGCAAAAAAAAAAAAAAATAGTAGTTTAAAAGAATTAATAATCAGTTATAAATATTTGAATAAAGAATATTGGTATATATTATTTATTATATATTATGGAATGAATTAATAAATAAATAAAGAAGTTAACTAATTAATTAACTAAATGAAGTAATTTTAAATTTATTTTATAAGTTGCTTGTTTGTTTGGTTAAATTAGGTTATATATTTGTTCAAAAGCATTTTCAATATATTCAGAGGAGAGTAATCTATCAATTTTTTTGCCTGTATTGTATTTTTGTTGATTTCATAAGAAGATAAAGAGAATAAAAGTGACCATTATTAAGGTTATGACATAAATGCTAAGAGAGAGCCATAATTTGGTAGCTTAATATAGATTATTAAGGGCAGAACTAGCTTATTCCTGAGAAACTACATATGCAATTATAATGTAAAAATAACTAAAAATACAAGAAATAGCTATACTGGCATAATCCCTCAAAAACACCATCAAAAAGATCATGGAAATCAGGTGAATTACAGCTATCAAAATTTAAACTATATAATCTTTTTAAATATTCAAAAATGAATATAAAATAATTATTAATGTATCTCCACATATATAAGAGAGAAACATCAGAGTCAGGTTTTATAACGAACTATTGTCGATAAAAAAACAATGAGAATAAATATACAGATATCCCTAGCTAAGATATGAGAAAAAAAATAACACTAATATTGAGGATGTTTTTGTTTCGTCGTAGTAATAAAATCTCAAAAAGCAACAAAAAGATACAATAAAGGCTACTGTTAATCCTATATACTCGCTATAAGTGTAATTTTTTATAGAAGAAGCTATATTTATCGACACAAGAATGACTAACACAACTAGGCATTTGAATAAAAATATCAAAAAACTTGTTTTTCTATTTTTATACTAATAGCTCTGTTAAGAGTATCGTTAACTGAATCCCAGACTGCCCTGTCTTGCTTAGCTTTCTTAACTAATTTTCAGTTAATTTGTGATATTTTGATAACTCTAGATACTGTTTTATTATTAGCCACTATCTCGTTCTTATTTTTCATAATCATCGACATCAACAATTTGTTAATTAGAATTACTTGTTAGTAATGTTTTCTCTAAAGACATCCCCAAATTTTTTAATATTTGTAATTATTAACATTTATTATATAATAATTAATTAATAGGATCATCTGATCCCACAAACAAACAAACAAACAATTAATTAATTATATTTAATTTCAGCTAACTTTTTATATTAGTCAGAACTTTACTTGAGAATCAGAAAATTATCACAACCTAATCATAAGCATAAATTTGATCAAATTTATAAGATTTTTAAGCTGCACAGATAGATTTATACATACATATCAAATAAATTCAATTAAAATTTATATTTTTCATATTTATGTTCTATTTTTTTTATTTACCTTTAATAATCTATTTTTCAAGGCAGGTAAATCGAAAGAACCTAATTTGTCTAGCTTAAATTTAAATAATTTTTGTTTGTTTGTTTGTCTGTTTACTCAAAATCGAATAGTAAAATGTTAATTTGATAAAATAAAAGCATCCATTATGCCAAATAGCAAAATAGTTAGATGCATTAAATGATTTGTATTTTAATTGATTGATTGATAGATAGATAGTATTATTATGTTAGTTTTTTAATAATTAATTTATTCCTAAAATTAATTAAATAGTTTTTGTCTTATTTATTATTGATGTCAACTTAAACTCTTTTTATTCTCACAATAGAAGTTTAAAGTGTTTTCTGTATTTGTTGACAGATAGATTGCTTGAGTAATAAATTGACGATTAGAAGTTGTGCTCCTTGAGTTAGATCTGTGATCAATAAATTATACTATTTATTAAAAAATTAGAGTAAAAGAGAAGTTAATTTTGAAATAAACACATTTAAATAATAAATAAAGTATGAAAATAACTTAAATATTCCAAATTTTCCTTGTGTTGCTTTTGATATAATAAATTGCTGCCAAATCAACTAAGAAATGGAGATAAAAGGTAGATTAATCTGTTAAGCTGACATCAACTATGTCTCTTGTTACTGATGATATCAAACAAAAGTTAACCTAAGCAAATGATAAATTACATCAGGCGAGTTTGGGTTAGATTCAAGCTGAAAAGACTTTGCTTACTGCAATTAAAGAGTAAACAGAAGCTTCTCAGAATTTAGTTGAAGCTGATAATGAATTTTAGTAAATTATAAATGAAGCATTAAATGCATCAAAGATTTAACTAGAACTGTACAATAAATTATTTACTCAAATAAATGATTAGAAAAAAAAGAGAACTAAATCTCAGGTAGATTTGGATACTTTTGCATTGAATTCAGCATTAACAGCTTAAAATGCTTGGTAAACTTTGGTGTAAGCAAACTAACACTTTTAAGAAGCTTAGAAATCATTAAATTCAATCAAAGCAGACTGCGAGAGAGCTTAAATAAATTTGTATTCCCTTTATGGAGGACTAACTGCAGTTCAAAATGAAGACTAGTAGAAACAATAAGAAGATACTTAGTAGCTAAAAGAATAAGCTAAATAGAATTACATAAACTCCTAATAGCAGTATTAAGAAGCCATTTCTAATTTACAAAAAGCCTAACAATCCCTTGTAGAAGCTTCAAATTCAGCTATCCAAAAATAGAAAGAGGCTGACATCGCTGCAGAGCAAGCAAATAACCACATAGAAGATAAAAGCCAAAAAAAATCTAAAAAAGAATCAAAGAAAAAATACTTTAAGCAAAAGATTTGAGTAATAAATCAATAAATGAGATTCAATAAATAAATAAATTTATTTATAAACTAATAAAATCTAAAATTAAAAAAAATTTTATCAAATTTATTTTATTTTATATTTATTTGTCTTGGTAAATATATTTTATTGGATAGGTTTAATATAAATTTTAAATATTTACATAATCATTTAAAATATTATTCTTATTTCTTATAAGCTGATTTGACTTAAAAAGAGTAATATATATAAATAAATAAATTTTTCATTCTTAAATTCTTCAAAGATTCTTCCTTAAATTAGATTTGATTAATCAAAAAGTATTAAAATTTAAATTAAATAACAATATTTAAACAACTATAAATAAATATCTTTTTAATTACAAGGGTAAAAAATTGGTTAATATTTACTTTCTTTAAGATATTTCCTAATGTAGCTTTTTCATTCGCTAACCCAATCTATTGTTTTTATTTTTTCTAATAAAAATTAGGTTTGATAATTTATAAAAAGATGATCACAATATATATATTTACCTATAAATAAAGAGGATCTACATCAACTTTAAATAATTTAACAAATAAATATGTAGTATTTAAAGAAATCAATATTCTTTTATTTCTTTTATTTGAAGACACACTAATTTTGTTGATTTTCTATACATATTTCTGATCAGACTTGTTTAAAAAGAATAACTAAAACCTGCTTAGCTTAAGAATTAATAAATAAATAAATAAATAAAAATAAATATTTAAATTATTAGCTCTATAATAATATAATTTTACTTTATGTAATAAATTACAAGCTTATTTAATTACTTAAATTTCAATAAATTTGAAATCAGTTATTCTACGGAACTAATAATACTGAATCCTAATCTTTAAATATTAAATTATTCATTTAAATTTGTATAAATAAATTTGTATTAAACCTTATTTTCAGACTAAGTGAGCTAAGAAATTAAGCATTCAAAATATCTTAAAAATATTATTTCTTAAAATAACCTCTTCACATAATTAGTTAATTTAAAATATGGTTAAACATTATAATTAATTTAGAGAGAAAGATCATTTAAATTCTTTTAAATTTAATAAAATATAAATTTTTACTATTGGTTTCCAATATGTAAGAACTATAAATTTGGCATTTATGAAACAATATAACATTGACTATCTACTATACTTTCAATTGTCGGCTCAAAGTTATTCTATCTTTAATTAAATTTAAATAAAATTATTAAAAACTTAATTAATTTAAAGTTTTTACCCAACATCTAAATAGAATAATTTTAAATTCCTAAAACCTAAAAGCGAAGTGTTCAAAATCTTAAATCCGTAATTATCCATTCCACATTTGCTTTATTAAGATTTAAATAATTAAAAAATGTATTTATTTATTTATTTATTTATTTATTTATTTTAAGAATATATTATGAATACTTTAAGTTCAGTTTTAATGATTATAAAGACATGAAATTGTAAAGGAGTAAACTTATTTCCTAAACACCTTCTTGCTTAAGTGGGTTATCTCTTTTGATATTTATTTAAAGCATAAATAAATAAATAAAAAATTTTAAGTAAAGTAAGCAAATAAGTACTTTAAATTTAATGAAAAATATTCTATTTATGACAGTTTAGATAGGTATTAATTGATATATTAAGCTCCTATATAATTTATTCCTGTTTTTCTTAAAAATAATAATTTTTTATTGAGAAATTAAATTTAATTTCTGTTTTTTTTACTGCAAACCCAAAGATAATTATTTTATCTAGCTTAGTAAGCATAAACTTGGAAGAAGATCTTTTAAATCAAGAATCTCTATCTAATTTTTTCTATAAACCAATTAATTATAAATTGATGCTAAAAATATTTGTTAATTTTACTTGAATTGTAAATTTAGAAATTAAATTTTTTTGTTTCTTCTCAAAAGTTCTGCTACCAATTTTATGGTAGGTCTTCCTAATGAATAAGGTCTTTTATTAATTAATTTTATTATGAATTTTTATAAACTTTTCAATCAGCTTACGGAAAATTAATAGTAAGATCTATTATATTTGTTAGCTGATCTATTTGTGTTATTTACTATAGAGCAACGAATTGTTAAATTTTATTACTTAAAAATAAATTAAAAAAGTATTTTTAATAGTTTAATTAATATTAATGTCAAACTTTATTAGATCTAATCTTAGCTTTTCTAAGTTATCATACTAAACATCCTAGACATAATTTTATTTAATATTATTTTAATTTCACTTCAAAAAATCATTTTCTTTACTTTTGATTTGCATTTATTATCGTTTGGGAGTGTGTTTAGCATTAAATTTTTATCAAAATAAAAAATTTACAGCTTATTTAAAGTTATTTAATTAGTTATTTATTTATATTAATTTTAATTTCTTTTAAAATTCTCAAAATTTTTAAACTCAAATTTTAGAATTAAATTTTTATAAGTTAACAAAAGTATTTTCTGTATTCTAAAAACTACATTTTATTATTTAATTATTTTAAGAAGTTTTAAATAAAATAATTAAGCAAATTTAACTAAATATTAAATGAAATAAAAATTAGTTTTTATTGCATAAAATATATTAATTATTAATTGAATTGAAGGATTAATCATTTTTGAAAATTTTTTAGATAAAACATTTTTAGCTCAAATTTTTTGTAGCATTTCATGCTCTAATTAAAAAACCAACAGAAATTAATTAATAAATTAATCGAAAATATCTTTAATTATTTATTAGAATAAAAAATTTGTGATTGAAATATTAACAGATAGATATGAATATTAATTTACTCAAATGCTTAAAAGAATAGGAAGAATATGATAATATTCTCAAGAAAAACTTTTCAGGGAATCTTTGCCCTTCAGACTACAAGCAAGTAACTTCAGTGTTTTACTAGCTGAAAAATGAAAATAAATCTAAAGATTCTAAATTATAAAGATTTCATAGTGACTTGAAACAATTAAAAATATTGACTATAAACATTGCAGAATTTTCTGAATAAAGAGTCGGGCTGGCTCAATTAGAAAAGATAATTTAGTCTGAAGAAGTAAAGGGAGAAGTAGATATTATATGTTTAACTGAAATTCTAGCTGAGACATGGAATTAGTTTGTAACTGAGCGAATTTTCGAAAATAAAAAACCTGAAAAGATGTCAGTAATTAACATTAATGGAGTAAATTACGAATGCTTTATTAACTTCTCTAAGCAATTATCTTAAAGAAGTAAGGGAAAAACTAAATTGAGGAGCTTAGAAAATAATAATATTGCTGGCTGTGCAGTTTTGATTAGCACTAAATTTAAAGAGAGACCTCATACAGTTATGTTTGATATAAATCCCACTTTTGAATAGTAGGAATAGTTTGCAATAGATGAAGAAAATTATCTTTGTTTGGATTAAGAGGGACGAATAGTTACTCTTCTTTTCAATAAATTTTGTTTAATAAGCATTTATGCTCCTAAAGACTCCATAAAATACTAAGAGCAATTTGATATTTGGTAATAATACTTCATAAACTACATATAAAGTCTCTAAAAAGAATTAGATAAGGATTATACTTTCATTTTAACAGGAGATTTCAACATCTAAAGATCGCATTAAACCTACTAAAATTTAGTACAAATTTGCGTATTAGAAGAAGTGAAAGGGATATCACATTCCTTCTACAAATAAAATAGCTAAGATAAACTTTAAATAGATTACACATTCGTATCAGCAAATAACAAGCTATTCAAAAGCATGAAAACTGAGCTTGTGTAATCCTTTGACCACTTATTAGAATTAACCAAATATCACATACCATTCTAAACAATATTCTAACATGAAATACAAGCCTAAAATCTCAAAAACCCTAAAACTAATAAAATCAAATAAGACGAGGATAGTGAAGAATCAGAAGATGATATTTAATATTTAACTTCAATGTAATTAATTAATTAAATCTAATTTCATTTAAAATATTTAATTTAAATCATTTATTTTTTGTCATTAAATAGAAATAACAAAATCAAAGCTGCTTAATCCTAAATAAGCAATATCAAAGAAGAACCTTAATCCTAAGAAGTAAATTAAGAATAAGATGAATTTAGCTTTTTGTAATTATTTTTTTATTTTATCTATTTATTTACTTACTTTCTTTCTTATTTTCTTATTTTTTTACTTACTTACTTACTTATTTTTTGCTAAAATATATTTAATATTAAAAGGAACTAGAGATTATCAGAGCTGAACTTAGAAAATTAAAATATTAATTAGAGCAACGATAGTCAGATTCAAATCAAAGTAGTACAAGATTAAATAATAGATTAAAATGAAACAAAATAAGTGTAATATAATAATTAAAATAATTTGAGCCCAAAAAAACAAAAATCTCATGGAATTCACAAGTAATTTTAAATTCCTTCTACTATTAAAACTTATAAATCAAGTGAAAGCCAATAGTGAATCAGTGAGTGAATGAGCGATCAATTGATTACAAAATAATAAATTTTATATTAATTTAAATAATAATTAATGAGCTTATTTATATTTTTATTTATGTATTCATTTATACATATTTAAGTATGGATGAATTTATACAATACTTGCATTTATCAATTGATTATTTATTTATTTATTTAGATATTTATAATAAATTTTTTAAAAAATGATTTTATTTTTTTGTCTCATTTTTACAATAAAATCTATAATTCAACAAATAAAAATTATTTTTATATTATTAATTTAAATAATAATTTATAAAATTATTTATTTATCTATCTATTAATTTATGTACATGTAGGTATGCATGAATTTATGTAATATTTACAGTTATTAATTAATTAATTAGTTGGTTAGCTATTTATTTATATTGATATTTATTTTAGTTATTTATATATTTTTTTTTAAAAAGGGTTTTGCTCATTTTTCTAATGTATTTTGTACTCAACAAAGTTTATTATTTTTATAAAATCAATGTAGTAAATTTTATTTATTTATTTTTTTCAAAGCTGTTTTTACTCAAAACCAACTTTTCTTTTTTGTTTTTGATCTGGCTGAAATAATATTATCTTTTTCAGGTTCGCTGAATTCTAGTAAGTTAAGCATAACATTCAGATATTACGTAGCTTCTTGGTTTTGGCTTTCTGTTTTGCTCTTCAGTTATCTATTTATGAAAAAATATTTTATTTTTTAGTTTAAGATTTTTTTATTTACATGATATTTAAGAATTTAGGGAGGATTGTCTTGAGAGTTTGTTTGATAATCCTAGAGCCTTCGTCTATGTTTTAGGATTAAAGCTGCTTAATTTCTTGTTTTAATAAACTTATTTGGCTTTGAACTCTCTCTTGCTCGTTTTCGAAATCTCTTATTTCCATTTAAAGTCTCTCATTTTCTAGCTCTAACTAGTCTCTTTCATAAGTGAGGTCTTAAACTTAGTATTTTAATTCTCTTACTTCGTCTTTAAGTTGCTAAATTAAAATAAAATAAATATTTTTATTGCTTTTATTTAAAGTAATTTTACTTGTAGATTTTTAGCAGATTTTTTAGGGGAAGCTGATGGAGAGGAAGGCTGCTGTATTTACTGCTCCTTAGGGGAATGAGGGTTTATATCGATTCTTGACACATCTGGGTCTTTTTCATTTATGTCTTGGACAATTGACCTTTTTAGAAGCTTTTAGACATTTTGAAGTTCTTAAAGCTTTTAGTTTAAGAATGCAATTTGCTCATCTTTTTCTTCCAGCTTTGCTTGAAGTTTTTCTATCCTTTCATTATCTAAAGTTCTGTTGGAAGTAGATTTGTGAATCTTTTCCATCAACAATCTGAGATTTTAAGAAATAGAATTTGAGCAGAAAGATTGATTCTTTTCTATATCGTTTAGCTCTTCGTTGCAATCCATATCCCAAACAATCTTCTCCATAGCTTAATCAATTTTTTGTAAGACTGCAAAGCCTTCTTCGACACTCAAATTACTGTTATATGGCTAGTTATTTTAAACGTTAGTTTCTTCATCCTGCTAGTTATTAGCATTAAAGTTCAATCCCTACAGGATATTCGATTGCATACTGTTAGAGTTGCGGATATTAGAGTTTTATTAATTGTTTTATTAAGATCCAGATGCTTAAGCAAAGCCTCTTCCTAAAGTATTGCTTGCATTTATGTCATTCACATTGACAACTATTTCGGCTGAAGTGTGCACTGATCCTCTGTGAGCATCTTCTTAATGAATGTAATCTTCAAACTAATTTTCTTCAAATTGACTTCCTTCCTGCTCTAAGAAACTAATATTTCTGATTTTCACATTCTAATTCTACAGCTGATTGGGGATATGTTGTTGTTATTGTTATCTGTTATTATTATTTCCTTCAGTGCTGTAAACTGTATATTCTTACTAAGAGCTTAACTTGTCTGCATACTATTGCAAGAATCTGATCTCATTTTCTTTTTCAATAAGCTTATTCTTAACATTATTAAACTCAATAAGTAGGTTATGGTATTGCTATTCTTATTGCTCTTTTTATTATATGAATTCCAAGATATTCTATTCGTTTTTCACAATTTACTCATTTTATTTTGATATTTATTCTTGCAATATCTGCACCTGTAGCTCAATATCTGTATTTTATGTTTACAAATCTTGTGCAGGTTTCGATGCAGATTAGCTAGCAGTATTTTGACCTGAGACGGGATTAGTTTATTGTAAAGTAACACTGTTGTCAGCATAATATGAGTATTCTTCCTTCAGTTTGTCATTTTCTTCCTTCAATCTTTAGTTTTCTTGAATCAATCTTTAATTTTAAGAAATCAAAATTTAGTAATGATCTTTTTCTGCAGATGTTTCTTAGTTATTTTCTCTTCTTTGCATAGGAGCTTCGGCTTAAACTTTGAGCTTTATTTCTTCGTTTAGGAGGTTGCACTTTTCTTTTTCTTAATTAAGCAAGGACTGCAGATTTTCAATTTCCTTTTTATATTATAATATAATTTTGTCTTGATCTTCTCTGTAAGATTCTACTTTCTTTGCTCTGCCAAGTGACATAGTCGGTGATATATCATTGTCACTTCTTAAAGTAGCTGTGTTATGGTCATTAATTGAGTGTGTTGATTGGATAAGCTCTTATGATTTCTTAAGAACTTAAATCTCGTCTATCTTTTTATGAAGATACTTTTCTTATTATAAAAGTTAATTTTGCAAATCTTAGTTAAGCTGTTTTTCTTGCTCAATATTTTGCTTCAATTCTTAAACTTATTTATCATTTTATGTAATTAGTTGCTTTTGTTCTTCTAAATTTAATTTATATTAAGTAAGTTCGTCTTGCAACTTAGAAATTTGTTCATCTTTTTGTTTGATTTCTACTTCATGCTTTGATTATAAGTCCTTTTAGGTGTCAATCAATTTTTGTTAGAATTCTTATTGATACTGCTTCTTTAAATGAGCAGATTCTTAAGCATGAGTGCTTTTAATCAATTTAAGCTAATCTTCGTGCTAGGCTTAAAAGTTTTCATATTTTTGTTAAACAATTTAGTAATCTTCTTTGCAATGAGTAATTTCTTTTTGCAAGTTGGCTTTCTCAAATTTTTCTTTCTGTATTTCATGTTAAAGATCAAGGTATTTTTGATTAATTTATTTAATTAAATTGTTAAGTTGCTCTACTTCTGTTTACAAATCCTCAATTTTAGTGTTTTACTGATTGCTATTTTCATTCTATAGAGAAATTTGTTGTTTCAAATTACTTTATTCTTTTAAACTTTCTTCAAGCTTAGCATTTGTCTGATCTAACTAAGCCTTGAATTTACTTATTTTCTCTTAGTATTCGCTCTTTTACTCATTGAATTCAGTTTCTTTTTAAGTTAAACTGCTAATTTCATCATTTTATTAAGAAATTTATTACAAAAGTTGATCTTTTTCTTTTTCTAAAATAGATTTTTCATGCTGGAATGATAGCTTTAATTAGTTTTGTTATTCTTTTTATTCTTCAAGTTAACTTTCTTTAAGTGTAATTGATTCTTCTAATCTAGCCTTTTCTTATTAATTTTTAGCATTTAATTAAGATATTTTTGTATTTGCCTCATGCAATTAGTTATTCAGCTCAGTGTTTTGATTAACAAGATCGACTATTTTTTATTCTCTTTAAAGTATTTAGCTATCAGCATCTGACTGGGATTTTTATTGATATTATTTGATCTAATCTTGAAGCATTTGAATGTTATTATTTGATGCAATAACTTAAGAGTTTAATTATTCTCTAATAATGTTAATTTCTTCTTAAGAAGAGCTACTTAAATCTGCCAAATTTTGACGTAAATTAGCAATTTCGGTTTGGTGCTTTTCTAATTTTTCCTATAATTACAAAACCTTTCTGTTTTCTTCGTTTAATTATTAATTTAATGTTTCTTCTTTGTTTTTGAAATCCTTCTCTTTTCTCTCTTTTTCTAGAGTGACTTCGTTAAGCATTTTGGAGATTTCATTCTTCTCATTCTAATTTATATCAATTTTATTTTGTAATTAGTTTACATTTTCTTATAATTCATCTTTATCATATTTAATTTAATTAAGCTATTGTTCTAACTTTTAAATTTCTTCTGCCTTGCTCTGGTCGCTTTATGAAATTTTAGTTCTTTCTTGTCTTAATTCATTTATGATATCTTTATGAGAAGCTATTTAGGCTCTGAGCATGCTCATTTCCTCTTCTCTTTATTTCTCAATATTTAATTCTAAATTATTTTTTTCTTTTTCTAAATGTTCTATTTAATCCTTTAAAATTTATATTTCCCTTTCTTTTTCTTTCTTAAGAGTATCATTTTGTTCATGCAATTATTATTTAATTGAATTGAATTCGCTTTCTTATTCTTATTTTGCTAATACTTCCTTCTATAGATCTGAATTAAATTACTCTCTTTCTTGATTCAACTGTTCAGTTAATTCGTTAATTTTATCAATTTACTCATAAACTAAGTTGTTAAGATCTTTAATATTTATTCTTAAATCATCTATAGTTTTTTCGTTCTATGAAATAGTTTCATTAAGCTATTTCTCTTTATTTCTAGCCTAAATTAGCTATTAATTGCATTGGTTTATTTAATCTTCATATTAATTTTATGATTATAAGAATTATTGGTTTAATGATTCCAATTTTTACTCATATTCTTCAATTTTTTTCTGCTAATTCCTTTTTTAATCAGAGTTTTACTCTAGCTTTTCTTTACTTTTACTTTCTGAAACTTATAGCTAGTTTTTGAGGTTTTAAATTTGCTCCTTGTGAGATTTAATTTATTCATCTATTAAAGCAAATTCTTGTTCTCTCACTTCCTGATTTTGCTTAAGCAATTCATTTTCTGCTTCAACTTCATTTAATTGTTTCTCAAGAATTGCTATTTTCTATTACTTGAAAGTAATTTGCTTTTATAACTCACCAGCTTTTTCAAGGGAAGCATCAAGTTTTTAAGTGTATTCATCAATGATTTTTTACTAAATTTATAGCTGCTCCTAAGAAATATTCTAAGAAATGTTATCTTCAACTAGATTTTAGATTTTCTCTTCATACTCCTAGATTTTTTCTTCTAATTATTGAATCTTTTCTTCTAATAATTATGAGTTTTCTTCTTTTTGCCAGATATCGTCTTACAATTAATGTATTTTCTCTTCATGTTACAATAATTTTCCTTCTAATTATTTAATTTCTTCTATTTTTAATTGAATTATTTCTTCTTTTGATTCAAGGATTTCTTCTTTTTATTGTAAATCCTGTTTGAGTTGTTCCATGCTCTACTCGAGGAAGATTATTTTTTCTTCGTTTCTTGCTGTTATTATAAACTACTTCTATAGATCCTATTAGAGCCTTTCTGTTTCTTCTTTTAAATTAGAATTATCAACTAAAATAGTATTCTTCTCCTCAAGATAATTCTTTAACTGTTCTTGTTTGTGTTAAGCTTATTCACTTAGTTAAACTGTCTGTTGATTTAACATTTTTTAGCTCTCCTCAAAGTCAGATTTTTATTAACTCAACTCCTATTATAATTTTTCATTTTCTATCAAAAGACTATCAATTTATTTTTATTAATCAGCTTAAATTTATTAAAACTTTTCTAATTCTTTATCCTAATTGACGAAAGTTTGTTTATTTTTTTAAATTTCACTTAAAGTATTATAACTACTATTCAGCTATCTGTTTAGAATATCTATTTATCCCTAAAGATTAGTTATTTCATCAGTCAGACTCTCTGCCTATTCTTCTAAAACTTAGATTTTTTAGTCTTTCTCAATTTAAATAGATTAAATTTAAACATTCTTTTACTCTTCTTACGTTAAATCCTCTTTTAATCTTTGAATTTAGCTCAGTTAATCTCCAATTCTATTCTGTAAATCTTGAATATCTCTATCCTTTTCTTCAATTCTATTGTTTAGATCCTCAATTTAATTATCGAAATCGAAATTTTGTTTGCTTAAATCTTAAATCTATGAATTGAGCTACTAAATTTAATCTCTAAGCTAATCATTTTAATCAATTAAACTCTACTTTTCTTGCTCTAAAGTATTTAATTGTTATTAGTCTTATTAATTTAACATATCTTCTTATTAATTACCAGATTAAGATAATTTTTATACTTCTTGCTTTAATTTTAAATTTTCTTTCTAAGCCTCTCTCAATTTACTTTCAGCTACATCAAGCTATTCATCCTTAGATTTATACTGATTTTCCATTTCTTATTTCATTTCTATGTACAAGTTCATCTATTGCTTCAAGTCTATGATTTCACTAGTCTTCTCTTTCAAATTCTTTTCAACATTATCTTCATCATCCTTCATTTTTTACAGCACACCATTGTACTCTTTAATCTGCTCTTAAAGTATCGAGCAATAATTTTCTTTATCAATCAAGGATTGTTGAACTTATCTCAGCTTATCTTAAACTTGTTTGTTTATTGTTTTTGATACTTGCAATTCGTCTTAGGTACCTTTGTATAACATCTCATATTCACTCTCTTTCTCAGCCTATTGCTCATACTATTATTATATTTCAGCAACCTAACTCTTGATCTGCTGCACTTGCTGCATCAATGCGGAGTTATCTTCTCTCAAGGAGCTATTTTCCTCATCTAATTCACTGTTTCTTTCTTTTAGTTACAAGCAGCTCTCCTCCAGTTTTCTTACTTCTTCAAGTATTCTTTAGTTTTCATTAATCAATTATTAATAATCTCTTGAGAACTATTCGTTTTCTTCTTTTAATTAATTGTATTTTTTTTGCCACTCTCTTTCAGGCGAATTGCTTAGAGAAGATTGATTCAACTAGTCTTCCTTTTTCGAGCTAAATCTCCTGGAGCTATTCATCCTCTCACTCTGCTATAATTGTTATTCTTGATCAAATATCACTCTAGATTAACGTTCTATCTGCTTTTAAAGTTTGGCAGATTTTAAATCGCTTTCAGCTTAAATTTTTTAGAATTCTCTCTGTAGCAAATTGAAGTCACTCAATACCTTCTCACACTCTTACTAAGCCTTCTCGTATTCCTATTACCAGAATTAAATTTATTTAGAAGCACTGTGGACCTAATCACTAGTCTATCCTCTTTCATTTCTGAGTCTCTTGAGCTCCTCCAAATTTTCTTCAAGAACTTTCTGCATTTACTCTCTTTCATTCTCGAAATTGACCTTCTGCATCTCAATAAGCTCATCTTATCTCTAGACATTTTCTTCAATCTCGGAATTCAATTAACTGACCTACTCTTGCAAGTACCTAATTTCCTATTGCTACTAGTTCACTTTATCTTTGAGCATTAAATTTTCTTAGTTCATCTCATCAATATACGAGTCCTTTGTCCTCAAATCAATTTGAAGTTTTTCTAAATCTCTTTCCTGTCCTTCAATTTGCATTCTAGCTAGTTCTAAATCAGAAGTTCCCTCATTGCTTTCGCTGCTATTTCTATCCTAATTCGATGAATTTTCATTGATCTAATCATGCTTTAACAAGTTATACTCCTCTTTTTCATTTTTAAGTAGATTTATTTCTTAATTTTAAGCTTAAAGTCTTGAATTCAAGCTTTAATTGCGCTAGGTCAGCTGCTGAATTTCATTTTAAAATTCTTCAACCTCTCTCCTAAGCAGTTCAATTTCCTTCTACTTCTTTTCATTAATTTTTTGAGATTCCAAGTATTTATTTTGTTACTACCTTATTTCCTCCTTTAACTCTATAATCTGTTCTTCATTTAAATCTTCACTTTCATATTGCTTAAGCATTTATCTATCATCATAAGCTGTCCTCTTTTATTTACTTTAAATTTCATTTAAACTATCATTCAAAGATTAACTAGACTGCAGTTCAAATTGAAGTCTTTTAATAGTCATATCCTTTTCATTCAATTTATTTTTCTAATTCTAAATTTGCTAATCCAATTTTTCTAACTTTCCAGCAAACGACCTCTTTTCATCCTCTATCTCCTAAAATAAAATAAAAAATTTAACATCAAACAAAAAGCATAAAATTTACCTTCTACTTTTGTTGCAAAGATTCTTATTGAAGTCTGAACTTTTGCTAGAGCTGTGATAGCTCTTTTTGTGTGTCTAAGTTATTTTATTCTATTTAAAGTTTTTCATCAAAGACTTGATTCAATTTAATTTAAGTTTTATTCAATTTTTCTTCGTATTCATTAATTATTTTTTGATAATCCATGTTGTTCTTAGAATTTTCATCGAGTTGCTGATTAGAAAGAAGCTCTTATTACTTAAGTTTGCTGTAGATACCTTCATAGTTACTTTAAATTTCTTTAAGCTTAAAATTCAACTAACTAATTGTTTCTCTTTATTAATCGATATTTATTTAACTCTTGTCAATTTATTTAATTAAGTCTTTGTTCTCCAATTGAACTTCTTGCATTTGCATAAGAAGCTATTAATTTTGTTTAAGTAACTCCTAGTTTTACTTTTACAAATCTCTAATTTATTTTTGCTATTCAGCAGCTTCTATCGCTAAATGTTTTCCCTCTGAATTTTTATGTGAGTCAGACGAACCAAGAATTCTTGCTTCTTTAAAAGCACGAGTGACTTCTGAATTCTATTTAGCGAGTTCAGCATTTGCTTTAGAAAGTTCTTAATTTTGTTTTGAAAGTTCTGAAATTTAATTTGCCAATTCTGAATTCTGTCTAATCTTCTCATCATTTGATCTTTGAAGCTCTGAATTAAGCTTTGAAACTTCCTTGAAAGCCTTTGACAAGTCTTTCTTCTCTGTGTAAAGCTTTTTATTTTTTTGTTCCAAATCAGCCTAGTTTTACTGTAATTCGCTCATTCTTTTCTTAATCACAGTCAAATCTTAATTAAGCTCTTCTGTATTAGAAGAATACTGATCTTTATTATTCTATTACTGCTGCTATTGCTGGTTGATTAATTTATTCTTGAGATCATTAATAATCTAATTTAAATTCTCAACTTGCTCATCAGATTGAGAATACTTTTTCAGCTGAGTAATAGCTTGCTATTGATCTGAAATCATTTTTTACATTTTCTTCCTTTCGTCCTTACTCTTTTCATATTTAGATTTTACCTCTTTATAGTTTCTTTGCATTTCTTGGATCTTCTGTTCAATGATATCTCTTTCTCTAACTACTTCATTGAATTATACTTATTACTGCTAGTACTTTGAGAACAGCTAACTATACTGTGAAGAGTTATCATCATTGTATTTCGATTACTTTTATTGTAATTATAAATAAAAAATATATATCTTAAGCTAAATTTTACTTAGCTTGATTTATCTTTCTATCTGAAAATATCTAATTAATCTCTCAATTATTCTATTCTTTCTCTTTATCTGCCATTTTCTTCTTATAAATCAGAGTTTATGCTTTATTCTCTAAATAAAAAAGTAAGAATTTATGATATTATTTTTCCAAAAGAAGATAAATAAAATAATCAATTAAATTTAAAATTACTATTAGAGCAAGCTCTTTAAGTTTTATAATTATGAATCAAGCTGCTTTATAATTTCAGATTTTTAACTATTTTCGCTTATTAAATTATTTTAAAGCTGATTTGTGAGATTTTCTTAGCTTTAAATTGCTATTTGCAGTTATTATTCGAGTAATTATATTTGATTTTCATGCATTTTATAAGAATTAACAACTTCCTTTATAGCTCCAAGAGATTCTCCTAAGTTCGAAATAGATAAAGAAACCAAGTTTCTTTCATTCTAATTCAAAGTTTCTACATCACTTTGAACTTAATCTTAAATTCTTAATTAGTTTAATAAAATTTACAATTCTCCAATAAACTTCTCAGTTTCTTTTTCTTTCAATAAAAATTATTCTTAAAGTTATTCGTTTTCTCTTTCAAGCATGATATTCTTATTGCAGTATTCTTCAATTTACATTCTAAGTTCTGCAATGTCCTATTTGTTACCTTCCAAACTATTTGAGCTTCCAACACTTCCTTTAAAAAATTATAAAAAAATCTAAATAAAACAAAAAAGCAAAATAAAATTATAAAATAACAAACAAAAAAAATCTTTAACCAACTTAATCAATAAGTATTTTATTTATATTATTCAAATTTATCTTTAAAGCTATTAAAAAAACAAATTTTTTATTGAGACAAATAACTAAAAAGTGTTAAAATAAATATTTAAATAAACGACTTATTTTTATCAAAAAAACAAATTTAAATTGAAGTATAAAATTCTTAAAGTTATTTATAAAAATTTTGATAATTGATTAATTAATTAAATAAATAAATAACTCATTTAGTTAAAATAAAAAATAAATGGAAGAATGGATGGATTATTTTTACTTGAAAAATGAATTTAGATCTAAAAAATTTTGTTCTAAATTAAATTCAAATCATTGAAATGAATTGGCTTATTTTATCTAAGAAAATATTCTTTTTTATTATAATATTTTTAATTTATTTACCATGTTCTTGGTCATTTTCAACATCAGGATGAGTAGCTTGGTAATCTATCAACTCTATCATTTAGTTGTTAATGTGGCTTATTATTTATTAAATTTCCTAGCGCTTTTGAGTCGGTAAATTAGGGTTATTTTATATTATATCTACTAAATTCTCACGTTTAGCTTCTAGGTCCATTTTTTTAGCTCGAATAAGCTATTCTTGATTGACTGTATTTGCATTTTAATTTCTCTTGCTAGTGTTGTTTGATAAAGTGAATTCGATAGGACTTGATAAATCTATTTTATTGTTACTTGTTATGTTCCTTTTTGATAGATTAAGATTCTTAATTTAGTCTTCTAGATTTGCAATTATATCATTTTTTTAATTCACTGCCCTTTCAATTTGATGGAATTGATTCAAAAAAGATTTTTCTACTTCAGCAAGTTATCTAGCGAAATCATCTTTTATTTAATTAATAATTATAGAATTACTAGCAGCAGCTAAAGAAGCTGAATTTTATTATATAGCATTATTGAAATTATTCATGTTATTATTATTATTGTTGTTGTTTGCCTATAGCATTTTAATTTAATCGTCTTTTTATTGAAGAATGCTGTAAACTTATTTCAAACTAGCTTTTCTGTCTGCAGACTTTTTCTCTACCTCAGCTAATTTAGCTTTTAAAGTTTTTATTTTGGTTTACAAAACTTCATTTTCATCAGATAATATTTTGTTTTCATGCAAGACATTTCTACTTTCCTGCATTAACTTTTGAATTTATTCTTTTAAATAATTAACTTCTTCTTCTTTTTAAGACATTTAATATTCTGTTTGCATTGTTATCGCCTCCTTGTCTTTAAGTATTTTATTGTATTTATATTTATAATATTCTTTCTCGCTTCTATTTGCTTTACTCTCTCTAATCACATGAACAATTTATCTGTCAATATCTTCATTTTCGTTTGTTGGGTAAGTTTATTCTAATTGATCATCGTAAGGCGAGTGTTATTGCCTATTATTATAATAAGGAGACTATTGATTATTATTATTATTATTATTATATGGTGATTGAGATGTTCCTTAATTTTGATTTTCATTATTCCTATAAGGAGAAGCTCTTATCACCCCAAATTATTGGTGAGGTTGAAACTGCTGCAATTATTGCTATTATTTTTAAACGATGTTTTACACTTGGGCTATATTATCAATATTATTCCTATTATTATTTATAGAGCGATTGCTATGATTTCTAGGTTAAGGAGATATATTTTGTTCTTATTACATATAATTTTAGTATTAACTCTATCTATTTATATATTAATTATTCTAATTTTATTGATCATTTCCAACAAATCTCCCTTACACACTGCTTCTCTTTTTATTATAAGAGTTTTCATCATTGTTTGAACTTGGAAATTTGGAAAATTTTTCATTGTTTGCAGCAAATCCATTTGATTAAGCCAACACTTATTTATTTTTTTCAGTAATGCTTCTTTAGCCATCTTAATTATTGCCTTTATTTTAATGCTAAATTTGAGATCCATTGTTATATTTATATAATGAACTATTGTTAAATTAGTTATTAGAATCTTAAAATATAGATGAATTTCGAGAACCGTGAGTGTTAACAGAATTTTTCATAGAATCCAAAACCCTCTTCTAAGGGCTTGATTATATTACTTCATCAGAATAGTGAGTTCTTCTCTCCTCTTCAACCATAGGACTTATCTCTCCCCTTTCAATATTATTTATTTTGTTCATAATATTCTCATTTTTTTTCTCTACATACTTAATCCTATTCTTCAAGAATTCAAACTCCAAAGATAAGTCTCTCATTTTCTCTTCTTTGTCATCCAAAATTGACTTATTCAAAAATTCACTCATTTCCGTATACTTTTCAATTTAAAAAAACAAACAATTCAATCAAAAAATTATTTTTTACATTTAATAATCATTAATTCTTTATTTATAAATTCAAGTATTTATTTATTTATTTATTTGTCGATATTAATTATTTCTATTATCTGTTTGTTGGTTTTATTTCAATCTTTTGATATTGCATATTTAACATTACATTACATTAAACTAAATATTAGATTGTATGTATTTCATCTCGTTGTTTTTGCAACAAATAAAGTTCGTGGAATTAATTAAAATAAATACCAACCAATTGAAAGATAAATATTATTAGAAACATCTACAAAGCTTATATCTTATTGATTTCAAAAATCAACTCGAATTTTAAACTTAAAACAATAATTTACGCTTTTTAAATCGCATGATAAAGGTCTCTTTTTGTGAGAAGACTGTATTGGCTTGTTAGGAGATTAAGAAAAGCTGCTATTTGAACCATCTTTTTTGCTTTTACTCTTCTCACTACTATTTTTGATACTCTTTTTTAATATACTTGTATTATTTTAGATATTTTTGTTAATCCTATCAGGTGACTGAAAAATGACTCTGTCAGTTAAATTCTTTTTTACATCTGTAAATTTTATATATTTGTTAAGTTTATCTTAGAAGTCTGATTATTTGTATTTCGAATGAGCGGCTACTGTCTACTTATTCCCGTTATTCCTTTCTGAGTCAATTTATACTCTCTAACTAGACTTGCTTGATTTGTTAGAGGAATTCGAATTTTATCTGCTATGATGTGCCTAGTTTTGCTATAGTGGAATTTAATTTTCATGAGAATATATTTTCTAATTGTTAAACTTTATTTTATGACTATTGTTATATGAAAAATTTAAAGGACTTCTTTCAGGAAGACCCGAGTTATTGTTGTTAGTAAAATTAGGTCTTTCATGAAAAGATGAATGTGGCCTCTAAGGAGATTTTTTGTAATCTTGTTATCTGTTTTGCATTTGAGATTAAACAGAGAGCTAATGAGGCTATATATTTTAATGCTACCTAATAATTAATATAACATTTAATGTTAGATACTGCAAAAAAACATGTATAAAAACTTCAAATACCCTCTTTCATTTGAGGCTCTGCTAATTTAAGAGAGTAAAACCTTCTTCATTGATATTTAACTATTTAGCTTTAGTATAAGTTTGATTGGTTGCTTTATTGATACCTAGTTTCACTCGCTACCTATCTATAATTTGTGAACGATTATTACTTGTGAGCTAGCAAATAAGGTTCCTTTAAGAAAATAAATAAATAATTCTTTGGTAATTGATTTGTTATTTAATTTGTAATTTGATTAATATTTCCTTTTTAGGTTAAATTTTTCTGTTTGCGATACTCAAAATTGAATTGGCTAATTATTTAATTAAGTCAATTGGTTAACATTAATTAATTAATTAGTAAATAAAGGGATTTTAGGAATATTTAATTGAATTTTAATGATAGATAGATAGATAGACATACATACAGACAGACAGATCAACATAAAAAATTAACAAACAAATATAAAAATTTAATTTCTTTTCAAATTTTACTCCCTTAATTCAAATTTAATATGTAAATATGATTTCAAAAAAAAAATCAAACTAAATTATAAAAAATAAATATCTGAAGATTCATTTCATTCTATTTGCAGATTAAATTATAAAAACATAGATTTAAATCTAAACTCTTCATTTTGTATTTTTCATTAACCAATTATTAATTTGTAAAAATAAATATTTAATTCAACTTTTATTATTTATTTTTTTATCTATCTATCTATCTTGATTCTTCTTTCTTTTTAGTATCTTTATTAAAAATGCAAAAATTATTTTCAAAAAATTTGATTGTATTTTTGAGATATAAAAGTATAACAAATAATAATTAAATATTTTTTATTTTACAGTATGTAAGTTTGTATTAATTGATTAGTATTAAAGCAGATTTAAAGAATTGATTTTATCTAAAAAAAACAGAAAAGTTGTAAATGAGTTTAAAAAATTAAGCAAACTAATTTTTTATCTTTGTAAAATAAATTTTATTTGATAATTTTTTAGGTTTTTTTTAACTATTTGCTTTGAAACTAAATAATCTTGTGAATGCATTTTTTAGTCTGTTAAATATTAGCAATTTGATATATTTTATTCGTTTCAAATTAATTTTCAATAAATAAAATGTTTAGTAAGTAATATAGAAGTGAGAGAGTTTTTATTAAGTTTCCTTTTAAATTTGTAATAAAGATACAAAAACAAATATGAAAATGCTATTTTGAATAATTTAATTGATCATTTTTTCTTAATAAACATAGATTGAAATGAGAAAAAATATTCGAAATAGCGATTTAATAATTTATGTTTTAGTGAAATTTGTTTGTTTGTTGCTTCTTAGAAACCAACTTCAATATTAGCTAATTGGAGTTGGTGAAATAATCAAATTCTTCATTAGGTTTTTCAGTTGACAATAGCAAATCTAATACCATAAGAACCACCAAGATCAACAACCTTGCCTTCGAAAGCCTTGCTATCAGCAACATTGTAATCGTTACCAACTTCATTAGTGGAGACACCAACGAATTCGTTGAATTAATAAATTTTACCAGTTTCTATTTTTTTAAATAAAATTTTAATTTAAACAAAAAATTAATTAATTAATTACCAGTGACGGCAGCAAAAGTGTCCTTAGAGGCAGCAAGCTTGACAATCTTCTTGTCAGTAGGGATTTCCCATCTGATGGGTTAATAAGCTAATTCCAAACCACTGAAGAAGACTTCGTTTTTATCTTTAATTTTTAAATAACAATAAACAAAATTACTTGAAAAAAAAATTGTTATTACCAGTAAGGAAGACGAGGGTGTTCTCACCAACTTCGAAGTCAACAACCTTTTGACCAACAAAGTGTCTGTCAACAACAGGGGTAGGGAGACGAGCATTTTAGTCAGTGTTGTGACCAAGGTTTTCACGGATACCTAATTAGCCTTGAGTGTTAACACCGAAAGTGTATAATTTACCGTTAGATAATAAGGCAGCAGAGAAGTGACCAGCAGATTTAATGGATTAAACAGTGAGTCCTTCGTGTTCCTTCAAGTGCTTGAAGTAAGCGTTAACTTCAGGAGTGAATAAAGGATAGTCGCTTCCGTTACCCAAAGAACCGAAAAGACCAGTACCCCAGTTAATAACTTCACCAGATTAATTGACCAAAGTAGCAAAGTTGTCACCACCAGAAATATTCTTGTATCCGTCTGCCTTCAAGTTAGCAATTTATTAGGGAGTTAATCTATTCTTGTTATCTCCAGATCCCAAAGCACCACATCCTATTTAGATTATTAATTTTTTAATTCAAACAACATTTAAAATTTTAATTCTAAGTAAAAAATTTGTATGTTTGCTTGCTTATTTATTCATTTATTTAGACATTAATTTATTTAATTCATTATTCATTATTTTGGATGCAATCATTTTTAATTCTATTATATTAAATTTTATATGTATATGTATGTGTTTGTCGTTTGAAATTCTAATTTGTTTATTTTAATATCTTAAAGTTGCAAATTATTGAACTGATTATCCCTAATCTTTATCTAATTCTCAATTCCTATCCATTTGAATATATATATTTTTATATATTAAACATTTATCAACATTTATTTTGCTCTTTCCAAAAATAGTTAGTTCAACCAACACATTTATTTCCTCTAAATAAAAATTATTTAGTATGAATGTATGTATCCATCTATCTATCTATATTTCTTTCATTCTATCTGTTAATTCTACATTAAGAAGATATATTTGGTTGTTTTCTTGCTAATAATTATGACTATATTTTCTGAGAACTATTTTTTGAAATATTTCAAATAATAAAGATTTGATTTAGTCTATCTAACTATCTATTTATCTAAATAACTACGTAGCAATCTAATCTATCATTCTATTTTTTTATTTTATATCTAATCTATCTAAAATGCTTATTTAATATCTATTGAATAGTTGAATATTGTAAAATCTATCTTTCTTTTTGCTTTCTTACTAAATGATTATGAAGAAACAAACCTAAATTAGAGACTGCAAGTATACCTATTAAATGTTTTGGTTGGTGGTTAAAACTAGGCTTTTTTACTATAGGTAAACACTATATAATAATTACATAATGATATCATTCCCATTTATTTCTTTAACTACATGCTTTGCTAAAATTTTTACTATTATCTTATATCTTTGTTAGAATGTATGAATTAGGTACGTAAGTACATATATATATATATATTTAGGATCTTATTGCAAATTTTAAATCTTATCTAAACAAGCAAACAAACAAGCAAGTTAGACTATTTATTTGTTAAATATCTTACTTTGAGGTAAAATAGCGTTTCTGAAGAAGTCAAGGTTGATCTTGCTGGAAGGTTCACCACCATAACCCCAGGAGTAAACTTCACCATTTTCTTTAAATATGTTAGAATAGTGATTAACGATAAAAATAAATAAATTTATTGTTTCAAACAATCAGAACAAATAAATATTCATAAATGCTATTCTTACCAGTGACGGCAATAGTGTAGCTTTCACCAACTACGACGTCCTTAACCTTGAGTTTCTTATCGTTGAAGAAGCTGACAGGGCTGGGAGATAATTAGAATTCCTTAGCACCATTACCGAGAGCACCGTTTTAACCCCAACCAAAAGTGTATAAAGAACCGTCGTCTATATATTTATTTTTTCAATTTAATAAATCAACATTAATTCAAAATAAAAAATGATCATTGATTTAATTTAATTTCGCTATCTATTTGCTAATTGAGAATAAAGCTACTAAAGTAAACTTTTATAAATACGAAATGCAATGCTAATATTTACTGGTAATAACGGCAGTGTGATAAGGACCCATAGCAACCTTGGAGACATTGCCTGAGAAGTAATCAACCTTTCTGGGGACAGCAGAGGCGGTCTCGAAACCGGTACCACTGGCGTATTAGCCCCAAGTGTATAAATTTCCACCTTTTGATATATGAAAAAGAGGATTAAGGGATTGAAATATGATACTAAATAGTTTGCTGCTAATGCTAATAATTTAAAGCTTTGTTTTATATTTATTTGATCGAGATTGCCTACGACCTCATCTATCAATGTATTACTAATAAGCTACTTATTTGTATAGGATTTGCATACAAAGCAGAAAGAACACTCAATTAAATAAGACAGACAGACTTTCTTTAATATGAATGAATAGACTCTTCTGATAAGATATAAAATCAAAGAAAAAAAGCCTTTTTTTCAGATAATCCTATTTAATTTTTGCAAAGATAGATGAGGCGCAAGCAAGCTGCGTATATACTAAACTAATTTTTGAAATGCCCAACCCTTGACAGTAGAGAATGATTTTGAACTCAATTGGAATAATCTTGCGAAGGCCTAGGTTTTTGAAATCATTTGCGGATTCGATCTTCTTTCCTTTTCTTTTTTTATTATTTCAATCTTTTTATTTTGTTTTTCTTTCTTTTTATTTAACTTAATTTGTTTATTTTTCCCCTTATTCAATTTTTCTTTCTTTTAACTTGAAGAAATCATACAAAAGCACATACATAAATGCATAAATAAATACATGCAAACAAACAAATTAATCAAGAATCTATCAAACAATAAGAAAAAATGCAAATAAATGCATTCAATTTAATAAATAACAAAGACAGTATCTAAAATTTATTAATTAATAATCTATTGTTTTTATTCATTAATGTTTCTCCTTCACTCTTTCTTTTCTTCATTTTCATGTTTATTCATTTATTAATTAATTAATTTATTTTATTTATTTTTTTATTTATTGTTTCAAGGCCAATTAGCATATATGAAAGCATTCAATTTATTTATTTCTTTTTTAATTATTTCTTTATTTGTTTGTTTGTTTCTTCTTTATTTTAATTGAATTGAACTATAAAGTTTATTTTAATTTATTTAGTTATAAAGATATTCAAAATAAATATTTACTACTTTTAAAATGAATGATTTTGATTTTGCATAAAAGAAACCAAGCCAAGCCAAACCAAATCTAATCAATATCTTTATAATCAATTTTAATAATTTAATCGATATCTTTAAAAGATATTTCAGAGTGTTTGCTTTGTTTATTCTTTGTTCTCTTTTTTATTGCTAAAAATTAATATGACATATGAATAAATGTATGAATAATGTATGTATCTATTTATCTACCAACATTTTCACTGAAATAAAACTTTATTAATTACAATTATATTATATAAATTTATTTTATTTTTATTTAATTAAATCAGTGAATTATTTATTTATTAGTTATTTAAAGTTCTTCTAATCAAAAGTGTATTAAATAATTTAGATTAAGATAGTTAGCTAATTACCTATTTAATTACAAAAATAAATACTATTTAATAGTTAAATAAAAAAATTTTGTAAATTCTTATAAAAGCTTTTTTTTTGATAAAAATATTTTAATTTTTATGGCATATAAATAAAAATAGATGATAAATTTAACCAAAATTAAAAGTTAAATATAATGTTAACCTTGTGTTTATCAGCTGCTGAATCATGCTTATTGGATCAAATAGTGCTAATTAATGTTATTTTTTTATTGATTTTTATAAAAATGATAAAAAAATTAAAAATAGTTTATATTTTTTATAGACTGATTAAACAATCAATTTTTAATAAAAATAAGAAAAACTTTATCTTTAAATTCATATTGGTTTATTTATTCATTCAAAAAAATTTTAAATATTTGAAAATTATTGTTTTATTTTCAAAAAAATAAAAATTCAAATATGAAAATGAAATGAATTTATTAATTATTTATTTATTTGAATATGTTTAAATGAATCATCCATCCATCCATCGATCCTTTTTTGAATAACCAATTTTAAAATAAAATAATGAAAGAAATTATTTATCAATTAATTTTATTTAAATAAGTATAAAAATTTAATTTTAAATAATATTAAAATAGTCATATGGTTTCGGATGAAATATTATACTAATCATTACCAATATTCACTAAACTTAAATGTTTAAATATTAAAGAACCATATGAGTAAGTAATTATTTTTATATGCTCAAATTTAAGTATTTTTTATTTTCAAGCTTTTTTATATATATAAATTACTGATTTAGGCTTAGCTTTAAGCAAGTGATAAAATTTGACTTGTTTAGAAATAGATTTAGAAAGATATAATTTTGAGTAAGAATATTTACTTCATTCACACAAAATTAAATTAAACAAATAATTTTTTATAGAGTTGAGGAAGTAAATGAATTCTTTAGAGGGATAGCCAACTGTTAAACTCTAAGAAATTTTAAGCTCAAAGTTGAGTAATAGATTAATTAATTTATATATATATATAAATATATTTATCTATAGCCAAAATAACTAATCTTGATTGACTTATAAACTAATTAATTAAACATAAAAATTAAATTTTAATTTAAATTTTATAAAATAGTTTATAACATTAAATTCTTGAAATATCAAATGAAGCTATTTAAAAATGTGAAAATTTAACAACTATTTGCTTATAGTAAGTCTTAATAAAATTTCTCTTTTATTATTATTATTAATATTACTCATTTATTTTTTCATTAAATAAACTGCCTTATAAACTACAACTTATTCATAAAGAATAAATTAACTGTCTTTTCTATAACTAAATCGTTAATTTTAAATTAAAATATGTTTTATCTATCTATCTACCTACCTATTTATTTATTTATTTATTTATTTATTTATTTATTTAAAACTTTTAATTAATAGTGATCCTAACATGTTAAAAAATGAAATTTTATATTAGTCTCTTAAAAAAATGAAAAGATTAATTCACTGGGTACATGAAACAAACTACTGAAAAATTAAAACTAAGAAATTATATTTAAAAATTTATATCATTTTCACTCAAATTTCTTATTTTTTTTAATTGATTACTACTCATTCAATTTATGAACCTAAATATTATTTTTTTATTTATTCATTTGTTTTAAATAAATAAATAAATTAACTATTTATTAAATCTACTTATTTATTTATTTATTTATCAGTTTATTAAGCTAATTACTTAAAATAATATTAAAATAAAATAATTATCAAAATTAAATAAATAAATATTCTTTTCCTTATGCCAAGAAAAAATTGAATAAGGATTAAAAATTAAAAAAAATATTTGTCAGGCAGGCTAAAATAAATAAATAAATAACTAGTAAATATCCTAATTAATTAAAAATGATTTACAAAAAATAAATCAAAAAAACAAGATAGATATTTTATTCATTACAATTTATCGATATTATATAATTGATTCCATATTGTTTTTATTTGTAATTTATAAACCTTTTTTTCATTCATAAAATCATTTATAAACTATTTATTTGTTTGTCTATCTCTTTATTTTAAATCTTTATTAACAACAGAAATAAATAGATATGGAAAAATTAAGGTTTGAAAAAATAATATTTAGATAAATAAATGAAAACTCTCTCTATTTGTTTATTTTAGATATTTATTTGTTAATAAAGAAATACTGAATACAATAAATAATTTGCTTTTATAAAGAATAATTAATTTTTAATTTGCTTTTAAGGCAGGCAGTTTGTTTTCAAAATGGCCTAAAGTTATTTTTCATATTTGCTCTGCCCTTTTTTTTGCTTTACTTTTTTTGATTTAAAAGAAAATTAAATAAAGTTTTATTTTTTAGTTAAAAATTATTTACATCATTTGATTCATTGTTTTCATCATCCATAAACATTTGATGAGCTTCTTCATCCATCTTAGAATTAAATTCTTAGCCATTATTTAAAATATCTATCTTCATTTAATTTAATAAATCTTCATCAGTTTTTGTTATCACTTGAAGACTTCCTTCTTCGCCAACAGTAATATAAACATTGTCATCTATTTTCTTGATTTATCTAATTTATTTTGTGTGTTCAGTTTTTATGACCCTGCAGACTTATTGTTAGATCTAATCATCAACCTTTCTAATTATTCTCTCTTCGACATATCCTCTTTTATGTTAAAATAATATTGAGTAAGTAAATGAATAATTCAAATTTATTTTATTATATTTTAAGTTACTTACTTTTGCTTTCCTACTAAAATTTTAAATTCATTAATATTGGTATCATTGTAAGCATCAATAAGATAATCTTTGTTGAATTCATTCTATTTATTTATTTATTTATTTATTTATTAATTCATTAATATAATTTTAAACAATTTAAAAAAGTTTGCTTTCATTAAATCTAAGACAAAATAAAATTATAATTTTTATAGTTGCTACAAATTATCAAAAGATTAATTCTAATTTTGTATTATTTTTGATCAGATTGTTTATTTGTATGTTTGTTTGTTTGTTTGCTTGCTAATCTTTATTTAATAAAATTAATTTACGTATTCGATTGCATTGATGTTTTGCATAATTGTTTCAGTTTAGCTATTCATAATGAAGACAGAATCAACAGTGGTTATTCCATAAACTATTTCATTATTGATATAACCGCATCTATCTACGGGTTAATCGGTTCTGATGATTGACTAGCAGGCTTCTTCTTCGTTTTATTGAGAAAGATCAAATAAGCAAAGGATTCCATCTAAGCTGCTACTTACAAACTAGGTTGGAATATTTTCATTGAATTTGACACATGTAACTTCCTCATTATGAGTTTCATTGAATTAATTTCTTTGCTTCATAGTTCTAAGATCCCTAATTAATATAAGAAGTATTAATTAATTAATCTAATCAAATCAAATCAAATAAGTGAGATTTTTCTATACCAGAATACAATTCCAGATTCGTTGGCACCAGCTAAAATGTGCTTTGATTTAGAAATTGAGTAGATTTCATGATTAACTATTTATTTTAAAATTATAAAATGCTTATTTATTTATTTTTTCTTTAACTTTATTTTTTTTTACGATTAAATGCTTTAATTAACTTATTAGCCTTTAAATCATACAAACGACATTATTTGTCATTTGAACATGTGTATAGAACATTCTCGTTGATGAATATATCATTTATTCTTTTTGTGTGCTTATTCTCACCCATCATCCCTCCGAATTTGACATATCCGTCTTAAGCGAGAGTGAAGTAGCCTATTTCAAAATTAGATAGTGCACAAAAGATGTAATTTTTGTCTTCTGTCAAATCAAACTTCAAAACATACTCTTCATCTTCTAAAATTTCTCCCTCACATATGTTTTTATTTTCAACAAAGCAAGCTTTTTTTGAGGTCTTGAAAGACTAAACTATTGATTCCATGTCTAAATAAATAATAACTTAAACAAACCTATCTATTTCTTATTTTAATTTTTAAGTGATTAATTTCTACTTACTAACTTATATTCAAAATTAATTACTGTCTGTATTCAATTATTTATTTATTTAAGATTGGATAAAATTATCTATCTATTTATCTATTTATATATATATCTTGCTTATTTCATTGACTTATTGATTGATCTAGAGCTAATCAAATCAAATAAATCCAAAACAAAAATAAATTAAATCAAATGCAAGGTTCTTTTAATATCTTATTCATTTTAACAAATAAAAAATAAGCAATTAATTATCAATCGTATTTATATTCGTTATCGCTTATTCGTCCGCCAATTAGTATGTATATTTTTATTTTTCAGTATAAAAAAGTAAAAAAAAATAGAATAATTTTATACTTAAACCTAACAAAAATACAATTTATTCAAAAAAGAGTCATCTACAAAAATTAATAAATTTAGTAATGAATAGCATTTAATGTAGCGAAGAATAAATTAAGATTATTAGCAAAATTATTTTTATTATTTCTACTTATAAAACACAATTTATAAATAACATTTAAATAGCATTCAATCATTTCTGAAGCTACATAACTTAGTTTTAACTTTTATTGTTGATAATTAAAGAGGAAAGACAATATCCTAGCCCTATAGTAATAGGAAAAATAAGAATCGATTTAAATAAAAACATACTTCCTAATCCAACAGGAATAGAGAAAGGAAGTGATTATTTTAAGTTGTCTTAACATCTTTAATTAATGCGTGAAAGAGTTTTAAATTTTTCTGACTCATAATATTACTTGTGTTCATTAACTTTTATCTAAGCATCATTTTCTTCCTCAAGCTTCTTCCTAAAAGCTATCAACTTTAATTCTAAAAATATGTCTTCTTAATTTTACTTTTCCTTTTTACTCATACAAAAACTGAATATAAATATATCTGATTAGTTTGTTTATCTTGTTGTTTAAATTACTGATTTTAAATCTATTAATAGTTTTTTCTAAATCTTTCCTAAAGAACAAAAATTTATTTAATTATTTGTCTGTTTATTTGTTAATTTGTTTGTAGTTAATTTTCTGATATAAAATTATATAAATTATTATTCAAGTTTTCAAATTTATATAAAAAATAAAAGACCATTCTAATTAGTTGACATTCATTTTTAAAATATTTTATAAAAAAATAATCAATTTTATCATTTTTTCTTAAATAGCCAAAATATTTATTAAAAATATTTAGTTTAAAAATAAATAAATAAAATCAGAAATTTAAAATTTTAGGATTTGATGTGAATTTATATGATATTAAATAAAGCAACCCTTTACTTAAGATAAAATATATTTATTTACCTTATAGTTGAAGGAAATATTTTAAAAAATACAGTTTTATATAAGGAGAGATAATAAATAAATAAATAAATAAATAATAAAGTATTTATTATAAATAAAAGGAAGTTTTTAATTTGATCTATGAAAATTCAAATATTTATTTTTATTTTAAAAAATTAATATAGATATTTAATTTAATTAATTAATATAAATTTATCAATTATTTCCTAAATTTAAAAATTTATATTTTTGTTGCTTTTTTCTTATCATTATTTATCTAAAATATATCAATAAAAAAATATCCTAATTATAAAGATTCTGAGTTTTTTTCACTAGATAAATTAGCATATTTTTTTATATCTTATAAACCAATAAATATTTATTTTAATAATAATATTTATTTTGGCTTCAGAACTCTAAAATTTAAGTTTAAATTATTTTACTATTTATAAATAATAAAGTAAATAAGTTTATATTAAAGTAAATTTCTGTAAAAAATAATTTATTCATTTATTTATTATTAATAAATGAATAGTGATATATAAATCTGAATATTATTTATTTTTATTTAACTCTTATTAGAATAGAAAATTTCAGATACTTTGATAAAAAAATTGTTTATTTAGCTAATACTTACAAATATAACATATTTAAAATTTTAGAGCTTGTCTTAATTGCTAATTTGTTATTCATTTAGATTGGCTATTTTGAGATTTTGAAAAACAGGTTTAAAATTTTTCAATGTTTGTCTTTTTTATTTTTGGTAAAAGAAATTAATAAAATTTTCTATTGAATGACGAAAAACAATCAAACAAACAAACAAATAAACACTCCAAAATTCTAAATATCTTTCTAAAATTAGTATAATCCATAATCAAAATTATTTATATTATAACTCTATTTTATTTTTTGTATTAACACTTTGATTTCATAATATTTATAAATTTTTATCTAAATTTATTCTTACTTAGTAATTTTAAACATAAAAAAAAACATTTTCTTATCACTTAAAATATTCAAATAATTTATTCAATAAATTTTTAACCAGATTATTTTTATTGAAAATTTCATATTTTTAAAAGCTTTTAAGATTATAAAAAGGCTTTCTTTTTGTAATTTCGAAGTTTTGAGTATTTAGCAAATATTTTGTAATTTGAAGTGTTAAATTTAGCAATCAGTTACTCTCAATTTAAAATGTATCAATTATATTTTTACTAAACTTACCTCTCATTCTTATTAGGTTAGCTAAACTAGTTAATAATTAATTAATTTATTTATTTGTTCGTATATAAGTTTGCTTTAATTGAATTGATAAATGCAAGCAAAATAAGAGCTGTGTTTAGATGATTTTTAATTTTCTGATAGTGAATCTAATTAGCTAGTGATTTTTAATTTAAACCTTTGTGTTTTTTTGCTTTTACAAAATTTAAATTAATTCTAATCAAAAGCTTTGTCTTTAAATATCGAATTGAGTCATCTAAACAAGAAGCAATACTATCATTGATTGATTGATAATAAAGTAATAGAAGAAACTTGTATAATATTTTGATCACAAAAATAAATAAAGTTAGAGATATTGAATACAAATAATTCTTATCTTGTTCCATCAAGGAAGTGACTTAGAATGAGGTAAGAAGATGAAAACTAAAAGGGGAATTTATTACTTTCTCCTCCTATCTAGTAGCAACAAAAGTTCTAAGAATGTCAGAAGAAAAAGGAGTTTAAGTGGACTGAAATAGTTGCTGAGCAAGAAACTGTATCGGAATACATTCTTTCAACTATTGCTAACTGGGATAAATTTCCTTTGAATATGAAGATATAAGTGTTAGAATAATTCAATTTAATGATTGAGTCGACTAACTTTGAGGAGGAGGAAGATATTGTTTTGAAGTCCAACTGCAATTTCATTGATATGCTTAAACATAATAATCCAAAGATTGTCTAAATAACTCTTAAAATACTCATTCTATACACACAAAAAGCATAATCGATAAGTAAAACATTCACTTCAATCTTCATAGCATTTCAAACATATTTTCATTTACAAATACGGTGAATTGTACAACATATTCATTCGATCATCCAAATGCTTAAAATAGAAATTAAAATATTTACTTTTTTATTATTTTTTGAAGATTTATTTGCTAGAAATCGATAGAAATAACTCCATTTCTAACTAAATAACTTCGCATTATTCAAAAATAACTTAATTTTTAACAAATATTTAGATTACAACGTGCCTCATTTAGTCAGTTAGCTGATTTCAAAAGTCATGATTAGAAAGGAATTCAGAGAGGCTACAATAAAACTATTTATGCTCATATTTAATAAATGCAGAGACGGACTAAACTTTGGAATATAAGAATTATTCTCGTCTTCAGCTCCTAAGCCTATTTGTGAGACTCTTAACTTGTTTGAATTACTCTTGCTCAAAAAAGAAATAGGAATGAAGGAATTTCTGAAACAGTATCTTTCTTAAGTATACGAATACACGCAAAATCAATACTAAGAAGTAAGATCCTAAGCTCTTAAACTTTTTGTTTCTCTTATAAAAGAGTATGGAGAATCGTTTATTGTGCCTTATAAATCGAAGCTGAAGAGTAATCAAATAGATTTTGTCAATAAATAATTACAGAAAGATTCAAATGCTAATTCATTGAAATCGCCTAACATTAAATTAGCTGTAGTTGTTGTCCAAAAGAAGTAGCTTTCTAACCAAAGTTCTCATTCTAATTTATCTAGGCCTTCTCAATCTAGCTAAGCACCAAACGAAAAACCATCAGCTGCTACTTTTAAAAAGATTCCAATCAATCACACTTAAAATAACAATAATGGAGGAGGATCTAACAATGAGGATTAAGCTATAAATAATTAAAAAATAAACAATGAATTGAATACATTATCTCGAAAGGTTATTAAACATTTTGAAAAAAACATTTTTAAGAAAAAAACTGAGCTTTAAAGTAAAAGTTTAAAAGATGAATAAATATTCAGTATGAATGACTTGTCTAGATCAAGATCTAGCATTAATTCTAAGAAATAAAAAAAGAAACATTCTGACACATTTAGCTAAGCTGATTAAGAAGACAGCTCTTATGAGAAAAACTCTGAGTTTAGCATGAAAACTAGCAAAGAAAACAGTTTAATCGCTAATCCTCAATTAGTTTAACTCAAAAAAGCTACAAATATTTATGAAAAGGCTGTTGTTAAATCAGAATTAGCAGAAATTCTTGAAGCTGGAATAGGAGAAACTAAAAAAAAATACCATCCTAAGATTGAAATAAAAAATAGAGATAAAAAGGCATCCTCTGTTTATAAAAAAGAAAAAAGTGTTGCAATTTCATCTAAAAAGGGCAGCGAACTAGCTTCTGTCTCTTCAAAGGCAGCAATGTCAAAATCATCATCTCAATCGTCTCTGGCTCCTATTTCAAAGAAATTCAAATCAGAATAAGATTTAGTTTTTAATAAACCAAAAGTAAAATAAGGACAAAGTGATAAACGAGTTGATGTATAAAGCAGATAGTCAATAACTCCAAATGGAGTCGATGAAGACTCTTATTATGCAAGCCCTATTCCAAATAAATTTGGAAGCACTAAAAATTCTCCAAATAAAAATGTAGATTTAAACTTAAATACGGAAGTGAATAACATTTAATACAGCTTTTCTAAAGATCTCAGTGCATAGCAAAACGAAAGTGAGTCTGGTTATAAGTTTTTGCAAGATTTGTTGCACTTTGAAAATAAAATAAAACTTGAAAACAGCAAAATTTTTAATGATAAGTTTGTTTCAAACGATTCATCAATTCAAATTTAAGAAGAAGAAACACCTTTTGGAATTGATAATGATGACTTTTATGCTGCTCCAAATCTTGATTACAACTCTGATTCAGATTAGAAAGGTTAATTCAATTAAGATTAGTTTTCAAAGTAAAGAAAATCTCCTTAGAAAGCAGATAATGTTACTCCAAATGGAGTTGATGATGATTCTTGTTATGCCTAACCAAACAGTGAACAAGATCTAGACGAAAGCTTATAAAGTGATAATATTTAAAATGAAGAAACGCAGCAAGGAGATGCCATGCTTCAAAAACTCTAATAAAACTAAGAAAAGTAGTAAACCAAAGTTAAAAAAGATTTTGCTAAAAAGAAAAACGAAGAGCCGAAACAAAAAAGTAGAAACTCAATTTGCTCATAAAAATCAACACCAAATGAAGATATTCAAAGATAAAAAGAGGAAAGTGAAAACAAAATGAAGTAGCAGGAAGAAGAATAATAAAATGTAGACAATGAAATGGTGCAAAGCATTGTACTACAGAAAAAGCAATACCAACTTAATTAAGATGAGCTATCTCAAAGCTTACTTCAAGTCGTAGAAGAAGAATCTAATAAATTGAGTTACGTTTCTGCTGCTAAACAACTTTCAGATATCTCATTATAGATGAGTTTTTTTAAGTAACAAGCAGACAATAATAATGATTTGTTAAACAATCCTTCAAATATCATAGAATCAAACTATCTAGGCTAATTAAGTGATGTCTTAAAATTCAGTAATAGAAAGGAGCAAAACATTCCTCATTTCTACCAAGATGCCAGTGGAGCAGAGGAAGACAAAGCTAACAATATTAGCAACTTTTATCACTTTTAAGACGAACTGAACTTTTAATCTCAGCAAAAAGAAAATAGTTAAAACCAAGAAATTAGAGGATACTTTTTTAACTAGGATTTAAAAGATATCCTTTCGGTTGTAGAAAGTGCTGAATAAAAGCATTACTTCTTTAATCAATAAAAGCTTCCATAAAATAAATAATAAAACAGTTTATCTCCAAACAGTTAGCAAAACAACTAGCTACCAAAGCCAAAAGAATCCATTTAATAAGATAATAAAATTAAGAAAAAAAGTTCAGTACATTCACAGCGCTCAAGACAGCCTTCTCAGTCTCCTCACAAACAACAATTCTACAATAATAAAGAGAAAAACGGTATTAAAGATGAGGAAAGAGAAAATGCAAAATAAATAATAAACAAATCTTAGTAAATGAATGATACTGTGCTCAATTCTTACATTTTTCTGTTCAATGACAAATTAGTGAATAAACTTTTCCAATAGCAAAAAGATAAAATTATTTATATAGTCAACAAGGATACAGTCAATTAATGGTTTAACTCGAGAGAATATGATAACGTCAGTATCATTTCCTTTTTGATTCACTATATAGGACACTAATTCGAACGTGAAGATTTTTCCTATCTCTCTAAATTTTGGAATTTCTAGAAATTCTTATCATTTAACAATGCTTTGATTCAGAGTCTTACAATTCATGTCATGCACTAATACTTTAAGAAAATTTAGAAATACAACTATATAAAATCAAATATTAAGCCAAAATGCTTGAGAGACACCATTAACAAACTTATTAAAATTATCCCAGTTTCAAGAGATAAATTGTTTGATGAATCCTTTGCCTTTTTAGATTTCCTATTTGAATTAGACATTTATAACGACTATATCTTCGATGCTATATCTGAAGTCCTACAATCAAATGTCCCCAAATAAATTGTTTCGTCATTGAGAATCCTTTCCAATTTCTTACGTTTATATGGTGAAAAGCGCCTAAATTCTTTAAAACCATTTATGCACATCATCAAGAGCATATCATTTTCAGCAAATCTCTAAGTGAGAAATGCAGCCATTGAGTTTTACTAAGAAGCATATTCAGTAAATAATAATTTCATTTCATTCATTCATTTTTTACCAATGAATTAAATTTTTTAGAATTTCATTTATTATTTTAGATGAATTTCTTAATAAAATAAAATAAACTTAAAATTAATTTTTTAAGAATATTTTATTAAAAATATTAATTTTAATAAGAAAATCAATAAAAATAAAATAGCTCAAAGCCATAATTTTAATTAGATATTGATTTAATTTTTATTCATTTATTACTTAGAAATGCAACATAATTTTAATTCGATATTATTATATTTTTTTGATAATTTATAACTTGAAATTAGTTATTTATTTTATCATAAAACAGTTTTTAAATATATTTAATTTTGCTTGAAATATTTTTAAATAAAATAGCAAATGAATATCTTGATGTTTTGATTGATTATTGTTTTAAATTAATAAAATAAATTAACTAAATTATTATTTATTGTTCAAAATAGTGGATGGGTGACTCTATCTTTGAATACACTAAGTCTTTAAAAAGAACTTAACTTTTATAACTTGAAAAGGCGTTTTCATAAGTAATTTTAAAAGAAAGAAGACCTTTGAAATGCCCAATAGAAGTGTTTTAGCCTATTATGAATGATTCGCTTTATGAGAAAGAGTAAAATATATTTACAAGCGATGTTGATGAGGAAATTTAAAAACAAGTATTTTCATTCATTTTTATTAAATTTAATATTAATTTTTTGGACAATATTTAGGAATCATACATTAGGAAAGCTCTAGCTGTTCAGGAATGGGTTAACAAAGATGACTTGATTCAAAAAATAGTTGATGATGCTTCTAACTAATTAAAACTCAGGGAATAAAATTATTCCAATATCATATAAATAATTTTAGAATTGTTAGGTGACTGGAATAAATATTTGATTGAAAACACTCTCATTTTGATTAAAAATTTAGCATAAAAACTTAAGAAAGATTTTTGTCAAGGCGGAATTGAGCTTTTTGAAGCTGTTTTTGAGCTTTATTCTGTAGACAAAAGTATTAACAGAGATAAAATTAGCAAAGCCTTAGTGAGTCTGTTTGTGGTAGCAGGACTTAAGCAACTGCTTAAAATAATCTTAAAAATTCTTGCAAAGAAGAGAAACATTAAAGAAATTTTAAACGTGCTAAATTTCGGATTAAGGAAAAGTGATGCTGGATGTGTTATAAAAATAATTTAAGAAGTTTAAATCTACTTGAGCGATAAAGACAGCAACACTAAGATAGCAGCTTTTGATTTGTTTGGAGTAATAAGATACATTTATGGTAATCCAATAATTGAACAAAATCTTAATTAAGAGTATAAAAATAACAGGTTTATACTCTAAAAGATCTAAGAGAGTCATGTTAAATGTGCTAAAATGAAAAGCTTAAGTATTCAAAAGAAGAAGTTGGAAGAACTAAAGAACTCTATCAGCAATAGCTATTCAAACTCTGAAATGAGCACTGCTTCTTATGATAAATAATACTTCTATGTCTAAATACAAAATTGCTCTTTTTCTTCTAAGAAGGGTTAAATGCCCATATAGTAATTCAAAATATAGAAAAAGTAAGAACTCTTGCAAAAGTAAATGTCAGAAGAACCCATTACAGAGGTCTATCAAGGATCTTTTGTCCATGAGTTCTTGTCAGAGTAGCAAAAATAACCTCATTAAAATGAAGATGTAGATGAAATTTGAAATTAATAAAAACAAACAGTCGTTACAAACTAATTTACTAACTATCTAAGTAATTAATTAATTACTTACTTATTTACTAACAAACTAATTAATTAAATAAATATCATAAATGCTAACTTAAATAATGTAAAACAAACTATTTAAATCAATCAAAACTAATTAAAAATATAAATAATAATTCCAATAAATTTAAATTAAATTAAATAAAAAATGTTTATAAATAATTAAATAACTAAATAAATAAATAAAATAATTTATTATTAACTTATTTCCATGTTCGTTTGTTCATTTTTGAAATTTATATTTATAAAACTTGAATGTATTACTAATAATAGCTTTTAAAACTATTTAGTCACTTTCTTTCTTTCAGATTTTTAAATATCTCATCATTAAATTAAAATACATACAGTACATGCTTATTTACCATCAATATTACTTAAGATATTAAATTTAATCATCATATGATTATACATATTATGAATCCTCATTAACTAATAAAGAGAAAATTAAATTAAGGTAAAAAATAGGATTAGCTTATGTTACATAATTTTTATAAGTCAAGGGGATGGTATAATTATAAATTCTTTATTGTATGTAATATGGTTTAAAATTAAATTCTTAATAATTGACTAAGCACAAATTTTTATTTGGTTCTATGTAAGATTGAAATATATAAACAAACATATATGACTTAATAATAACAAGAAAGAGCATGTAAGTAAGTAAGTATTTAAGTAATAAAATGATAGAATTAACTTTTTCTTACTAAAATATTAATTAAGATAAAGAAATAAAATTCAGAAACAACGATTAAGAAATATTTGATTTAAACACTAAGTAAGTTAAGTAAGAAAGATGAAAATTATTATTAAGGATTAATTAATGTTATTTTAAATTATTGAAAATAGTTTTTTTATTTATTTATTTATTTTTGATAGTCTTATTTATTTTTACATAGGACAAGGAAGATAATTTACACAAAATTGCTTTGATTAATTAATAAATTTTTTAATCATAAATCCTGAAATGTTTTTGTTTATGTGTGTTTAAGTACAGTTAAGAGCAGATTTACGAGATTTTGTTTGTTTGATTGATTGATTTTTTAAAAGAATTAAATTATTTGATAAGATAGATAGATTGATTGATAGTTATTAGTTTTTATTTGTTTATTTTATTGCTAAGCAATTCAATGTTTATATTAATTTATGATAGTAACCAAAATTTCACAAACCAACTAATGTAAATGATACTAAGGTAAGTATATTGATATTAATGAATGTATTTAAGTGGTTGGTAGATTAGGTTAGGCTAGCTAGCTAGCTAGCTAGTTGGTAGATTTTTAAGTTTTTATGATGTATTTATGCATTTATGTATGTATGCATACTGTAAGTATTTATGTAAGATTTATTTGAAAATGAATGATAGTTTACATAAAATATTATTTACTTATTTACTTACTATTCTAAATGAGAGAATAAATTAATGAGATATTTTAGATTGATTTGTTTTCTTTTTTTTGTTTTTTTTTCTTTTCTTTTCTTTTTTTTTTGAAACTTTTTGAATGAATTTATTTATTTATTTATTTATGAATATAGAGCATCTAAATTTTTAAATCTTAATTTATAGTATCTTTAGCTATCTTTGATAGCCAATAAATCTCAACTATGTTATTTATTATAATTATTATTATTGATTTGTTTATTTAATTTATTTACTAATTCATTTACTTAAGTTTCTTTATTTTAAAAGTAGTTATTATGTATGTATGTATGTAATATGTTATGTGTGTGTGAGTGAATTTAGTTGAGTTAGTTATAAAATTTATAAGGTGGTGTGTATAATCAATAGAATATTTAAAAATTAAATTGGGTTTGTAAAGTGGGTAGCGAAGAGACTAATTTTTATTTTAATATTTAATGAAATCGTGATTGATGCTGGCTTTTTAGCTTATATCTTATAAATTATAATAATTTAATTCATTCAAACGAGTAAGATATCTATCTGATAATTTATCTTCCAATCTTTTGCTTGTTCTAACTAAATAAGGCTAATCAATTAATTATAATCAGGATTAGTTTTTTAATTTAAATAACAATAATAATCATAATAATCTCAAAAAAGCAGTGCATTTCTTTTTTTCAGTCATCTAACTCGATTTCGTTGTCAAAGTTATCACTTTTTTCTGTCTTTTTACAGGATATTTTAACAGATTACTTTTGGTTGTTCTTAGGTAATTGGGGTTTTTTGAATGCACTTACTTTTGCCTTTTTAGTTTGTTTGATTGAAGAATCATCGATTTAATACTTAGAATTTTCATGAGGATTAAACTACTATTTGTTTACAGACTAAACTAAATTTTCATTAAGATACTAATTATCTGCCTATTCTATACATTTTTCTCTATTGCTGCAGTTGCTAATATTAGAACTCTCGTTTGATTAATCTGATTAAGGTGCAAAGAAAGAGTTTCCAACTAAATATTTTGAAATGAATTCTTAATTAAGATATTTGGAAGCAAACTATTGATCAACTTAGTGCATTTTCATTTGCAAAAGAACGTCTAAGTCAGCATGAACTATCATTTTAGACTGACTGAAAAATTTTCCATTCTTTTGGTCTTTACTCATCTTTACAATGACCTAGACAATAAATAAATAAACAATTATAAAATTCAAATTATAATAATTAATTAATTAATTGATTTATTATAAAAATTCTATATAATTATTTGAAAAAATTAAATTGTGCACTTTGTAAAATAATAAATAAATAAATAAAATACCTTGGAAGACTCGTTTTCAGGAGTTGGTACAGAAATAAGGATAAGGGGAAACTTAAAAATATGGCTTTGTCCATTGGAAGGTTGAAGATCTGTGAGGATTTTATCTTTTAGACTTATTTAATCCTTAATTGTGTTCATTCTTTGACTTAATTCTTAGACTTAATCTTGATTATTCAAGAAATCAACACTTTGTTGTGACAATTAAACATTTAGCTTTTCCTATTCTGTTTTTTTGTTTCTTTCCATCAAATTCATGAGAGCTAAGTATTTAGCAGCATACTCAGTTAAGATTTTTTGCTTCTAAAGTAAAGTTTCTCTAATTTTTAGGTAAATAAATTTATTTTTTAATTTTCATATAATTTATTTTAAATGATTTTTTACTTTTTTTTATCCCTTTCAGACTCAACAAGCTTAACATTTTTCCAGTTATCAGCTTACAAGCATCTTCCTTTTATTATTCAAACAAAATTAGTTCTAGAAAGCGAAAATACAATCAAATAAACAAACAAAATCTTAAATAATTTTAATAAAATAGATTGATTACCATTTAAGTGTGATTTATCACAAGATTTGACAACTTTTCCAGTTTTTTCAATAACCTTAGAGGCAATTAATACATTTAATGCATCATAAACTCTTCTTTTGATATTTTGTTCGTCTTTTTACTATTTTTAAATTTTTAATTAATTGATTAAATAAGAGTTTCTTTAAATTCTATATAATACTATGTCTTCAGGTTTCATTGAGCCCAGAGATTGACTTTTGAGCTCGTCAACAAGCTAATCTGCCACTTCTTTGTAAGATGTTTATCCCTTTTAGACTACTATTTGTTTTACTTTAAGAGACAAATTACGGAGACCTCTTGAGGAACGCTCGCCTTTATCATCATCTTTATTTAAAATAAATGGTAAAATTTAAAATAAAAATAATAAGCAGAATATTTAGTTAAAAATAAATATTTAATTTGGCTTATTTGAATCGATCATCATATGTCATTACTGTAAAGTTAAGTGAATTGACAGTCTAATGAATCTTTTGAAAAAACTTAAAAGATATGAAAAGAAATATTTGGTTGGTTGGAGTGATATCGAGTTTTTAAAAAGGTGTGAAAAATTGAAAAAGAAAGATATTTTGAAGATTTGAGAAAAATTATTTGTTTAAATCTAGAGAATGATGGAGTGTAAGTAGATATTTGTGGCTAGGAAAATAAAAAATGTTAAGCCTATTTAAATTGTATAAGGTGGGGAGTTGATTGATAGAGTGCGTGTTAATCAACAAAATTAACAAAGATAAAATTAAAGAATTGATTGATTAATAGCACTCTAAAAAATCTTTATTTAAACAAAGTAATGTTGAAATTTTCTGTTTAAATAAATAGAGGAGTAATAAATTGATAAATAAATTTAAGGTGATTAGTAAGCAATAATGAAAAATTAAGATATCATCAAAATAGTATTTTTAATAATTTAAATTACTTATTTATTTATTAACTTTGGTGAGATAGAATAAATCAATCAATCAATCAATCAATCAATAAATAAATAAATTAAAATTATTAAAAAATATAATTTGTTTGTTTGTTAATTTGATTTTTATTTATTTATTTATTTATTTATTTGCTTATGGATTGATTGATATCCGCCAAATTTAAATCGAAATATTATCAAAGAAATTTTATTTTTCAGACTTGAACAGAAAAATATCGCGCCACCGCCTGGCAAAATCAAAAGATTAGAAATAAATTAAAATTCTAAAATAAAATATAGTTGTTACCATCTAAGTAGTTAGTAGAATTATTCAAGTTGACATTGCTGTTGAGATGACTCATTGTTGATGGTGTCAAAGCTTACTCGTTCGCTTTGCTGTTGCTTCTTTTGTGGAAACTGCTTTCTCCAAGTAAATTTTTATTTAGCTGCTGCTTTAAAGTTCCATTTGTTAATAAGTTCTACTCACTTGCTTGCAAATTTTTTTGAGTTAGGGCTTGAAGGACTGAAGGGTTTGTCCAAAGCTAAGACAAGGACTCGTTGTTGAAAACTTCGCCTTCATCATCTTCCTGGTTGTTGATAGAATGCAATTATTGTTGGTAAAGGTTTGAGTTTAGAATTAATTTAGAGGTGCTCTGGTAATTCCATTTTTGAGTATTATTTGAATTTCCAACTAAAATATTTGTGTTATTTTTTACACTTTTATTTTTCAAAGAATTAAATTAGTTAAACGAATTTTGATTATAAGTTGGAGAGGAAAAATCAGCATTTATCTAAATATTTTAAATCATTTTTCCTCCTTCATAATTTTCATTTGCTTTGAAATCGCTAGTGTTGTTATTGTTATTGCTGCTATTTTTATTGTTGTTATTGTTATTCACGTTCGAATTGTCAAAAAATAATGATGATGAAAAATTATTTAGACTGTTTTCGCATGGAATATTTTTAATGGTTTTAAGTGGGTAATTTTGAATGCTGTTTCTAATGTTCGAGAAGTTATTTTAGAATCCGCTTATTCCCTTGCTTGTTGTTAAATTCAACGAGTAGGAAGTAGTATCCTTCAATGAATCAAGCATGTGATCTTCGAAGTGACTGGTTGAATTGCGCGATTGAGTTGCTGTAGTTTTTGAATTATTTTTATGATTTGAAGATTCAGGATCGTCGGAAGTTTCCAATATTGCCTTGGCTGAAATAATCGCTTTGCTGCTAGAAAGGAAAAGCTTCTTATTCCCGTTAATTTAAAATCCATTCGAATTGCTTGCACTGCTTATGCCATTTGAAAGAGCAATATTGTTACTAAAAAAATTCTAATTTTAATCTGAAGTATTTAATAATGTCGAATTGAATTAACGAGTGCTATTGTTAAACAATCTTGAACTGGCAAATGGGCTAATATGGTTGCTGCTATTATTCTTTGGTGAAGGAGATTGCTCATCTCCGCTTTGCTAACCTTAAGGCATCTTGCATTCCAGCATATGGCTGCTTTTTAAAAATAAATTTTCGTTAAAACTTTTATTTTTTTACAAAATTTAAACACAAATAAATATGCATGAACAAATGAATAATCTAAATATTGCAATCACAAATCAAAGAATCATTCAATAAATAAATAAATAAATTAATCAATCAATCCATCAATCAATCAATCAAAACAAGAAGAAAGTTAAAAAAATTGAAAAGGATTAAGAAATTAATGCTTATGCTTCTTTCTTTCTTTCCTTCCTTCCTTCCTTCCTTCCCCTTTTCTTAGAATTCTTTACATCTTAAAAATAATTACTCTATTCTCTATCTCATTTGATGATTCAACCAATTTCAAATAAACAAACAATCAAGCTGCAAATAAACCAATTATTATCCAACCAATTTATTGTTTTATCTTACTTTTCATATTTGTTCAATCGTCAAATAACTCAAATTTTGCATAAAAGATATACGCGCTTACAATTTGCTTATATATTTTTTTTAGTATTTGCTAATTTGCAAAAATGAGATAAGTAAAGTAAAGTATTCAGTCTACTTCCAAATATAAATAAATAAATAAATTTAGTTTTATTTTATCAAATTTAAATTTGGGAGTGGGCGGCTGATCTCACTCACTCAATTCATTCACAAACATATTACTCACTCAAACAATATTCACCACTGTTTGTTTGTTAATTTATAGCAGCATCGTTTGTAATTAAACATTTTTGGAATACAATCTATTTTCTAACATAAAATCAAATCTAAATTTAGCACTGCTTTTTTCTCAACAATGTGATTAACAAAACAGTTATAGTAATTTTTGAAATTATCTCTACTATATAAGTAGAATAAATATCACCAAGATTTTTTTAGTATTTCAAAAAAAACACCGTTTTTGAGTTGCGGGTAATTGTATTAGTGAGTTATTGAGTCATTTACTCTTAGAAAATACTATAAATAGATTGTTTAAATAGTTAAAGAGTATAATCTCTCATTACTTAATATTATTTATTGGTTTCTAGATAATAATTGAATCATTTTATTTGCTTGGATCGGCCAGTCACTTTTACTTTTGAACATTTTGTTTGTTTATTTTGATTTGTTGAGATTTATCCTATAAAAGAACAATTTGCTTTTCATCGTTTTTTCATTGATGATGGAAGATGATTTATTGATTTATTTATCGTGTTGCGGTTGTTATTCATATTGAAATAAACGGAGAATGAAGGATTTTACAATTGGTTGACGGAGTTGAAAAGATTGTCCTCTTTTATGTGGGGATTTTCAGCTAATTTGATATTTAGAATAAAATTAAAAATATGCTATTAAATTAAGTTATAAAATTATCCTTTTCTTAAATTAAAAATTTATATTTATATCTATCTATCTATCTCTCTATTTATGTATGTTTTTATCTATATTGAGAACCATAATGTGATTCGGGAATAGAATTTTGTCATTGTGATAATTAATTATTTTAAATATTTAGTTTATTAAAAATGAAAATTTTTATTAAGTTTTAATTTCACTCATTATTAATTTTTTAACAAATTATGTTTTGAAAATAATTAATTAGTTCAAAAATTTTAATTGAACCTATTTTTAATCAATTTAAAGATCTAGTTAAATATTATTTTTTAAATTTTAATTTAAAAATTCACCAGAAAATTACATTTAAGATATTATTTTTTAACTATTTTTAATTTCAAACTTTTTCATTTTTTTTCATAAAATAATTATTGAAACAATTTTTTTTGATAAAATTTCTAACAAAACGCTACAAAAAAATTAAATGTTGATTCTAATTATACTTTTTTGGTGTGTTTTTATCAACTAAAGACTAATTGATAACTTAAAAGCGTGTTTGTACTCTTGATAGTTGAAAACTTTTTAAGTTGGCTTTGGAATTCATTTTTGAATAATAACTCTTATCTAAAGATAAAGGGGAAACAAAAATGGATACTTTTGAAGAGATTGGTTTTGATTTGATTTATTGAATTAGATAGATTGATTTTCTGATTGATGAATAAAATTTCATCAAAATAAATTAACCAATTTGAAGAGGATAATTATTAATTAATTAATTTATTTATTGATTTATTAACTTTGATCCTAAAAAAATATTCTTTTAAAATAAATGGAAAAAACTTACTTTTAAACATTAATTTTTTGTGTGTTCCCTGTGTCATACAAGAATAATTTGTAGGTTTTTCTCACTCAGGATGGTTTCTTCTTTAATTTTATTGTCAAAATGAGTTCCAAACACTATCGTACAGCGCTAGATTTAATGCAAAAAATTTGTATTTTTTTGAGGATTTTTTCTTTTTCTTCTGGTTTATGATTTTTTTGACTTTTGATTTCTGCAGCTTGATCGCTTTCTTTCTTTCTTTCTTCTTTCTAATGTGTTGATTGATATTAATTTATTTAAGATTGATTAACTTAATTATGTATTTGGATAGTTTGCTTATATGCTTGCTTATGTGTTTGTTTATTTATTTATTTATATATTAATTTATTTATTTGATTTTTTGTTTGTTTGTTTGTTTGTTTTCCCCTCTTATCTTCTTTTCTAAATTTTATTAATTTATCAAATTAAAAAAAATTATCAAAATTTTCTTTCTTTCTTGTTTAAAGAAGTTTTGTTTGTCTCTTCATCTTTTGAATATGTATACTAAGATTGATTAATAGATACATAGATAGATATCTTAGATGCGAATACAAACAAAAAAATACCAAACAAAAATAATAAATAAAAAAGAAAGAAGGACTAGTTAATTAATTTTTTAACTCTTTCTTTTAGAGATAAGTAGAATGCTTTTATCTTTATAGATTATTAACTTTTTTTCTTTTTTCTTTTCTGATTCTTTCTTTTCTAAATATAACTATTTCGTTTCGATCAAACAAAATTTTATTTAGATGATATCCCAACCATGCTCACTCATCTCATCTCAAAATATTATCAAATATTAAAATGCATTTTTTTAAATATTTTTCACAAATCTTAAACGGATTGAGTCGCAAAATCTTAAAAAACTATAATTCTAATATAAAACAAACGATGAGGCCTTGTTGATATATCTTAAAATTGACATTTCGAGCATTAACTAACTAAATTGATTTTGATAATTTAATTACAATTTAAAATAAAACCAATATAATATGAGCTAGTTAAAGTATTATAAAATTTAAAAATTCCCTCCAAAATGCGAAGTCTTACAAGTCTCCTAGCAAGTTTTTAGAAAATATAGCTGGAAAGTATCCAGAGGATCAATTCCTATAAATTAAATTTTTTTTAATTTTAAACCTATAATTTTAATAAAAAACTAAAATTTTTATTTAAAAATCAGTCAAATATGAAAGATAAATTTGTATTTTAGATGCTTATTTATTAGGAAGCAAAAAAAGTATTTTATTTTTTATTTAAATCTAAACTAAATTGTACTTTAAGTTATATTTCAAATATCTTATTCCTGAAATTTATTAAAAAACCAACCTAAAAAATGGTTTGAATTTTGAAAAAAAGCTATTCTTTTTTGTAAAAAATAATTAAAATCTTTGATTTAATTCAACGATTTGAATATTTTATTAAGATTTTAATTTAATTTTGAAAATTTAATTTAATTAATTTAAGAAATCACCAAAAACTTAATTTAATTAAAAAAGATAAATTAATTAATTAATTAATTAAACACAATTTAAACCATAAATCAGATTAATTTAATTTCTAAAAAAACAACAGATAAATAAATAAATATTAATTCAATAGTTAAATTTGAATGTTATCTCAATTAATACAAAATTATTTTGTTAGATTTCACAGATAAAACAAAAATAAACACAGAGATTTGCTAAGATATTATGTAAATAAATTCCATTTTTACTTTTTACTATTTTTATATTCAAAGAGTTTTTCAAAATGCCTTAAAAAATAATAAATAATTTTATTAATTTATCTGCTGCTTAAACAATAAATGTTGATTGATTTTTATTCATATTTTATAACTAAATTCATTAATCGATGATAATTTAATCTGCCTTTACTCCTTTATTTGAAGCACTATCGCTATTCATGTTTATATCTCCCTGTTTCTTATCTATGCTACCAGTCTGAGGAAGGTCCTTTGTGTTTTTACTCTAAATAAATAAATAAATAATTTATATAACAAATTACAATTTTATTATTTAATAGCGAATTAAAATAAAAATTGTATGAGCTATTTCAAAAATTCATATTTATTTTGCTATTTTAATACATATTTATTTATTTATTTAATGCCTAAAAATAGCTATTTTATCCTTTGTGTTATTTTTATTTAATTTTTTTTTACCTTATGATGAATGTAAAGGACTATAAATCCTAACGCAATATTAAGCAAACCTATTTATTTTTTATTATTTGTAGAAAACTTTAATTTCCTCTATTTTATGCAAATTAAATTGATTACCTATGGCTAGAATGTATGCTGGTAAACCTAACATGATAGTACCTATACTATATTATTATAATACAAAATTTTTATAATTTCTTAATTTTCTGTTTTAATTAATCATTTTTATGTTGCTCTGTTCTGATAAAAGTGGAGCTTTTCGCATTGCGGATAATTGAAATTTAAAAATGAAAGCTCATTGAGCTAATTTATCTTACAATATATGGAATAATCCTCTGCCAAGCTAAGTTTCTAAGAAATTGAAGTATGTGAGCAATATTTTTAAATTGAATTCAGCCAATATAATCATCAATCCAAATACTCTATTAATTATTTTGAACAAAAATTGTTAAAAAAATAACACAAAGAGACTAAATAAGTAAACAGACAGATAGGCAAGGCATCTATCTAGCTGCTTATTCTAAATGAGTTAAAAAATTAAATGCAAATAATTACATCCAGTAAAAATTCCATATCTAATCTTTAAGAGACCATGGTTTTTGATCAGAAGAATAAACAAATCTTATGATGGGAACAATCATTACAATTAAACCATCTAAAATAACAACAATTTTCAAGATAGTTTTTGGCTCCATTTCTTTTTCTGTTTTTATATATTAATCTGATACACGCTTTTGATAAATTAAAATGATATGTTTGATAGTTATTTTATTAATTGATATCTACCTATTTACTTAGTGTTATCTTTCTTTCTTTCTTGCTTGCTAACTAGTTGGTTTTATTCAAAAAATTTGTAGAAAAATTAATTTTAATTAATTCTTTACAAACAAATTCAAAATAGCTCATAAAAAATAGCTGGAAATAAACAAATAGTCATTCACTACGAAAGGAGAAATAAGATTTATCATCTAATGTAGAGATTTTAATTAATATTAGATTTAACAAATTCCATTCAAAAACTTTTAATAAAACTATTTAATTAAAAAAGATATATATATATATAAATATATATATATACTTTATTGATTTTATGAGCAGATTTATTTTTTCTATTTCTGGTTGTGCTAATTAAATACTAATTGTAGTCTTTTTAAATTCTTTTAAAGTACTATTTAATGCAATATAAGGATCGTTTATAACGCCATAAATTATAAGAAATATAAGGAATGTTTGATTATAAAATCAAATAAATTTAAAACGGGATTTATTTATTTATTTTCATCATGAAAAATGAATACATTTTTTATTAACAAACTCAAAAACAAAACAAACACAAAATCCTAAAAATAAATAAATAAATATATTTTGTTAAAAGAAAATAATCTTTTTTTATATTTAAAATAACTTTTATTTATTTATTTATTTATTTATTTATTTAATTTGAGTGTAGAGTTTGTTTTATGTATATTAGAATTATCACACAAAAATGAACTAAAAAGTTTGATGAAATATTTTTGATTATGAATTATTTTACTTTAATATGATTAGGAATTTAACTGAGCAAAATAAAGTAATATAATATTTATTTATTTAATTACTTACTTACTCAATATTTATACTGAATAAGAATCTAATTTAATTATTTTGAAATTTAAAAATTTTATCAATTTCTTTCATTTAATTGCTTAAAATAATTGAAAAAAATTAAATAAAAAATTATAATTATTAATTAATTCATAAAAAATTTTAATTTCTTTAAAAAAACTAAATCGATAGATAAATAAATAATTAAACAAATTAATTAATATGGGAAAATAAAGGGCAAAGGCAATAAAGTTTGATAAAGAAAAAGAAAAACAAAATTAAAATGATGTGGAAGAGAGAGATGAAAAAAATCAATTAGTTTCTCAGAATAAAAAAATAAGAAAAGCTAAATGGAAATATATATGCAGCATTTATCCCACAATACAATAAATTCAGAGCTTTTATTTGTATGGCTCACTAATTCTTCACACTAATTACGACCCAGATACTGTTTTTTCTAATTAAGCAATAGATCTAGTTCTACGCCATTAACAAATATAAAGTGTAATTATTGACAAATAGATTGGAGCTATTGAAACTAATTTTAATATTATAAATCCTGGCTTAGTTGATTTTTCCTTCTTAGTTGAACACTACAAAAATAAATAATTATAAATATATTTTGATTTTGCCAAGAGTCTCAAGGATTTCTAAATATTTGTGAATGTAATCAACTAAAAAACAATAGACAAACAAAATGAATTGAAATCAAAACCAACACTGTTGGATGTATTTGATAAATAATATTTAGAATTTGAGAAGTGGGCTCAAAATTTAATTGAAAAACACTTTAAAGATGAGTTTTTTGGTTATAGCTTATACTAAGCTAACTACAGAAAAGGCTACGTTGAAATGAAAAAATAAGTAAATTCATAAAATTCCATTTCGCTCTTTGGTGAATCTATGAATGATGTTTATGAGGCTGAAATCTGTAAAATGAAGAACAAATCAGTTATGTTTGAAAAATGTAATTTATTTATTTAAACTCATTTGAAAATTGGTTCATTAAAAATAAAATTCTAAATTTATTCCTGATACTGGTTTTAATTTATATTAAAGATTTTTAAAGCAAAAACTAGCTAAAAATTATTTTTATAAACCAAATGTTTAATTTTCAGAAACATCAAAAAAATAATTAATATTTAGAAAAGCCCATCATATCGAAAGGAGAGGGATATTAAAAATACACTTATTTATTTATTTTTGCTTAATAACATTTTATTTACTTTGATGATTCTGAATTTTTTAATAATAAATTTAATTATTTGTATTTATATGCATTTGATTAAATTTTTTTAATTCATATCTAATTGAAGTTATTAAATGCTAAATGCAAATAATTAAAATAATAAAAAATGTAAATACTCTAAATTCTCTATTATTTATTTATTTATTAAATTTAACACCCCTCCCCCCAAAAACAAAACTTTTTGGCTGAATTTAAAATTTTTTATGTTATAAAATTTCGCTGAATTAATGAGGATTAATAGTAATTAATTATTATTTTTAATAATTAATTAGATTAAGATTTTAATATAGATTTAATATTGGAGTGTCTAGCTTTTGAAATTAGTGCTAATGCTAGCTCGCTGCCTTACTAAAAAAAATACTTATATTTTAGTACTATTGAGGGATTTTAACTGCCTGGAACTTTGGAAATTTATAAAATAAAATTTTATGATTACAAGAAAAATGATCCGAATTTTTATTTTATATAAGAATTTGATTACTCTATGACTATTAATGTTCTTAAAGTTGATAATTTATGGTTAAAGAGGCTGATTAATATCAGGAAGGAGCTAGAAAATTATTAAATACCTAATAATCCACCTTTTATATTTGAAAATTCTTCAGAATTCAGCAGTCATAATAATATCTTAAATTTTAACGAAGAGGATAGTGATATTTTAAGTACAGTCAAAAATAATAATTTTATGCAGTCAGAAAAATTTGATTAAATGATAGATACCTCTTAAAATGGACAATAATATATAATAGGTAGTTTATAAGCAAGCAACTTTTTAGGTAAAAATGATAACAAATTAGCTAATGCAGATACAGACCTATATTTTACTCCTGAGGTAATAGATTTAGCTGGCGATATAGATCGCTAAGAATACTTAAATAAGCAAGTCCTATAATTGCAATAGAAGGAAAAAATTGTTCAAAACTTAAATTAATTTTATTCTTATAAAAAGCAAGAACTAGAGCTATCTAATATTGAATATTCTTGTCAAGTTGAATACTTTTTAGATAAATATTACTCAGATCACGATAGTTCAAAGAATAGCTGATTCAAAGTCATCTGAGCAGCATTTAAAAGCGGCAATAAATGACAAATCTCCTTTTTATTTATAAATTAAAAGATTTTACAAAATATTTTTTAAATTGAAAATTAAACTTATTGATTGATTATTGTGAGTGAATTAAGCCATATCTAGAAGATCAACCAACAATAATAATAGTTAATATATTATTTAGATAATCAAAACCGCAAACTTTATTCAATAATCAGTAAGTAATTACAATTCATCATTAAATAACTAACATACTAATGAAAATACAAAATTTATAAATTAAAATACCAAATTATCTAAATAATTAATTAAATCTATATTAAATAAATACTAAATTTATTCAATAAATATAAATAAATATATATTTCTTAATTTATTTTATTATCATACTAATATTCAAAATTGAATTTTTGTTAATTTAAAGATATAAATCAGTTTTTCTATTTAGAATAAATTAAATTTATTGCTGAATTTATAACCACTGTTAAACAAACAACTTTAGTACATAAATATTATTTTCTTATCAAATAAAAATATTTAAATATTAGTTAATTTAATAGTTTATATAAAGTTTTTTTTATTTTAGTATTTATTTTATTTTAATATTTATTTAATTGATTGATGATACGTTTAATTCTTTATTTATTTATTTGTTAGCAAAAATAAGATTTTTATTTTTTTTAGGTATCTATCTATCTATCTATCTTACTTTTGTTCAAGGGTCTCCTTTGATTGATTATTATTAATTTGCAAATAGCGAAATAAAAGAGTTAACACATAAATATTGCTTGAAGTAATAAATAGGCAACAAAATATAAATAATTCAGCAGATTAAACGAAAGAAATGAGACCACAAATTATCCATATTTTAGGAGGTACTTAAAAATGAATTAAGAAAAATAATAAAAAATAAAAAGCAAAAATATTTCGAAATAAGTATTCAATATATTATCTATGTTAATCATTAATATTGATGAATTATCTAGATTGATTGACAAGTAGAAATATAATATTTTATTAATTATTTAGGTCCTGGCTGCGGAAAGGGCACCCAGTGTGTGAGACTAGCTACAAAATATAATTTTAAACATTTGTCCGCAGGAGATTTACTTAGATAGGAAGTAGAATTTTTAGAAATTTATAAATAGATTTTTAATTCCAGCAAAAAATAATCTCTCATTTTACAAAAAAAAACAGAAATTTAAAATAAATTTACTAAAAATGATGAGCAATAAACTAACAAACAAACAAGCATATATGCTAGGAAGCAAAACTTTATTTTAAGAATTTAATAATAATTTAAAATTTAAAATTTAAATTAATTATTTTTTTCTATTCTAATAAATTGTTTATTTTGAATTTCAAAAAAATTAAAATAGAGTGAGTAGTCAATCAATTTATATCAAATAAAAGAAATATTTTAGTAGAATTTTCATCCCATCCAATTAATTAATTAAAAAATAATTTAAAATTGTATCTTTTTATAATTCAAAAGTAATCTAGAGAAGGATCCCAGTACAGTAAGCTTATTTCAGATATCATCAAAGAAGGAAAGATAGTACCTGTAACTTATTTATTTTATTTATTAATCTACTAAAATTATAAATTTCATCTAATCAAACCAACAATATAAACAAGTAGTCTACTTTCACTTATAAAAACATTTATTTATCATATAAAATAGGATTTTATTACTTGCAACTTGCTTGTCGATAGCATTCTCAACGAATAGAAAACAGTATTAATTTTATACAATTAACTAAATTAATTGTTTTTATTATGAAGCAAATTTTTAAGTTATGATTATATTTTTTAGAATAAATTTTTGATTGATGGTTATCCCAGAAACGAAGAAAATTTGAAAGGCTGGTTGAGTGCCACTAAGGAAAAGCAGCTAGATATTTAAGCCTTAATATTTTTCGAATGTTCAAAGGTAATTTTATTCTATTCAAATTTGTATTTATTTCTTATATTTTTTTGGTGAAACTTAAAGGAAATCATGTGGGAAAGAATTAAAAAAAGAGCTTAGATTTCCAATAGAGAAGATGATAATTTGAATTCATTTACTAAGAGATTAGACACATTCTACAATCATACAATGAAAGTTAAGGACTATTTTGAAAGCCAAGATAAATGCATTACAGTAAATAATTTACTATTTTCTTTCTATTTATTATCAAATATTTAATCACTAACAAATTCATAGATTAATGCCGAAGATACCCCTGAAAATATATTTGCCACCATTGAAACAAGGCTTTAGCTTCTGTTGAAATGATTTTCATATATTAAGCATATATGTATCTATGTAAATATTTATATTCTATTGTAAATTAAGCCATTTGAATGATGTAAGTAAAGAGCTAATTAATCAAAGTAATAATTGTAAATTTAAATAATTTATTATTATTGATGGTGAAGTTTGGATGAATGGATGGATGATTTTTTGTTATTACATTTTGCTTAATTAAAAGAGATTAATTATTAAAATTTAAAAAATAAATTTTTTTAACTTGATAAGTTGTTTATAAAAATCTATTTACTGGTAGGAAAATCTTTTATTTTAGTTTAATTGGGTATAAAAAAGATAATGAATGAATTTCAATATTTAATTAAGTTTAAAATATTCATAGTAGTATATTACTTACTACTCATCAAAAATAAATATATTAGTTATTTATTTTACTCACTTTACATTATTTCTTTAAATTAAGTTATTAAATATTTATTTAAAGTTAATTTGTAGATAGATAAATTAATTACAAAGCAGTTAAAGCATTTAATTTTTATAAATAGATTTTTTTTTATTCAGAAAAACAAATTTACTAAAATATGATATAAATTTAATCAAAAATATAGATTTTTAAGCAATCATTTTGTATATTCGATTAGGTTTAAGATTTTAGTATAGGATAGTAAATAATGACTAGATTATTTACAAATTAAAATGATAATTTTGTAGCCAAACAAATAGATTAAGAAACACTTATTTAGATTTATATTTATAGAAGCAGTGATAATTAATAAATTAATAAATAAATAAATAGTTAATTAGTTGGTGACTAAATCATAATTGTTAAATCATCAAAAATTTTCATTTCTTCTAAAAAACTAGATTAATTAGAAAAAAGATAAGTAAATAAATAAATATACATACATATTACTATGGGAAAATAAGAACTTAAGGCAATTGAATGCGATACAGAAAAGGATCAGCAAAAAGAGGAAGAAGTTCAAGAATAAAATAAAAAAGTTGTTTCTTCCCGTAAAAATATAAGAAAAGCCAAATGGAAATATAGATGTGTCATGTATCCTACCATACAATAGAATTTTTGCTTTTATTTATATGGATCATTGATTCTTCACTCTGATTATAATCCAGTTAATGTATTTTCTTCAGACACAATGGATCTAATCCAAAGACATTAATAAGTAGAAAGCGTTATTATTAACAAATAAGTTGGCGCTATTGAAATTAAATATAATATTATAAGTCCTGGAATTCTGGATTTTGCCTTCTTAGTTAAACACTTTGAAAATAAATAATTACAGTCATTTTATAATTTCGCACAAAGTCTCAAGGATTTCAAAATATTTGTCGATGTAATCAACTAAAAAATTATTGACAAAAAAAAAATATTGAACAAGATGCCAAAGGTATTGGATATTATGGATTAACAATATTTCTAATTTGAGAAATGGGCTAACGATTTGATTGAAAAACATTTTAAAGATGAGTTTTTTTCGTATAGCTTATATTAATCAAACTACAGAAAAGGCTACGCTGAATTGAAAAAATAAGTTTCTTCACACAACACCATTTCTCTCTACGGATAATCAATAAGTGATGTTTATGAAGCCGAAATATGCAAAATGAAGAACAAATCAGTTTAGTTTGAAAAATGTAATTTATTTTTATCAATTCATTTAATCATCAATAAAAATAAAATTCTAATTTAATTCATGCTGCTTTATCTGAATCTAATCTAGCAAATTTATAAAACATATAAAGCTAATGTAAAAAAAATAAAATTAATTGACATTTGGTTTATAATGCTTAAATTTAAATTACTTCATTCACTTTATGTTTAAATCTATTCCCATTCATTTTTTACAAAATAATTTATTTTTTTATAAATTAAATAAATTCTTTGAAGTATTTATTGAAATAAATTTTTGCATTAGAAATCAATTTATTTGCTACAACAAACACTTTATCATACAATTTTTTTATTTGTTGAATGGTGTTAAAAATAAATTGATAAAACTTTTATTCATTTTAGAATTTTATTAAGAATAAATATCATCAATTTTGAATTTTTGTTCATATTTAAAATTAATTGTAATTAATGGGCTGTTTTTTATAAAAAGACTAAGATTTCAATATAGATTTATTGATGGAGTGTTTAACCTTTATAATCGGAGCTAATGCCAGCTAGCAATCATTTTAAAAAAAAAATCTCTAAATGAGCACCATCGAAGGGTTTTAATTACCAGTAACTATAGAAATTTATAAATTAAAGTTTTATGACTACAAGAAAAATGATCCAAACTTCCACTTTGTCTCTGAATATGATTACATGATGATAATTAATGTAGTTAAAGTTGACGATTTGTGGCTTAAGAGACTAATTGATATCAGAAAGGAATTGGAAAATTATAAAAAACCTAATAATCAGCCTTTTATGATTGAAGCATCATAAGAATTCAATCATATAAATAGTTTACTTTTCAAAGAAGAAGATAATGAAATTTTAAGAACTGTGAAAAAAAATAATTCTTTTAATCATATGCAGTTTGAATCGTTTGAAGATGCCATGGATTCATCTTATAAGGTAAATGAGGGTTTAATCAGCAGTTCCCATATAAGTTCTGTTGGAGTTAAAAGTGATAATGAAACAATTAATACAGATACATGCGAATATTTTACTCCTGAGGTAATCGATTTAGCTGGAAATAAAGAGCATTAAGAATATCTAAATAAACAAATAATGTAATTACAATAGAAGGATTAAATTGCTCAAAACTTAAATACATTCTTTTAGCTAAAGCAATAAGAAATAGAGCTATCTAACATTGAGTATAGCTGCCAAGTTGAATATTTTTTGGACAAATTTTATTCTTCTGACAAAGAAGATTAAAAATAATGTCAATTCAAAGTGGTTTGAATTAATTTTTCTCTTTAAAAAGTAGTAACAGTCTATCTATCTATCTCTGCTTAAATTAATTAACAAATAAATAGTAAAAAATTTCTAAAACACAAGATAAACTCTTTTTGACTCTTTAAAATATGATCTAATTACATCTTGAACAAAATAACCTTTGCCCACTATCTGATATATTTTGTTTATAAAATTAAATAAATTATCTATAAATTTAATTTTTTTCGAATCAGTAATAATCAATAGACAAAACAATCAAACAAGCAAACAAACATATAAAAATAAATATAAACAAATTCACTCTATCAAATAAAAAATTATATTTAATCATACTTATTATATACAAAAAATATATATAAACAAACACTTATACTCTAAATAATTAATAAATAAATTTATATTTTAATTACTGTCTTTCTTTCACATATTCAAAACTCTATTATCCTTAAATAATTTATATTCATTAAATTTGCAATAATTGATTCTAATATTTTAAAGATTCACTTAATAATCTTCATAATTAATTATAATAACTACTTTAATTTTTAATTCTAAATCTATTAAAGTAATTTATAATAAATTTTGAATAAATTATGTTTTTGTAAATTTCTTTAAAAATTATTGACTTCAATAAAGCCCTATTTCATCAGTAAATATTTGTTATATAGATTTATTTATTTCAAAGGAATTATAATAATTATATCTAAATTTAATTTTAATAAAGTTAAATTCGAAATAAATGTGAAGTGGCTGGCTAAACAGAGCTTTATTAAGTTAAAAAATAATTTATATTAGAATGAATTAAATTAGAATAAATTTAAAAATAAATAATTTAAAATTCAAAAAAAAGTTAGAATTAATTAGGAATGCCAAAGAATTTTCTATAACTAATAATTTTAAATAAATGAAAAATAAAACCAATATTTTGAAGATGTAATAGGTTTATATGTTAAATGATCTGATTAATTAATTATTTATTTATTAATTTAATTAGAAATTCTATCTTAAGTTTAATCATTTTGTTTTTATTATTTGATAATTTAAAAGATATATATATATATATATTAGTTACTTTGCATAAATTTCTTAAGAATTATCAAGCAAGCATAATGACTACTTTAAGTGAAAGTGAAAAGATTTGGCAAAAGTATAAAGAAAGATTCAGAAAGACAGACTATTCTCAATTTAAAAAGAAGAAATTCTATGAACCTATCAATATTGATAAGGAAAATGAAATTAAATCTGAGTTAACTAAATAAAAATAGTACGAAAGCTAATTTCCATATTATGAAGAACTTCCAAGGTAATCAATCAATCAATCAATTCATTATATTTTTTATTATGAAAAATCCCTCATTTTTTATTTTAAACTTGGCTCCTTATTAAAAAAAGAAATTTTATCCATTTTAGAATAATTTAACTAATATGTCATTCAAACTAAGTTAAAGCTTTTTGATAAATAAAAAACAGATTGAGCAGAAGATAATTGCTTCCTCGCAAAGGAATTGCTAAAATAGAACATTTCGGATATTTTGGAATATTTCTTGGAGCTGCATTTGGTAAACTTTTAGCAGAAGTGTATTATGGTAAGCTGAAATTAAGAATTTATACATGTTTTAAATAAGTAAATATATTTATTGAATTTATAATAGGAAATTTAGTAACAAGCTATAAAATCATGAAAACAAGATTTGTAATGGGCATGTTTTTTTCTACTTCTTTAAGTAAAGATTAATTTAGAATGAATACAAACTAAATTGACTATTTTTTGAAAATAATAAATAAAAGTGCTTATTACTAGTTTTACATTAGACTTTTAACCACAAAATCTGTAAATTAATAAAATTATTTTTATAAAATTATATCAAATGTTGTTAATAAAAATAATTTTATAGAGGAATCAATGAACTCTAACATTTTGATGAAGTTTCAAACAGATATTTCGACTTGTAATTTGATGCATTTAAAGATGTTAATGATATAAAATATAATGATCAAAGAATTGAAAAGAAAGATTATAATGCCATTTTGGATATTTTAGAATAAAGAAAATTAGAGTATAAAAAGAAGTAGTTGTTTGATCAGCTTTGATTAATTCGTAGTATGATTAATTGCTCAATAAAATGCCTACTAAATATACAGTTTAATCACTTCTCTTTTCAATAAAGCTTTATTGCAAAAAATCTGAAAAGTATAAAAAAACTTCCTCTCTTTTTTGGCATAAATTTATGAATGAACATATTAAAATAATTCCCTGTTTAAATCAAAGTAGGTTAAATTAAAATATGTTTAAATTTTATATAAAAAGTTATTTTGAGGTAACTAAATAAATAACTAACTAAAAATCTAAATCAAACGAATAAACAAGCTAAATTAAAAATAAAATCACAAATTTTGTATCAATATATTCATCATAAAAGATATTTTTTTGTTATACGTTTTATGTAAAAGCTTGTTTTAATTAGATTCTTAAAATTGATTTTCAATTAATTATTAATTTTATTAAATTTTCATCTTAAATTATTATTTATTAATACATAATTTTCAAATAATTGAATAATTATTTTATTTATAAATTCGCAGAGAAATTTTGGATCGATAAATAATTCCATATTTAAATAATCATTTAGACCAATATACATTTAAATTACAAATTATAGTAAAATAAATTGATTAATTCTTTAATTAATTTAACTTATTTAAAATTTAATTTTTATTTAAAATTGTATGCTCTTTTATATTTTAGAAAATATTCCAAGAGATTTAAGCAGCTGGGTATTTCTTTGTTGAAAATGTTATTTATTTCTTCTGAATTTTGTTTAAAATCCATAAAAATTGTTTTTTAATTACTTTGAATATTTATTTGACATGCCTCTGAATAAAAGATAAATAAACTGTTAATTTAAATTTCAATTATTTTTAATTCTTGAATTAACTAAATAAATGGAATATTTTATTGAAATAGATTTTTAATTAAGTTTCTGTATCAAACTCAAGGTAATGTATCTTTGTAAATTATAAAATGTCTACAACTATTGATCTGTTCGTTCAATCTTATATTCTAGTTTAAATAGAAAAATAAAGTAGAAAATAGATAAAACAATTATTGAAAGAAGAAATAGATAAAAATATTAATAAAAAATCAAAATTTTAAAAATTCATTTGAAATAAATAGTCAGAATGTATGTTTTTTTTCTTTCTTTTTTTTGTTTGCTAACAAATTTACAAATTCAAGAATAAAAACATTAATTAAATTACTTGTAATTTATTTATTTAATTTACTAATTGCTTTCAAATATTTAAGAAAAGGTTCATCTTTTTGTGCATGTTTATTAATTGAATATAATTAATTTTATTTTGTACATTTATTCCTAAGTAAGTTTGTATTCAATTGATTGTTTGTTTTTTTATAAATTATTGAATTAAGCACTAACAAAATTTATATTTTTTTTCTAAAAAGATTAAAATTTTAATTGTTAAAAATTTAATAAAAACAAACAAGAGATACTTTTATTTAGCAAAGGTTCTATAAAAAAGCTTACATTTATTCAAGATGTCAATTATTCACGCAGTTATTTGCAGAGGCAAGGAAACAACATTAGTCGAATATACTACAGCATCTGGTACATTCCCTTAAATCGCCAGAGAATTATTGAAAGTTGTCGACACAGAAACTAAATAGTTTATTCCATACAATGATAAATACGTCTTCCATTACATCAACGAAAACGACTTTACTTACATGTGTTTAACTGATGCTCACTTTTCTAAAAAGAATTCTTTTGGTTTTTTGACTGACCTTAAAGAAAGATTCTTAAATACCTTCACCTACGACTAAAGAATGGGCGCAATTAACTATTCCTTAAACAATGCATTCGCAGAAACTATTAAGAAACTTATGGTAAAATTCATTGATTATTTATTTATTTATTTCTAGCTTTATTTAAAGCAGAACATTCTGACTGACAATTTTAAAAAGCTTATAGCAATTGAGTTGAGATGAGCAATCCAAACAAATTTTATATGCAATTAAATAAAAAGCAGATTTATTGGAAATTCAGATAATTTAAATATTTTTATTGTTAAAATATAGAATCAATACAGCAGCGACTTAGAAGATGATAAATTGACTTAGTTAAAGCATTAAATTAATGACTTAAAGAATATAACAGCCGCAAATATTGGTAAATTGATTTGTTTTAAGCTAGTATTTTGACAATCAAGAACATTTAATGAAAGTCAAGTTAAACAATGAACAAAAATAGCAAGCATGACATTAAAAAATTAAAATAGATAAAAATTTAAGCAAAAATAAATATAAAGAAATTAAAATTGAAATAGATTTAAATGAATAAATTAGTCAAAATATATTTAAATCAATTTAGTATTTCTTGTTGTTAATAATGCATTTACCAATTATACTTAATAAATAAATTAATAGATAATTTAATACAAAGATCAAACCGTATCGAATTGCTAGTTAGGACCACTTCCTCTATGAACGTTACTGCCAACAACATGAAATAACAAGTAAGCTTTTTTGGCCAATAAAAATCATGTTTAAATAATATTTTAATAAGCAATTATTTGCCTTGTTTTTTATATTCATCAATTTTAAATATTTCTGTTAAAAAAAAGGCTGGACAAATTAGAAGAGAAACTTATTTAAGAAGCATTAGAGTAAAATTAATAGTTGGAGCTGCTGCCGCCATTGGTACTCTCGGGTTCATATTTCTCGTTTGAGATTAATACAATTTAAAAAGTTATAATAACAATAAATCTGACACTATCTAACAAATAATCAGCAATATACATACACACACACACACACCCTAATAAACAAATAATATAAAAAATTAATTTAATTAAAATCTTTATCTCTCTCAACTTTCATAATACCTATTTGCATTAAGTTTCCGTTTAAACATTCTTTCTTTAATTAATTCATTAGTTCCATAATTCGTTCAATTTATCAAATATTTAAAAATAAAGATATGAAAATTGTCAATTAAAAATTTAACAAAAAATGTAAATAAAAAATGTATTAAAATTGAATGTAAGAAATATTATAAAAATTAATCAAAATAAGTATTGTATGTAAGCAAATTATGTTTTTTGTAAATTTTCTTCATTTAGCTTTAATAAAAACTTTAAAGAATTGTAAGTAGATAATATAAACAAAATAACCAATAAATTGAAAGAAATTTTTAATTTTTTATTTACTGATTCATAAAATTTAAATTGATTCATGTAAATATTTAAAATAAACAAATGATTTTCTTTTAAATTTTTTATTTTATAAAGGAAACTATTATTTATTTAGAATTTGATGTTGATCAAGAAATGATTAATTAATTTATAAATTAAGTCGTTTTTTATATTAGAAATATTATTGAGATTTTACTATTAAAATGTAAAATTAAAAATATGTATTTTGATATTTTTTTTACTCTAGGATGATGATTTATTAGAAATATTAAAGCAATTTTTAATAATTTATTCATTCATTAATATTATTTTTATGGCGGATTTTTAAGGCTGTTAATATTTTAGTTTAATCTTGGTTATATCTTTTTAAAATACATTTTTTATACTTTGCTGAATCAAAACGCTGTCTGTAAAAAGACTGCTAATATATAAATTAATTAATATAGAAAAAAATTAAAGTCATTTTTTAATGGGTTAATTTATATTTATTATTTTAAATTTATATTTGATTATGAAGAATAGATTTTCTTTTTAATAGCCAAATTATTTATTTATTTATTTGTTCATTGATTGAATCAATTTTTTTTCTTTCTAATTGGTAGCAAATAAATAACATAATCAATCACAAATAAATTAAGGAAAATGTTTGAAAATTTTGCTTTATGCAGAATTAAAATATTTGGGTGCTTATTTGTTTTTAGTTTACAAGTTATTTGCACTTCAAAAAAGAAAAAGCTAATAAGGAAATTCAGTAACAATTATTAAGTATTTTGTAAAATTAATATTTTTGAAATTGATTTAAAAAGCTCTTTATCAAGTTAATATTTATAAATCTTGTAAAAGCTTAAGTATTTTTTGACTGGTAACTCTTTGTTTGTTTGATTGTTTCTGAATTATTTTTGTATACTTGCTAGCTAAGAGGAAACAAATAAACAAACAATATCAAATTATTAAAATTTATAGACTCTATAATTAGAACAAAATATTTTTGGTAATAAACTTCAAAGCTCATATTTTGAAAAAAGTAAGTAAAGTATGTGGTCAAAATTAATAAAAAAAATACATTTTTTTTTTTAGTTTAGTATAGGAATATTTAGAAATAGTAAAAATATCAATAGCAGCTTATTGTCATTTTATGTGAATTATGTTATTGTTACAGATTTTAATTTTTAGAAACAGCAAATAAATTGAAGTTGATAAAAAAATCTATTTAGACTTGGTAAATAGATTAATTATAAACAATTCATTCATTATTTTTATGATTTTCTAGTTATCTTTTAAAGTTTTAAAAATATTACAACCAAGAAATCAATCAATTATTCATAGAAGAAGAAGAAATAATCTTTGAGTATTTCTAAATTTATAACCTATTAAAAAATTTCTATCAACTAATTATTTTTATAAATCGATCAATCGCTTTCTTTCTTGCTTGCTCGAAAATTTTTACGATTTATGATAATTTTTCTTAAATTTGCTTGTTAATAAAAGAATTAATGTTATAAATATTAAATAATAAAATAACTATAATAGCAATATGATTTTTAACTTATATATAAAATAAGATTTATTTGATCTATTTTAATCCTTTAATGTTGAAATAACATTTTAATTTTTTAGAAATCTTCTTATATTTTTACTTAATGGAGCAATCAAATAAATACTTTTTTATTATGTTTAAACTGGAAGTATCTAATAGAGTTATTGAAAAAAAAATACATACAATCTCTAAATAAAATATTTCCTAAATATTCAATTAAATTTTGCAATTGAAATAAATTTTTACATAGAAAAAGTATGACAAGTTTAATGTAGCCTTTTTTCTTTAGTGCCTCTATGATTACTGATAGTTTTTTAAATTTTAAGCATATATTATCTAAACCAATAGCTAGTAGAAAGAATAGATAATTTAATTGATAGAGAGAGAGAGTGAGTGAGTGAGATAGATTCGCAAATCAATATTTTTTTAACTTAAGTAAATAAATCTTCATTTGTTCCAGAATAATAAGAAAGTCAATCAATCTAATATACTCCTGTCTATTGATAAATTAAAAATCATATCTGATATGACTTAAAAGCATTTATTTATATGTTAGCAACTAGATGATTTAAAATTATACTAAATGATAACTTGAATAAATTTAGCTATTTTAATATAATTTGTAATTTGAAGGCGAATTTGCTGTGTGGTAAAAAAATGATAATTTTATGTGGCTAATTTTTTCAAACACTCTGTTTTGATTTGGTTGGAGAGTATTATTGTTCAAATTAGATTGTAATTAGCTTATATGTTGAAAAAAATATAAATTTGCTTTGAAAAATTTTGATTGAAAGAATATCAAATTTAAGTGGGAAAAACAAACACAAACACAAACACAAAAACAGTCAGTCATACAAATTTTAATTCAAAAAGACTACATAAGAAATTAATAAATAAATAGATAAATGATTTGATCAATACTAATTAAGAAATATTATTATTATCAATTTGTTATTATTTAATCGAAGAAAGGAAGAAAAAAATATAATACTCTAATTTAATCAAATTCATTCTGTTTTGTTTGTTTGGTTTCGAGCAAGAGCCTATTAAATAAATTAAATTATTTTGGTGATGAGTGGCAACTTCCTATAATTTTAATTAATCATTAAAAAAAGAAATTTACTTTTTCTAAAAAAAACATTAGCAACACAAACAAATAAATAAGTTATTGCTTGCTGAAAATAGAATTTGTAATAAATTATATAAGTACAAACAAGTATTATAAAATAACTGAAATATTCTACACTAAATAAATATCAATTAAATTTGTTAAATACCAAACAACAAACAAAGAAAGAAAGTATTTATTATCTCTCCATTAAATATTTTAAAACTGCTTTTTAAGATTAGCAATTAAGAAATTCATTCCATCGATTAAATCTCTGTATAAAATTATATCCTCTGTTTCTTCTAGTACAGTACACTCATCTAAATATAATTAACAATATAATTCATTTACACTATTGACAATCTTAGCAAAGGCTAGTCGTTCATTCATTCATTCATTCATTCATTCATTCTATTTATTAAATAATATTATTGCAGTCTGTCTGATTTATTTGTTAATACACTTTTGAAATTCACTTAAGAACATGTTTTCATTTTTCAAGAAGAAAAAACACAACAAACATTCCTCAAAATCAAAAGAAAATAATTCAATTTGTGATGAATCAGGTAGTTAATCGAACAGATTCACTCTAGAAACACAAGAAGGCGAAATATCTGCTAAATTTAAGAAGGCGCAGACTATCAGTGCTTACAATAATCATGGTTCGACCTAAGAAAATAATAACAGTAATTCAAGCACTAAATCTAACTCACCACAAATACCTAATCTGCAATAGACTATGTCTTGTCCTCCAATATAACAAAAAGTCTTTATAGAATACGCGGTTCAGAAGGAGGAAACATTAGAAGACATATGTTTGAAATTCAAAATGGACAAGAGCTTTTTGATGGAGATAAATTAAATATGGGATGAGGATTAAGTCCCAAAATTTATAGTAGTAGAAGCAACTCCTATTTAGTAATAAATAATTAGAAATCATGCTCTAAAAGAAGAGACTATCAATATTATTGAAAAGAATACCAACTTGCTTGGAGAAAATAAGAATAACTCATTCAATAATGATAACTAAGACGATATGGAAGAACTCAAAAAGAAAATTGCTTTCTTCTCAAATCTTGAAAAAAATGAGGATTTTCCCATGAAGCTTGTTACTGAGAATGGGATCATAAACGGAACTTTGATAATAAATAGCTTCATGATACACTTTTCGCCTGAAATGAAAGATTATAAGCGCTTGCAAAATGAAATAGAGCATCTCAAATCAAAGAAAGCTTACAAATATCACAAATTTGATAATAACGAGCTAAGTGATTACTCTATTACGTTAGACTTCAATGATATTTTTCTAGCTGATATAAATGTCATTGAAGCTATCTAAACTTAAAATTCAAAAGTTTAGAAAATGTAAGTTAAGCTAGACATATTCCTAACATAGGCATAGAACTGGTCTAGCAATTTCTCAAACAAAAGCTACTTGAAAGTAGAGTTTCTTTCTTCTTAGACATTTGAGCCAATAAACTAAAATGATAGTGAGAATGTGGGCAGAACCTATGTCCATTACATCCTTTAGAAGGTTTAATATTTGATTGGGAAGAGCAGAAGCCATAATGAAGCTATAAATTAATTTACAGACAACTTTGAAACCCAGCCTTCTTAGAGTATCGTAAAGCACTACTAAGTAGTCTCGTGTGATTCTTTGAAATTAATGAATACTGACTCTGATTCGTTGTTTAGTACAGAATAAATTAATCCACCCAGACTCTAGATTTATCCATCCATAATTGTTGGAACTTCTTCTGCTCCAAAAGATAACACAGGTCCTCTTGCATATAATAAGATATTAAGTTAGTAGTAATTTGAATAAATTGTGGATAGATTACCTTGTTACATTCAAAATAACGACTGGCATTTAGTTTACTGTCCAATTAAGCATGGTTTTTCATATGAATAAATGATTAAGAGAACATAAAACATAGGTCCTCATGTCTTGGTTATTAGAGATGCAAAGCATAAATATATCTTTGGTGCCTTTGTCACTGAAGGATGGGTAAAAAGTACTACCACTTATGGATCAGCTGAATCTTTCTTATTTTCGTTCAAAAAAAACCCAGATAGCTATTAACGCAAGTATCAAAATATTTTGTGCTACAGAAACAGAAGTGGCTCAACTTAAATCTAATATTGCAGCGATAACGGAATAGCAGTAGGCATCGACACTAAATTTGCTCTCTTCATCCACTACTCTCTTAGTAAAGGCACCACACATGCAACTCGACTGATGCAAAATGACCTTCTCACTGAATCAAGCGATTTCAAAATTAGTGATTTCGAAATATGGGGTTTAGATTAATCTAAGCTGCGTTCATAGACGATATAGTTTTGAATAAATAACTCAATTAGCGAATCAAATAATCAAAGGGAATAACAAAAAATAAATATCTTATCCTTTAATTAAATGAATTACTCTGCTTATTCTAATAGACTTCTCATAGATTGATTGCCTTAAGTTTTTGATAGAGTAGTATTATTTCGTTCTAGAGAAATCAAATATTTCTTTTTAGGTTCAGCAAATTAGAAAGAAGCTCTAAAAATCAATTCTTAACTTAAATTTTAATCATTTTACATAAATAGTTAGCTATTCTTTAACTAGAAGACTTAGATTTCTCGTTATTGTTAAAAATGCGCTGCACAAACAATCATTATTTGATGATTTAAATTTGATAAATATTTAGTTAGGCAAATAAATTTATTAATTTTGCTGTAAGTGTAAATAAAAAAATTAAATATATTAAACCTACTGAAATCTAACTAACTAGCTAACTAAAATAGAAAGTGTTCAATCTGTTTCTCTCTCTTTCTATTTATTTTCTATGAGTTTGTCTCAATAGATTCAAGGGGAAATTTCATAAGAAGTCAAAGTATTTACAAAATTTACTAAAATTATAATGAAAACAAACTCTAATATATTAAAAAAACATTTCAAATAACAACTGCAAACAAATCAACCAAGCAACATAACTAACTAACTAATAAATAAATAAACTAAATAACTTCTTTCCTACTTACTTATTACTATTAATTAATTGATCTCAAAGAAAAAAAAACAAATCTTTATTATAATAAACTTTTAAATAAATAAATAAAATAATAAGTTTTGAAAATATTTTAAAAATTTTTTGTGTTTCTTATCTATTTATTTACTAATTTAAATATTTATTTGTAAGTATCATTCATTCATTATATCTATCCTTGCATTTTAGCTAATTTTATTTTTAATACCAAATTTATTTTCTTAGTGTAAATTTATTTAAATAAATTGTCTTTTTAATTTAATTTACATTTAGTTCTTACAAACAAACAAACAAACCACTTTATTTTTTTAATAACAACATTCATCATTCATCATAAATTATAATTTTCTTATTTGTTACTGCTGCACATTAGAATAATTATATGGAGTAACAACTATATGTTTTTAACAAACACTCATTTTTATATATAAACTCCATTTCCACAAATTTTTAGCTTTCTTTAAATTTATTTATATTACTTACTTATTAAATAAATATTAAATTTATTATAGACTTTTAATTATTTAAAAAATATAATTTATAATTATAGCTAGATAAAGAGTACATAGTATTTTTAATTCTATTTATTTTATCATAATTTAATATTTAAAAATAACAAAATAAAGATTTTTCAAAAAAAATATTGGGGTTTTGTGGCAACTTTATTTTTCAAAAACAAATTTTAACTAATTTTATATTTAAAATACAAAGAAAATTGTCTAAATTTGGAATCTATCTGCATGAATAAAATATTTTGCCCATAAAATTCAGCTGACTAGTTAGTTAATAATTTGATTTTATAAATAAGTAGTTAAATTTGAGGAAAAAATTTGGCCTATTTTTAACCAGTACTCAGTTTAGTTTGTAAAAGGATACCTATATTGACAAGTTTAACTGTATTATTTTATTTAAAATATTCAGTAATTAATTGAATTGAATTCGATGAAAAATTTATTTGAATTAAAATCCATAACTATTAAACTAATTTTAGATTATTAATGAGTTTTTAAATAAAATAATATAATGAATGAGCTAAATAACATTTTTGTTTAGGTAATAATAAAGCTAGCTATTTAGTTAGTTAAAAAGTTAATGAATTAGTTTATATGTGAAATTAAATTCTTAATAGATTTATTTATTTATTTATTTATATTTGAAAATAAAAAATAATTCATTTTAATCCTTCAGTCGCATCAGTTTTATAATTAAAAAAATAAATAAATAAATAGGTTATATTATAACATCTAGAATTAAAAATTATAGTAAATATATTGTGAATTGATTTTAAAGTTGCATTCTTTAATATTAATTTAATCAGAAATAATTAATAAAATCTAACTTTTGTTATTTACTAAATCAATCAATCAATCAATCTCTGCCCTCATTTATTATAAATAAAGGATTTTAAAAAAGAAGTAAGATAGAAAAACAGTTCTTAAACACAGCTAGTTATTTTAGAATAGAAATACATAAAATATATCTATAGACAGCATTCATTGATAAATAGATAGATAGATAAATAAATAGAGAAATTGAATATATATTTGTTAAATTTTCTAAAAATTAAATAAATAAATCATTAAAATGGCAACTAAATAACCTAATCAAAAATCGTAGTCTCAAATTGCATAATAGAATCCTGCTTAGCAACCTGCTAAAGATCAAAAACCTGCACAACAACCTGCTAAAGATGGGAAAAGTTCGACTGCTATTCCTGCTGCTAACGCAAAAGAAAATGGAAATAAAGATGCTAATTAGGAAAATAAAAGCTAAAATCAGAATTAAAATAGTAAAACCAATTTATAGCCTCAATAAAACGATCCTAATCAGAGAAAAGGAAGCAACATAGCACTTCCTAACAATTTGTAGCAGTAAAGTTAGTAAGAAAAAAATAATAAAAACAGTATTTCTAAAGATTTAGTTTCAAATGATAATTAGTAACCTGGATAATAAAAATCAAATAATAGTGTAACAGCTGCAAAGCATTAGGGAGCAAATTCAGATTTAATGGGAAATTTTTTTGATTCTTTTAATTAAATCCAGTAACCAGTCCATTTGGAATAGCAGAATTAAGAAACTAACAACCAATAGCAAGAAGAAAAAGATGATTTAGACTTTAAAGATTAAGAAGACGATAATCTGAAACCTATTCCCACAGATGATCCTAAGGAATTAGAAAGACGTAAAAACTAGGTATTTTTTTATTTTATTATTTATTTATTTATGATAGATTATTTAATAAAATAATGCAATTTTATCAAAATAAAATAATGCAATTTTATCAAAATAAATAAATAAATATATAGGCAGAAATGTTTAAAAAGTATCTTGACAATACAGGAATATCTATGGCATTTTAAATTATTTATGCAGAAATATTATCTAAAAAGATAAACGCTGAAAATGTATTTGGTTATACTGCTATGAGACTTAGATAGATAGGTAATGATCTAGCAGCAATCCAGCATGTAATATTTTAATATCAAAATTATATTTATTTTTAAAATAAATCAATAAAATAACAAAAAGAAGGTAAAAAAGTGACTTTGGCATTCATTTTAAAAAATAAATTTGATAAACTAATTGATATGATACATGCATTCGTTTATACATGCTAGTAAATTAAATCGAGAAATGATTTATTATAAAATAAATATTGAGTATATAATTTATTTATTTATTTGCTTTTAGAGTAATTTATTCTTTCCTTTTCTCAAAATAGTAGTTTCTTTTACTTTATGAAAGATTTTTGCAATTTAAATTATTGTTTCAAAGCAAATTATAAAATAATTATTATTTTTTTATTATCATTTAAGTGGCCGAAATAAAGCCTAATATTAATTTAATTTATTGTAAAGTTATTATTAATTAGTAAATAAATGCATTTTCATAGGATTTTAACGATTAAATTGCTGATACACATAAAATAATTATGCTCATTAAAATATTTTAATGATAAAAAGTATCAAATGATTGATTGATTGGATATTTTATTTAGAAAGTTTATTAACTATTGGTTAAAATAATTAAATTTTATTCCCTAATTAAAAAAAATAATTTTTTTTTAAATCAGAAATTGTTAAAAAAAGAATTTAAATAAGACATCTATCTATCTTAAAAAAGAAAGTGTATATATATATATATAAAAGATATCATATAATGATAAAATTAATTTTACTTATTTTTATTTTATAAACTTTATATTGAAGATATTACTGAGGATAAGTAAGACTTTTATGTAAAATAGTTAAAATTAATATTTTTTAATGTGAAAATCTTTAGGTAGGGGTAGAAGGGTTACTGAGGCTTAGGTTTATCGAGGGGAGTTGTTTTAGGTTATAGTTGTGTTGTGTATCTGTCGAGAAAAGTTAGGGGTCTATTAATTAATGATAACAGATATTGGTCTAGGTCATTTTCTCTTATTGATGGAGGGAGTTTTTATATATCATCAATCTATATATCTATCTATCTAAAAATTGTATCAAGATAAAAATAAAACTTTATAAAACTTATACATTGTAAATAAAAGATCGTTTAAATTATTTTTATTTGTTAATATTTTTAGTGAAGTTATAAAATGTATTAAAATTATTAATTTTCTTATTAAAATTAAAAACTCTTGCAAATTTCAAATAAAATATAAGTAATTACTTGTTTTAATAATAATGATAGATAGATATGTTGTTTCTTTAATAAAAAAATAATTCTTTTAATTTAATTCAAATTTTTTAAATTAAAAATAATATAAATAATAAAAATCATCATATAAAATATTAAAGAATACTTATTTATTCAATTAATTGCTAGTTTTAAATTTTTTATTAGATAGTATATTCAATCAATAGATTTATTACTAATTATGTATTTATTTATGTATCTATCTATATTTTCTTACTTGCTTGCTTATTTTAAATACAAATTTAGTTATACTATAATGAGTTAGTTAGTTAGTTAATTATCTCATAATGTAAATTCTTGCTTGTGATTAGTTAAAAGTTCATATAAATTTTATCTTCTTTGTTAAGTGATTTGGCTTGCTTTTGCAGAAACTACTTCTAAGGCTTCAAATTTAATATCTCTTGCACCTAACTTATTTATGCTTTGAGCTATTATGATGTTTATATTGAAAAAATATTTGATTAGAGAATTATTTATGAATTAGAAAATACTTTTATTGTTTAGTGAAGAAATAACTTATATATTGGCTTCAGAGTATTCTTGTTCAAAGTTGCTTGGATCAACTATAATAACTTCATTTTAAAATAAGCTACATTAGACTGGATATAAGAAATCTTCAATATTGAATTCCAAATGTTTCTTTTTATCTTCAATTATTTCTAATTACAAAGCTCCATCAATTGTCTTTACAACAGTTTAATTCACCTAGCCTATTAAAAAACAAACATAATATAATTAATAAATACTTATTTATTTATTCAATAGCATACAGTTAAAAAGTTCGAATTATGCAGCTAATAGCAGAGCATCTAACAAATTACCATCATTATTCACAACTCTTAAATTCAACTTTATTTCCTATTTATTTTATAGAAATTCCTTAATAAAACTTGTTTGCTTGCTTTATTGATTTATTGATTGACTAAAATATCTTTTTTATTCAGGTAGATTCAAAATATCTTTTTGATATTCTAAGTCACTCAAAGCCAACAAAAATATGTTTAAATAAATGAATTAATGTCACAAAAGAATATATTTTACCCAATACAAGTTAGGAATTTCCTTGCTGATTTGACATATTGCATAAATTGCTTGGTAATTTTTGCTTTGAATTTAAAAATATTTACTTAGTTTTAATTCTATTTAAAAAAAGCGAAATGCTTAATCAGTAACAAATTATGCTTTACTTGATTATATTCTAAATATATTAAGAGTAGTAGCTTTCTTATTTCATAATATCGATTGGAGAGAAAACATCGCTAGATCCATGTTATCCTGAATTTAATTTAGCCTCTGCCTCTATTTATTTAATGGAATTACATTTATTTTTATTATTTATTTAGCTTCTTTAAACTAATTAATAGATAGATCATACCAATTAAATATTTCTAAGAAGTGACCAATTGATTAACTTGTTTATCTTCGTACTGCTTGATTTCAGTACTTGCCATAACTAGGGTTTATCCCATGCTTAACAAACTTACTTCATTTTCTAATAAATTGATAAATGAACATTAGCAAAGAAATTAAGAAGTAAATTAATTTGTATTTATAAATTAATTAATGAAATACTTCTCAAATATTTAATAGATCTGATTTATTCAAACTATCTTCCATCTTCTCTAATGCTTTATTTTGTGAATCTTTCAATGTATTCTTGGGGAAGAAGCTCTCTATATATAGCTTAATATATTAATAAAAGTGTAAGTATTTTTCTAATTAGGAATATGAGAAAAGCTAAGTAAATCCTGCATATTCCTGACTCTCTATTTAAAAGAATAAAAATATTAAACCTTAATTCATTCTACTTTGGTTATATTTAATTTGCTATTAAGATCAAAATTTATTGCCAAAAACAAATTCTTTTAATTTATTATTTTTACAAATATTTTAATATCAATGAATGAGCATCTATCTATCTATTCGATTATAGTCAATATATTTTTTGTTTGATATCAAAGAGTTAATTTTACTGCATTCATCTGTCTAGTTATTTATTTATTAATAATTTATTTGCTTCAAATTACTTCTAAATTTGCTTAATATATTTTAAATATATTGTTTATTAATTAAAAGAAGAAATAATTTTAAACGAATGTGACTTTTCTTTGTTATTATTTAAAATTTTATTTTTAAACATATTATAGGTCATTGATAACTAAAAATTGCATCTTTCAAAGTATAAATAAAATATTTATTATTAAAATATTTCAGAACCAAACCAAACCAATTTGTCTAAAATATTTTATAAGTAAATTAAATATTTTATTTTATAGTTTAGTCTTTTTTATTTTTAAAAATATTTAATATAAAGGAATATTTATTTTATATTAGAAGATTATATTTATAAATAAAATATTCACACTTAAATTACTAGTTTATTTTAAAAACCTTAATACCTCATTTCCTAAAAACTATCAGTGCTTTAGGGTAAATGCTAAAAGAGAAAGAACACAGGATATAGATAGAGATGAAATAAATTAAATTTGAAAGTTTAAAATGAGTTTTCTTACAGTATATTTACATAAAATATCATATTAAATGCGGGCAATCAATTTTATAAGAAATAAGTAAATTGATGAAAATAAAAAAAATTAATTGGTTCAGCTTAAAATAGAAAAATAATAAATAGAAGTATCTATCTACTTAATCTGGTTCCTTCCTGGTGAGTAGTACTATTTGAATGATTAATTTAAAGCCAAATTTTTATAATATAAAAGTGTATTTTTATTATATTTTGAAATCATTTCTTATCATGTTAAAAATGACATTTTATTTTAAAATAGAAAATTGAATTGAATTTAAAACAAACTTAAAATCAAATTTATGAAAAAAAATTGAGACAGTTCTGTCTAATTTAAAATATTTTTAAGAAGAGTAAATGACGTAATCCATCCTTATTTTTAAATAAGATTTTATCTATTTTGCTAGAAAGAATTTTTATTAAAAAACTTTTGTATATTTTTGATAATTAAAAATAAGTGATTTAAAGATCAAATAAGTGATGTAATACCTACCAACCATTCTAGTAGATCAAATAAGCAAATAATAAATCACACTAACTTAAAAAATAACAATCACTTATAGATATATTTATGTAAAAGCAATTTCGAGTTTTTTAATCTTATATTCAAAGATATTCACTTCATTTTACTCTATTTTGCCATTAAATAAAAATTGACCTTTTATTTTATAAAACTAAGTTTTTGGCTTATTATTTATTTGGTAGTTTTCAAATTTATATACAGTTAGTTGCTCATTTAAATTATTACAAAAGATAAATTTTATGGATCAGTAATTTTTTTACCTCATCTAACTATATATCTAATTGAGTATTGATTTTAAATAAAGCTAATTATCTTTTTTAGACATGCGTTTATTCGAGATTTGAAAACTATTTTATAAAATTAACTTTATAAGATAATAACAAAGTTACAGATTACTTTTAAATAACTATTTTAAGTATTGAATAAATGTTTTAAAGATAAAAATAAAATTAGCTTTTTTTATGTGAAAAAAGACAAAATTTTTTTGAATTATTAATGTAATATGTGAGAACATTTAACTGTTGGAAGATCAAATATTAATTTTAAAACTAAAAATATGAAGTCTCTTTTTATAAACATTTTTTATTAAAAAAATAAAAATATTAGATAAAAATGACTAAAGTTTCTAAATCCAAAGTAGCAAATTCTCCTGAACATAACCATGAAGACCAACACATGGTAATTGAGTATGGTTAAGACTAAGACTAGCAAACTGCTAAAGAAGAAGATTAAACAGGCAAAATAACAAAATCTCTAAAATTAAAAAGAATAATTACTATTATTGTCACTATAGCTTTGCTTGTCGAACCAATTTATTCCACTTACATATCTTACAAGGCATATGATAAGTTTAATAGTTTAAATGACCAAATTAAAACAGAGGTTACCGATAGATACACTCAATTAATGATTTTAGATATTTCTGTTTCCTCTTCTTGTAATGCAGAGTGGGATACTTTATTCGTATGGATGTTTTAAGGAGCTAATATTAGATGTGATTGCAGAGGAAAATTAGGTGACAATATAACTCTTGATTTTTGTTCTCCTGACCAAGAAGCAGCTGGTTGCACTCAATTTAATTTTCTTGATTAAAAAGTCTTGTCCTTATATCCTTCAGGACCTAAAAACGATAATTCGACATAAATTTGCGTTAAGTAATATGTTGGAGGACCTACTTTTTCAACTATAAAATCTTGGAGTTAGAATTGTCCTAGTGGATAAAGATTATGCGGAGGTTCTTCTATTGAGAGTTCAGTATGCATAGATAGTTCTTAACTATGCCCAATCAATTCTATTGTTGTTTAGCCTACAAATCCTGATCCAACAATCTACCTTGAGCAATAATAGTATAATTCAACCCATAACATTTATTACAGCAGAACTAGTAATAACTTACCTATAAATTACTATAAAGTTACATCAGGTGAGGGCCCTTGCTATAATATAAACTAGGAAAATACCTATTAAGGTAGAGTTGATCCTTTCAATTTTAAAGTATAGAGATCTCCTTGTGAAGTAGATCCAAGATGGTAAAGGGTAGCTGAAGTTGGAGAATATTCTTATTATGTTGCTAGTGGGATAGACCCTCCAACATACTTCAAGGAAGTGTGGAGCTTCTACTAAATAAGTGACCAATACAGATATGGTTTCTATGTTTCTCATTACCCAGATTGGAAATTCAATTATAGAAATCTTATAAGCTAAGTAACTGATTTTGTAAATAATAGAGATAGGATTATGACCTATTAAACAACTCTTTTATATTTGAATGTAGCTAACTTAGCAGTTAATTGTTGCTTTGCTTTATTTTTGATTTATGTATTTATACAAAATGCAAGCGAAGAAGAAAAGGATAAGTATGTGGCTTGGAAAGACTACTATAATAACATGATAAAGATTGCATAATTGGCAGTTTGTATATTTTAAGTTCTTAGTATTGCTGACTATTTGGATACATTTAAATAGTGCACAGACAATTAAGTTTCAGACTCAAGAACAAATTAAATTTTATAAAGTGTTTATAATTATATGGATACTTAAGTTTATGAAGCAGATAAGAAGCTAATCATAAGTACTGCTGCAGGATTTGCAGTATCAATACTTAGTTTTTTATTTACAATCTATTAGAAAAAGAAGAAACTAAAACAAGAAGAAAATAATTCATGAATAAAAAAAGTCTATCTATCTATTATAATTTATAAATATTACTTATATTATTTTATTTGTTAAATTCAGTATAAATTTCATAAATTTTAAATTAAAATAATAAACAAACAATTATTTTTTATTTATCAAACCTAAATAATAAATTTTAATATTTAAAAAAATAATAATTTACTGTAATTTAAAATATTACCTTCATAAAAAAATAAATATGAAGTGATATGTGCTAATGTTTTAACATAGAGATTGAAAATTAATTTTTTCAGCTTAGAGCCTTAGAAGTTAGAAATTTTAAGGTATTTAATAACAATTTAGTATTTAAGTAATATAATTTTATTGAGTTTATAGAAAGATGCTAGATATTATTGAAAAAATATCAATAAATATTTTAGCATTTTCTATGTTTTTCTAGTAATAGCTTAATACATACTCTCATAAATTGAGCTCAATAAATTAATTTATTTTTTGGTTATTATTTATTTTGTAAATACTTTTGAAAGATAAAATTTATTTCGAGAAATAAATTTTAGAAATTCTCGAAAGAAAGAAGCTGAATTTAAATATATTTGTATTGGAGGAATAAATATACTAAATTCTTTGAAAAATATATTTTCAAATAAAATGATCAATTGTACAGACAGACATACAAATAAACAAATAACTAACGATCATATATTAATATTTTATTTTTTAAAAATCTTTGAGATCAAATAAGGAATTTAGAAATAATGTAAAACAAAAACAATGGTTATTTTAGTTCAATTTAATTTATTGTTTGAAAAAAGCTTAATCCTAAAGTATAAAAAATAATTGATTGATAACTAAATCATTTAGTAATTTAAAAAAATTTTTGGATACCTTTTTTTTATAATTAATTTTAAAAGTGTATTAAGATAAAAACTAATTATTAATTCAAATGGGATCAAGTACAACAAAGAATAAAGTTGTAAATTTGTAGCAGGATTAGTCAGTAGAGCTTAATCCTATGTGTTAGGAATAAGATCTAGAAAAATCAAATTAGGAGAAATAAACCCCCAAAAAAAGCGGAACTTCTCTATGTTTAAAAAGACTCGTTACTGTAATTGTCTCTGTTGCTTTACTAATAGAACCTATTTATTCTACCTACATCTCTTACAAGGCATATAATAATTTTAACAATTTAAGCGACCAAATTAAAACAGAAGTTACTGATAGATATACTCAACTGATGATTTTAGATATTTCTGTTTCCTCTTCTTGTAATGCAGAGTGGGATACTTTATTCTTATGGATGTTCTAGGGAGCTAATATTAGGTGTGATTGCAGAGGAAAATTAGGTGACAATATAACTCTTGATTTTTGTTCTCCTGATCAAGAAGCAGCTGGTTGCATTCAATTTAATTTTATTAATGAAAAAGTCTTGTCCTTATATCCTTCAGGACCTAAAAACGATAATTCGACATAAATTTGCGTTAAGTAATATGTTGGAGGACCTACTTTTTCAACTATAAAATCTTGGAGTTAGAATTGTCCTAGTGGATAAAGATTATGCGGAGGTTCTTCTATTGAGAGTTCAGTATGCATAGATAGTTCTTAACTATGCCCAATCAATTCTATAGTTGTTTAGCCTACAAATCCGGATCCAACAATCTATCTTGAGCAATAATAGTACAATTCAACTCATAACATTTATTATAGTAGAACTAGTAATAACTTGCCTATAAACTACTATAAAGTTACATCAGGTGAGGGTCCTTGCTACAATATAACTTAGGAAAATACCTATTAAGGTAGAGTTGACCCTTTCAATTTTAAAGTACAGAGATCTCCTTGTGAAGTAGATCCTAGATGGTAAAGGGTAGCTGAAGTTGGAGAATATTCTTATTTTGTTGCTAGTGGGATAGACCCTCCAACATACTTCAAGGAAGTGTGGAGTTTCTACTAAATAAGTGACATATATAGATATGGTTTCTATGTTTCTCACTACCCAGATTGGAAATTCAATAATAGAAATCTTATAAGCTAAGTAACTGATTTTGTAAATAATAGAGATAGTATTATGACCTATTAAACAACCCTTTTATATCTGAACGTAGCTAACCTTGTTTTAAATGGTTTATTTGCTTTCTACTTAACATATATATTAATAAAAAAAATGAGTGAAGAGGAGTAAGATAAATTGGTCTAGTGGAAAGACTATTACAATAACTTGATTAAGATTGGATAGCTAGCTGTGTGCATTTTTTAGGTCCTTTCAATTGAAGACTATTTATAAACATTTAAGTAGTGCACAGTCAACTTAGTTTCAGACGAAAGGACAAATAAAATTTTGCTATCTGTTTATACTTATATGGATACCTAAGTTTATGAAGCAGATAAAAAGCTAATCATAAGTACTGCTGCAGGTTTTGCAGTGGCCATACTTGGATTTTTATTCAATCTCTATTAAAAAAGAAAGAAACAAAAAGAAGAAGAGTAATAATAAGAATGAACGTATAGATAGATATATATAAATCAATAAATTTTATTATAAATTATCAAAAATAACTTTGTATTATATTTTGTTTAGTAAATTGTGTATAATATAAACAAATATATTTTTTCTACATTTTGTAATTTCTTAATGTAATTTTTTATTTTTTCTCTAAAATAAAAGGTTTTAAAGATCAATTAAAAAAAATAAAATCAATTTCTATTAAAACGCAATGGATTATTTCATTTATGTTTCTGTTTTTTGGATTAACAAAAAAAAACAAATAATTACCTAAATGAATATAAAATTAGAGGCTTTGAGAACAAATAAATTTCTTAAAAGAAATTCAAATAGCAGAATAAATAAATTTAAGACTCGAATTTTAGGAAAAGGATTATTTTCTTTCAATTGTAAGCAAAAAACAAAACAGATGAATGATCAATCAACCAATTTTAATTAGCAATTAAGATTGTGGCTAATCACATATAAAAAGTAAATTTATATGTAAAAATTATTATTTATTTAGCAATTCTTAATAGGATTGAAGTAATTCTTAAAAAATGCTTTATTTAAATCTAAATAAATATAATCTTGTCATTTTTAGTATTCAAATAAAAGCTTTAAAGTATATTTTTTTCAATAGAAAAATAAAGAATTTAAAAAAATAGAAAATCCTTTAAAAGAAATACTTAGTTAGTTAGAAAGATATTTTAAAGAATTTAATTATCTTGTGTAATTTGGAATCTTTAAGGAAACTATAATTGAAGAATAATGTAATCTAAATATTAGACAATAATTCAAAATGGAAATTATCGCCATAAATAATAATATTTTCTGATCAATTAATTAATTTCGAATCTAATTTTAAAAAAGCGAGTCAAGCAATTAAACATATGTAAGCTCCTATTATTATTTTAGGAATTTTAAAGGTAAACTTTAGAATTAAAATTGAATTTTTCATTTATGAAAAATAGAAATTAGTTTTTAATAAATAAATAGGTTAGACCATAGAATTTATTAGTTTGAAAGTGTCTTGCTATTTTGGTGATAGATATTTTGGATTGCGAATAAAATAGCCTGCTATTAGTGTCAGTGAGATCAAATAAAAGTTCAATATATTTCTTTAATTTTCTTATTAATGAGAAAAAAGCCTTATTTTGTTTGCATTTATTTCTAAGGAGAACAAATATAAATATTTAATAAATTCCTTTTGCTTGCTTGCATAATGAATGAATAAATTAATTGTCTTTGTTTTTACTATTAATAACCTTTCAATCAATAAATTAATTAACTTAAACTATTTTGATCAATTATTCCACTTGAAATTACACAAAAATTAAGTCAAAAAAAAAGTTAAGTGTAAAATGGGAACAAAAGCATCTAAAAGTGACAATCAAATAAATGAATCTGTAGAATTAAACAGAGTATTCAACAATCAATAAAATTAAAATAATGATGAGGAATGTTATAAAAGTAGAGTCATTTAACCTGCGGAACCTGTTATAGATGAAACAAAAACAGATTAGCCTTAGAAAGCCTCATGCTTTAAAAGAATTTTTACTATAATTGTCATTATTGCAACGCTAGCAGAAGCAGTTTACTCTTTATATTAGTCCTATTAAGGATATAAAGGATTCGATAACTTGAACAACTAAATATAAGGAGAAGTTACTGATAGATATGGTTTTAGAATGCTGCAAGACGTGTAGTCTTCTTCTTCTTGTAACGGAGAGTGGGAACCTTTGTTTGAATATATGTTTCAAGGAACAAATATAAGATGTGATTGCAGAGCATAAGGAGGAGAAATCACTGTTGATTTCTGTATGCCAGACTAAGTAAATTGTATTCAATACAACTTCTTAGACGAAAAAGTGCTGTCTGTTTGGCCTTTTGGTATTGATAATGGGCTTAAATAGTAGCTATGTGTTAAATATTACACTGGAAATACTTTTGCATCAATAAAAGACTGGCCAACAACGTGTCCTAGCGGATAAAAAAAATGTGGAGGTTAATCAATAGAATCTATGCTTTGCTTACCTGAAGATTAATAATGTCCCTTAAATGACATGATTGTAGCTTTAACAAACCCTGACCCTTCAATTTTCAATGAATAAATGGTTTTTAATTCTACTCATACTTTATTCTATACAAGATAAAGCAATAAATTACCTTTAAACTTATCAAAAGTTACTTCTGGAGAAGGTCCTTGCTATGACGTGAAATAAGAAAACACATATCAAGGAAGAGAAGATTTTTTTACTTATAAGGTTAGGAGAACTCCATGTGAAGTAGATACTAGATGGTCTAGAATAGCAGAAGTAGGTGAATACACCTTATTTAAATCTAATGGAGTTGATCCCGAGGATTATTTCAAATAAATGTGGAGTTTTGAACCTATTAGTGACTAATACAGATATGGTTTTTATGTGTCTCATTATCCTGACTGGAAATATGAATTTAGAAACTTACTGCAAAAAATTACATAATTTGTAGATTCAAGAGATACAATTATGTAATATTAAAAAGTATTATTAGGCATATGTGCTCTTTCCCTAGGTTCTAATATTCTCATTGGTATAAGTATTATATATCTATATCTGACAAGTGCGGATGAAGAAAAAAAACAAAAGTTTGATAAACAAAAAGATGGTTTCTAAACAACTATAAAATTAGCCTAAATAGGTATTGCCGTCTTTCAACTGATAAATGTAAATGATTATATAGGTGCCTTTTAAAGTGCAGCAAACAATAAAGTTTCAGATAATAGATCAAATACAATTATTACAGATATTGGAGATTATTTGCATAATAAAGTCTACATAGCTGACAGAAATCTTATCATAGGAAATGTTGTTGGATTATTCTTTAGTTTAATTTCTCTTATCTATACTATTTATTAAGCAAAAAAGAAACAACAATGAATGTATCAATAGCTTTTTTTGATGAACTACTATTTATAGAAAATCGAATAAATAATAAATTAGTTATTCTTATCCTAAAAAATGTAAAAATTAACCAAAAAATTTAATAAATAAAAAATATTTTTAAAAAAAATTAATTATAAATATTTAAGTTCAAACATAACCAAATAAATTTGTAAATATTTAAGCAGCAAAGCAAATATATATATATATGTATAAATAAGTAAGTAAAAAACTGATTTATCTTTTAAAAAATATATTTATATCATAGCATTGTAGAAAAATTTCACTCCAGACGAAATACCTAGAGAGAGGGTGTGTAAAAATCATATTACATATTTATGATGAAAAGAAAACAATACTATATAAAACATATTATATTAAAGGATTCAAATATATTTATTTTTATCAGCCTTATTTCATCACTTATTTATCAAAAGAAATACATTTTAAAAGCAACTAATCTTTTTAATTTAAGGCACTTTGCTTTAAATTATTTTAATTTCTCAATATCGTTGTCACTATTAATATAAATTAGTGTAAATTACTAAAAAAATAAATAAAATATTTTTATATTAAATCAAAAATAATAAAGATGTTAACAAAATATAAAAAAGATAAATAAATAAAAAAAAATTAGATAATAAATAAATGAAAAGAGTTAGTTATATCGCTTAGAATTAATTTTTATATTCAAAAATATCACAATCCAAAATAAATAAATGTTTTTACCTTAGATCAAGTTTCAAATTTAGGAGATTAGTGCAATATCCTAAACCAGAAACTAAGCCTTATGCACCTTCATCATCTAATCCATTCATACTTTTTAAATATTGAAGAAAAAATATAAAGTTAATTAGTAAGTTAGAAACAAAAATGAATAAAAAATATGAAATAATAAGAAATTAATTAATAAAATTAAAACTTTAAAATGATAAAAATGAGTTAAATTAACAGACAAAGAAATAAAAAAAACGATCAAAATAAAATAAAAAAAAATAAATTAAACCTAATAAGTAAGTTAAATCAGTTAGTTATATTTTTTTAAATTAATTTTTATATTAAAAAAAATCACACTAAATAAATAAACTGTTTTTACCCTAGATTAAGTTTCAAATTTAGGAGATTAGTGCACTTTCCTAAACTAAAACCTAAGCTTGATGCCCCTATTGCACCAATTTAATTGTCCCTTTTTCAATATTGAAGAAAAAATATATAGTTAATTAGTTATTTAAAAAGAAAAAATGAAGAAAAAATATGAAATGAATTAATAATAAAAGCAAAACTTGAAAATGAAAAAATGAGTTAAATTAATAAACAAAGAAACAAACAAATAAAAAATACAAGCAAAATAAAAAAAATAAATCAAATAAAAAGCTAATAAATAAATCATTAAAAACAGTTACTTACATTGTTTTAAATTCATTTTTATTTTGAAAAATATCACAATCCAAAACAAATAAACTGTTTTTACCCTAGATCAAGTGTCAAATTTGATAGATTAGTGCACTTTCCCAAACCAGAACCTAAGCCCAATGCTCCAGCACTAATTTTATTCATCCTTATTTAAAATTGAAGAAAAAATATATAGTTAATTAGTTGGTTAGAAGGAAGTATGAAGAAAAAATATGAAATAATAAGTAAGTAAGAAATGAATTTTGAAAAAATTATTTAAATTAAAAAACAAGCAAATAAATAAAAAATAAAAAGAAGAATAAAAATAGATCAAATAAAAAGCTAACAAATAAATAAGTTAATACTGTTAGTTATATTATTTTAAGCTCATTTTTTATTCAAAAATATCATAATCCAAAACCAATAAATTTTTTTACCAAAGAACAAGTTATAAATTCGAGAGATTAATGCATTTTGCTAAAGAAGAACTTAAGCCTGATGAACCTTTATCACCAATTTAATTTTCACTTTTTAAATTTTGAGAAAATAATAGTTAATTAGTTAGTTAGAAGGAAAAATTGAAAAAAAATATGAAATAATAAAAAATGAATTTAATAGTTAAATAAAACTTGAAAATATAAAAATGAGTTAAGTTATAAGCAAATAAATAAATAAATATTACAAGAAGAATAAAAAAAAAGAAAAATAAATCAAATAAAAAGCTAATAATTAATTAAAGTAAAACAGTAAGATTTATTATTTTAAATTCAAAAATATCACATTCCAAAACAAATAATCTGTGTTTACCCTAGATCAAGTTTCAAATTTAAGAGGTTAGTACACTTTGCTAAACCATAAGCTAAGCCAGATGCACCTTCATCGCCAATTTTATTTTACCTTTTTAAATATTGAATAAAATATATAAAGTTATTTAGTAGAAGTAAAAAATAAAGAAAAGAAATTTAATAATAAGAATAGTATGAATAAATAATAAAAGTAAAACTTGAAAATTAAAAAATGAGTTAAATTAACAAAAAAACACAGAAATAAATTAATTAAAAAAAATAAGCAGGATAAAAAAGGACAAATCAAATAAAAGCTAATAAATAATTTAAATCAGTTAGTTATATTATTTTAAATCAAAACGAATAAATTTTTTTTACTATAGATTAAGTGCCAAATTTGAGAGATTAGTGAATTTTGCTAAACAATAACCTAAGCCTGATGAACCTTCATTACCAATTTAATTTTCCCTTTTTAAATATTGAAGAAAATAATAGTTAATTAGTTAGTTAGTTAGTTAGTTAGTTAAAAGGATAAAATCAAAAAAAAAATGAAATAATTAAACAAAACTAGAAAATATAAAAATGAGTTAAATTAACAAACAAATAAATAAATAAAAACAAAATTAATCAAATAAAAAGGTAATAAAAAATATAAGTTAAAACAGTTAGTAATATTATTTTAAATTCATTTTAATATTCAAAAATATCACAATTCAAAACAAATAAACTTTTTTTACTTCAGATTAAGTGTCAAATTTGAGAGATTAATGCACTTTACTAAATAAGAACCTAAGCTTGAAGCACCAATTGAACCAATTTTATTTTTCCTTTTTAAATATTGAAGAAAAAATATGAAATAATAAGATATGTATCATTGATAAATAATAAAGCAAAACATTATAATAGAAAAATAAGGTAAATTAAAAAATAAACAAAGAAATAAATCAATAAAAAAGCATGCAAAAATAATAAAAAAAAGAAAATTAATCAATAAAATAAATTAATAAGTTAAAGCATTTAATAATATTATTTTATAATAATTTTTATATTCAAAAATATCACAATCCAAAACAAATAAACTGTTTTTACCTTAGATTAAGTGTTAAATTAGAGAGATTAGTGCACTTTCCTAAGCCAGAACCTATGCCTGATGCACCAATTGAACTAATTTGATTTAGCCTATTTAAATATTGAAGAAAATAAAAATAGTTAATTTGTTAGTTAGAAAGAAAAAAAAAGTTTATGAAATAATAAGATATAAATTTTTAATTAATAATAAAAGTAAAAATTCAAAATTCAAAAAGAAAAGATAAATTAAATTAAATTAGCAAGCAAGCAAGCAAGTAAGTAAGTAAACAAGCAAGCAAAGAAAGAAAGAAAGAAATAACAAACGCAATTACAGTAAAAAATTAAATTAAATTAGAAGCTGATAAATAAAAAAATTAAAATAGTTAGAGATATTATTTTAATTAATTTTAATATTCAAAAATATCACAATCCAAAACAAACAAACAAACTATTTTTACTCTAGAACAAGTACCAAATTTGAAAGATTAGTGCACTTTGCTAAACCTTAACTTAAACTTGATGCACCTCCGTCACCAATTTCATTACTACTTTTTAAATATTGAAGAAAAACATAAAGTTAATTAGTGAGTTAGTAGTTAAATAAGAAGAAATGTTATGAAATTAATTAATAATAAATAAAAAAAGCAAAACTTGAAAATATAAAAATGAGTTAAATGAATAAACAAATAAATAAATAAATAAAAACCACAAAAAAAATAAATAAATAAATCAAATAAAAGCTAATAAATATATTAGTTAAAGCAGTTAGTTATATTATTTTAAATTCATTTTTATATACTAAAATATTACAATCCAAAACAGATAAATTGTTGTTACCTTAGTTTAAGTGTCAAATTTAAGAGATTATTGCAGTTTCCTAAAGAAGAACCTAAACCTGAGGCACTAATTGCACTAATTTGATTTAGCCTTTTTAAATATTAATAGTTAATTAGTTAGTTAAAATGAAAAAAAATATATCAAATAATAAGAAATGGATTATCTAATTAACAATAAAAGCAATACTTGAAAATGAAAAAATGAGTTAAATTAGAAAAAAGAAATAAATAAATAAAAAAAGCACAAAAAAAAAAATACAGTTAGTTATACTGTTTTAAATTCATTTTTATATTCAAATATAGAGGTGGGAATCGATTCAAAATAATAGATAAACTGATTATATAAAAACTCGATTATTTTTTAATAGCATAAGTTTTGATAAATTTTGAGGATGGATATGGGAGGGGTATGGTATTATGAAACATATGATATAAATATATTGTAAAGATTATTTTATTAGTTAAAATAAAATGTCTTTTCTATAAAATTAAATTAAAAAGAAAAAAATAATGTAATAAAATATTTTTTAATAATATATTGAAATAGTTTTTAATTTAATAAAATGGATTTTAATTTTGATATCGCTTCAAAAATAGAAAATTGAATCGATCAAAAAATATATTCGATTTCTATTCAAAAATATCACAATCCAAAACTATTAAACTATTTTTACTCTAGAACAAGTCTCAAATTTGAGAGGTTAGTACACTTTCCTAAACCAAAACTTAAGCTTTATGCACCTTCATCACCAATTTTATTTTCACTTTTTAAATATTGAAGAAAAAAAAAAAAAGTTAATTAGTTAGTTGGAAAAAATGAAGAAAAAATATGAAATAATAAGAATTTATGAATTAATAAATAATAAAAGCAAAACTTGTTAATGTTAAAATGAGTTAAATTAACAAACAAATAAAAAAAAGAAAAAAAACATCAAATCTAATAAATAAATAAATAAGTTAAAGCAACTAGTTATATTATTTTAAATTCATTTTTATATTCAAAAACATCACAATCAAAACATACAAACTATTTTTACCTTAGATTAAGGTTCAAATTTGAGAGATTAGTGCACTTTCCTAAACCAGAACCTATGCCTGATGCACCAATTCCGCCAATTTAATTTTTCCTTTTTAAATATTGAAGAAAAATTAAGAGTTAATTAGTTAGATAGAAGGAAAAAATGAAAAAAAATTTGTGTTTTTACCCTAGATTTAGTGCCAAATTTGAGAGATTAGTGCACTTTGCTAAACCAGAAACTATGCCTGATGCACCAGTTGGGTCAATTTAATTTCTCCTTTTTAAATATTGAAGAAAAATAAAGATTTAATTAGCTATTAAAAGAAAAAATGAAGAAAAAATTTAAATAATATGAAATGAATTAATAATAAAAATAATAATTCAAAATCAAAAAATGAGTTAAATTAAAGAAATAAATAAATAATTAAAAAGCACAAGAAAAAAAAAATAAATAAATCAAATAAAAGCTATTAAATAAATAAGTAAAAGCAGTAGTTATATTATTTTTATATTTAAAAATATCACAATCCAAAACAAATAAACTATTTATACCTTAGATTAAGTGTCAAATTTGAGAGATTATTACACTTTCCTAGACCAGAACCTAAGCCTGATGCACCAATCGCGCCAATTTAATTTTTACTTTTTAAATATTGAAGAAAAATTAAGAGTTAATTAATTAGTTAAAAGGAAAGAATGAAGAATAAATATGGAATAATAAAAAAAATGAAATTCTAAATAAAAGCGAAAATTTAAATGAAAAAATTAGTTAAATGAACAAACGACAAACAAATAAATTAATAAATAAATAAAAAAGACACCAGCAGAATAAAAAAAAAAAAATTAAATCAAATAAAAAGCTAATAAAAAAATATTAGTTAAAACAATTAATTATATTTTTTTAAATTCATTTTTAGATTCAAAAATATCATAATCCAAAACAAATAAACTGTTTTTACCTTAGATCAAGTGTCAAATTTGAGAGATTAATCTAATTTCCTAAACCATAACTTAAGATTAATGCGCCTTCATCATCTATATTATTTTTCCTTTTTTATATTGAAGAAAAAATAAACAGATAATTTGTTAATTCGAAGGAAAAAATGAAGAAAAAATGCAAAACAAAAAATAAATAATAATCTATATAAAAATTGAATGATAATTAATTTAAAATAATTAAATGATATCTCTCTAAATAAAATAAAGATTAATAATATTAACAAATCAAATATACTTACTTATTTTCCAGATTAATATGGAGAACCTAAAGCGATTAAAATGAAGTGCTAAAAAACTTTTGTTGTCAATAAATATAAATTGAAATAATATTAATAAAAAGTAAATATTTACTTCTTTTAGATTGTTAAAATATTATTTCTATTATATCATTTGTTTTATTTTATTTTTCAAAAATGATGACTATCAATTTATGCAAATTTAATTAATTATAAATATATTGATAAATTAATTAACTTTTATATCAATATAAAAAAACACAAATAAATTTTAAAAATTATTAACGATGACTATTTTTTAAAATTGCAAAGTGCTATATATTTTAGGTTAATTTATCTGATTACAGTATATTAAAATATGAAACATATTATATTAAAGTATTCAAATATATTTATATTTATTGGCCTTATCACCACTTATTTTTCATATAAAATACATTTTAAAATTAACTAATCTTTTTAATTAAAGGCATTTTGCTTTCAATTATTTTAATTTCTCAATATTGTTGTCGCTATTAATATAAATTAGATTAAATTACTAAAAAAATAAATAAAATATTTTTATTTTAAATCAAAAATAATAAAGATATATAAAAAATAAAAAAAGATAAATAATTCAAAATAACTAGATAATAAATAAATGAAAAGAGTTAGCTATATCTTCAAATTAATTTTTATATTTAAAAACATCACAAATCAAAATAAATAAACAGTTTTTACCCTAGATCAAGTTTCAAACTTAGGAGATTAGTACACTTTCCTAAACCAGAAACTAAGCCTGATGCACCTTCATCATCTATTTCATTCATTCTTTTTAATTATTAATGAAAAAATATAAAGTTAATTAGTAAGTTAAAAACAAAAATGAAGAAAAAATATGAAATAATAAGAAATTAATTAATAAAATTAAAACTTTAAAATGAGAAAATGAGTTAAATTAACAGACAAAAAAATAAATAAAAAAACAATCAAAATAAAATAAAAAAATAAATCAAATTAAACCTAATAAGTAAATGAAATCAGTTAGTTTTTTTATTTTAAATTAATTTTTATACTCAAAAAAATATCAATCCAAAATAAATAAACTGTTTTTACCCTATATCAAGTTTCAAATTTAGGAGATTAGTGCACTTTCCTAAACCAGAACCCAAGCCTAATGCCCCAATAGCATTAATTTAATTGTCCCTTTTTAATGTTGAAGAAAAAATATATAGTTAATTAGTTATTTAGAAGGAAATAATGAAGAAGAAATATGAAATAATAAGAAATTAATTAATAATAAAAGCAAAACTTGATAATGAAATAATGAGTTAAATTATCAAACAAAGAAACAAATAAATAAATAAAAAATACAAGCAGAATAAAAAAAATAATTCAAATAAAAAGCTAATAAACAAATCAGTAAACACAGTTAGTTACATTATTTTAAATTCATTTTTATTTTGAAAAATATCACAATCCAAAACAAATAAACTGTTTTTACCCTAGATGAAGTGTCAAATTTGATAGATTAGTGCACTTTCCTAAACCGGAACCTAAGTCTGATGCACCAGCACTAATTTCATTCATCCTTTATAAATATTGAAGAAAAAATAAAGAGTTAATTAGTTGGTTAGAAGGAAATATGAATAAAATTTATAAATAATAAAAAATGAATTATGAAAAAATTAGTTAAATTAACAAACAAGCAAATAAATAAAAAATAACAAGAAGAATAAAAAAAGAAAAATAAATCAAATAAAAAGCTAATAAATAAATAAGTTAAACTGTTAGTTATATTATTTTAAACTCATTTTTGAATTCAAAAATATCATAATCAATACTAATACATTTTTTTTACCATAGGTTAAGTGTCAAATTTGAGAGATTAGTGCATTTTGCTAAACAAGAACCTAAGCCTGATGAACCTTCATCGCCAATTTAATTTTCCCTTTTTAAATATGGAAGAAAATAATATTTAATTAGTTAGAAGGACGAATTGAAAAAAATATATGAAATAATAAAAAATGAATTTAATAGTTAAATAAAATTTGAAAATATAAAAATAATATAAATTATAAGCAAATAAATAAATATTACAAGAAGAATAAAAAAAAAGAAAAATAAATCAAATAAAAATCTAATAATTAATTAATGTAAAACAATAAGATTTATTATTTAAATTCATTTTTAAATTCAAAAATATCACAATCCAAAATAAATAATTTTTTTTACCATAGACTAAGTTTCAAATTTGAGAGATTAGTGCATTTTGCTAAACAAGAACCTAAGCCTTATGAACCTTCATCGCCAATTTAATTTAATCTTTTTAAATGTTGGAGATAATAATATTTAATTAGTTAATAAAATGGAAAAATTGAAAAAAATATATGAAATAATAAAAAATGAATTTAATAGTTAAATAAAACTTGAAAATATAAAAATCAGTTAAATTATAAGCAAATAAATAAATAAATATTACAAGAACAATAAAAAAAAAGAAAAATAAATCAAATAAAAAGATAATAAATAATTAAAGTAAAGCAGTAAGATTTATCATTTTAAATTAATTTTTAAATTCAAAAATATCACAATCCAAATCAAATAATCTATTTTTACCCTAGACAAAGTGTCAAATTTAAGAGGTTTTTTTGTCCAAAATCTATTAAAAAAGGGAGGGGTGTAAAAATGAACCTAGCAGGCGTGGCAGGCGTGGCATGCTTGTGCTTAGTGAACTTAGTGAACTTAGACTGTAAAATATGAAATTTCTTAAATTCATATGTAAAGCATATAAAAAGAAAAAGAAAAAATAAAAACACTTAATAAATACATAATAATATAAAGAAAAATATATAAAAAAATTATAATGAAAAAAAAAAATAAAATAAAATAAAATATAATTAATTTTAAGATGTATTCTGAGTGCATTTATATGTGCGAGTATTTCTATTCTATTCTATCACCAATTTTATTTTTCCTTTTTAAATATTGAAGAAAAAATGTCAAATTATTTAGTAGAAAAAATATACAAAAATAAGAAAAGTATGAATAAATAATAAAAGCAAAACATGAAAAGCAAAGAAATAAATAAATTAAAAAACACATGCAGGACAAAAAAAGGAAAAATCAAATAAAAGCTAATAAATAAATAATTTAAACCAGTTAGTTATATTATTTTAAATTCATTTTTATGTTCAAAAATATCATAATCCAAAACAAATATACTATTTTTACTCTAAATGAAGTGTCAATTTTGAGAGATTAGTGCATTTTGCTAAGCAAGAACCTAAGCCTGATGAACCTTCATCACCAATTTAATTTACCCTTTTAAATATTGAAGAAAATAATAGTTAATTAGTTAGTTAGTGAGAAGGAAAAATTGAAAAAAAATAAATTTAGTAGTTAAATAAAACTTGAAAATATAAAACTGAGTTCAATTATAAGCAATTAAATATTACAAGTTGAATAAAAAAAAAAGCTAATAATTTATTAAAGTAAAACAGTAAGATTTATTATTTTAAATTAATTTTTAAATTCAAAAATATCACAATCCAAAACAAAATCTGTTTTTACATTAGATAAAGTGTCAAATTTAAGAGGTTAGTACACTTTGCTAAACCAGTAGCTAAGCCTGATGAGCCTTCTTCACCAATTTTATTTTTCCTTTTTAAATATTGAAGAAAAAATATAAAGTTATTTAGTAGAAGCAAAAAATAAAGAAAAAATATGTAATAAAAAGAAAAGTATGAATAAATAATAAAAACAAAACTTGAAAATAAAAAAATTAGTTAAATTAACAAAAAAAAAGAAATTAATTAGTTAAAAAAAACAACCAGGATAAAAAAAGGACAAATCAAATAAAAAGTTAATAAATAAATAATTGAAAGCAGTTATTTTTTTTATTTTAAATTCATTTTTATATTCAAAAATATCATAATCCTAAACGAATAAACTGTTTTTACCCTAAATCAAGTGTCAAATTTGAGAGATTAGTGCATTTTGCTAAACAAAAACCTAAGCCTGATGAACCTTCATCACCAATTTAATTTTCCCTTTTTAAATATTGAATAAAATAATAGTTAATTAGTTAGTTAGTTAGTTCGAATTAAAAATTGAAAAAAATATGAAATAATAAAAAACGAATTTAATTTTTAAATAAAACTTGATAATATAAAAATAAGTTAAATTAACAAACAAATAAATAAATAAAAACAAAATCATAAAAAGCTAATAAAGATATTAGTTAAACAGTTAGTATTATTATTCTAAATTAATTTTAATATTCAAAAATATCCCAATTCAAAACAAATCAACTTTTTTTACCTTAGATCAAGTGTTAAATTTGAGAGATTAGTGCACTTTAATAAATCAGAACCTATGCCTGATGCTCCTTTATAACAAATTACATTTTTACTTTTAAATATTGAAGAAAAAATAGATAGATAATTAATTATTTAGCATGAAAAAATGAAGAAATACTATGAAATAATAAGAAATGTATTAGAAATAAATAATAAAAGCAAAATATGAAAATATAAAAATAAGGTAAATTAAAAAATAAATTTACAAATAAATAAATAAAAACACAAGCAGAATAACAAAAATGAAAATTAATCAATAAAATCAAATATATTAATAAGTTAAAGCATTTAGTTTTTTTTAATTTTTTATTTTCAAAAATATCGCAATCCAAAACAAATAAACTATTTTTACCTTAGATTAAGTGTTAAATTAGAGAGATTTGTATACTTTCCTAAGCTAGAACCTAAGCCTGATGTACCACTTGCACTAATTTGATTTAACCTTTTTAAATATTGAAGAAAAAATTAAAAAGTTAGTTATATTGTTTTAATTCATTTTAATATTCAAAAATATCACAATCCAAAACAAACAAATTATTTTTACTCTAGAACAAGTTTCAAATTTGAGAGATTAGTGCATTTTGCTAAACCAGAACTTAAACCTAATGCACCTCCATCACCAATTTCATTTATTCTTTATAAATATTGAAGAAAAAATAAAGAGTAAATTAGTTAGTTGGAAAACATGAAGAAAAAATTTGAAATAATTAGAAATGTATGAATTAAAAAATAATAAAAGCAAAACTTGAAAATGTAAAATTAATTAAATTAACAAACAAATAAAAAAATAAAAAACATAAGCAGAATAAAAAAAGAAAAATAAATAAAATAAAATATATTAAATAGATAAATAAGTAAAAGCAACTAGTGATATTATTTTAAATTCATTTTTATATTCAATAATATCACAATCCAAAACAAACAAACTATATTTACCTTAGATTAAGTGTTAAATTTGAGAGATTATTGCACTTTCCTAAGCCAGAACCTATGCCTGAAGCGCCAATTGCTTCAATATAATTTTACCTTTTTAAATATTGAAAAAAAAATAAAGAGTTAATTAGTTATTTGAAGGAAAAATGAAGAAAAAATATATTTTTTTACCCTATATCAAGTGTTAAATTTGAGAGATTATTGCACTTTCCTAAGCCAGAACCTATGCCTGAAGCGCCAATTGGGCCAATTTAATTTTCCCTTTTTAAATATTGAAAAAAAAAAAATAAAGAGTTAATTAGTTAGTTAGAAGGAAAAAATGAAGAAAAAATAAATGTTTTTACCCTATATCAAGTGTTAAATTTGAGAGATTAGTGCACTTTGCTAAACCAGAACCTAAGTCTGATGCACCAATTGCACTTATTTTATTTCTCCTTTTTAAATATTGAGAAAAAATAAATAGTTAATTAGCTAGTTAGAAGGAAAAAATGAAGAAAAATATGAAATAAAATGAAATGAATTACTAATAAAAAGAAAAATTCAAAATGAAAATGAGTTAAATTAAAGAAATAAATAAATAAAAAACTCAAGAAAAAAAAAGAAAAATAAATCAAATAAAAGCTATTAAATAAATAAGTTAAAGTAATTAGTTATATTATTTTAAATTCATTTTTATTTTCAAAGATATTACAATCTGTTACAAATAAACTATTTTTACCTTAGATTAAGTGTCAAATTTGAGAGATTATTGCACTTTCCTAAACCAGAACCGATGCCTGATGCACCAATTTTTCCAATTGCCCTAATTACCTCAATTTAATTATTCCTTCTTACATATTGAAGAAAAAATAAAGAGTTAATTAGTTAGATAGAAAGAAAAAATGAAGAAAAAATATGAAATAATAAAAAATGAAATTATAAATAAAAGCAAAAATTTTAATTGAAAAAATGAATTAAATTAACAAATAAACAAAATAAATAAATAAATAAAAAACAATAGCAGAATAAAAATAATAAAATTAAATCAAATAAAACGCTAATAAAAAATTATAAGTTAAAACAATTAGTTATATTGTTTTTAAATTAATTTTTGAATTCAAAAGTATCATAATCGAAAACAAATAAACTCTTTTTACCTTAGATCAAGTGTCAAATTTGAGAGATTAATGCACTAGCCTAAACCATAACTTAAGATTAATGCATCTTCATCACTAATATTATTTTTTCTTTTTAATATTGAAGAAAAAATAAAGAGATAATTAGTTGGTTAGAAGGAAAAAATGAAGAAAAAATGTAAAGTAAAAAATAAATAATCATCTATAATTGAATGATAATTAAAATAAAATAATTAAAAACTATGTGTATAAATAAAATAAAAATTAGTAACACTAATAAATCTAATATACTTACTTATTTTCCAGATGGATATGGAGAACCTAAAATGATTAAAGTTAAGTGCTAAAAAACTTTTGTTGTCATTAAATATAAATTGAAATAATATAAATAAAAAGTAAATATTTACTTCTTTAAGATTGTTAAAATATTATTTCTATTATATCATTTGTTTTATTTTATTTTTCAAAAATATTGAATATATAGCAATTTATGGAAATTTAATTAATTAATTATAAATATATTAATAAATTAATTAACTTTTATTTCAAATTAATTCAGACAAAAAGAAAAATAAATTTTAAAAATTATCAAATACAAATTAAAAAATATTGTTTTAGGAAGAGAAATCACAAAAAAGCTAAAAGTTAAAGTAAAATTAATTTTATTAAATCTTAATATTTCTATTAAAAATTTGTTTTTTCTTATAAAACTAGTAAGAATCAAAAACGGGTATTCATATGTTGATAAATTCTATTTATTAATATACTTAAATTTTTATCAAACAATTTAAATATATTGTATATTTAGGTTTTAGTCCATTAATGAAGTGAATTTAAATACATTTAATACAGATATCATTAAAATTTTTTGAAAGAAATAAATCGATCAAAAATTAGAATTAGTTACTAGATACAAATATTAGTTATTTAATATTTATTTATTGATTGATAAAGAATATTATTCTAAGTAAATTTATATCAATCTTTATAATTAATTTTTCAATCAAATTTTTAATTAATTTTAGACTTTTTTTATAATTTTTAACAAACAAATCTTAATTAATTTTTAAATTTAAATAAAATTTATGGTATATTAATATTTTATGAAGTTAATTTCAATTTTAACTTTTTTAGGAAACAATAATAATAAACACACTATCACTATCTGAGAAGAAAATTTTTGTTTATTTTGAGAATTACTATTTTAATATATTTTCAAACTTATTTGCATGGAATAACATCAAATTAAGTGTAAACTTTTTAAAAAATATCTCAAAATTTTTTAATAATTAAATTTGTCTATTTATCAGATTTTTTTTTCTTTTGAAAGATAGTTTTGTTGAGAAAGTTGCTCTATAAACTTTTAAGCTTTATATTTTAGATTATATTATTAAATTTATTAATTTAACTTGGATTTACTTTAAAATTATTTCTAATTTGAATTTAGAAAGTAAAAGAAAAGGATTCTATGACTTTTCCTTAAATCTTCTTTCGGAATTCATAAAAGCAGTATTAATTTATATATTCACTAATAGATTCTTTCTTTCTTTCTTTATTTATTTCTGACAACTAAATATACAATCGTGAGAAAAGAAATGAAATCTAAATAAGTTTTTTTTTGAATTTATTTGTTGTTTTAGTTAAAAGAATAGTAAAAGGAATTCATTCATTTGTTCATTAATTGTAAAGCCTTTAAATAATGATCAAACTTTTTTATAAGTATTATAAATAATTTAATAAATACATTTAAAACAAATCAAAAGATTAAAAATCGAATAAAGAAATGAGAATTACTTTTGTATTTTTATTGGCAATGCTAGGTGTTAGCATGGCCATAATAAACCAGAATTTCCATTATAATTCTACGAAGTAGTTGAATTTGACTTAAGTTAAATAGCTTTTCTCTAAATTCAAAGCTGAACACAAGAAATTCTATAACTTTTTAGAAGAACAAAGGCGCTTTGAAATATTTAGATAGAATTTAGACATAATTTCCGAACTGAACTAAGTCGAAGAAGGCACTGCTGAATATGGAATCACTTAGTTTTCTGATATGACAACAGAAGAATTTAAATCATAAATTTTAATTCCTTCTACCTATGCTAGAAACTTCACTGGTTCTAGATACCATGGATTCTAAAAAATTTCATAAGATGCTCCCACTTCTTACGATTGGCGTGATCATGGAGCTGTTACTCCTGTTAAGAATTAGGGTACTGTTGGTACTTGTTGGACTTTCTCAACAACTGGTAACATTGAAGGCTAATGGTTCTTGGCTGGTAATCCTTTAGTTTCTTTGAGTGAAGAACAAATTGTTGATTGTGATGGTTCTTAAGAACCTTCTACAGGTCATGCAGATTGTGGTGTTTTTGGTGGATGGCCTTATCTTGCCTTTGATTATGTTATTAATGCTGGTGGCCTTCCTTCAGAAGAGACTTATCCCTACTGCGTTGGTAATGGAGGTTGTTACCCATGTCCTGCTCCTGGATACAATGAAACTTTATGTGGACCTGCAGTTCCTTATTGCAACGCTACTGCTTACCCTTGCAGACAAGGATAAGTTCCAATTGCAGCAAAAATTGAAGACTGGAAGGCTTTATCCAAAGATGAAGACTCTATTAAGCAATAACTCTTTGAAATAGGTCCTCTCTCTGTTGCTCTCGATGCTTCTTATCTATAATTTTACAAAAAAGGTATTTCTGCACCAAAATTCTGCTCTAAGACTACCCTAAATCACGCAGTTCTTTTGACTGGTTATGGTATTGATAATGGTGTTGAATTCTGGAATGTCAAGAACAGTTGGGGAGCTAAATGGGGAGAATAAGGTTATTTCCGTCTAAAAAGAGGTGTTGGAATGTGTGGTATTAATACTTAAGTTGCTACTGCAATTGTTAGCAAGTAAGCTTACTCTGAAAAGTTTATGGAATATGAAGATTATGAACAACCATATTGAATATTTAAATGAAAATTGATTAATTATTGACTTCTATATATTATATATCAAACAAAATATAATCCATAAATTTATAAAATCAAATTCATTAATTAATTTACTAACAACATACATGATTTCATTCATAAATTGATAAATATTTACCACAAATTTAAATGACTCTTTTTCAACAATAATAAATACTTAAATTTCTTTTTTTTAAATTAAGCTGCCTAAAAAGTAATCAAAAAATATTTTTAAGCATTTCTGTCTTAAAATAAAAAAGGTTAATAAATTTAAATAGTTAATTAATACAATTTTCTATTATTCCACAAAAAATTCAAATACTTATTTCTGTTTTCATAATAATATAATTTTACTTTTAAATTATGTTAAGTTTTAAGCAATTTAATCACTTTTTAAACAAATTTTCAAAGTAAAATTGGAAAACTTCTTTTCAAATATAAAAACTAAATGAGTTTATTTTTTATAAAATAATTTAAAAGCAATAAATATCTAATTAATAAAATACTATTATTATATTAGTTTAAAAGAATAATTAAAAAAAATTAAAAATAAATATTTTTAATATTAATTCATTATTTATCAAATTATAATTGCAACTATTTATCTGCTTTAACTCTAATACTGTTTAGTTTCTATGCACAAGTATATAATTAATTAATTTATTTATTTATTTATTTTTATTATTTGATCATCATAGGATTCCAACATTAAAGTCAAGAGCAGGGGAAGTGGAAAGTCTTGAAGTAAGGATTTCGTAACCTCCTTCAGTAATAACAAGTGTGTGTTCGAATTAACTACTTCTTTAACCATCAGCAGTAACCTTTTTATAGTTAAGTATATTGAAAATGTTTTGATAAAATATATTTTTTTACAGCAGTCCAGTCATCAGGCCATAAGACATCTTGGTGAGTACCCTGGTTAATCATAGGCTCTATAGTAAAAACGTGACCAACTTTCATGAAATTAGGAGCCTTATTTTTGGGGTAGTGAGGAATGGTAGGCATAATGTGGAAAAGATTACCAATACCATGTCCACAATAAGTTCTATTGATTTCTAAACCCCTTTCGTGAATATACTTACCAATAATATTACCGACATCTCTATACATAGTACCAGGCTTGCAAATTTTGATGGCTTCTTCTAAACATCTATATGAATGTTCTACCTATAAAAGTTAATATTTTTTAAGAGATTAGTTATTTTAAGCAATTAATTAATAATTTTGATTTATTGATCAATCAATCGATTGAAAATATTTATTATATTTTTTTAGAATAATGGCAATAGATTCAATATCTATGCTATTAGCACTGTCAAGAATAAGAAAAATAAATATACATTTTGATTATTTTCTTCAACTTTAAATATTTATTTTTTTTTTCATAGTTTTTTCATTTAGATTTGCATTTCAATAAACTGATCCAAAATAATAAATTTATTTGTGAAGATAATTTGAATTAATTACCAAATAAGCAGATGATTCAGCAACTTTACCTACATGATAAGTTTCATTTAAATCTGTATGATAGCCAAATTTATAAAGAGAAATATCTAAGTTGACTATATCTCCTTCTTCAAGAGGTCTATCATCTGGAATACCATGGCAAATAACTTCGTTAACACTAGTACAAATACTCTTGGGGAAATTGTGATAGTTTAGAGGTGAGGGATATGCATCATTTTCAATAATGAATTGATGAACTGCCTTATCAATTTCATCGGTAGTGATACCTGGTCTAACAAGACTGTGACCTAAGTCAAGAGCTTATCTGCCTATTATAATTTAAAGCAATAAATAAATATTTAATTTCTTAATCAATATTATAAAATAGTATTCATTCAATAAGCTAGTAGAAATGCTAATTTTAACATTTTTTATTTTAAAATTTCATTTAATAGCTTGCTTTTATATAAATGTTCAATTATTTACCCAACAAAGAAACCTTTCTCATCTTTTCAATATCTTCGAATGATTTTACTTCAATAACTTTGTTTGTGAATTTGGAGTTTATTTCATCGTTAGGAATACCGCTTGTAGCATAATCAGGCTTTTTAATGTGCTCAGGTACATACAATCTAGGGGATATTTTTCCTGGTCTTAAAGTACCCTAAATCATTAAAAAAATAGATTTAACTTCATGATAAATCTTTAATTGCGTAATTGCAATTATATAATTGACAAACATTTTACTGTATAATTGAATTTGCTTTTAGCAACAGCTTATTCTTCCTCTAAATATTAATAATTAAAATATTTTTTAATTTATTGCTGGCTGATATTCTATTCTTTTGCTTGTTTTTCATTCTAAAAAATTACATTTTTTATGGAATAGCTTATGAATTGGCCAGAAAGTTTTAAAACAATCTTGTGAGCAGAAATAAGAAGGAGCTAATCCTAACTTAAGACAAGTAGGGCAATGCATACTTGCAGGTTTTCCACAACCTATAGTGCTGCAAGATTGGAGAACTTGAGACTTAGGCTTATCTTCAGTTGTTTTTTCTGTTGTGGTTGTATCTTTGACGTCCATTTATCTACTTTTTACTAACTAATTTACTAACCAAAGTAATTATGATTAACTATTAAATTTGCAAAATTAATCTGTATTTATATTATAATTAAATTAATTCTTTCTAAGAAGATCTCTCATTAATTACTTAAATTAGTAATTAGAGTATAAAAATTTTAAGCGAAAGTAGTAATTAAAGATTTGTTTATTTTAATTTAATATAATAATCTCAAAATAAAAAATACTTAGTTATGTTAGACATATTGCTAATAAAAATAAATCAATTAAACCCTATTCTAAAAATTAATAAAATAGTTATTAATGGTATAATTAATACACAAAAAAAATAATTCTAACTTAATCTTATAAATGCTTTTTAATATATTATTATAACAAATTTATCTTAGAAAAATAAAAAAATAATAGTTGTTTATCGAGTCTACAATTTAATTAATATCATTTTTTATTTATTTAGCAAGTATTTTTAATAAATTAAAAATTAATTGATTAAATTCTATTTTACAATACCTGTTGTAAAATCAGATAGTATGAGTTGCTTTTGAAATATTAAATTTAAAAATATTTTTTATTTATTTCTCAATTTGAATTACTTCTCTCAACTAACAATTATTCTATCTATCTTTTTGAATAAAACTACACTATCCAAGCAAGTAACTTCAAAAAATATTTTTAAATTAGAAAAATATTTTTAAGATTTAAATAATTTAAGTGTATTTAATTCGAAAATATAATTAGCGTTTTTATTATTTAAATATAAAATTTAAGTCATGTCAAATGTTGGTTTGAAAAATATTATTTGTTAAAAAAAGATGCTGTTTGAAATAAAAATATATGATAATTACAAAGAAGGATAATAGGTAACTTTTAATTTAATAAAATCTATTAAATTAACAAATTTCTATTTAAGATACAATTTTTTAATATTGTATCCAAAAATATTATTTGTTAAAAAAAGATGTTGTCTTAAATAAAAATATACGATAATTACATATAAGGCTAATTAATAGATAAATTTTAATCTAATAAAATCTATTAAAATAACTAATTTTTTTGTGATACATAGGTCTATCATTCTAAACTCATCGCTCACCCATTAAATTTAAATAGTTTTTTTGAATTTTTTAAGCTAATTTTTTGACTTATTATTTATCATAAAGCAATCAATAAATACTATGAATTATTCTTTGAATTTTATTTTTTAATTTTTAAAATATACAGATAAATTCCATTAGTTACTTATTTATCCATTAAAATATGAATAAAATTTTTAAAAATTATTTTAAATTTTGTAAAATGATAAAACAAAAATACAAAAATAAGTTTATCTTAGTATATAAATACTACAAAGTCTACAAAAGAATATCGAAAAATTTTGTAAAGAATTATGCTTTTTGATATCAAATTAATGAAAATAGTAAACTAAGAATAGAAGAAAATAAAATTAATAGAAATAACTCTTTAAATTAAATGATCGATAAGCTTCTAATCACTTTAAAAAATTTATATATATACTTTAATTTCTCTTAGATAGTTGCAAACTCAATCAAGGCCATGTTTAGAAATTATAACAAAAATTAGACAATTTTTTGAAGTTTTTTGTTATTAAATATTTGGTCCTAATTATTGCTAAATCTCAGTAAGTTTGTATGTCTTTTATATTAATTTTGTGAGACTGAAAACAAAATGATAAACAAATAAAAAAAATACCAGAGACAATTTATTAAAATTAGTTAACTTTAATATTTTAAATATTTTATGGTAAAATGATTATAGATAAACCTAATTTACTTATTCTTTTATATTTGTCTCTTTGCTTCTTTCTTTTATCTAAGTTACTAAAATAAAAAGTCTACAAATAATTTTGAAACATTATGGCTAATGCTGAATTTTAGTTTAGAAAATTAAACTATTTATTCAAATTAATGAATAACAGAAACAATTAGGCCTTAAGTTAGTTATCTTTAAGCACTTTTAATCTAAATCCACAATATTTTTAAGTATTTTACAACTAACATTTTAATTATGACGCACACTAATAATTTAAGATTATAAATGAATTTATGGTAAAAATGAACTTGTACACTATGAAAATTAAATTATTGATTAAAATAATGAATAATAGAAACAAAATTGCTTTATCTTATCTTTGAGTACTTTTTAATAATTCACGATATTTTTAAGTATTTAGCATCTTATATTCAAATTTTGGCAATAATAATTTAAGGATTTTAAATGAGTTTCTGGTAAAATTAAACATGAATATTATGAAATTGAAAATTAGAGAGTGATTACATTTTTTAATTAGGTTTTTGTGATATCGTAATTTATATAAAATCAATCATGCTTATATCTAAAATTTAATTGCAAATATATATAAGTTTAAAATTAATATGACTATAAAAATGATCACTTCTTGATAATTTTTGAGCATCGCTCATCTTTACTTATCAGAGATTTTTAAGAATATTTATATAAAAAATAAAAGCTTTTATTATTCACATATTTATGGTCTATTTATTTCAAATTTTACAATTATTTCATGTATTAATTATGATATTTATAAAAAGTCTACAATTTTGATGCTTACTATTATAAGAGTTCCTAAAATATCTTCAAATTATTTCACGAAAACAATCAATCAACATATTTGTAAATTTTAAATCATATATCATGTTAAATTTTAACCAAAAAATATTTCATTTTTAATTTTTTAATAGAGTTTTTTATTTTAGTTTAATAATGATTTTATAAAATTTTTAAGTATGAATTTATTGCGTAAAAATAAAATCTAAAATATTTAAATTAAAACAGATAAATAAGTAAAAGCAGAATAATATATATATTTATTGATAAGATTATTAAAAATATTTCATAAAAAAAATTGCTATGAATCTAAAATTATTCAAAAAATAATTTCTTTTGTAATCCAATAATCATTTTATTGAAAATTAGGAAAAAACAAAGTATTTTCTAATTTTGGTTATATTCATTTAAAAAAATGAAAAACAATCTTGAATAATTTCCTTACTAAATCAAAAAAAAATTATCAATGTTTGTTCAAGATGATTATGAGAAGAATATCACATAAATATTTTATATTTATCTTTAATTTGTAAATTATTAATTTTCGAATTATCTATTTACATTAAATTTAGATTACAAATTTGGAAATGCTGAAAAATAAATAGTAAAAATTGTAATTTTTTACTTCTTATATTTAGTGCTCAATATATTTATTTATTTGTTTCTTGTTCAAATGATAAAAAAGGTATAAAAAAGAGGTTTTAATTTAAGTTTATAATTGATTTTAATTAAATAAATAAATAAAATTAAATGAAATTAAAAACTACTTTACTATTCTTGATAATAGCAGGATTTTTGCCTTTGATTTTAGCTGGCTCTTGCCGCTTTTATACTGACAAAGATGGTAATTGCGTATCAAAGTGTGTGTATCCTTAAATAGGAAATGCTGATACTAAAACTTGTTTGACTGATGATAGTTATTGTACTTAATTTTTCATCTAAACCTACAATGTCTGTTCAAGCTAGTGTCCAAAAGGATTTGCTATAAAAGCTGCATAAGGAAAAAAATACTAATATTGTATTCCTTGCTAATTCTAAGATGAAAACGAAAAATGCTATGAGACTTGTCCATTTGATATGATTACAGACTATACTACTCAAAAATGCTTGAGTTCCCCTTCTTAGTGTTAAGCTTACTTTATTAGGGAATCATAAGCTTGCATATCTGTATGTCCTCCTACTTATATTGTTGATAACACTCAAACTCCGAAACTATGTGTTAACTGTTATGCTAGTGGAGCTTGTGCTACAAACAATGATGGAAATTAGAAACCAAGCATTGATAATAATAACAATAACAATGGAAACTCAGGTGCTATTAAGAATATTTCCTGTAATCTTTATCTTGCAGCTAATATGTATGAATGTTTGCCTTCATGTCCTCAATAATAGATTGCTTTACCTTAAGTTTAAGGCTAATCTTACATCTAATGTTAGTTGTGTCCTCCTTCTTTGCCTTATGTCAGCAATGATGGATCTACTTGTGTTAATTAATGCAATATTGGGGAAGTTTTGTACATGTAAAATTGTATTTTAATTTCTCAATGCAAATTTAATGTCTATACAGATGATAATAAAAACTAATGGTGTGTTAAAAATTGTCCTCCTAATTAGATGCCTGTTTAAGTTAAAGATTAACAATATAGCATTTGCTAGTCTTGCTCTGCTGATAAATTCTTTGATCCTTTATTAAATTAATGTGCTGATACTTGTCCAATCTAAGATGCAACTGGAAAATTTTGTTTACCAAGTATAAAGAGTTGTAATGGCTACATATCAATTGATTAAAAGAAATGCTTAGCAAACTGCCCTTCAGATTAGTATGCTGAGAAGGGATAAAACTTTAATTAATTCTAATGTGTTGCTGAATGCTAAAAGGGTCATTTCATTTTAACAGAAAATAAAGATAATATTGTGACTAATTATTGTGTTGAAACTTGTCCCTTTTTTTAATTTGTTGGAGCAAATAATACCTGTAGTCCAATAACTTAATGCACTAATTACTTGTCTATGGATGGATTAACCTGCCTTACTTCATGTCCAGCTGGATAATTCCCTTAATTACTACCTACTTAGAAATTATTAACATGCTTGCCCTGTATGCAAAAGCTTTCTTCAGATGGTAAATCTTGTAATGATAGCTGTGGTACTGATGAACTATATGATGTTTAACTTAGATAATGCTAAAATTAATCTTAATGTACAGGAATAAAATAAGATGGTATGTGCTTAACTCAATGCTAACTAGGTTATGTCCTCTCTATGGATAGCGCTATCAAAACTTGTGTGCCTATAAGTAGCTGTGCTAGTTATGTGTCAGCTGATAGATAGTCTTGTGTTAAAACCTGCGGACCTGATGAGGGTATAATGCCTTTGACTAATTAGTTATTCTGTGTTATTTGTCCCTTAGGCTTAGATACAGATGGAATAAGCTGCAGATCAAAATGTCCAAGCAGTTAAATATTTGATATTGCTAGCTTATCTTGTAAAGATATCAATAAATGCACCGGTATATTGAGTGCTAATGGATAAAGATGTGTTAGTGAGTGCCAATTTCCTGAAGTAAAACCTTCCCCATAAGCTACTTAATGTGCTTACAAGTGTGAAAGTGGTCAACTATTATAAGAAAATGGTGTATGTATAGATCCTAGTAATTGTACAGGTTACTAATCATCTAATGGATAATATTGCGTTTAAAATTGCAACTATATGCTTGAAATTGTAGGTGATTCAAATTCTACTCCAAAAAC